TCAAGAAGGAACGAATTCCTCTTGCTTCGTAAAGAGATGTCGAACGCACCACTTCCCTTGAAGCCTACTCCTGGTAGACTCATGAAGGAACGAATCCCTCTCGGACTGTCCCGGCGGCACAAGAGAGATGTCGAACGCACTTTACTCCCTTGGAGACTACTCAGGCAACTCCTGATAGACTCATGAGGACGAAGACTTCCGAGGTGGCGTGCAAGGCTTTTCGACAGGCTGCTTCATTTGCAACGAGACGCAATACGAGAGATGAGGTTGGCGCAGCCCCATTCCTTCGAAGGTACGTTTTCATCCTCTTCTCCCTTGATCTCTGGACTTTACTGACTTTTCGTTGCAGGCTTTCCGTGTCGATCCTTTGGGGTTGAACTGGTATGCCTTGTTGGAGAGGGGTTGCTTAGGAAGCTTGGAAGTCTTGCTGGGCTGTTGCGGCCATGGAACTTGTTGAGATGAAGAGAAGGGGGTCTGGAGGTTTGGCCAGGCTGCTGAGATCGTGGGAGGTGTAGAAGAGAGAGACTTGAGCATCTTTGGTTCTGTCGACGATCGATGCTGTGGAAGACTTCATGGAGAGGATGGTACCTGGTTGGGGTGATCGCTAGTTTCGCCTTCTGGGGCTCATCTGGACTGCCTTGGTCGAGATAACTGAAGGGGCTTGGAGGTTGTTCTGGACGGCTGAGACCATGGGAGGCGTTGATGTGAAAGACTTGGGCATCATCATTGCTGCTGCCGGCAGCTATCTCGGAGGACTTGTTGGAGAAGCTGAGACCTGGGTTGAGAATTGAGAATCGTTCGTCTCTGCTGCCATCATGCTGGACGGAAATGGTGGAAGGCATCAACATCCTTGCGAAGGCTTCAACGAAGATCATCAAGCAACTACCTTGATCACTTGCCCTCGCTGCCGGACATCCAGCTTGCTTTCGTTTTGGACTTCGCCTCCTCGCAGTTCACCCAGGACTGTCGAAGATTCACTGGTCTGATGTGGCCTTGATGGTTGTGGATGGAGGATGAGGAGGCTTGGAACGTTTCTCTGGAGAATATGGTCATGGGAGTCCTGCCTGAAGGAGACTTGGGCATCTTCGTTGCGGCTGTCGAATGTGAAGGACTTGCAGGACTTCGTGAAGAGGCTGATAGCCTGCTGGAGTCGTCGCTGTCTTCGCTGTCTTCGCTGCGCTTTGGGCTGAGGAAACCGGCATTCTCGAGAAACTACCAACGACGATGGCCAATTGAGACGACATGAACCCTCGCCCTCGTGCTCGCTGCTGGAAACTTCATCTCGCTCTCGTTATTCCCAGCATCCCTTCGACTTCGCCATTCGCAACACATCGAGACTCGCCGGTGCTCAAGAAGACTCTCGTGCATGGATCTTCGCAGAGGTGGGAGAGGATTGTCATCAGGTTGTTGAGGGTGATTCAGAACGTTTCTGAGCGTGCTGTCGATGAACCAGCTGGTTGAGCAGTTTGTGGCTTCTTGATTAGCGGAGGACACATCCTGAGCACCATCGACATGCCGCTATCGTTTCTGCATAGCTCCGTGGAAGGTCGACTCAAAGGAGAACATGATATCCGTATACGAGTCCTTGTCCCTGCTCTTGCAGGGTGTATCGGCTTTTCTTTTCCATCTCATCGCAGTGACTCCCGGGGGATCTAGTGGAGGTGCCATGACGGTTGCGAGAGCCATACCCATGCGGTGTGCCCTTCTCGCTTGCCAATCCGGATCTCTTGCGCCTATCCTGTTGAGTATTGATCTATCACCAGCTCGAAGAAGGGCCTCCAGCTTTCGTCTTCGGCTTTGCGCGGCTTGAGCAGAGGGCCCTCGCTGGCGGTCGCACAGGAATACTTTGAGCCTTTCGTTCTCACGCCCTAGTCGTTCAGGACCTTCGGCAGGGCGAGTTTGCTTGCCAGGAGCCTGTGCCAAAGCATCTGGGCCAGCGCTGAGGCGCTTCTCCGGTCCGTATGCGCTCGTGTCAGCATAGCCATCCTCCCTCTGGCCGCCGTCATTGTGAGGAAGAGCAGCAGAAGGCTTGGACTCCTCTGTCTCCCCAAGCGCTTCCTCTCGACGTGGTCAAGCGTCTCCTTGCGCTCCTGCGCAGCTCAAGGGGCCATCTTTCCTGCCATTGATCCACGATGCTCGAAGCGATCTCCTGCCAACCATTGCCAGTCCCCAAATACTCTGGCTCTTTCCTATGCTCTTTCTGCTTCCCGTGCTACTTGTCCTCCAAGCACAATACCCAACTCCTGACGCGGCTTGAGCCCAGATCGTTCTCTCGGTCTCTACCAAGAACCTGTCGCTTTCTCTTGTTCAAAATCGACGGCGGTCCGTCTCTTGAGGTCGGAGAATCGAGCGCAGGGTGTGCGGTATGCATTTGGCCCGGTAGAATCGATTGCTGGAGGATTTGGGCTGAGTTTTTGCTCGACTACGATCGTTGGAGCCCCTCGCGAACATTCTGCAAGGGCATACTGGCTCATGCTGATCTTCCGGCTCTTCTCAAGCTCCTCAAAGTCTTACTTGATGGATCGGGGTGGTATTGCGGTTGCTGTTTCTGTTCTTTCGACTCCAGAAGGGTTTCGATGGAGACACCAGCGAAGGCCTACGCTGGATGTGAAGCCTTGCCTGCGATTGAGTATCAAGAGTCAATCTCCAAAGCCATACTGTGGATAGGTCATGCTTCTGTGTGAAGGTCCGCTGACGGCTGCGCTCTTCCGGCCCATTGTGTCGAGATTGCCGTATTTTGGTCGGCATGGACCTCGCTTTCGGAGTGGTATCAGCGCAGGACAGCAGAATGGGTTGGAGATGACCAGGAGTAGGCATCGGGAGGAATAAGGGCGCTCTCTCCTTTCAGACGGCCGCCAAACGAACCGAATGAGATGGGTGTGTGTTGACCACCCTCGATGCTACAGGGTTTCGTCCCGATCGGTATTCTTCGCTCTCCCATCTCTTCGTCAAACATCATCACCGGTGGAGTCCACTTGTCCTGCCAGAGTAGCAGCCCATCCTCCATGCTCAAACCGCTGAACCCAACAAAGCTGCCTCATCATCGCGCTATCCGTCCATCTCTTTTCCATCAGCCCGAAGCTCTCAGGCCAGACGAGCTCCCTGTGAGCATCACGATGCGCTTTGAAGATATCCTGAACTTGTTGCAGGGCCGCAATGGTGTGAGGTCAGGCCCAATGGAATGTTCTCAAAGCCTGGGTGCTGGGATGGATCGATTTTCTGTGACGGGGCGACGGTTTCGAGCCAGCGCTGCATCGTTTGATTGCGTGGATCTTGCTGTTCGCTAGGATGTGATGATGAGGCGTTGGGAGACATGTTTGCTGTGTGTTTGTGAAGTTGGCGGTGGGCCTATAGTTCAATACTGTCACAAAGGCGCCTGACGGGGAGCGGGAAATCGTTGCGGCATCACGGAGGAGAGATACATCACGACAGAGACTTTACGAAGAACACGAGAACATGCAACGAACGCAGAATAGGGATACAAAAAGATCAATTGAATACTACCGAAGACAACACAGCACACCAGCATCAAACCACGCAGGATCTGGCTTTCGCCCACACTATCTCCCACCCAATCCATTGGCGATCGCGGAGGCAGGCCCATCCCCAGTCCCACCAGACTCGCTCACAAAATCTTTGACTCTCTCCATCTTCCCTTGCCAACCACTGCCAGTCTTGTTTGGTCCGCTGACTGGCAGTGGTTGGCCCTGCAGCGGGAAACTCTGCCGGTCTTGCTTGGGTGGTTCTCGTGCTCGTCTTTTGCGGCCATGGCGAGGCGCTTGAGGGCGTTCTCGACATCTTCTCGGTGGCTTGATCGTCGGTGTTGCGGGCGGGGATGTCAGCAGGGGCGCTGACTGCGCTCTGCGCTCCCGCATTCGGAGCAGCAGACGGATCGACGGTCATGGCGCCCGGCGCCGCAGACAGTGCCGAAGATGGTGTTGGCGGGCGCCCCGGGGGCGAGACAGTGCTTCCCTCGCTGGGCGGCGAGGTCTCCGCGGTGGAGGGGACGGTGGAGTGCGAGTCAATGGGAAGCTGTGCCTTTTTCAAAAACGGCACAGACTCTGAAGAAACGTTAGCAATCGAAGGACAAGACCGAAAATATGGGTATCGACTCACCCCGTATTGTTGATGTCGATTTGCTCTTTCTGGGAGCAATGGCTTGATGCTGGGACTGATCCGTGGTCGAAGAGCTGGTGAGACAAGAGCGGAGCCAGACACGTATCTTGCCAAAAGGCAAGAAAAGTTCAAAAAGGACTTTGTTGGGTTGATATGGGTGTTGGGTTGCATATGGGCGACGAGGGTGTCATCTTCATCGTCATCGTCATCATCTTCGCTATTTGATGAAGTCGTTGATGAAGGCACTGTCGATGAATGTCAGTGATGAGCAGTGATGTGAAGAGGATGGGTGGTGGGAGACGCACTTTTGGTGGTTGTTGTGGAGGAGAAGGAAGAGAAAGAGTCAGAGAAGTGAAGAAGTAGGCAAGCTGCTGCCTGCTAGCGCCATTGTGCTTACTCAGTTGACAATCAATTGCGGCAAGGACGCGTTACGCGTAGCAACTTTGGGGTAGAGCAGTGATCGTACTCATGCTTGCGTCCATACATTTCTATCCAACCTCCCTGCTATGGAAGATATACGGTTCAGTTTGCCTCTTTGCCGCAAGCGCTTCAAAAGTGTCTCACAAACACTCTGCTCGCTTCGCTCTCCAGTACTCGATACGACCTTCCGCCGACATCATCCTGTATCCTCTTCAGCCGATGCTCCACCTGCCTCATCACCCGCTGTCTCGATTTCCTCTTCGTCAACAGGGAAAGCCATTTCCTCGAATGCTTTCTTGTTGAGCTTGTTGAGACACTCGATGTGCCACGACTCGACGCACTCTTGCGCAAGCTCTGCTAACGGCCTGCCACACTTTCCCTTCCAACCCTTGAATATCTCTTGATAATAGGCTTGACTGCGTTCGATTCCGCTTGCCTCCCTTTCCACGCATAAAGCGTCGAAGCAGTTGAGGTCAATGCGCTTGTCTATGATCTTGTGTGCTTTCGACTCGATGTGACGAGCAAGTCTCTGCCAGTAATACCCATGGCCCGTCACGCCGACCAAATGCTCTCGTACTTGGCGACCTGCCTCGACTTCTTCCTTCATCGATGCAGTAATGTACATATGCGCCATCTCATGCAGAAGAGTGCCGATCAACTCCAGTGGCGTCTTCAACTGCGCAAAATTCAAACGTAGGAAGTGTCCTGAACCGCGCCAATCTTTTGGACCACGCCAATCTTTTGGAGCATCAAAATAAGTGCTTCCTCTTGAAAGGCTACTCTCATCGTAGAAAAATGACCAGAAAAGTGCGATCGTCCTGCTGCAGATGGAGATGGAGCTGAAGATCTGGTCGCAGAGTATCAGATGATCGAGGGCTAGGACAAAGCGACGGAAGTCCTGGTCTTGGATATCCATGAAGTCGTCGAGACTTTCGAGCTTCTCTCGAAATGATGTAACGGCCTCAAGGCATTCCTCGTAGCGGCGCTTCGATTTGGGGTCCTCTCCATGTTCGAAATCGAAAGTTTCACACAGATCCGCGTCTATGAAGTCGGGCTTCACCATATCTTCTTCAGTAGTAAGCGACATGGTTGTGAGTGTAGTCGGTTCCGCGATTGCCCTGAAGATTCAAGTTGACAGTGGCAAGCCGCAAAGTCGAGACTGTCTCCCTCAAATGTGAAGGAAATTCTGCACAGACCTCACGATGATCAAGCCGTAGTGTCAGATTCATTCACTCACCCCACTTGTATTTACACGTCATCTCGCTCGACCTTTGCATTGGTAGCTCCGGTCCTGTCTTGATCACCAACGGCTCGGTGGACTGCAATTATGGTGAGAAACTCTTACAAATTTGGGTAGATTGATCTTTGTGGTTATTCACACATGCGCAAAACAGACAACATGATCGACCTTGAGAGTCACCATCACGTCTCTATCGCACAAACGTCATCTCCTCCCTCAATCGACTTTAGCGGAATGCGCCGCTACAAGACCTCACACTTCCATATCCTCCCACTGCCCGACCGGCTTCCCCTCTATCGCCTCAATCGCACGCGGATTCAATCGCACGCGGACTGGCCCAATCGGAGCCCTTCTTCGCCATAAAAGCTCCATTCGCATCAAAGTCAGAGTTCCACAACGCTTCGAAGTACTCCATGCTTGCCGTCATCTCGCCTGCGACAAGTTCCTCCAAACACGCATCCTGACGCCCGAGATCAATCTTCACGCCCAAGAGCGCTGTGGCCCTCGCCTCGACAGATTGTGCAAGCCTTTGCCATTAATATCCATGTTTCGAGTAGCCCAGGAGCCTCAGGTTTACTTCATTATCTTTGGCTTACTTTTTGTCCTCAGAGATTCTGATGAACATATGCAACATCTCGTGGAAGAGCACGCTGACCACTTCGGGGCCTGACTTGTTGTGGACCGTATGCATGCGGAGCTGATGGGTTGAATCCTGGGTGAGGCTGGAGCCTTTCTTGTTCTTCTCTGTGTCGTTGGACCATGTGAGTTGGAATTCGGTGCTGTCGTCCCAGAGTCCGTCGAGGAGAAAGACATAGCTGGCGCTCTTGAGGAACTTCTCAACGTCCGAAGCCGGGATCAGAGATGCAGCTGGATTATTCTTTCCATTCAGTAGCATCACTCAACCCCATGAGATCCTCTACTCAGCCTTCCCGTTCGATGGCTCTAGTCTTCGCCCGACATGTAGCCCGTCTCCGTCCAAACATCCTTTGGATCGACAAATTTTGATTCGTCCCATACTTCATCGTCTCCTTCATTGCCCTCCAAAAGTTCCATAAAGTGTTTGAGGTCTTTGATACGCTGTTGGAGTGATCCTTTGTAGTCTTCCATGTCTCCAGCCCTGTCTTCCATCTTTCTGAGCCGCACGTTTAACTCTTCCACATATCTTTGCTGTGCTTCTAAGCCTCTGGGGGTTTTCAGCGCTCGCCTCATTCTCAGCTTGGTCTTCGTTGCCCTCTTTGTTGTCGTCGTGCCCTCGCGCTTCCTGTGTGTTGAGGTGTTCAATACCATCTGCAAAGGCGTCTCCAACAGTTGTTTGGTCCGGCACTGAGGAGTTCGTCTTTGTAATGGGCACACCAGCAGATGTAGCTGTGGTCCTGCGGCTCGGTGGAGACCTAACATGATTCTCGGCTCCAACGATGTGTTCTCCGTTGCATTCGCCCGGCTGCTCTTGGTCGCTTTTGGGACACATTGGATCTCAGATGAGCTGCACGTCTCCTGGCAAGTCCTGTGGGTAGTCACTGTGTGCGTACGGTCCTGTTGATTGGAAGTTGCGTGACGTCGTGCCTTTGCGCGGAAGGGTTTGAGCTTCCAGAAAGAGTTCGTAGATATACACTGGCAATCAAGCAAGACTTTAGAATGATCGAGAAGAGATTCGTTGTACATATAGCGCTTTCTCGTCTTTCTTATCGTCAAAAGACGCCATGCGTCTACGAAGGCACGCACACCCATTCAGTCCAGAACGTCTCTCACGCTCACCCACCCGTCTTCCTGATCAATTTCCTTGCGCTCGAGCTCTTGATTTTCTCGTTTCCTTGAGTCAGAGTCTCAGGTCCTTCCTCCACGAGGTCGATTTCGTTGGGGTTCTCAGTCATGGCGTTCCTCCGGGCCTGTAACCTCTCTTTATGCAGCTGCGTGATTCCTGCCCACGCTATTTTCGCAGCAAGTTCTTGACCTGGACGGTCGTCTCTGAATAACTCCTCGAAGTACTGCAGATCAGGTACAATGCCACTGTCTTTGCACTCGTAGTCCGCAGCATCAAAACGTCCGAGGTCAATATCAAGTGACAAGACTTGGCCACATCTCTTCTCAATCTCCCGTGTGAGTCGCTGGAAGTAGTACCCATGACCTGTCGCGCCATCCAGCTTGTGAAATACTCGAATGGGATCTGCATTCTCAGGCGTCCGAATGTTCAACTGCTCGAAGCGAAAGCACTTGTAGATGAATATGTGCACCATTTCGTGCAAAAATGTGCCGAGCAGGTCGAGCACATTCTCATGAAGGCGTGCATTGACTCGAAGGAAAGTTATGCCGTCAATATAGTCCATGTCCATCCACCCGTACAACAGCTCATCTTCCGCGTCTTCTCCATCTTGCACTTCTTCAAGCCGAGCTCGAATGAGCCAGTCGAAATCCCAATCGTCCACTTTCTGCATGAACTTGTCCTGGAAGAAGAGCGTACACAATGCTTGTACAAGCTGCATCACCTCGACCCACGGCATTCCGGCAAGGTTCTCTCCGTCGATGCAGTCCTGCATCTCGAGGCGAAGTCGCTCGACAGCCAGCAGTGCGGGCTTCCATTGCGGAAGGGTAGCCTCGAAGTGCGCTTTGTCGTACGGTGTTTGGAGCCAGTCCATGAGGAGTTGAATGTGGGTTCCAACTCGATCGTGAGGAATATCGTCGCTGGTGGGCAGAGACATGATGTCTGATGTTCACTGGCTTTTCGTTCCTCCATTGCGGTGCTGTATAATGGTAGAAGATAAAGCACACACGTAGCACAATTAGCGCGGCGTAGTCTCCGCGGCAAAATTTGAATTTGGACTTGGGCAGAACATCGTCACGTGACAGTTTCCGCTTTTGGAAGGACCAGGTGAATGAATTTGCCCAGGCTTGGCAACGGTCGCGCGACTGCTACTGGCAAACATCGCAGGGCACGTTTCATGTCGCAAGACAATAAGAACGCAGCGCGACGCGTCGCCATTAACAGCTGCCGCATTATGCTTTATACGATCTCGCCGCTACTGGAGTCCACAAAGCAACTACTATTTGAAAGCAAACGTCACTAGAGAAGGAAACAGGGGAATGGCTTGCTGTTTCTCCGCTTGAGTGGCTACTGCTATATGTCTTCTCGTCAGCCATAGGGGAAATGCCAGTAATATTCCACATAGAGCACTCGGAACACTAAGTTCTGAGGCCTTATTATTGTTTTTCTGTATTCGAAGGGCTTTGTTGGGCAACAGCGGCGGCGTAGGTTTCGCCTTGCGCTTGGAACCAACACTACGATCTGCCGGTGCAGACAAACTCGGAAGTGGGTCAGATGAGGGATCTGTTACGTTGAGTTGTGGCCGGGATGGAGCGATAGACTGTGGCCTAGATGGAGCGGTGGACTGGGCGAAGTTAGTAGCAGCTATTGGTGCTGGCGCTAGTCGCGGTCTGAGCTCCGGTCGCTTTGGCTTTTCCACGCCCCAGTCACGTGAACTGCTCAGTTAGCACCAATGTAAAAAGCTCCAGTGTTGGGGATTTGCTTACGGGCCGAACTCAGTTTTGCCGTGTAGGCAATTCAGTACTTGTTCGGTCCTTGCTTTTGCGATTGCTTGGATTTCCTCTGTAGTCGAGTTGGCAGCAACATCGAATAACACCTGCAAGTTCAGCTGCACTTTGGTGTGAGTGGGGTATAGCGAGGACTGCACATCCAAAAAGCTGCACCGAGGCCTTCATTGCGATACACAAAAGGCCAGGACGACGAGATTGGACACAAGGGAAACGAGAGATGTTCGCAACAGTCGGATGGCAGGACAATGATAAACCTCGACTTGGAGATAGCCAATCACAGCCGGAATCTGACCAATCAGAATCGAGACCAGCCAGTCCCGATTTTGATTGGCTCGAGACGGCAGTGATCTAACGAAAACGATCTACAAAGCATACATGCATAGGTACTCGATATTGCGTAGGCTTTATATATTAAGTTAATAGGTTAGCCCTTTGGGGATGCCTTTGGATAGACAGAAGCCTTCCGAAAACAACCAAGAGGATGTACGCAGCAAGCAGGTCGGTACCAAGTGGGTTTCAAAGTGCTCTCTTGCAATCAATTATCTCCACGGTCTGCGATACAGACTCCGACTGTCTCGTTTGCCTCTTCCGACTTCAAGCCGTTTCCTTCTTTCAAAGCTGCTCGACCGGACCCAGTATGATTCGTACGGCATAGCAGCAAGTCGTCACCACAGTATTCCATACCTCTCTGAATCAGACGCCAAGCGCTGTAGGCCGGGCGCTCAGTCAAAGAGGAAGATCTTCTCTGTGTTCGACTCCTTTCCATGTCTTGCTTTCCTCCCCCTGACTTCGATCTCTGTCTGCTGCCGTCCTTCCCGCCAGGGTACAGCGAGAAACCAGGCTGGAGACTGCCTTCTTCCTTCAATCGCTTCCTATGTACATTCTTGCATACCAGCTATATTCTCTCATCCTGGTCAGATGGCCTTCCCACCAGCGCTACTTTCTCTGCACATTTGCCAATCTGTTATTGCTATTGAAAGTAGCCGGATCATCCCCAAAACCTTACGCCATGCTGACCCAAGCATGCTCCGGAATAGAGATCTTCATTTCGAGAAGCAACTACAGACTCGCTGCGCACGACTCGCAAGCAGCGTCCAGATCGTTCCAATCTTGAAACCTCGTGTGGTCACGGGCATCCAGAAATGCTCTCTCCGCCCCCCGAATCAATCGCTAGGCTGGAATGGATACAAGCGCAAGTATCTTCGGAAGCGTTTGAGAAGATGATGGCAGCTCTCGTGGGCGTTTGTGAAGTTGATGGCAGCATCATACCACAGAAACAAGTATCTCCTCGAACGTCGTCCTTCAAAAGCCCAGAAACACCCACAACTTGCCGATCACCCGCCTTACGGACGAGGTGAGGCGAGTGTTCGCAACAGGCGTCAGATGTCGAAGCTCCAGGAACAAGTCTTGGAGCGAAACGTACGTGGCGGCGGTCTGGAGTCGACTGTATAGAGCACCATTTCGAGCAAGGCTTCCAGCCTCTTCGACAGCCAATGCAGTGTCGCAATAGCCGTGGCATGGCGTCGCTGGTGCGTATCAGCACTGGACGAGACTGGGGCTCTGCGTCACGTCTGCTGTGCGCTTTGCAAACTCTGGAAGATTGGTGGCAAAGTACAACGCTCTAGAAGAGGAAGGTCAGATGGAGAGATTGTTCCCGGGGAGTCAGTGATGGATAGAGATGGTATAGGATTGTTGAGAGGCGTGGATGGATGGGATGGCAGGGAGATGACAGAGAGAAACGAATCAAGCCTCATCCAAAAACAGCTGCGAAAAAGAGCCAGCAACAAAGAACCCTCACCCAACTCATCCCAAAACCATTTCACCATACCAACTCTATCTCCCTAACCCCCTCCCCCCATATCTACGCCGGCTTCCACTCATAATGAAACCTCCCCATCTCCGGCCTTCCCGCCTCATCCTCGCCCTTCCGATCATACATATGCCTGCCAAAATAATCCAACTCCGCCTCATAAAAGCTCGTAGGCAAATCCACACTCACCATCTGCTTGACCCACTCCAGCGTCGCCCCGAGCGCAGGGACGACATGATCCGCCTCAACCCCCTTCGCCACAACGCGCTTGAGCGGCGCGTAGTTGCGCTTGACCTCCGCCGCGATCTCCGCGGCGTACAGCGGGTTTTTGTCGGCGGAGGAGGAGGGGTTCTTCGTGGTGGCGAGGGAGGAGTAGAGGGACAGGAGGAGGGTCGAGATGTAGTCGGCCTGGATGATGCAGCCGGCGCGCCAGATCTGGAGGAGCGCGACGTAGTCGATGTTGAAGTGGTTGCCGCGGTCGGCTTTGTCGATGATGTTGAGGCCTTGGGCGTACGAGGCCAGGCAGGCGAGGTAGGTGGCTTTGCGGAGGTCTTCGAGGAAGGCGGGTTTGTCGGAGGGGGAGAGGCGTTGGGGCGGCCAGGTGGAGTCGTTGGCGGCGCCGAAGAAGGTCGTCTTGATGGTGCGGCGTTGGTGCAGGTCGCCGGAGGCGAGGCGGAGGTAGTGCGCTACGGTGAGGGTTGGGGCGGGGACGTGGTGGTTGATGGCTTCGGTGTTGGACCAGATGCCGGTGCCTTCTTCGCCGGTGAAGTCTTGGACGACTTTGTCTTCGACCGTGTCGAGGATGTGCTGGCCCTTGTCGTCTTTGGTCTGGCAGATCTCGGCGCCGATGCGGACGAGGAAGGTGCCTTGCAGTTCGCCGGTCTTGTTCCAGCGATGGAGTTCGTCGCCGACTTCGTCAAGGTTCATGCCGAGACCTTTGGTCATGATTCCCCATGCCTCAGCAACAGCGGACATCATGCCGTGCTCGATGCCGTTGTGGATCATCTTGCAGTAGTGACCAGCTCCGCCAGTGCCAATCTTGGCCACACAAGGGGTGCCATCAGGGGCTTTGGCTGCAGCCTTCTGAAGGAGTGGCAGAACGATATCGAGAGTCTCCGAATCAGAGCCCGGGCACATCGATGGTCCTCGTCGTCTGTCGAGAGCGTTAGCATAACAGTCCACATGGCATTCATCGTACGATCCGATAATTACTCACGCTGCCTGATATCCACCACTAACCCCCATCCCCACATACCGAATCCCCTTCGTAGCACACTTCCCCTGCCTCCTCTCCGTATTCTCCCACATCTCATTCGCCGCATCAATGATAATATCGCCCATCGTCAAATAAGGCAACAAGCCCTCCAACACCGAATCGCCCACAGTACCATGCGGCAACGACCACACAAACACCTTCGGTGTGCCCAAGTTCTTGCAAAGATCCTCGTACGTTTGATACTTGGTGATGCTGTTGCCAACGCCATCCTTCTTGCCCTGCTCAATCACCTTAACCATCGCCTCGTTCGAAGGATCTTTGAGTAGCACTTCACACCCCTTCTCGGCGAACAACAATGCCATTCCACCACCCATGGCGCCACAGCCAATCATGGCGAGTTTCTTGATCTCAGGGTGATTGGGAGCCATTTCGTCTGCTGCGATCGGTATGTTCTTGACGTTCTGCGATGGCGAGTTGGAGTAGGGAATGTTGGCAGCGGGTAGAGGTCGTCTCGACGAAGGGCGTGGAAAGTCGAATCCGTGGCGAGACGAGCTGTCCATTTCATCTATCTCGATCGGCTGCAGCGGTACAGCTACAGGCTGTAATCGTGATGTCAAGCTGGGGTGAGCAACCAAGCTTTCGTCGATCGGCCGAGCAAGCGCCGCGGATCTGGTGCGTTCTCACGTGGGTACCTGTTGCCGGTTGTTGTTTGTATTTCCTATTACCAGGTCGATAGCTGGGTGAGGCAGACTCGTCTGTGTGGTGTGTGGCTCGACGGGCTTGCTGTATTCAGTAGTTTGCTTGATGCGGAAGTTGTTCCAAGAAAGTGAAACGCGGGGGGCGGCGAGAAGTTCAGCCTACGATAAGTCCAGACAAGTCTACAATGGCTTTTGATGGTACGGATGAGGGATGTTGGAGGGGATTTGTGGAGGCAGATACTTAGCTAGAGACGTCGATGGCCATGAATGCAGCTTTCGTTCATCTTCTCAAGGTCCAGAAGACCGATCCTGTGGCTACATCAGCATACAGCGTTAACGACGCTACCAAACAAAAGTAAGTCTTCGTATTGAGGTTGTGAAAGTGGTGCTCGTCTCGAACAGACACACTCGCAGAGCCCGAGGCTCGATGCGTTTCGTATTGCAGTCGTATGAAACAGAAGGGTATCATCTCGTTCGCTCGGTCGCTCAATCACTCGTCGTCTTCGTCTTCGTCCTCGTAGTCTTCATCATGCACTTCCTCATCCAACTTGCTCCACTCCAAGCTCTCTTCGGTACTCTCCATCGGCATGGGGTCAACAGTCTCCAATACCCTCTCTCCTTCGTCGTCTTCTTCGTCCTGCTCCTCCCTCATCTTCTTCTCTTCATCTTGCAAGTCAAACATTACACTCTTTCTTCTGGTGCTCGGTCTGCTGCCTCCTTCGCTCGAATGGCTGCTTCTGGGTCTCTTCTCCACCACATCTCCATTCCAAGGTCTGCATTCTTTCACGACCTCTCCGCATCTCAAGCATATCCAACCTTCGCCTTCTTCGGCTTCGATGCGCTCTGCGAGGCAAACGAAACAATAGATGCAGCCGCATGGGTCTGCTTCGTATGGGTTGGTGATGTCTGTCATGGCGGATCCTATGATACCGCTGTTTGCTCCTGCTGATGTCGACGATATTACGTCTTGCTCGGACTGCCCGCCGGCTGGGTTTTGGTCTTGGTAGCATATTGCGCACGTTCTCTCTGGGAGGAATGCCAATTCTCCTTTCTGCAGCTCTTCATCTTCGTCGTCGTGGTTGGTGGATGCTCCTGAGAGTATCTTGGTGGTGGTTATTTTGGTCTTCTTCCATGCTCGTTCGATCCATCTTCTCCATCTGCTGATGCCGACGAGTGGTAGTAGAAAGAGGAGGAATTCTGTGAATGCGTGCCAAACCAGCTGTCGATTGAGGAATTCGAATGAGACCTCTCTGCTCGTCTGGTTGGATGAAGGTACGAGTCGGAGTCGTAGTATTCGGTCGGTCAGAGTCCTGTATCTGCCGTTGTAGAGGAAGACGAGGAATGAGAAGAAGGCGGCGATGTTGTGGGACGTGGTGACAAACGTCGTGAGTCGTGAGAGCCGTTGTATGAGAGGATTCGGGGTGTCGTAGCCGTTTTCAATCGTGGCGAGGCGTTCTTCCCAGCGAGTCCAGCCATATCTTCCAATGACTGTGATCAAGCCGTATGTTGCTCTCTGCCAGTTTGTCGCTTCTTTGCGTACTCGCTCTGCTTCTGCGGCGTTTCCGCGCGAGTCGATGTACTTGAGGCCTTGTAGTGATGCGCCGTAGCTGGTGCCGTGGTCCCATATGGACAGCTTCCAGTACACGATCCGCAGCAGAGCAGTGATCTCGGCGTTCCAGTCGTCCTTGAGGTGGGCGCCGAACAGTTTCAAGCCTTCGCCGGCCTGCTTCTTGAGGAGGTCGAGGAGGGCTTCGTCGAGGAGTTCCGCATCCACTTGCCCAACGCGGAATGCTGGAGATGTGCCGTACGGGCTCTTCGCGGCGTCCCAGAGGCTGAGGAGGGAGAAGGCGTGGGTGCGGAGGGCGGGCGGGAGTCGCGTGAGTTGGGCGGCGCGGTCGTGCTGCTGCTGCTGGTCTGCGCGGGTCAGTGCCTGTTCGCGCGCCGCTCGCCGCTCGAGGATGCGCTTCTGCGTCGCTGCAAAGTCGACCATGGCGGCATAACGAGAGACAGAGACAGAGAAGAGAAACAATGGAAGACTCGAGGAAATGTTGATGAGCTGATCACGGCCAGGGATTTGCTGGGCGCGCGAGGAACCGAGGTACGTTCGGCGGCCCTTCCCGACTTCACCTCGACTTGTCTTTCACAACAACATCGAAAAATCGGATATCATCAAAATATCGTCCAGATCTCTGAATGAGCGTTGTCAGATTGTGTTTGAAGCCTTGACGAGGTGTTATGCCAGATTCGAAGGTCCCTGGTGCACCTCGAGTACCGTGATGTCCAGCCGGAAAGGACTCGCCCGGACAGCTCAAGATGCTTGATGTAACCGTGTTGCAAGTCGTTCCAGGCTGTGTAAGTCACTGCGGTAAGATGCGGATTGTGAAGAATACGGTGTGTTGAGTTCCAGATTGGGTGTCGTTGCCAGGTAAGTCCAGGTCCCGAAGCCGTTGAAGAGTCGATCAGATCCAGGTACACTTCGATATCTTGGTATGTTTTCCCAGCTCTTTCCATGCTCACAAACATGCCAATGCTAACGGAAAATGCAGAGATAGACATAAAGCCAAGGAGATAACAAGACGAAGAAGAAGAAGAAGAAGATCCTCCACATACCTAAAACAACAGCTCGCGGTCCAGGGTACCCTGGGAGATCAGCGCGGCGATGATGAGGACCATCATCTCCGGCATGAACAGCCTTCACATCTAAACGTTAGCACACCTTACCGACTTTGCTGGGCTTTTGGAGTAACTCACACTGCCTGGTCCCTCGGCTCGTGCTGCAGCGCCGCGGTCGGCGCCTCGTCCATGTGGCTAGTTCACCGATCAGTACGTTCGCCTTGCTTTATGGGAGAGATGAAGCCTTACACGACTTCGTAATCGCCGTCCCATGGTGTGGGCCTAGATATCGAAGACAGCAAGTTAGCAAGGAGCGCTCCTTTGGCCGACGAATTGCGCTGATGGAACTCACGACGGCGCGACGAAGAGTTGACGCCCTTCGTCCCAGACGAGGACAAGAGAGAAGTACATCTCTCTTGCGGGAGGTGAGGGCGGTGAGGGCGCGGAGGGCAAGCGGTCGGTCTTCTCTATATCGTTGTGTTAGGTACTCTGCGGAGAAGGGTGCGGAGGGAGGTGGTGTTGGACAAACGGAGAGAACTCAGGGTCTTGGCGCTAACAACTACCCTTCTACTTCACTCTGAACGGCCTCACATCGGCGTTCATTGCGGAAGTGCTTCTAGTGCAAGAGATTCACTTATGGGACAACGTAGGTACATTCCCAACAATCAACAGGACAGCAATATATCGATATCGACATCGACAGCCTGGATCTAGAGGGATATTTGGGGATGGATGCGCTGTTTCCCACTCCTTGTCTCGATCGAACGGCCTCACCACGGCCTCAAGAACGGCATCACTCACTAGGTTGAAACCTCACTCGTACGGCAACTCCTATACATCCCCAACAACCAACAGCATAGCAATATATCGAGATAGACATCGACAGTCTGGACCCACGGAGACACTCGGGGATACATCCAGCAAGAGAGACACCTTCTCCCGTTCGAATGGCCTCACCACCGCCTCAAGAACGGCATTACTCACTAGGTTGAAACCTCACTCATACGGCAACTCCTATACATCCCCAAGAATCAATAGGACAGCAATATATCGATATCGACATCGACAGCCTGGATCCAGGGACACACTCGGGGATACATCCCGCAAGAGGTACACCTTCTCCTGTTCGAATGGCCTCACCGCCGCCTCAAGAACGACATTACTCACTAGGTTGAAATCTCACTCGTACGGCAATTCTTGGCCATCTCCAACATTCAACTGGACAGCAGCGCATCACCATGCAGACCAGCAGCTTGGAGCCGAGCAGACGGTTGGGGATAGATGCAGGAGTACATACACCTTCTTCTGGTTCGATTGCCTCACTATGGCGCTCAGGGTGAAAACGATGCTGGTACTGGGATCTCACTTACAGGGCGATCTGGATATATCCCCAAGCCTCAACGATACCATACCATCGATATGTACAACTACCACTGAACCAACAACGAGAAGACTTCCCACCAACGCCACCAACACCATCCTCACCACCATCACTGATTCGACAACACCCTCTCCATCCCTTTACTCCCCGCCTCCCCCCTCGCCGCCCGACTCGCCCCCTCAATCCCCACCTTCCTCAGCGATCTATACCTCGGCGTCCACATCTGCTCCTCAATCCACTCCTCCAAATCCGCATCCTCCTTCGGGATCCCCTCCTCCTGGGCAACCCCATCCTTCTCCGCCTGCCGAATCACCCCCGCGGCGATCTTGACGGAGATATCCCTCACGTCGACGATATCAGGCAACAGGCCAGCGTCGGGGTCTTTGAGAGCGGGCGCCTGCGCCGCGAGGGCTTTGACGGCTGCGACGAGCATTTCCGTCGTGAGGAGTTTGGCTCGGCTGAGGATGACGCCGAGGCCGATGCCGGGGAAGGTGGTGCTGTTGTTGCATTCGGCGATTTCGCGCTTCTTGCCGTCTGGAGTTTCGACGGGCGGGAAGGGGGAGCCGGTGGCGCAGAGGACTTTGCCGTCCGTCCAGGCGAAGAGGTCCTTGGGGTCGGCTTCGTGGAGGCGGGTGGGGTTGGAGAGCGGAAAGATGATGGGGCGGTCGACGTGCGCGGCCATTTCCTGGACGACGTCCTTGGTGAAGGCTTTAGGGCGGGTACTCGTACCGATGAGGACGTGGGGTTTGACTTCCCTCACGACGTCGAGGAGGGATTTCTGGTTCGCATCTTTCCACTCCCCGTCGGCCTTGGCGTAGGGATGCTGTGCCGGCGTCAAGTCGTCCTTCATGCTCTGCAGCAACAATCCAGGCTTATCGATACACCAGATCTGCTTGACGGCCTCCTCCTTCGACTTCCCGCTCTCCACCGCAATCGCATCCCGAATCTGATCCGCGATCCCCGTCCCCGCCGACCCAGCCCCAAACATCACCACCCTCAAATCCTTCATCTTCACCCCCGCCACATGAGTGGCCGCATACATCGCCGCGAGCGTCACACACCCGGTCCCCTGCACATCATCATTGAAACACGCAATCTTCGGCGTATACAAATCCAGAATCCTCCTCGCATTCGTCAGACCGAAATCCTCGAAATGCAAGTACGCCTTGGGGTAAAGTTTCCGACACGCAGAAACATACCTCTCCACGAAAGCGTCGTACTCCTCCCCTCTCGTCCGCGGCCTCTTCACGCCCAGGTACAGCTCATCATTCAGCAGTTCATGATTATCCGTCCCGACATCCAACACAACCGGCAACGTCCGATTCGGATGCACGCCCGCACACAGCGTATAAATCACCAGCTTCGCAATGGCAATGAGTATCCCACCCACACCCTGATCCCCAATCCCGAGAATCTGCTCCCCATCACTACACGCAATGACATCGATATCCTCCGGCCCGCCATACCGCCCCAGCGCCGTCTCGATCTGCTCGGCCGTCATCGTGACATCCAAGAAACACCCCTCCGGGCGCCGGAACAGGCGGCTGTAATCCGCAATCGCATCGCCCTCGGTCGGGGTGTAGATGATGGGGAACATCTCCTTCAGATGCTTCTGGATGAGTTTGTAGTAGAGGACTTCGTTCTGCTCTTTCATGGACGTCATGAAGGTGTTCTTGCCCAGGGGCGTGCGGCGGGCGGAGTATTGGTCGTAGGCTCGTTTGACTTGGTCTTCGAGCGTGTTGACTGCGGAAGGGAGTAGGCCGACGAGGTCGAATTCTTTTCTTTCGGAGGAGGTGAAGGCGGTGCCTTTGTTTAGGTAGGGGGTGTGTAGAAGAGCCGGTCCTGTGAGAGCACAATCCTGAGGTCCGGAGGTTGAGAGGGGGAGGTGTTCGAATTTGCTCTTCGCCATGGTCGCTGCTGTCGTTGAGAAACGTCTCAAGTGTTGTGTAGTCGTAGAAGAAGAAGAAGAAAGAATCCCTCCAGCAACCTTGAGCATTATACCTTTCCAAAACCCCAAGCAGGATTTCGTACAGCTCTCCCCAATGCCACACGCAAAACCTCGCCCCAACCAACCAGCCACACGGCTGACGTCGTCAGAACAAGAACGACTAAAAGCAGTTCTCAGCTGAACAGACAAAAGTTCGAAGCGCAGACCTCCTGTTGGTCCTCCGAGCCAAGGACAGCATACAATGGCAAGCAAGCCATAGCAGGACTTTCCACTTCTGTCGGAGCTATGACGAAGCCTTGCAGCTCTGCTTGTCTGACTAAGGGGGAGCTCCACAGCCATTCGTTCCGGATTCTAGTCGTGCGAGGATTGCACGGCCGAGAGAGGGTGACTAAGGTAGTTTTCGAAGACATCCAAAAAGGTCGTTCGGCAGCGTACGACCAAATAGGACATCAAAGCCGGTTTTCGGGACGCATGGCTTCATTAGTAGTCTTGTTTAAAACTCTATGATAGGCAGTCTCTCAATCAATCGTCTATATTCTCATCGACTTCATCACGGTGCTCTTTGAGCATCTCCTCAGCGGGTCCTTGCTCGATGATCCTACCCTTCCCCAGCACGATGCAATAGTCCGCGTTCTTCACAGCTTCCAGCCGATGTGCGATGGTGATCACCGTGCTGTCTTTCATTTCCTCGTGCATGACCTGCTGGATCTGCATGGCCGTCTCTCGGTCGATGGATGCGGTCGCTTCGTCTAGGATGATGATGGCGCTGCGCCGGAGTACTGCTCTGGTCAAGCCGACGAGCTGGCGCTGACCTTGGCTGAGGTTTCTACCCCCGGCTTCGATCGTCGTTTCCAGACTCCAGCCTTGACGCTCACAGACCCGGCTCAGTACGATCTCGCACTCTGCGTCGGTGTGCTCGTTGACTGGATCCAAATTCTGGCGCATGGTGCCAGGGAACAGTACAGGGTCTTGGGCGAGGAAAGTGACTCTCGTGCGTAGCCACTGCTTATCGACTGCCGCCAAATCGACGTTGTCAACCAGAATCTGACCCATGTCTGGCAGGACAGTAGCAAGCATGGCCAAAGCGAGCGTACTCTTGCCTGAGCCGGTGCGGCCAATAACGGCAGTCTTCGAGCCACCTTTCACAGTGAACGTAATGCCAGCCAGCGCAGGGTCGAGATGAGGCGCATACTTGATGACCACATCCTTGAAGATGATATCGCCTCCGAATGAAGGCCACCAAGCTGGAGGAGAGACATCGCCTTTAGGTTCTTGTTCTAGGTGGACGAGTTCCACGATCCTCTCCACCGAGACAAACTCCATCTGCAGCTGCCCATATTGCCGGCAAAGACCGTGCGTTGTGTTCACCCACTTAGATGCGGACAGCAGCGCAAACGCTGTCAGGCCAGGCGATAGGTTTGTTGCAAGAGCGAGGACGAAGAGCAGGAAGGTTGCCAATCCAGACAATATATCGTAACGGTACTGCAGCCAGGCTTGCAGACTCCAGTAGAAGTGGTCCATCTTTTGGAATGTGTCAACGACATGGATGACACGATCTTGGAAGCGAGATTGTGCGCCAAATGCTCGAACGGTGGCTAGTCCGTTGAGAAGCTCGCCGAAGTTGGACATAAGCGGCGTCAGAGAGACCATCTCCAGCCGACGAAGATTCTGCGAGGTCGGTATGAATCGCCTGAAGACCACAACAAACAGTACCGCCAGGATGACTGTGAAGACCAGGAAAGTGGGTGTGATGGATGCAATGACCACTACCGACGAGATCCAGCTGATCAGCATCCAAGAGATGGCAGAGAACTGCATACTGATGCCTCCATCGATGACGCCGATATCAGAAGTCATACGGTTCATCAGTCGTCCAACAGGAGTAACGTCGTAGAAGCGGAAGGTGGCATATGCGACTTTCTCCATGATGTCTCGGAACATGTTCTTGGCAGCGGTGTAGACGATGACCACCAGCATGCCTTGAGAAGCAATGTAGGTGAGAGACTTGCCTAGCGCAAGAACGAACAGTCCCAGCAGCCATGGCTTGATGTTATCTTCGGGTGGTGGCAGATTGTCGAAGAGGTCTTGAGTCGAGTATGCAGTATCTTCTGAATACACGAAGAGAGAAGCCTGCGCCTTCGTGTTGTAAGCTTCACCCCAAGCTTTTAGGAACCAGGCTTCTCCGAGAGCGAAGAATCGGTATCCAACGAGAATGACGATCGTGACGGCCCAGAATGGGAGGTATCCAGCTTTGATATATTCCCAATAGACACGAGCCTGTACTCCGCCATAGGCTCGATGTTCGTCCTCGATGAACTTGTCTGGTACGGCAGCTGCGGCCTTCTTTGCATCTTCTTCCTCTTCCGCAGCCTCTTCATCTGGCTTCTTGGGAGCCGAGGCGAGCTGCACATCAGCTGCTGCAGCCTCGTGGTCCAGGACTGTCGCTTGGCCGGCTTCGAGCTTGATGACCTGGTCCGCAACATGCAGGACGAGATCGGTGCGGTGAGTGACCAGCACGATCGTGCGGCCAGCAACCAATGGTCCAGAAAAGAGTTTCTTGACGATAGCTTCTGCAGTCTGTTGGTCCAATGCTGCAATCGGATCGTCCAGGAGCAAAATCTTGTTCTTGCTGTACACAGCTCGAGCCAGTGCCACACGTGCTCGTTGGCCTCCTGACAGTCCGATGCCATTCTCGCCGATCTTCGACAAGTCGCCGCCTTTGAATTCCGCCAAGTCTGGTGTGAGTGCGCAAGCGTCGAGAACGGCACGATATCGCTGATCTTCGTAGGGTGCAGAGAAAAGAATGTTCTCTCGTACGCTCATGCTTTGTAGCCAGGGAGTCTGAGCGCAGTATGCTATTGGGTCCGGTGGGCGGATGAGCTGACCTTTGTGCATGTCCAGTTCTCCGAGAAGAGCTTGAAGCAGTGCAGTCTTTCCAGATGCAACCTCTCCACAGATGGCAGTGAGGCCTTCGGGAAAAGAGACGTTGATCTGCTTCAGGACAAGGTCCGATGAGCCGGGCCACGAGAAGGAGCCATCATCTACGGCAAGCTTGTCGCCTATCAATGCTTCCGTTGCCATCTGCTCCAGATCCGGCTCTGCCATGAAATCCTCAATACGTCGAACTGCCACCCAAGCATTGATAAGCGAAATAATGAGTCCAGGTAGATCCCTCAGTTGTGAAGTCATCATGCTGAAAAGCTGAAGTGCGGGAAATGCAATGTCCACTGTAAGCGGCTTCTTGGCGATTATCGTGTAGGTAGCAAATGCGACCACCGGCGTCAGATCATACGCAAGAGTGTTGACAAATCCGATAACTACCACCCAGATGGATGATACAATGCGCAGCGCAAGCTCCTTCTGTCGGGCAGTGATAACCTGAGCAAGCCAATGTCCTTGCCAGCCGTACCATCTCAAGTGTCGGATGGCTTCCACGAATTGTGATATGATCTGCAGCTTCGAATCTGTTGCGACCCGTCTTTTCTTCTCGTAGTGTATCAACACTCGTGCCAGGATGTAGTTGATGATTTGCGAGAGGATGATCAGCGCTACCGCCATCAAAGACGGCCAGCCCAGGTAATTGACCACCAACGATACTGAAAGGATAATGGCAATCGGTTTCTTGACGAGGTCATCGAATTCCCAGAATCGTTGCGCCACTTCGTAGACATCGTTGCGCATCAGGTTCAGGATCTTGCCCATCGATGCAGGCTCGTTCTCGACCTGCATTGGCTTGGACTGCTTGAACCAGGATGAGATCTTCGGTCGAAGTGAAGCCCATCGTGATAGTGTCTGTTTCGACGTGGTTGTGCCATTCGCTTGACCGTTGGCCGTATCCTCGCTTGGCTTCTCGTCCTTCTTCGTGCTGTCTTTGAACGATATCTTCCGGCCCAGCGTCTTCTCGTACAGCATCGTGATCATCTCGCCTCTCGACCTCTCGTAACATCTACGTCCAAACCAAAGACCAAACACGCCGGTTTGTGCGCCCAGCAGGCGTGCGCATAATGAGATGGCTGCATAAGTCAAGGCCACTCTCTTCGGCCTCTCCGGGTCCTCCATCGAGCTCAGGATAAGCTGTAGAAAAATTGGGGCTGCGTACTGAGCAAGTTGTTCTGTTACTCCCAAGATGACCACAAAGATCAGGTCGATTGCGTTTGCTGAGATGAGCCTCCGAATCACTGTGCCTCTCAGCTCACGAAAGTTGTCGTGTAGTCGGCGGTGCTGAAAGTCGTAGGGCAAAGACCAGACATCCTCATTTTCGAGTTGGCGCTTGCTTCCCAAGTCCATCAATGGCTTCATCCAGGCCACTGTCATGAATTGCCAAAGACTGAACGATTCTTCTGGACTTCTCAGCACAGATGATGGTGGCGAGAAGGGTTTGCTGATGTCTTTTGATGGTAGGAGAGGATCGCGGAACGGCATCAACAGCAGGACTACTAGTGTGAGTCCTCCAGTGACTGCGCTGCAGATGCTGAGTATTCGAGGTGTCGAGGTCCAGAAGCCGTTCTCCAACAGTATTGCTTGGGAAATGACCTGGAAGGTCGTAATCGACAGCACAGCATATGGTATCGTCCTCGGCCTGTAAACTCCGACCTCGAGAGCTGCTACGAGCCATGGCAGAACGGGTATGAATGCGATCGACGCCGAGCCGCTCAGAATTGATGCAGCCAACTGGAGGGTGAAGCCAGTGATGCTGAGCACAGCAAGTCCAAGAGTGTGTACCGTCCATGTCCTCGTAGGCACCAAATCGACTTCGAGTATCGGCTCAACGATCTCCTCCACGAACGGCCGAGTCCAACGTGGTCGCCACTTGATGAGGAGTCGTAGGATCTGGACAAGGAGAACGACGGCGGCGAGAACAGCAGGAATGGCAGCGACCACTGGGTGGAAGCATGGCCGGAAGTGGGCGGTCTCTGCGATCCAGACGTTCCTGAAGCAGATTCTGGTGATGTTGGCCTCGAGCGTCGGCTGATGGTCGCGCAGGCTGGACGCCGCCTCGCCGAGTACGATCTGGTCCATTGTGTCGTCGGTCGAATTAAACCATCTCTATCCCCGGGGCTGCTAATCAAACCAGGCCATCAATCCCACTCTTGAGCCCATTGATGTCAATGGAGAATTGGAGATAGACTCATCATTGGTGCCTGCGAGATCTGGTTGACGAAGGATTCCGCAATTGCGCGGTCGGAGTTCGCACGCACCGTCTCCACAACGGGCAGCGCTCCGACTTGGCAGAAACATAAACGTTACTCGGAGGCAGTGATGTGGTAGAGAAGGTGATATATTGATTGATGAACGATATACGAGATGATGAGGGGTTCTTCTCCACTATTTCCCTGATATCTATCCTCGTATCTGCCCATACAGCGCTCGTACAGCGCTTGCTAGAGAAGCCCTGATCGATCAGTCTTTGGGCATAGTATGTGTGATGATATATGCCCTGAATGCCCGCGAATCGACGTTACCTTTTGTGCGGTTCGCGCTCCTTGTTAAATCACCGTTTCGTCCAAGTTGGAGTGTTTTCATTCATCTTTCTCCGTTCGAATGCTTGTGTCAAACTGTCCAGGTTTGTCTTCAGTAGCTCGGTATGTTCATGATGTCTGGAGATATCCTGTAGTATTCGTCAAGTGATAATTGACCCATGTGACATTGTGATGCCGTTCGCGGGCTGGTGTTGCTGCCTCCGTTATCACGTGTTGCGCTCAGAGAAGGCGCCGTAGATACTGCTCCGCTTCGCCTCAATCGCCGTGGGGTTCGATACAACAACACCACCACAGCAGCAGCGGCAGTAACAGCGGCAGCAACAATGCCGCTAGAAGTGTTTTTTCACTTCTACCCTGCGCTGCTGTCGTTCGCGGTGCTCGCCCGCGCACCAGCCTTTCCGTACGTGTCTCGATGGCTTGGAGCTGATCGATATCGATGAGAACGCCTGTAAAGAGGGGATGAGCGCTGACAGGTCGCGCATATAGACCACCACCACCGCCACCATCGCCCTCCGACGACGACGAGTAAGTTCATATCCTGCCCTTCATCCCCGACGATACGGCACCTACCACAGCCTTGACCTGCTCACCAGCAGACGTTCTTTCTGGTCTGTTACGGGGATGCACGAAGCTAACGCATCATGTGTAGTGGCCTCATCGACCTCGATGAGGCCGATCCAGATCTGCGGCCTGCGCCGCCAGTCGTGCATTGGTATCAGACTCACACCCTCAACACTCACACGAAGACCATGGCATGCTGATACTTTCGAACAGGCGGAGCGCATGCGACGCGGTGCTGAATCCGGCGTGGAACCCGGCCACAGACCCGCTGCCAGCGCCAGGGATCGAGCACGTGGACCTTGGGGAGAACGGTCTCACCGTTCATACCTATACCATCCACGGTCCTGGGGCGGTCTGGGTCGGGTTCTGCGTCCGGATCCACGGCGATCGGGTGGCCGATTTTTGCATTTTCCGCAATTCGGTACGTCAACTCAACCCCGGGCCGTACATACAGAGCATGAGAGAGCGATGGGCACAACCCGGTTGGTATCTCCAGAAAGAGCGTCACGGCCAAGGGCATCGAATGGACATCCGGACTCCTCTCGCAATGGCCGATTGAGAGATTATCCCGGTGTGAACGAGGATCTACTTGAGGGCAAGGGCGTATCTCAAAAGTCGGGCCAACGTCTCTGCGTATGGCATCTCATCTAGACTGGGCCTTTTCGCAACAATCGCTGGAATGGAGCCTCGCCAACAATCCTCACCAGGCTAAAACTGGGTACTCGGAGACTCAGGTTTTCTGCACGCATAGTCAGCGTCTCAGTCACAAGTGGAATACCTTCTAGTCCAGACACTCTACCAAACACTGCCCCCGGAGCATACTTGCCTTGCAGCAAAGCTTACTGGCCACAAAGATCATTGTTCTGGCTTCTGGATCACAGTGCCCATCGTTCTCTGCTCTGCGCTGGAAAATACGGCGAAAAAAGCAGACTCGAAAGGACGATGCTAACGATTTTGCAGGCGTAAGTTCTCTCCCGCGGCGTCCCGATTCATCTCAGGCACGTGCCAGCGCGCCAGTCACGCTCGGCCCCCACATCCGGCAAGGCTTGGCCCTCGCGATTCTGCGCGTAACGCGTGGGACCCCGCTTCGTCCCATCTTGAAATACTTCCGTCTCTATTCTTCTTTCCCCGAACAACTCCACCACCACCACCACCATGGCACCACGGCGGCTGAGTCTCTTTGGCGTCGAGAGTAGCGACAGCGATGACGATGGTTTCGCCCACGTCTCGTCTCGCCGCGCCTCCCAACGCCAGCAGCGTACCACCACCACCCCTACCTCCAAGCTCGTCTTGCCCCCAGACTTCAGCGAGATCGACTTTACCGACGACGAGCGCATGGGAGACTTACGTGAGAAACCAGACCTCCCCGCCGACATTCTCCGCCCACGTCCGTACGAGGACGTAGCCATCTGCGACGACACCGCCATCATCCCCGCCCCGATCGCCCAATACCTCAAGCTATACCAGATCGAGGGCGCTGAGTTCCTCTTCGAGAAATATATGCATCAATCAGGCGCTATCCTTGGTGACGATATGGGACTTGGAAAGACCATCCAGGTCATTGCCTTCATGACAGCAGCGTTCGGCAAGACGGGCGACGAGAGAGACGCAAAACGCATGCGGAAGATGCGGAAAGAAGGCGAATTCTACCCGAAAGTCCTCATCATCTGCCCCTCGGCACTCATGGCAAACTGGGCGAACGAGCTAGATCGCTGGGGCTGGTGGAAGGTCTACAAGTACCACGGCAACCCTGCGGCGAAGGAAGAGGCTCTCTCAGCGGCCGAGAAAGGCCGACTCGAAGTCATGATCACCACGTACACCACCTACAAGAACAACCAGGATACTATCAACGACATTGACTGGGACTGTGTAGTCGCAGATGAGTGCCACACCTTCAAAGAGAGAAAGTCAGAGACGTGCAAGGCCATGAACAACCTGAACGCATTCTGCCGCATAGGCTTGAGTGGCACTGCTATCCAGAACAAATACGAGGAACTGTGGACACTCCTGAACTGGACGAATCCCGGCGCTCTTGGACCCATCTCGCAATGGAAATCGAGCATCTGCGTACCACTGAAGATTGGCCAGAGCCATGACGCTACATACTCTCAACTCGCCAAAGCCCGTCGCATTGCCACCAAGCTGGCCAAACATCTCCTTCCCCGATTCTTCATCCGCCGCACGAAGGCGCTCATTGCACATCAACTCCCAAAGAAGAGCGACAGAGTCATCTTCTGCCCTTTGACAGAGAAGCAGGCCGAGGCCTACAACAACTTCTGCGACTCGGAGCTTCTGCACGTTATCCGCGACTCTTCAACACCCTGCGACTGCGGCTCCGGAAAGAAGTCTGGATACTGCTGCTATGGAGATGTCGACGATTTTGGCCCATGGAAGAACCAAGTCTTTCCCGTTCTGCACACTCTCCAAAAGCTGTCGAATCATCTCGGACTGCTTCTCCCCTCCGGGACAGCCGATCCAGAGAAGCATGAGAAAGAACTGCAGAGACTTAAGCTCGCAGTGCCTAATGATTGGAAGAGACTCTACGAACAGCGAGACAACCTCAACACATTCGCCAACGCTGAGTTCTGTGGCAAGTGGAAGGTACTGAAGCGGCTGCTCGATCTCTGGCATAAGAACGGCGACAAAGTCTTAATCTTCTCACATTCAACACGACTACTGAAGATGCTTCACAAGCTCTTCCAATTCACCGCCGGCTACAACCTCTCTTACCTTGACGGAAGCATGCAATTGGACGACCGCCAGAACGTAGTCGATGAGTTTAATACTGATCCATCGTCGTTCGCATTCCTTATATCCACCAAGGCAGGCGGCGTCGGACTCAATATCACAAGCGCAAACAAGGTCGTTGTTGTGGATCCAAACTGGAATCCAGCATGGGACCAGCAAGCACAGGATCGAGCATACCGCATCGGCCAAACTCGAGATGTCGAAGTCTTCAGACTCATCTCAGTCGGTACCGTCGAAGAGATCGTGTATGCCAGACAGATCTACAAGCAACAGCAAGCCAACATCGGATACAATGCATCAGTCGAGCGACGCTACTTCAAGGGCGTGCAGGACCAGAAGGATCAGAAGGGAGAGATCTTCGGCCTGTCGAATCTGTTTGCACCGATGAAAGAGAATGTGGTACTTAGAGACATTGTCAACAAGACCAATGTCGCAGAATCAAGAGCAGGCTATGAAATCGCCGGCCTTGACCTCGAAGCGAGCCAAGAAGATGGCGACTCACTCGCACTTCTGGACGTAGACGACCCAAATGCAGCAATGAGCCAACTGGCCGCTGACATCATTGACGAACCAGGAGCGAAGCGCAAACTCGCAAAGGAGCTGGCGAAGAAGCAGGATCCTGTACAGGCCATTCTCGCATCAGCAGGGGTCGAATACTCGCACGAGAATGCGGAGGTGATTGGAACGTCGAAGATTGAGACGAGGATTTCCAGCCGAGCACAGAAAGCCGGCAACGACACAGACCACATCAACGAACTCGCATTTGCGAGAGGAGGCTCCCAGGTGGAGGCCCCACTGACTGATAGATCACGGAACGAAATCGCAGACGATGATGCTGTCGACATGGAGGACGGACTGGGCAAGATCCGGTACAAGTTCCATCCACCCCTTGACGTCCGCAAGCGGCAGTTTTGCACCATGGCGAAGCAGTTCGGATACGACGACATCGCGGAGTTTGGGATGGTGGTTGAGGGGTGGACGCAGGAGCAGCGGCGAGACTGCCTCGAGAAGTTCTATCTTGGGCGGCGGGCGAAGCTGGCCGAGAAGGCTGGGTGATGATTATGAGACATGACTTTTTACGATGAGATACCCTTGGTTTTGATTGCGTTGAGCGAGCGATTAGCATGAGATACCCACTTTAGCGAGAGCGAGATACGATACTGCCCCGATGATTATGGGCCTGAATAATGAGCGAGAACACTCTTTGATGATGATATGTCTTCCCCTTACTGTTTCATATCCCCTTCTATGATGCTCCCAACCCTCCCGAGTAGAAGTAGTTGTCTATATAGTCCACATCGTCGTCGCCACCCTCTTGTCCTCTCTCACAAACCTATCGAGTACACTCCGTCCAAGTCTACATCAACTTTCCATCAAACCAGCTTCAAAACACACCAACGACGATACCAAGACCAAATCCTCCCCAAACTACTCCAAACTTCATACACATTCCCTCACAACCACTATCTACCAATTGCAAACCTCAAACATACATCTAATCCCATCAGAGGCTATATCATCGCCGTCCTGATCATGGAAGTCTAACCCCAGAAAAACCCTAACGCTAGTGCGGAGGTTTGTCGGGAGAGTGAGCTCTGGATTTTTGGGGCTTCAGTATGGAGTTTGCAGTGTTTCAAGTTGGAAAGACCTCGTTGGAATTTCCATGTCTACGGGAATCGATGTTCGAGAGGCGAAGGTTGTGAGAAGGGATGTCGTTGGAAACATGAAGGGAAGAAGAGAGGGAGTGATTTGATTGGCTGGATGGAGTGGCAAAAGTGGGCGAGATGTTTTGGGAGAAGTTGGACTTCATGTGATGTCTAGAGAGCAAAGCCTCCAAGCCGACTATCAGGGTCAAGTTGGACCGACCTGGTGATATTGGAGATTCGTCAATTAGCTGTGCTCGTCGACAGACAACCGATCTGCGAGCTAGATCGTCGAAGGCTCCTGAGATCGTCGGGGAAACGTTGTTCCATGCCGATGTGTGAGAACGAGGCCGTTCTGGAAGATATCAACGACGATATCTCTTGTCACTGCTAGTTTCGAAGGCCGTGAGTAATCCAAAGAATAACTCCAATGCCTCGGTAGCTTCCAAAATCCTCGTAGCACCGTAAGCCTGCCCCAGCCTCGCCTCCTCTTCGTCTTCATCCCAAAACCATGCATCGGCCCGAACACTCAGACCCACCCACACAGCTCCAATTTGCTCACCATGATGTACAGACAGGCGCAACCCGTGCTCAACAATACGCCTGGTGAGGTGGCCGAGTGGTTATGGCGCTAGTTTCAGGCAGAACACTGCAAACTGTGCTGAAGATTGGATTACTAGTGGAGCAATCCTGTAAGATTCGACGCTCAAACCTGCAGATATGAGCATAAAGCTAACGCCAATTGTAGCGTGGGTTCGAGTCCCACCCTCATCATCATTGAGACGTACTTTTTGCTCTTTTCAAGGGCTGGAGATTTTTTTGAGGTTGTTTGGGGTGATATGATGAGATGGGTGGGAGGGAACGTTTTGCTCGCGGCAGCAGTGTGTGGAGGGGCGAGAGGGAGTGTGTTGGTGCTGCGGGACGTGCTCGAGGCCGGCGTAGGAGCGTCGAGTCTGTGGGATTATAAGGTTGGGGGAAAGTAATATAGCTGTGAATGTTGGACTCGAGGCGTAGGAACGTTTTGTTCTCGGTAAATCTGAATGTAGCGAGCTTGCGGCAGCTTGGTAATGCTGTACAACGAACGAAGAAAGTAGACAAACTCTGTAGACACAAGCATATGGGGTAAGGATGCAAATAGGACTGTATATGTCGATATCAAGGAGTTTGACTGTTTCTGCGGACAACGAGATCATCTGCCAGAGACTGTGAAGCTACACATGGCGGCGTGGGCGTATGAAGATACGCCAGCGTAGGCGTGCCGAATGTGAATGTTTGACCATTCGTTATGTGGGCGTGTTGTGCTGATGCTGCGAATATTGAAGCATCATCGAAGGAAGCCATTGCCAGGCCAGAGACTGACGCTCAAGTCAGGCTGATGAAAGAGAGGGAAACTGTATTTTGCATTGAATTTTAGCTTTGATCTTCAAGGATCAATCCATAGGACAGGACTGTGGGATTGCGTGCATATTGCTGCCGCAGGCCAAAGGCTGATGCTTCGTCCTGAAATGATGCACTGCTCGGTCAAGCGTGGGTTGGACAGTCCAAGTAGGATACCGGTTGTACATCCGCGCCTGACGTACATTGGTGTACTATTGCAGTCTCCAGTCGAGTCCTTGTACCCGCGTGGGGGCATCCAGCGAAAGCATATATACTTGGGCTGCAGCTGCCATTGTCGAAGGTCTTTTCGTCTGAGAAGTTCGGTCTCCGTTACCTCACGCGGACACATGCTTCCTCGGAACGTTGTCGCAGAGGCTGAAAAGCCGAATGGGTCCGTTGAAGAGATGGGCTTTACGATGTGAAGGCCAAACGTGGGCTCGTTTTCAGCTAAGATGCAGTCTGCATGCAGGCGTCGCTTCAATCATGTGGCCCTGTCACTCCTGAATGTATTCTGTTATCCTGGATCCGCACACATTGCATCCCAGCGATGTCTTTGATGGTGTTTGAGAACGTGGAGAGGAAACAACGTCCATCTCAATGCCAAGCATACAACGGCGGGCAGCTGTAGCCGAGCTTCCTCTTTTCGGCCGGATCCGAGAGCACAACGCTGGACGAACTCTGACAAAACACCCGCCAAAGATCCATCTCGTCGAAAACTCTTCTTCCTCCGTCTCCACCGCAATATTGGCCTTGCAGCGCTTAACAAACGTCCGCCCGGTCGAGACGTTGTCCCTGCTCCAGCACGGCGGCTACCCAGAGCAGCTGCCAGCCACCTTTCGCGAGAGGTACAGTAGCGAGCGCTTCTTATCGAGAAGAGACCAGGAATTTTCTGTTCTTATCAGTGCCCTCTCTCCCATTGCCATTTCTTCATTGGCCCGCTCTCTTGCGTGCTTGTGCTACTATCAATTCGCAGAAAGAGGCGTCTCTACAAGAGTTTCGACTTTCTAACATTACCACTGTCCTGGAAGAACCGCGGTACGGGTGCGACTTTATCGTTCCGAACATCTCCAAAGCTACTGCAGTGGGGTCACGAGTTCCATACACCTCCACCCTCTGGCGTTCATACTACACCCGCGACCTCTGAGCTCGAGAGCTCTCGTTTCCGACCATCATGGCCATGTACGAGCGTCGAGGCTCGATAGAGTCCTTTGCCCGGTCACGGACGGCATCACCGACGGGTTCTGAGAGGAGGAAGCTGTCGTTCAATCCACTTGCGGAATGGGATCCCCCGGCGGCTGAACAACCACCTCCCGTTCCGGCGTTCGAAGTCAGCAAGGCGAAGAGGATAGCGCAGGTTGTGATTGCGGTGATATACTGCTTGCTGGCAGCTGGGATCGTATTCGGATTTGCTGCGATCAAGCCGGTGTTCGTTGCTGAAGGTGTCTACAAGGACAAGTGCACGAAGAAAGAGCTGGAAGATGGGGTTTGGGTATGCTATGAACAAGAGCTGCGGTTGAACTTGATGTTCACCATCGCTGCTGTAAGCACGAACGTCTGCGCTCTGCCAGTCGGCACGGTGCTCGATCGTTACGGACCTCGAGTTGCGAGCATCATTGGATGTGTCTGCCTGGCAGTGGGATCTCTTCTTCTTGCATTCGCGAAGGATATCCCAGGTGATGCATACATTCCCGGATATTTGTTCCTCGCGCTCGGCGGACCGTTCGTCTTCATCTCATCCTTCCAGCTCAGCAATACTTTCCCACAACACTCTGGCCTCATCCTTGCCCTTCTGACCGGCGCCTTCGATACCAGCAGTGCTCTCTCTTTCTCATCTATCGACTCATCTACCAAGGCACGAATGGTTCCTTCGACACGAGGAAGTTCTTCCTCATCTACTTGATCGTGCCTGTTCTTACCCTCATCGTCCAGCTTGTCGTCATGCCGGCGAAGTCCTACAAGAGTGTAGGCGAGCTGGTGAAACAAGTTGAGGATACGCAGAATGATATTTCAAGAACGAACGGCATCGGCGAGGAGCATGTCCAGAACGCAAGACAGGAACACTACGACAATATTGCTACGGAGGTCAGCGAGCTCCTGGGATCCAAGTCGGGCGACAAGCACGCCAGGCAGGAGGAAGACAAAGCTCGGCGAAGCGGCGTTTGGGGAGCGCTGCACGGCAAGACTGCCCTTCAGCAGATTCTGAGTCCTTGGTGGGTGCTCATCACCGTCTTCACGATGGTGCAGATGCTGAGGATCAACTACTTTGTGGCGACTGTCAGGACTCAATACACCGAGATGCTGGGGTCGCACTCCAAGGCAGTCACCGTCAACGAGTTCTTCGACGTTGCTCTGCCGCTCGGCGGAGTGGTCGCAATCCCCTTTATCGGCCTCGTTCTCGACCACACCAGCACGCCATTCGTACTCGCAATGCTCGTCTCCATCGCCACGGCTATTGGAGTGTTTGGGCTGGTGCCTGAGATGTGGGCGGCATACATCAACATCATCCTCTTCGTCCTTTACCGGCCTTTCTACTATACCGCCGTTTCCGACTACAGCGCCAAAGTATTTGGGTTCGATACTTTTGGCAAGGTCTATGGCCTGATCATCTGCTCGGCTGGCCTCTTCAACTTCGCCCAAGCCGGCCTGGACGCCCTGACACATGTCACCTTCCACAACAACCCGATCCCTGTCAACGCAATACTACTGGGTGTTGCTTTCATTGTGGGCAGCGTACTTGTCGGCTTTGTGTACCGCAAGAGTGTGACGCTGGAGAAGGATATGCTCAGAGAGGAAGCGGACGAGGCGACCGAGCGGCTGATGCCAGGGGCAAATGGAGCCCAGGTCAACCGACCACATGGACACGAGACATACGGAACGGAGTGATAAAGCGCTAATTTTGATGTATTCACATTTGCATAGCGACAGGCAAGGCTTGTGGGCGACAACAAAAGTGTGGGTTTCCTGATCTTCAGCAAGGCGTTGGTGGTATCGAGCGTTTGGCCATGTCTATATCGATCAAGTACGTACACATGATCTTGCATCAAGAATCTCTAATCCAGCAGACAAAGAACAGAGCGAAGTTCTGGCTCATCGACCTCAATATCTGAGGTCTGTCTTTATCTCGACCAATCCAGTCACGTGATGCGAGAATCTGCTCGGCGGCTGCGGCCGAAGCTCCGAGCTCTGCTGGCGAATCACGAATTTCGGGAAAGAGACCCTGAAACGAAGACTTCACGTCTTCGGCCGTCTATTGTCGGACCTGCGCAACATGTCGTCCTCACAAGCGCCGACGCGAACGCCGTCGATTGGCCCAGGTGCCGTGGAATCATCGCTCAGAATACACCACAACCAGGTTTCTGCCCGGGCGAGACGTTTCCAGCAGAGAGGGCAGACGCTCGTACAAGCGTGTCGACGGCTTCACGACAATCTACACCCGACCGCACCCACTCTGTAGCCCCGGCCTGTCAAGCTGTCAGGGCGAGATGTTTGGCTGCTCATGCGCTACGAGGGCAAAAGCAGTGTTTCGCGACAATTTGGGCCAGACTCGCTGTGTTGCCCGGCGCAAGTGCAAACGCAGCTTCACGAAAGCAGCACGTGACACTGCGACGACGACAAACGCTGCCATAACACGGTGAAAATGGACGAGTATCACTTCCTGCTGTCTCTTTCCTCACTCTAGCCAGCTGCGTGTCTTTGTTCTTGTGCGTCGTGCGTCTTTGTGTCTTTCACCCGCGGACAATGCCGGGCTTCCTTTCATGTACATAACCCTATTGTCCTCACTTCTATTGTCCTCGCCATTGTCCCGCGCCGGCGCACCCACGCTCATTGTCGCGATCAGAAGAATAAGACCACCGCGGATCCACCTGGCAAACGAGAACCTTCTCTTCGTGCGTTCATCACAACACCTTCACGACAGCGAGACAACCAACTCGAAACAACCATCCTTCAACACCGCGAAGTCGGCCGGACCAGCTTCACGAACGCATCACACTCCTTCACCACCACACCGCTGTCGGTTCAAAAACCCACAACTCTTCGAAGCAGGCCTTCAACCACAAGCTCTTCAGCAACACCACATCTTCAGCAACGACTACGATATCAGATATGTCGTCCTTCGCCAAGATGATCTCCCTCGCAGCGCTAGTCGCTACCCTCCTTCCATTCACTTCAGCCCACAGCTGGGTTGAGGAGTACCAAGTCATTCAACCTGACGGCTCATACGTCGGCGCCCGTGGCTACTCTCGTGGCTACCTCTCCCGAACCGACCCAGGCTACAACGGCAACAGCTTGATGTGGATGCTACCAGGCCTTAGTGCCCGCAACACTGACGGCACCACTCGTGTGCGCATCGACAGCTCTGACCCCATCTGCCACCCAGCTCAAAGGACCTCCAACTACACCTCCGAGTACCCCAAACTCAAGGTTCAGCCTGGTGACTATGTCGCTATGAAGTACCTCGAGAACGGCCACGTCTCACTTCCATGGAACATCACCGGCAAGCCCCCAGGCACCGGCACTGTCTTCGTTTTTGGCACCACTCAAGCTTCCGATGATGAGAAGATTGTCGATGTCATGAACTGGAACAAGGACGGCTCAGGTGGCAACAAGAAGGGTTTCCTCATGACCGCTCAGAACTTCGATGACGGCCGCTGCACTCAGATCAACTGCGGCAACATCTCCGCTCAGCGCCAGATGCTCGAGCCAAACCACGTCGCTGGTCAGCCTTCCTCGACCATTGAGTCCTGGTGTGAGACCGACCTCAAGATCCCCGAGAATGTCAAGGCTGGCACTCTCACCACCTACTGGGTCTGGCAATGGCCAACGGAGCCCAACCGAGACTGCAACACACCCGCCGGCAAAGATGAGTACTACACCACCTGCGCCGACTTTGACGTTGTCGACTCCGGCGGCACCTCCAACAAAGCCGCAGCTCCCTTCTCCGCCTCCGCCGGCGAGAACCCCCAATCCGTTGCAGTCAAGACCTTCAAGTCTCGCACGGCGTACACCAACCAACCCACCTTCGTCGCCATGTCGAACAACAAGCTCGTCGGCGACCTCGCCACCGTCAACAAGGCCTTCGTCAGCTCCTGCAGCACCCAAGCTAGCGTCATCTCCGCCAACAATCTCGGCATGTGGCCTCAAGTCTACGTCCCCAACACCTGCGACGTCGTCTCCACCTTCGGCCCCGCCGCTGCTTCTGCCGCCGCTGCCAAATTCGGCCAGGCTGCGAGCTCATACTCCGCACAAGCCACCGCCGCATGGAGTGCCGCATTCGCCAAAGCTAACATGGCCGTCCCCTCCCGCGCTCCATGGTCCCGAGCCCCACAGACCGGCGGTGCGCAGATGACCGCCACGAGCGCACCAGCAGCAACATCAGCTCCAAGCAACTACTCAGCACCCGCCGCCGCGCCCTCCGCAGCACCCTCATCCTCTTCAGCCGCTGCCGCACCACCAGCACCAGCCCCTTCAAACGGCGCAATCACCTCCCTCTACACCGTCACCACAATCCTCACCCTCACATCCACCCTCCCACCAGGCCAAGCCGCGCCCTCTCAACCGGCTGCTCCCGCCGCACCAGCAGACACCCTCTCAACCATCACGACCGTCGGCTCCGCCGCCGCTGCGATTCCCTCGATCGCGGGCAATGGCACGTTAGCATACAGACGGCATGCGAGGGATGTTACTTGCTAAGCGTGCGAGTCGCATGGAAAGGGAGAGGATTGTGTGGGAGGCATGAATGATTGTATGGAGTTTTATGGTTATGGACATGGGTATATGAACACATTGGGCGGCGTTTTTTGGTTTTTGCATGGGCATGGATCGGACTTTCTGGGGGGAACGGAATGGGTGATACCCAAGACAGTATGCTTGCTTGCTTGCTTGCTTTGAGAGCGAGACATTAGCAGATCAGATCAGATCAGATAGACAGGCGGAAAGGACCCCGTTTGCGAAACATTTCAGTTCTTGACAGTCCGTCTCTCATTCTCACGTTTCACGTCGTGATGTCGTGATGTAGCACTCCTTTATCGAAACCCATACCTCAGCCCTCCAAAGAGCGTCTCCACCCTTGGCCTTCACATGTAGAAAGAAACAAAGAAAAAGAAGCGATCTCGAAGTCAGAATAAGTATTTCATTTCAGCCCCATGTCCCAGGCTCTGCAAAGCTACCCTTTTCTCGCAGGAGCCATTGTTTTCGCCAGCTGAGAAAGCGCCAGGCGCCAAGGCTATGCACATCAAAACGAAACTCGTCTCAGGCCCAAGCCCCAGCCCCATCCATGCCCTTTGTTCTAACCTACAAGTCCTCATCCATAGCATCGCCTCCAGGCGGGTGGCCATTCGCGGCAGCGTTGCCATTCACACCCTTGCCGTTCAGACCGCTGCCCAGACTGTCGGTAGGTGCGGCGGGCACACTGGCCTCCTTGTCGATCATCTGCCGGCTCACGCTGACGATGTTGTCCTCGATGAGCTCCTGGCCGACGCTCTCGATGTGCTTCTTGGGATCCACCTTTCCAACGTATCGTGTTCGCAGTTGCTCCTTCGTCAACTCTGTCTCCTCCTTGACTCTCTTCTCGTAGCCTTCGGCCAATGACACCAGCTTCTTCAGGTTGGCCTCATTCCTCGTACCCTCGGCGGCGAAGTCGGGCATGGTCAGGGCTTCGGTCCAGACAGTCTTGTGCAGATTCATGAGCATGCCCTCCTCGAGAGCAGACTTGCGGTAGCCGATGCCGATGCTGTAGTAGTGCCGGTTGAGGCCGTGGATAAGGGCTTGTATGCTGGGCTTGTTGAGGTGGCCCAAGTTGGAAGTGGTCTGGCGAGGCTCCTGGCCGAGCATGAGGGTCTGAGGGTTGATGAGTCGGAAAGCGTCGATGACGACCTTGCCCTTGACGGATTGGATGGGATCGATGACCACGGCGACGGCGCGAGGGGTGAGCTGCTCGAACGACTGCTGGGTGTTGATGTCGACAGCCGAGAGCCAGCAGCCGAAACCTGGATGTGAGTGGTACCAGCCGACGACAGTCTCTGGTCTGCAAACAATCAGCATTTGCCTCAAAGTATTCGCAATGGTGTAACTGACCGTCCCGTCTGCTTCAGCATGTCCATCATCTTGGTCTGGAAGACTGGATCTACAGCTTCGACTGAGACACCAGTTCCTGACTGTGGCATGGCAAACACATCCACCACTCGTACGGTGTAGTCATCGACGAACTCTCCCAACATCAGACCCATGACTTCCATGGGCACACCGGCTCGGCCATGCCGCAGCATCTTGAGGAGAGCGAGCGAGGAGATGTAGACGGTTTCGGCGTTGTCGATGATGTTGGTGTCCTATGAAATGATCGTATCAGCATTTTGTTTTGGTATCGCCATGTGTGATGTGAGCTTCAAAGCAACGATACTCCGACGGAGGTCCAGGAAGCAGCTTGAGCAAACGCAGTCTTCGCCAGTCGATGTTCGGCTTTGGTCACATCAAGCCCGTCGTAATATCGCAAGCTCCTTTCCCACTCTTCCACCGCATGGACGGCATCGATGAAGTTTTCACACGGCCATCGTGGAGGATAGTGGATTTCCGGGATGGAGCGCAGGACATCGACCCAATCCATATCACTTGTCGTAGATCTCTGGTCCTCGTCTTCCGGAGAAGTCTCATGCCCATCATTTGACCTCATACTATCTCTTGAAGAATTGCTAGCTGGCGACATCTCTTTCGCTTCTGTCCTGGCCGTGTTGATTGCGGTAGATGGGCGTTGCGTTGTCCAGTCCAGCAAGTACATCTCGGACCATGGTGGAGGTTGGAAAGTGCTATACAGATGAGTCTTACCTGAGCAGGAGGAGCACCACCACCGCCCATGGCCTGGGCGGCAGCGAGCATTCGCGATAACCGGTCCGACATGGCTGGAGATGTGGAGGGTGAGGATGGAGGTGATGGAGATGGAGGTGCTCAGTCGGCGCTCGCTCGCTTGTCGTCGCAAGCACGTGGGGGCCGTTTAGCGAGAGTTCAGCTTAATTCGAGGTGGTGGTCGGAGGAAGGTGCGGTCGACAGTGGTGAAGATGCAGATGTCGTTTTGGTGGTGAAAGGTGCAGATGAGGCAGGCAGATGGCAACGCGACATCAGATGCGCCTTCCCAAGCTCCGACATCCAGCAGCGCCAAGCTTCGATCATCGCTCTGAATACAGCAGGTGTGCCGAGCGTGCCTGCCATCTCCAGCTTTGCGAGCATGTGCGAGTCTCTTCCATTCCTCCACCTCCATATCCAGACCACCTCTGCGCAGACTGGCGCATATGGTTTGACTCCACTCAACTATCGACCGAATCCGTAAAAAACCATCGAGACATCATATACGAACCCGTAACTCAACCGAAACAACAACCAGGCATCGCGCCTACGATACCACCCACGAATACCTCTCCGATCCGCTGAACGTCGCCTGCCATGCCCATGCCTCAGGGCACATACACCCCCCTTGATGCCCCTGGCACTGGCATCAACGCCGCCCCATCACAGCCCAAGAAAGTCGCCTACTTCTATGACAGCGATGTCGGCAACTACGCATATAATGCTGGTCACCCCATGAAGCCCCATCGAATTCGGATGGCCCATTCGCTGATCATGAACTACGGCCTGTACAAGAAGCTGGAGATCTACCGCGCAAAACCAGCATCAAAGTACGAAATGACTCAATTTCACACCGACGAATACGTCGACTTCCTCCAGCGCGTGACCCCCGACAACATGGACAACTTCATGAAAGAGCAAGGTCGCTACAACGTCGGAGACGATTGTCCCGTGTTCGATGGCTTGTTCGAGTTCTGTGGGATCAGTGCTGGTGGGTCCATGGAGGGCGCTGCAAGACTGAATCGAGGGAAATGCGACGTTGCGGTCAACTGGGCTGGCGGACTGCATCACGCGAAAAAGAGCGAGGCGTCAGGGTTCTGCTACATCAACGGTAAGTACATGGAAAAGAAAGGATCGAACCACAAAAGCTAACTTCTTTGTCAGACATCGTTCTCGGCATCCTCGAACTCCTGCGATTCCACCCTCGAGTGCTCTACATCGACATCGACGTTCACCACGGCGACGGCGTCGAAGAAGCCTTCTACTCTACCGATCGCGTCATGACCGTATCCTTCCACAAATACGGAGAGTACTTCCCCGGTACTGGCGAGTTGAGGGATATCGGTGTCGGCGCTGGTAAGCACTACGCTGTGAACTTCCCTCTTCGAGATGGCATCGACGACAACAGCTACAAGAGCCTCTTCGAGCCCACCATCCAATGGGTCATGGACTACTACCAGCCGACTGCCGTGGTTCTTCAATGCGGTGGCGACTCGCTCTCAGGAGACAGACTCGGCTGCTTCAACCTCAGCATGCGGGGTCATGCCAACTGTGTCAACTTCGTCAAGTCGTTCGGCAAGCCAACGCTCGTCCTCGGTGGCGGTGGATACACCATGCGCAATGTTGCCCGAACATGGGCATACGAGACAGGTCAGCTGGTAGGCGTGGAGATGGGCCCAGATCTTCCCTTTACCGACTACTATGAATACTACTCACCAGACTTCGAGCTGGATGTCAAGCCCAGTAATATGGATAATGCCAATTCGCCCGAATATCTCGAGAAGATCAAAGCCCAGGTTCTGGAGAACCTCAAGCGAACTTCGCCTCACGCACCATCTGTTCAGATGCAAGACGTCCCACGCGAACCACTTGGCATGTCAGCATCTGGTCCTGACGGCGAGGGCGAGACACTGGACGAGCAAGACGATCGCCTGGACGATGAAGAAGCCGATGCAGAAGCGAACAAAGATCGGCGGTATACTGCTCGCCAATGGGACAGCAAGATCACGCGAGACGAGGAATTCGACGAAAGCGATGATGAGGAGATGGCAGAGGCGAATGGTGTCAGACAGCAACCAGGACGGCCAAAGCGGAGAGGCATCATGGACTTCCAGAACCCACACGCACCGGTAGATGACAGCGGTAACAATACCCCCATGGAGGATGATGCCCGAAGTCTGAATGGTGATGCGGAGAACGGACATACTGAGGACGTGCCAATGCAGACGGATGGCGCTGCCGATGCAGTGGAGGCGAACGCCGCTGTGGTTGAGGAGGTGATGGCAGCAAAGGCAAGCAAGAGCCCATCAGCCCCAGCACCAGGTCTCGAGGCTCTTGCACAAGCATCAGGCGCAAAATCTGAGCTGGCCAGTAACCGCAGCGAGGCCGGCGTCGAGACCGCAGAGGATCGGGAAGGCCCATCTTCTGGAGACGCCGACGACGAGATGCAAATCGACTCGAAGGAAACCCCAGCGGCACCTGCTGCTGCACCTGCACCTCCCGCCGAGCCCGAAGCCGCCCCTCAAACAACCACCCCACCCAAATCACCAGCCGCGCCCGTCCCCAAGACCGAAGAGCCCGAAGACGTCGTGATGGCAGAAGAAGTCGCCGCCGAGAAGGAAGCCGAGAAGGAGGAAGGCCTTCGGGAACGAGAAGTCGAGGATGCCAAGGGCGAGGCGACCACCGAGATGGAGGGCGGTGGGCACAACATCGGCGGCGGACCGGCGGTATAGTGGAAGCCGGCGTGGTGGTGATGAACGTTGAACGGGATGTATCAGTGAGGGCACGGATTCGAGGGCATTAGCGACGGCGTGGGAGGCGTTCTGTTGTTTTATCACTCACTGTGGACTTGGAAGGTCCTGGTATAGGTTAGGTGCTCTGTATTAGTGTATCGTTTTTTTTTTGGAAATTTGGTTCGTTGGAATTGTGTTTCAGTTCCTGGAGTGGATGGACTGTCCATCGGTTGGCCATCCTCGCTCTTCCTCTCTTCGTCCCGTTCTGATCGATGTTTGTTCCAGTGCGATGGATTTGATGGACTCGTAGGCGTGGATCGTTCCCTCCACCAAACTTCTCCAGCTCGGATGTTACGTCGTTCCGTTCCTCGACTCAACATGTGCCAAGCGATGCATTTGGCGAACTAAATTCTGGAACGTCGAGGGATTGCCCCATGGGCAGGATGACTGGTGCTGTTGGAATATGCATCAGCTGGAATGGCGAGAGAAATCTGAATCCATCGCCACCCGCTCTAAGAGACGTACTCTTTCCGCCTCACCATTCCACTCCGGCACCGATACACACATCCATCTATCTATAATCACCGTGCTCCCGATTCCCTGTCAATTCCACGCCATAAAATCAGAAAGCACGAGGTAAACTAGGATTCTGGATACTCGGATCGAATCTTATGGTTTGCTTCGGTGTTGAGATCTCTGCGTGCGCGGATCATGATACTTCTTCCTGTGTCTTGTGTCCTTTTGGTGAGGATGGGGTTGAGGTGATGGTGGATGGGTGGGATTGATGTGCGGAGGGGTTTGTTGGGTGTGTGGGATTGATGTGGGCACGGGTTTGTTGGATGTGGTATGGTGATGTTTTAATGAGTGCCTAAATGTATGATGTGAAGAGGGTGCAGGCTCCTAACGCTCCAGTCCTGTAAGAGGTTGGTATTGTGGGGAACAGGGCTGGGTAATAGGGGGAGTTGTAGCGTTGCCTGTGTGAGGCTTGGACATGCGGTATTACGTGCTTGATGCTATCCGAGGCAGTGATATGGGTGAGATCGTGGATTTTGGTATGAGATTCTGTGGAGTATGAGTTGCTTCGAGACACTCTGTTCAATTTGAATGGCCAAAGCGCGGCCTCTGCTTCCACAACTCTAGAGCCACCAATGATCACCCGGTACCACTTCCAAGCCTCGCTCTTCATCCTCTCTCCTCCGTCTCAAGTTTGCAAGGTAGATCCCTTGATGCCGGCATTTTGGAAACTGCTCACAGAAGGGGTAGTACTCGTGCCACTTGCACATTGCATAATCTAGAAGGTTTTCGTTCTTTAGGGTGTAGAACTTGACGTAAACTTCACTTGCGACCTGCCATAGCGCGGCATTGTGAAACCGTGGACCGCATTGCGCCGGATATTCCCCATGTATGCGGGTGAATTCCTGAACTTTCTCCACCAGATCCAAAAGCTGCTTGAAGTCTAGCCTCGTGGGTGCGTAGGACGGCAGGCGATTGCAACACCTCTCGTCCTCACAGCCATCGTATGGCCTTGGCGGCCAAGGACATTCAATACCATTCTGACGGTTCCATCTAGTGTGCTCGCTACAGTATCGAAGACCTCCTGCGAGGAGTCTTGATCTTTCATTATACGCCTGTACCAAGCTACGTGGCTCACTGGTTATCCGTCGAAGGCCGATCACCTTTGGAGGGCCCGGTATCTTGTGGTCGTGGTTATCATCATAGATATTCTGGGGTCTTTGATGCCGGGTTATAGTTCGTCTGTCTCTTTGTGGCCACCAACTCCACGTCCTTCCTGATCCTCCGAGTTGAGGCGATAGTTCCATTAGCCAAGGGTCTTTTAGTGCGATTTTCCGTGCGATTTTCCGTGCAGAGATGCTCTCGGCCCAAAAGTCATCGTGCTCCGAGTGATCACCTCTTGGTTCCCAGCAGATGGCCTGTGGCACATGTGGCGAAACTGGCCAGGCTCCTGGTGCTATCTCTCGCTTTTGGTAAAGTACAATCTGGGCGATATATTGTCCTTGCCAAGCGCTAGTCAGCTTGTCTTGACAAACACCGCTGAGTCCGATTTCAGGTCCAAAAGTGGCGTGTGGATACACCGTATGACTCAACTTTTTCCAGATAGCCATCTCCCGCTCTAGGAATTGGTGAAGCACAATGCCGGCATCGTTCAAGAGCTCTTGCCAAATGCTCAGCGCTTGCGAAGGACATGTGAAGTACATGCTGAATTCCAAGAATTGCATGAATGGTGTGCTTCCGTGCGCTTGAGCGTGTCCATGGGAGACCAGATTCAACAGTGCAGACCCATTTGTTGTAGCTATTAGTGAAGTAAAGAGCCGAGACCATCCATTGCGATCTGCCCGGATCATTTCGCCTCCATCTGCTCTTGTCGGAAAGCCCATCGCAAAGCCCATCACACCAGCGATGAGATGGAGTACCGACTCTCCTTTGGCAGTGCGCAAGGGCAGTAGGGCTTCAATACCAGTGCCTCCCGAGCACAAGTGAGTGAGTTTAGCTGCATCGAAGCCCTGATGAAGCTGTGACACTATTTGAGAGAAGCTTTCCATCCAGTCTGAACCAGTCCAATGATGATTAAATTCGTCCAAGTTTCGCTGCAGGAGAGGTGGATCAGCCACCACAAAGTATAGAGTAGCGTCCATGATTGGTCAAGTATGTCGATCTCATAGAGTTCCACAAGCTCATTGAAAAAGCCTCCGGAATGGTCGACCTCTCTCTCAACAAAGTAATGATAGAAGCGGCGGTATCCTGCAATCATCTCTGCGGTCAAAGCCCGATCGCGCATCGCCATGTGGGACAATATTGTAGAGTACATCTCGTCTGACAGGCTTGCAGCGCCGTCCTAAAGGTGCGCAAAGTCAGCTAGGCTTGACATCAATCACTGTCACGTACCTCTAGAAAGCACAGCCGTTCCACGTGGACCCATGCATTGATCTTGCTGTCGTAAGGCGACGCTTTGCCTTCCCGGAAGAGTCTTTGCACTGCCATCGTATCTCCCTTCAGAACATAATAGAATACAAGGCTGTCGTCTGGGATTATATTGTCGCATTGGAAACACATTTCCCAGCCTCGATAGGACCGCCGCAAGGAAAAATCCCAAACAGCTTGTCCGAGTAGCCAGGGAAGCCAAACTTGGAGTCTGAAGACTCGTTTGGAGGAGGTAAACTTTCTGGAGTGGCCTTTGGTAGCGGGAACTGGCTGACGATTATGCCTGGCGAGCTGTGTCTCTGTATGTGACTCATGTTGTTCTTCTCCTTCTCCTACAACACCGCCTAGGAGCTCTGAAGACCCCGCAGGATGTTGAGAATATCCGGTGTGCATAGCCTGAGTCAAGGCAGTTGGGTTGGAATTGATCGAGGCGGCCGGAAATCCTACGGAGAGTAATTGTAGCGCAATGATAAGGTTCGTCTTCGTCCTCTCCATATTCCTGCACAGTGCATTAACATCCGAAAGGCGAAGTGCAGTATAGACACGACCAGGAAGCTTGTATTTCTTCGAGATGCCTTCAATGTCTTGAACGTAGTTGACAATTTTGGCAGCGACGATCTGGCAGTGGTATATGCACTGCAGGAGGGACGGCGAGGGCGTGATCGCGCGCTGTATACGGAAGGCCTCGACATCCTGGAGCAGAAGTGAGAAGAGCTTGATTTCGATCTCGAGCGTGCGCAGTGCCTCGGGGGCCTTTTCGACTTGGTCGCAGAAGCGTTTCAACTTGACGGCGCACTCTGCGAGCTGGAGTCCGAGCGAGATGAGTCCAGCGACACTGGCGACGGCACCGACTTCAGCCATTGCTGGGAAGGACCCGCTATTGGGATGGACATTCCAGAGGTGATTTCGGAAAGGGAGGTCAGGAATTGAGCTGTCGCGAAAGAAAGAAGGCGAGGTATCACGCAGGCGCCTTCCTGCGCAGGCGTCGGGCTGAGCCACAGGCAGGTGCGGTTGAGCTGGCGGCCTCAAGATGGCGGGGTGCTTGCAGAAAGGCTGTCCAATGAAGTTGACGGACTCGCGCTTTTGGCGGCAGGATCGCACCCTTCGTCGGGCTGGACTGCGGTGGACTCTCAAAACTCAAAGTCATTGGTATTCTTCATGACGGAGACAAGAAGCAAGTTATCTATGGACACGCCGTTTGAAGCACCACCAGCGCCGTCGCTAAGTTTCAAGAAAGACCCAAAACCCCCATACAGACCTACGACCTCAGCCACTGATCAAAGTACACGCACTCTTGCGGGTTGACCGGCCCATTCTCATGACAGAGATCGAAGACTGGACACCGACCGCATGGAGCTTGCGTCAAGCCTGTTCCTGGGTGATCCTCGTAGTCGTCCATGGCCGTGCCGGGTGGCCTGAAGGAGACGCCTCGCACAGTCCTGTATCCCCATGCAATGCCATCCCTGTTCGGCACTCGCTCCAGCTTCTCGCCCCAGCATAACACATCGATACAGCCTTGAATCTCTGCAACGGTCAACGAGGCGGCCTTGGTGGGCTTGATGGCGTTGGACTCGGTGAGGAACTTGTGGATGTCTTCTGCAGTTGGGTAGTTGTGTGTTCCAGCTCGATACACCATCTGAGTGAAATCGGTCTCGGGGTCGGGCTTCGCAGATCGGCGGTAGACGTGGGGGCCTGCGTCTTCGATGTCCTCTGCCCGTTTCCTCTTCCTGCTCGACGCCTCATCTGCTGTCAAGACTGGCGATACTGGTCCCTTCTTGCCCTTTTTCTTATTCTCGCTCCAGCTCTGTGTCCGGACCCAGAATACTATCAGGTTCATCAACTCGTCTCTGAAGCTCTCATCCAAGTCTCCACTGTCGAAGAAGCTGTTGCCGGTGACATCCTCGCTCGGCACCAGATGGTACAGCATGTACGTCCTCTGAGCCGGGTTCTTCACACTCTTGATGCTCTTGATCAGGTTCCTCTTCTCCATCTGGTTGAGAGCCTTTGTGACAGTATTCGTAGCCATGTTCGTCTTCTTCCTCAGATCCCTAGACCAGATGCCATTGGTATGCGCTTCTTCGATTATCTCGTACAGTTGCTTATCCTCCCTGTCCAAGGTGACAATCTGCCTTGCCGCCTCCCGCGGTCTTGAGCTCCATCCCACCTTGCCCGCCTGTCGCAGTGTTCTGAAGAGGCCATTGTTGGTGAGGTGCTGAATGAGTGGCATGAGAGCTTTGGCATTGTCGACGCCGGCGAGTTTGAGCAATTCATCTTGGAAGAAGACCTTGCTGCGTACGCCGGTCTCCTCCTCCAGTGAGGATTTATTGACTTGGTCGTAGAGCGCGTCGGCTTCGTTTGCGATTTCGTCTGAGTTCGCCATGGTGGGTGTGTGTGGCGTGCACTGTGAGGTCGGTGTCACCGGTGAGACATGTGTTTGAGGTTTGTGTGGTAGTCGTCTCGTGGTGAGTCGGGTGGTGGTTGTGTGAGTCTGCGAAAAAGATGAGTCGAGGTTGGAGTGAAGCTTGCGAAAGTTCGCCGCCCCGCGTCCCGCTATGCCAAGCTTTGCGTAGCGTTGAGCTAATCGGGTCTTCACATGCTCTCGGCAACCTCACCTATCACATATAAAGGCCGGAGACTCTCATTATGCAGTGAGTCTCAGCAGGCGTTCGACTCGGTGAAGTCTGTCTAACGAGTATAGCTCAAGAATCTTGTTCCACTCTGTCGTATGGCGTGAAGGAAAGCGAATAGGCGTAAATGTACGTGGCTAATACCCACGTGCCCCTTTCTCCATGAGCACTGCCAAACTGTCTACCTAGAGCCAGACCTCCACATTGACTTCCTCAGACTTATTCATATGATCACTGAGGCTGAGTCTCCAACTCCAATCTTCCCATGCCCTCGGCATCCCGACCCGAAATATCGGCTCCGCGGCTCCTCCCGCCAAAATCTCCGAAATCCACATCGCCCCTTTCACGCGCAGACCGGCGGCAGCACAAACCACACCCAAACCTCTCCTCCGTCCCATCCATTCGCCCAAACTCATCGGAAGCCACCGCACCGTCCCGAAGCACGTTTCCCCTTCAAGAGCGTGGAAGATCCACAACTAATCTATATTCAGATTGGATAACAGGGCGGCGCTGTTCGAGAACGGGTCTGTGTAGCGTGTATAAGAGAGAATTTGGCGTTCGCGTTGAGGGTGTGGTGCTGTTGGGGTGGGCTCTGATAGGTGGGTGGGTTGGTTCCGCCGGGAGGGAGTTAACGTGGTAGGTGCATGTGAGAAACGGTTTTCCTTCCTTTCTCTTGTTGTGGAAGCTGTTACTTCCTACTTTCTCGACTTTCGCGACTTCGACTTCACGTCTTTTTGTCTCTTTGCTATTGGGCATTGCACTCCACTCTTTCGTGCAATTGTCCACGTCCGCTCGTTTCTGCTTGTTTAGTCGCTTGTTTTTGGGAGAAACGTTGGGAGTTTAGGAGAGAGGTCCGAGGGCGAAGTTCGAGAAAGACGCCCACGAGATTGCCCGCATTCCAGCACCAACCAGCCCTACAACATTGCCGGGTTCTAGTCCTGTCGCTTGGATCTGTTGACATACGACTGCCGACCTCGACTATTGCGACAAGCACACATTCGAAAGGACAGAAGTCCAACACTAAGAGCTCAGGCCATCCACCACCTCTACCTCAACCAACTACACCCCCTCTCCACCTACCCACAATGTCCGGCGTCCGCGATCCAGCCTTCTGGAAACGCTTCTCCGTCGCAGTCCACATGGACGAAGAGCAAGGTCCCGAGCCAAAGCACTCGTAAGGCCCCCCTCCCAACCCGCACTCATGCATGGCTTCTAACAAAGCTTCCTGTAGCGACTCCTGGCTCGCCCGCCAAAAGAAGAAAGAATCCCGCCGAACCTGGATCTGCTGGACCTTCTGGCTGTGCTTCTTGGCTCTCATTGCTGGGGTGGTCGCGGTGATTATCTGGTTGTTGAGTAGTGGTGTCCTGAGCAAAAGCAGTGGTGGTGGTAGCAGTACGACGACAGGTAGCAGTGGAAGTGGGAGCTCGTGAGGAGGCATGAGCAGAGGTGGAGTTGTGAGGAGGGGATAAGAAGAGGCTGGGTGGGGAAGATGGGTGCGAGAGGCAGATTTGGGCGACAAGAAGATGAAGAACACAGCACAGACATACAACCGCCAGAGGGAAAGCACCCTGGCGGGTAATGTATAGATCCACGAAATCACGAAGGAAAGAATGGGTACACTTATTGTAAATAGATTATAGATAAAAGTTGACAATGGCCAGAACACGGAGTCATTTTGAAAACCAGTTCTCATACTTTTGCTATAGTACAACTCAACCAACGCCTTGCTCGTTGCTGAAGACAGCATTTTGTCCACCCTCATCCTTGCCCAAAGACTCCCGTGGCGCCGTCTGAGTGTTGCAGGGCAGCCGGAGTGTCGCAATCGGCGGGCTTTCTCTCACACGCCCTTTCGCTATCCTTTTGAAGTCGATCGCTGCGACCATGTTCGTGATAGTCCATACGTTTTGCACCAGCTCATCTAGTAGGTATTGCATGCCCTTCTATGTTGTGATGCGTCCATCGCATGTCTCCTCAGAACCTAGTACATCGGCCGCGATGGCTCTGGACTTGGGCTCCTCGACTCACTCCTCTCATCTCTGCCTCTCTGCCTCAACCACTTCTTCGTCGCCAGCTCCAAATCCCTGTCCAGCTCCGGACTCGGCTCCTTGCGATGGATGAAATTGCAGAATCCTCCACGCATGCATCCCTCTCCGCTGTTGAGCCTGCAACACGCCTCCCTAAAGTCCGTCACAGGGCTCAGCTCGCAGTAGATCGGCCGCGCGGCATACCACCGACTATTCAGCGCATCGCACGCCTTCTGCGCCGAATCCTCATACTTGAATCGCGCGTACACATTCCCAATCAGATGGTCGTTGTTGTTGTCGCACACCACCACCTCCTCGATCTCGCCGTATTTGCACATCTCGCACCAGAAGTCCTCGTAGAAGGCGTCGAAGTGGTTCTGGAGTTGCGACGGGTTCATGCGCGACTTGTTGTCGTAGGCGGGGTTCTGGTAGAGGTTGGGGAGGAGGATCGTCTGCGAGTAGGAGGGCTTGACGTGTTTGCGCGAGCAGCGGTCGCCGTGGCGGCAGGCGCCGATTTTGTAGTAGAAGCTGCAATTGACTTTGTCCTGCTCTGTGCCGAAGATGGAGGCGAGATAGTTCGCCATGGTGGGTATGTGTGTGGCTCGACGTCGGTGGTGTAGTTTGCGTGCTCGGTGATGTCTGTAGCGTCGCTGGAGTGGGGTTTCGTGGGCGTTGTTCTGTCGTCGAGTGAAGATGTGGTCGCAAGCTTGTGAGATGGCGGTTGAAGATCCGTGCCGGCGAGATGGACTTGAGCGGCTGACTAACAATTCTCTGCCTGAGGCTTCCAGCACTTTCGACCGCTTCTTCCGGATCACGATACTAATCATGCTGCAACAATCTGATCGCCGATGTACTGCCCAATCCGTTAGCACCACATCTCTCCTTCGGCCATACTATCGTGAGAGGTTCGCTCTCAGACCCCTTAACTTGCTAGCCTTAGAGTCTGGATCTGAGATGACTATATCCCCGAGGTTCATGCCTCAGGTTGCTCAGGATCCCGACGTCACCTCCTCCGTCTTCGTTGCCTCTTCTTCGCCATCGCCACCTACCATCATTCACTCGTCTTCTCATCAAAGTCGCACATGATGATGGCTTAGCGCTTCATGAAGCACCAATAGTAGGGTCCCCCACGATGTGCATTCTCGTAACCAGACATAGCTTCTATGCCGAAGCGAATCCCGTGTTCGGAATGGAATCCACCAATTGAGATCCGTTGACTCCAGCATTAAATATACTACATCTCTCTCCTCTTCTCTTCATCCAGGGTATGATTGATTCATACTGAACCGTCAATACTAGTTTCTCTGATCACCATGACCCGCAACTACCCACGACCACAGACAAATGGACATCATGCCGACGAAGGCCCACGACCGGTGCCGAACGCAACGGTACCATACTGGCGAACAGAACTTCATCATCTCGACGAATTCAGATCTACTGCAGAACTTCCAAAGGATACCGATATTGCGATCATTGGAGCCGGCATGTCCGGTGTAGCGATCGCATACAACCTCCTTCAGCTCTACGGCAATGAAGCCAAACCCTCAATCACCATAGTGGAAGCCAGACAAGTATGTTCGGGCGCCACAGGACGTAACGGAGGCCACGCCAAAGTCCGCTCCATCTCCATGCAAAAGATCATAAACGAACGAAACGCAGAGGCGGCCGATGAGTATGCGGCTTTCATCAGTGATCTTATGCATGGGCTCAAGACTGTGGTCGAGAAAGAGAAGCTTGATTGCGAGTTTGAGGTTCGACGGACTTTTGATGTGTTTCTTGACGAGAAAGACGCCAAAGAAGTTGGTGATTTGTATCGTGAGAGTGTTGCGAAAGGTCATCGTTGGACCAGAGATCGAGACATGGTGCCTGTGGATCGTGTGGAGCAGGTATTTCGTATGAAGCTACAACAAATTGGCGGATGGTACTGATCGCGTTTCCACAGGTCACTTCTATCAAGGGCGCTAAAGCTGCTATGAGCGGACCAGCCTGCTCGCTTTGGCCATACAAGTTTGTCACACAATTGCTGGAACGTATCATCGAGGACATCAACCTGCAGACGAACACTATGATGGAAGAGATCTCCGTTGACTCCGCAACGGGGTTGAATCTTATCAAGACAGCTCGTGGCGTCCTGCGAGCAAAGAAGCTCATCTACGCCAGCAACGGCTACACCGGAGGGGTTTGTCCCACGTACAAGAACAAGATCGTACCTTATCGCGGAACAGCTTCACACCTTGTCCCATCGCCCGTCCCTGTATCACCACACCTCTCTCACACATACAACATTGTCTACGGCGAGAAATGCACCGACTACCTGAACCCCCGCCCAGACGGCAGCATCGTAGTCGGAGGCGCCAACTACAGATACAAAGAACACCGAGACCTTTGGTACAACAACTGGGATGACTCCAAGCTCATCCCAAACACCGAGTCACACTTCGACGGCCTAATGCAGCGCAACTTCAAAGGCTGGGAGAAGAGTGGCGCTTTTCTCGAGAGGTACTGGACTGGAATCATGGGTTGCACTGCGGATGGGCGACCACATATTGGACGGGTTCCGGGCCAGGATGGTGAGCAGTATGTACACGCTGGGTTTAATGGTGGAGGAATGACGCAGATTTGGTCGTGCTCGATTGGGTTGGCGAAGATGGTGAAAGATGGGATTTCGTTTGAGGAGACGGGGTTGCCAGGCATGTTTGAGGCTACGGCTGAGAGGCTGAAGGCGGAGATGTGAGTTTTCGCTCGTTGACGTGACGAAGATGTGCACGGGAGCAGGAAATGCGGAGACTAAGCAAGAAGAATTGAGTTGCACGCTGGCTGATGAACGGATCGCTCATCCACAAGACATCTCGACGATGTCACTATTCATGTCACTCGTTATCATCGAAAGTTTTCTCAGCCTTCTTAACCCCAGCCTGATTCTTGCCTTGCTTGCCTCCTCTCGACTTGGCCACCTTGACAACTGGGGATACTGGCGTCAAGCCAGCAGCTCGTTGCTTCGCTGACTTCTTCAAGATCTGCAATTGTTTGCAAAGAGCTTGTACAGTTGGCTGAGAGATGTCCTCATTTCCTAGTGACATTACTAAGTGCCCGTCTAAGGAAACCGGGCTTTGATATACTTACCATACAAAGAATACCACGTCTCACTGATGCCTCGAACTTCGAGTGTTTGTGCGGCGAGGACTGCCATGAGGATGCGCTGGTTCATTGCCCCGTCCCATTCGAATTTCGGCATTGTGATTCGACTTTCTATTGAAGTGAAGTGGAGTTGAATGAGTTGGGTGGGACAGCTTCCGAAGGTGTAAAGGAAAGGATGCAGACAATGATCGCGGAGACGGGAGATGCTCAGCTTGTAGCCTTGCGTCATAGACGCCCAAGCCTTGAGGGAGCCCAGTTCGATGGACGAAGTTCCGAATTCATCCTTCTGCTTGTCTGCTGAACCTGGCATCTCTTCAAAGCTTATCGGAATGTCACAGCAGAAACGACGACCAGAAACCCGCCCATCCGAGGAGGAGGACAAACTGGTAGTGACTATGGAATCTCGTACTATTGCAACCGTTGACATTCGAGAAAACATTAGACCCTCTCACACTGCCATGACAAACAGATTGGTTCTCGGCGAGTCTCCAAAAGGGCACTGCACGACAAGTGCTCAAATTTCAAACTCCGAGCTGTCGGCGGCCGAGTCACTACTGGAAGCCTTTCGCCTGGCTTTGCTTGCCTTCCTGCCGCGATTGCGAGGATACTTCTTCTGCTTGAATTTGATCATCGATGAATCGTTTGGCAGAGACCCCTCAGCCAACGTTTTCTTCAGACGCTGAAAGCGCTTTGCCGAAACATTCTTAGTTGGCTTTGGGCCATTTTCTTCGCCTACCATTCATCATCAGTAGAGAATAGCCCCATCAATTGGAGTGCGAATATACCGAAGAGTGTGGACCAGCCTTCCCAGATGGTCGCTCCGTCGAGGGAGTTGACTTTGAGAGCAACGAGGAGCACTTTTTGGTACATGGCCCGTCCCAGATGACCTTTGAAACCTGATCGGGAGAAGACATGATTTTTGGACTGGAGAAGGAGGACTTGGAAAGGTTTTAGAATGATGGGAGATAGCTGACTTCCATCGACTTGTCCTTATATGTCCTCTTGCACCCCAAGCACTGGTAAGAACACCTTGTCCTTGCTCGGCAGATGTTGGACTGTACCACGAATCAAGGCAATCCACGATCGTCTCTTCTTTCCCCCCGATAGAGCATATCGCCTACTCAGTAACGTCCGGTAATGTATAAGAACGTCATGTTCGTACAGGGACTGGGAAAGGCTACTTCAGGCTCAGCTGAGTCTATCGAGAAGACGTCGTGGAGCCGATGCTGCAATCAATCGATGATGGTCGGGGATTACTGACTTGGACTATCACATGAGAAAAGGACCATTGGATACAAAACAGAGCGAAACGTCGTGCATTTTGTTTTAATATCCGACAAAGTGACAGCCTCGAGCCAAAGTCGTCCCACAGCTTTGACAGCCGGAATATCTGCAATCACTATCCCATTGGATGGCTCAAATCTGACAGAAATCCACTGCTAAATTCGCATATTCTCAATCGTCTGCTTGAAACTCGGAGTCGGTCTCAGTAGCATTGGACTCCTCGTCCTGGGACTTCCGCTTTGGTTTCGCAGCCTTCTTAGCCCCTTTCCTGCTTGGCTTTGCCTTGTGAACCTTGGAAGATCTCTCCAAGCCTCCGGTCGACTTCTTCAGCCGTAGGAGGCGCTTGTAGACTGCCCAGTATATAGGCGCCGGCAGATTCTCTGATGCTATAATTTAATCACGAGCAGGCAAACTGTCACATCCACTTTATACTTACTGAATACACTGGTCCATCCTCCACAGATGTCTTTGGCGTCTAAAGACTTGACATGCAGAGCCACAACGAGAAGCTTCTGGTCCATCGCCGCATCCCAGCCTGCGCCCATTCTGCCTGAAGGCTTTGTGGCAACGAGTTGGGGAGCACTTGGAAGGGAGATGTGGTTCTCTTATCAGCTGGATGCGTTCTCGACGAGTCTTTATGTGCTTTCGCCAACTCGCGCAGCTCAGATGGGTCGGTAGTCAGCAATGCGCTTATCGAGAACCACAAGGAAATTCACCCATGTGCGTGACTGACACGATCGAACTGTATACTACGTAGTCGGCGGCAGAATCGATCGAGAGACTGATAGGAAGTTCCAACTTGGAAGCAGATCGAAATCGATAAAGACAATATTGGCTAGTTGTACAACCTCGTACGTCGAAAAGCAAATTTTACAGTCTTGTTCAGCCTTCTTCGTCGATTTGCACTCGATCAATCGATCACCATGATGCCAGTATCGTAGGAGACCAGCTGGGCATCAGGGCCAGACTGCTCCTCCCTGACCTCCTGATCCTCGCCTTGCTGCCCACTTTCTTTCCCATCATCGTCTCCTTTATCAGTATTATCCATGACCTCGTCTTCAGAATCGTCCTCCTCAGTCGAGCTCAGCTCAACCCAGCTCGCCTTCCGCTCAGTCTTGGCACGCCGCGGAGCCTGGCTTCTCGTTGGGCTTGGAGTCTGGCTTTCGATCTTCGGGCCATGAAACTCCTCGTCTTCGCTTTTGATGGAAATCACTTCATCGTCGGAGGATTCATCCTCGCTCATGGATCCTCGCCTGCGCTTGGCTTGCGGCTTTCCTTTCGATTTTGGAGATGGACTCGAGGAAGCGGATCCCTACATTGGTGAGTCCATGCGCTCATCTTTGATGTCGGCTGGCTTCTCTGTGTCGTCACGATCTTCCTTCCTTGGAGAATTTGGGGACTTCGAGCCATTCTTTGGCTTGCGTGCAGCCTTTCCAATCCCCTTTGCTTTCGGCTTCGTTGGAGTCGAAGCAGCATCGCCAGACGGCGTCTTGCCTCCAGAAATGCCCAAGGCCTTCTTGAGCTTGGCAATATGCTCTACAATTGCACGTTTCGTGGGCTGAGTGATGTCCTCGAATTCTGCGTATGGTTAAGTAGGAAAGTCCTGCATTAGATGATCAGTTGTACGTACTGAAAAGCTCCTTCCATTTCTCCTCTACAGCGGCTGTATCAAGTTTGACCACAGCCAGCACTGCCATGAGGAGGCGTTGGTCCATGTCGGCGCTCCAAGATACTGTCATGATGGACAAACAAACAGCAAAGGGCGAGTGTGAGGTTGATCAGTATTCAAGTTCAGGCTTCGTCAGGTAACGATGTGCTGAAGGACCTTCCAGAGTGCAGAACGATGTGGATGCCCTTTTTATGTTCTCCCAACATTCTCCAGAGCCATGTGCTCGATCGCCATGTTACACCAGGACTAAAGCTGCGATGGCACTTCGGATTAGATCTCGACCCTCTGTGACGTCGTTGCTGCTGGGAGACGCATCATGAACAACACCGGCAAGATTGGACTCGATCTGCGATAAGCATTTATGTCCTCGAGTCGAAGCTGAGTCTTGTGAGGGGGAAGATGTAATCCCTTCCCCAGAGAGTTGTAAGCGTAAGATGTCTAGTTAGCAAGTTGTGCCGAAACTTTGATACAACAGAGCTCCACAGACTTGCGCAAGCCTCACGTTGAGTAGTGCCAGGCTATTTGGTCCTTTTCTGAGAACAAATCGAAATCGAACACACATCTGGATCCACGTACATCTGCAGCAATGAAGCATGTGAAGTACACTATGTCAAATATCAAAGATCATATCTAGTCAATCTGGTCAACAGCATTCATCATCGCCTTGTCAAGCTTTTGCTTCCGCAGTCCGGCTCGCAGCATCGAAACTTGGGTCATTAAAACTCTACCTCTGCAGGATTGATGGTGGCTTCGTAGTCAAGCACATTCTCCCAGACGCTGAGATCGTTGTCAGAAGAATCATCTCGAGCAGACTTCGATTTAGTGTTGCGCTTTGCCCCCACTGTGATCGTCAGCAAGCGCTTGCAGCACATTTGCGAAGTGCTTACCTTTGCCCTTTCTCTTGCAGACTTTGTTCACTGCAGATTTCCTCTTGGGCGCTTGAACAGACGGAAGTTGGCCTTTTTGAGCTTTCTCGACCATGGTCTCGGCAGCTTTGCGAGGCTGACGAAGACGACCCTCAGCAGCAAAGTAGGTAAGCCCAAGGAATCTACCGATGACTCCAATGTCAGGCTGTGTTTGCAGTCAGTAACGGCAAAATCTCTTGCAGCGTTAAGGTCAGGCCACCTTGCTGTTCTGAGCATAAAGGCTTGCGAGTACTGCGGCGAGCAGTTGGTCCTTGCCATCCACTTGGTTGTTCATAGTCGTAGTTTTTGCCATATTTGTTTTGCGAGTTGAAAGCAGGAAGACTGGAGCAATGTCTGGGAAGGATATCACGAAAAGTTTTCGCAGTATAGTGATGGCACACGCAACAACAGATATACCTGTAGGAAAGCACACGTCAACCACGACTGGCTGTTAAGTTTTGTCGTAGCAACGTTGTGTCTACCCTGGCTTCAAATGTATTAGAGTAACTTAAGCAAAGCCGATACTTTAAAGGTGCCCAACCTTTCAATAAACGTTATCGAGCTCGTCGCAAAGATATCTGTCTCCTCTAATCGATACGTGTCCATCTTGTATGGAGAGATGATGGTGCAATCAGTGGTATGTATCTGACACTTCTGTGCGAGTGGCTGGTCGCGATAGAGCTTGCTGCAAATTCAAAACGAAGTCCGTTGCTGATGGGACGGGCGTTGTTGGCGGTCGTGGGATGAACAGGCAACCATCGTGGGTGGAGCTCAATGGCCCTGACGCTTTGTCTCGTTGTGGTTGGCTGGTCAGCCTCGCCAAGAACACACTCGAGCTTGCATCCCTGTCAGCCTGGAGCTGCTGTGAAAAGGGGTTCGAACAAGGCTCGGATATATGCTCAAGTGGTTCATGCCTCCATGATCCAAAAAGACATCTTCAGTCCACTCATGATCCAGATTGGTTCAGCACCCATACCTTCGACTCGCAACGAGGTCTGGCGACCAGGCTTCTCGGAACATGCAGCTTCCTCAGTTCCGGCAAAGCTGATTCTGTTTGATTTTCACGATAGTCTCGGATGTTCCATGCACTTGCGAAGGTGATTTTGACCAAGCTCAACTGCCCCAGAGATGTCGCCGGCTTGCAATTGGAGCAAGGCTAACTGCATGTGGATGCGAGCTCGCATGGACGGAAGCCCGAGTCTTGTTGCCCTTGTCCGTCCATTCACCCAGCAGCATCGTAGCTGATAAACTCGACTGAGAGCAAAAATATGACTACACCTCTCGTTGAGTCTATGATGGGAGTGGATGTCTGATCGAGGTACTCATGATCGTCGATCGCTGCGACTCGATAGCGGAGTCTGCCTTTCCACTTGCCTCACAGCAATCAGGGCCTCTCTGCAGTGGTTGTGCAGATCTTGCGATGATTGATCATCGATAGATTCATAGTGCTTGCCTGAGTGCTTGAACATCATGCTCCAATCATTGGGTATGTGTTTCCACTGACACACTGGGCCATATATGGACGTCATCGATGCGATCCCCATCGCACATCAATTCCATCTCCTCAGTCCCAGTCGTCGCCATAGCCCCAATTGTTGCACAACTTGCTTTGATCTATACTATGTCAGCCATCGAGTTCACTGCCCGTGAGCAACGCATGATGGCTTTGGCTTGGAGATGCTTCGACGGCGAGCCAAAGGTTGACTTCGACAAGCTGGCCCGTCTCAACGGGATGACAAACAAAGGCTCTGTATACAATGCTTGGACGAAGATCCGAAAGAAGCTGGCTGGCGAGCTTGCTGCGAGCCCGACCGTTACCAAACGAACTCCCAAGAAAAGAGCCAGAGACGACTTCGACGACAGCGATGAGATGCCAACCAAGAAAATCAAAGGCCGCAAGGCGAGTCTGTCGAAGGAAATTGTTTCGTCGGACGACGAAGATGCAGTCGCAAAAGTTGAAACGCCTGATGACGGCTGAAGCATGGCTGCCCCAAGATTTGCACGAGGTATGATGAAGGTGCCTTTTCCATGTCTTGTGATTTGTGCTGACCCCTAGCCGAAGCAGGCTGGAGATCGCATGCGAGCTTTGACTTCTCGAGCAAGGCTGTGTGGCCTGTGTGGGTGGGTCGAACCTTGAAGAACGCTTTGAAGCTGTGCTGCCATTGTCGAGTGTCGATTCTGCTGCATCGTCATGTATTTTAGTACTCGATAGTCTGCCCTTTCCGTTCGATGATGCTGTTCAATCATCGTTCATCGCTTTTCTGAAGGACAATGTCCCAAAGCTGTTCCTTGGATTGTTGTTCTCTGTGATTATGCTGCACATCCCTCTCGATGTCAGTTCCAGTATGAACGCCCCAGCTTGTTCAAGCGTCCCTGTAAAACCGTTTATCCTCCTCTTTCCCAGGTCGCTCTCCTGAAAGTGCTGCCGACCATGCCTCTCAACTGCTCTCGGCTGGATTAGATGAAGGATTAGATAGTGAGATAACACCATATGTGAAGTAAAGCAGAGCCTCAATGATGAAGTGAGGACGGCGTTCCCTCAGATCTGTTTACTCGAGTGACATCACGTACCCTCGCGGCGTTTGTGAGGCCACCAAATTTCAAAAGTTCGCCTGAGACCTTTCTTCCCTTCGACACGGGCAAATAATACAACTTCACAAGCAAATTGCACAATCACAAGCCATTCCTGCCCTCTAAGTATAACAATTCTCACATTACAATCAATGTAAGTTCTCGACCAGCGAAAAATCCGCTTTCCCCTGACTGGTGCGAGATAGCACCACCAGCGACCGCACCACCACAACCGCGCCATGGCCAACATCATCCCGTGGAACCAAGTCGCGAGGAGCGTCTCTGCCGCGCTCAGAAGACAGCTCGCGGCCGTGCGTGAGCTAACGGCACGCGTCGTCGACCAGGCGATGATGGTCGAGCTGCGCGATGTGGACATCGCCGACCTGGTGGGCGCGCTTCGGCGGCAGAGATGGTGGGATGGGGTGTTGCTGGCGGAGAATGCGCGGTTGAGAGCAGAGAACGCGCAGTTGCGCCGCCAGGTGGAGCAGCAGCAGCAGTGAGAAGAGGCGAGGCGGCGCTCAAGTGAGCGCAGGAATGACAGCATTTGGCGGCGCCAGTGAGCGCAAGAATGAAGTGAACAGAGAAGCCCTGTTGGTTTATCATGATTGCTGCATTGGTTGTCCTGACTTCAACTTACCACTGCCTTCACCGCTGCCTCTGCGCGCCCCCCAAGCACATACACACCTTGAACACCTCACATTCTCCAAACCACCATCTTCACCACCGCCTCCCTGCCTTCTCCAAGTCGACCATGAAGACAGTATTCTTTCCAATGGCACGGTATATGAGGCACCCACAGAGATGCCCTTCATGCTCCTCTTACCACAACCCACACACCACCGCAGCACATCCTTCCACCACAGCACACACATACCTACCAACAGCACATCTTATCAAACTCACACCACCCTCCCTCTCCATTATGTGGAACTCCTACAGCGGCCGACGCCGCCCAGTCCTCAACCACGACCACCGCTTCCCAGGCCGCAACAACATGCTCCGAGCCTACCACCTCAACGAAGTCGACGACCGGTACCCCAGCCTCAACGCCTACAATTACGCTCGTGGTAGTGGGCCCGAGCGGTATCGATACAATCAGCTGCAGTTCTTGGGAATGAACCAGGGGCGGAACTTCTACCCTGGTGGGGGCTGGTTTGGATACTAGATTGAGTAGGATGTTTGATGATGGGCATTTGTGATTTCAGTCAATGTCTAGTTTGATTAGTTAGCTGAGTTTGCGGTATTCAATATCTTGTCCTGACACCTCCTCGCAAGCCTTCTTTCCACAGGCAACAAATGCTGTTGTCTTCGCACCACTTCTGCACCATCCAAGGCTTCAACTCTTCCTTCACTGTCTCATACTCTGGCTCATCGGGAACAGCGTCCTTTTTCTTCCGTCCTCTGCTTTTGGGCTTGGGTTTCAGCCGCTGCATCTCAATGCACAGCCCCTGCTCATTCAACCACGCAGTCAAGTCTTCGAGCACAATTGGGTCGTAAAGCAGAATCTTCTCATGCCACGTTGGATTCTTCATGTCTGTGCTGGGGGCTGTCGACCTGATCGTAGCTGTGATCCTTGAGAATATATCAGCTTGAATGTCTGCAAAGATGGAGTCATTCAATTTTAATGTCGAGCTCACCACCGCTGGCGCTTTGACTCTCAATGAGGGCGACGCTGCTGTGCGAAGATCGAGAGGTTGGACAGTTGGTGGCGACGATCCAGCCCGCTGTCGAGGTGGAGACGGCGTAGACGGTGAGTCTGACTCGGAAATCTCGTCGATATCAATCCATGATTTCGACCCCGTCGGCTGAGAAGCAGATTTGACTGGCCGCATTGTTGCACCATGAGTCTCGAACGAAGCCACTGCTGCGCTTTCCAGAGCCGAAGGTGCTTTGGGTGGTCTTCCTCGACGTTTGGGCGCAGTAACATGAACAGCAGCCGCAGCGACAGGCTTACGAGGGCGCCCGCGACGTCGTCTTGTTTGGTCGGCAGTCGTAGACTTTAGAGCCCGCTGTTGCGCAGAGTCGATGTTCTTGACCGGAGATGTACGACTGAGTAAGCCGATGTTGGCATCGAGATTCTGCAATGCCGTTCTGTGGAGGAGAGGGGAGGTGGCAGAGCGCAGCAGCTGTGGTGGTTTATAGGGTTGCACTGGGGACAAAGGATGGGGTGGCGTGGAGGCAAGTTCTGGGCCACCGTGCGCGGCATTGGGAACAGAATCGTCGCTGCTTAAGAAGTTCCACTCGTCTTCGAAATGATGCTGCGGTGGCGACGAAGCGGCTGTTGGTGCTAGGGCATCCATAGTGCCAGCGGTGTCTTGGACATGGAGGGCCACACTAGGCTCTGCTCTGCCTCGGGCATTGGGCGAAGATGTCTGACCCAGATCAATCATCGTATTGTGACTGCCATCCTCCACTTTGAGGGGAGGCCCAGGCTCGTTGGAGACGACAAAGTCTGGTGGAGTGGGGTCTCTCTGAAGGGTCGGACCAGCCTCGAACATACAAGCATCTTCGGCAAGGCCTTCGTCAGTGGTGTTGACAAGTAGTGTTTCGACGCTCGTGGCTTGTCCCGAGAATTCATTAGAGCAGGGTCGCTCCCAGGTCATGTCTACGTCAAGGAAACTTCCACCTTCGTCTCGAGTAGCAGAGCACCATAGCCCTCTATTGCCTTGGCCCACAGAAATGTTCGTACCGTGCGGGGCGCTTGGTACTTGGATGCTGCTTTTGTTCGTTAAACGGTTTCCAGTGTGAGATGTAGGCATTGGCTCTGATTCCTCAATCGCTGCTTGAATTTCTCGAAGGTATGAAGGCGACTCCTCAAGTGCGAGCTGGCTGGACGTCCCGAACATGAAGCCTTGACTTCGTTCCTGTGCGCGAGCTTGGCCGGGACTGTGCAGCTTCACTATGGGATCCTTCTCTCTGGACTTGGCTTTAGATTTCACCTTCCTAGTTATCTTCGTGCCCACTTCAACAGTTCCGTCGCCGACCTTCTTCGCTCGTGGTTTGCGGGGCTTTGTCACTTTCCCGTGTTCCTGCAGATGCGTAACGCTGGCATCTGTGGGTGGTGCAACAGACGTCTGAGCATCGAAGAATTCAGAAACCGTGGGCTGTGCGTCAGCGGCCTCGGAATCGGGGTGATAGGCTTTTGTCGCCAGTGCTGTGATAGTTTGTGGCTTCTTCTTGACCTTAGTCTTCGTCCTTGGCTCTGAAGGTACAGCGGCGGCGGGTTTGCGTTTTGCTGTTGCAACAGTGCTCGCATCTACGAGTTCTATTCGCCGTCTCTTGGTCAGCGCTTCGCCGGTAGAGGTTCGGTCGTGAGAGATGGAGTTCGTTGTACTTTCAGAGTACTCGAAACCACTGATCAGTGAAGTCAGGGACTTTGGAGGAATATCTGAGCCAGCAGACGGTGCAGTTCCAGGTCGGCCATCCGGAGCGGGTTTTCCGAGGGTTGTGTTCTTCGCAGGAGTCCAGCTCAATCTGCGTCGAGGTGCCGCAACCAACGTCGGCAACGCATCTGACGTTTCATCTGCAGATAGAGTTTCTGGAGTCACACCAGCGGCTTGTCCATTGCCTCGATTTCCTTCCACTTCTGGTTGAATCTTCTCTGAGAAGTACATAGACTTGCCGGCACTCGCAGCCTTTGCAACAACGCCATTCAGCTTTGAATCCTTCTCTACATGGAATCCAATCCTCGGAGCACCGGGCCCTTCTGCGCTCTTCAATCGATACACCGTGGTCCTTGAATCGTTGGCACTCGTTTCGTTTGTGGCAGACTTTTTGGCAGGCGTAGTAGCGGGCATCGGCACATGTCCAGCAGTGTCGGCATCTGGCTCGTCTGAATTCAAGATGATAGACTCAGATTTTGTAAATCGCTTCTTCGTCTTCGCCGCGGCCGCATCTGATGCGGCGGTTCGTTTTGGAGGCTTTTTGGAAGGACCTTCCAATTCTGATTTTCCCGTCTTCGTACTGCTCTTCTTGGACTTCTTCAATGACTCTGGAGGAATTGACATTGCCAAAGGCGAGCCTTGGTGCTCTTCAGGTCGGAAGTCAAATTCTGAAAGCGATATGCTTGGAGTCCTCGACTTGGACTGCCCAAAATAAGGGCATGTATTTCCAGTACCCGTTGCTTCACCGAGACCTTGACTATCATGAATGCTCTTCAGTGCAGGATGGCTAGATCCGTCGCTCCTGTTCTTCCTATCCTTTCCCGTCTTTTTGGGCTTTTTGGGCTGCGATAGCCTGCCACTCCGCTTCTCAGAAACTCCGACATATCTCACATCGGCCACTGCTCCATTTTCCACGACATGCTGCTCCTTCTCCTTCAACTTCGCCTCGCTCTGAGCACCTTTGAACAACGTCGCTGCCGAGGCGAAGCCCAATGCGGCTCCTTCTGGTACCTGCTGAGCATTTGACCCAGACTTTAACCCCTTTGCGGGCACTCTGGCAAACGTCGGTAGTTCGGCCAGCCCCGGTGAAGAGGACAATGCGGCATTCGACTTCTTTCGGTGGCTCTGTGGCGTGACAGACGGGATGCGGATTGAAGCCTGCGACGAGGAGTTGACAACAATTGGGCTACGGGAGGCCATAATCGTGCGCGGCGGGCGCGGGCATGTCTGCAAGAGACAGATGAGGCGAGACACGGTGATGTGAAGTGAAGCTTTGTTTGGGAAGTGTCACTACAATGCGGGACGTCGCGAGGTGTCGTTGGAAGACGCGGCGGAGACGCGGATCCCGTGACTGCGCTAGAATACTCTAGGACTAGCGCCACGGCCACTCCCGACCTCACCTGTGGTGAATGCTGTGATCGCGGTTCTGCTTCAACATTCACTCTACCGATATCTTTCTTTTTGTTCTATTCTCATCGTTTCAGCGAGTACATTCACTATCTATCAAACTGCAGGACGGAGCTTCCGCCACCGCTCAGCGCCAGTGATCTATGAACCCCGCGATGGACCAACCTGGCGTTCGAGGAAAAGTCTGGCTCAGAGACGGCGTGAGGCACTCGAACACTCTCTTTTCCCCCTTCTCTCTCGTAGCACCAGATGCCATGATATCCGTTCTTGCCATGGTCAAAGCTGCTGCCATTGAGATGCCTCAATTCGTGTCCTTCTCGGCGGTGTCTTCCTCGGCGGCGTTCTCCTCGGTGGCGCTGGCCGTCTGTTCTAAGTGGAGTTTGTCAGCGATTGATAGCAATCGATAAGCTGCTGGCCACTCTATGACATACCTTCCGTATCTCCAATGGCACTCAGACCTTCGCAGGAGATGAAGAGAGCCCCGCCGTCGAGCAACGTCCGCTGGAATGGGCGAAACTTCAAATCACCCTGCCCATCTCGGTACGGCGTCTGCGAGGAGCTGTTAGCACGCTGTAATATACCGCGAGTGTGATATGGACTCACGCCGTAAGGCATCTTGAAGTAGAGTGACTGGTTTGGAGATGCGAACCACATGTCGCGCGCCTTCGCTGCGTGCGCCATAATGTCCTCACGGGTGTAGGGACCCATCTCCTCAAACAGAGGGTCGCTGACAAGATGAATGAGGATATGGGATTTCTGGAAGTCATGCATCCAGGAGTCGATGAGGTCGCGACACTCTATCGTGCGAGTTGTGGACTTCATCTCGAGGATGGCGCGAGCAGCGCCCCGAGCGGTGTTGCAATCATCCATTGCGCTGGTACTTGGTTTTTTCGAGGTAGATGTCTTGCTCAATGCTGAATACCAGAATTGCGGTGGTATGTCGTGCGCAGCTTCGACGGAATTTGATTCTGTGGAGTGGATTTGGGCGCTGCCCAAGAAAGTTGTGGACGCCCACGGAACGTCGAAACGCACCATCCTCCGCGGCTACTAGACTGCTCGACTGCCAGTTCTCGGCAGGATACGAAAATCGAAGTTCTCAGCGCCCGAGGATCAAAAAACACTGCAGTTCAGCGCTGGGTCTTGCCTGCCAGACTAGGACCGACGTTGAAATGCCTCTCCAAGACATGTTCGACGCCTGGTCATCGTTTGACGCCATTGCAGGATGCCTTGCTCTTCGACTTTGAAAGATACAGCCATGTGGAGTTCTGGCACCCGGTAACCTCGTTTGAAGCCATGGCTGTCATATGGTGCTGCGCTTTCGGCAACAACAGTCGTGCTACATCGCTTCAGCTTATCAAAATAAGACGAGTAATGAGTAGTACCTTCGCCGATATGAGCTCAGACTGGTCTTCAGCAGCCGCTACTGTATGATAAGTACGCACTCCAGCTGTCCGAACGACAGTCTCGGAGCCACATTCTTCGAGCATGGATCTCATCATGTAAGGCTCTGCGCTCGACTTTACATGTCCAAAGACCCCGTTAGTACATTGCCACTTGATGCCGGTATGAAGGAGCTTCCACCTGTGCTTGCCGCACGCCACAGGGAAGCCGCTGGAAAAGTCGGCGATTGGGGACAGTTTTGCTTTGAGACGTGTGCCAGAACGTCAAGGTACTGGAATATGAGACTGCAGACTTTGCGAGAGCAAACGATTGACGTACAAGGACTTCTCCGAATGAGCGAACGCAACCAGGGATGAACAGAGCCATCTCCGGACTTGTCTCATCTGCATTATGGGGAAAGAAGATTTGAAGGTAAGAGATGGAGTGGCTACCAATGGCTGCGGCGCAAGAGGTCAGACGCCGGCAACGTACATGGTCGACGCCCCGGTACAGCACAACTCGAACAAAGACGACCATTGCTGTAACGTACATTCAGGGTGCTGCCAGGGATCACCAAGTCGCATGCCACCACACGATAGCACCATAAAGTTGGAAGGCCAGGAAATGGGGCGGAAAAGGTCCGGCACTGATCGACAATCTGGCTATCATGCTGCCTGGGCCAGTAATTACAATGCCGTCGATGCCGCCGCGCAAAGCTGCAATTGCGCCATTAAAAGCAAATGTAAATACCAGCCTCAACGTTTGCGAGGTAGGAAGCAGTGAGTGTTATGCTTTCCCCTTATCTACCGCTTCCGGTTCAGCCACGACGCTAATGCACGGCCAATCCCCAAAGTTTCCATGTGAACGGAAGATCAGCGCGGACGGGCGCGTGCGCTCAATCGGCTAACCGAGAGCGGTATATCAGGTTCGATCGAAGGATTTAAGCTATTACTTGTTCAGACGTCTGCTGTCTTGTTCCTATCTATGCTTCCACCACCACGGCGAATCATTCTTCGTACATTTATCAGCGTCAGGCAGCCCAGGATGAAGCATCACACTCTTCTGGCCGGAGACGTCCATTCAACCTGCACGACATCAGCCACAGAAATGATTTACCCTGCAGTTGCGGAGTGAAGCATTTGGTGGAGCCGCAAGTTTCCACGACGGGGCAGCCAACTTCGTTATCTCTGCAATAATTCGCAAGACCAACTGCGTACATGCTCACCGAGTGCTTCGGTAGAAACGGCACGCCGAGAAAAGGCCCCCCCTCAAGACTGCAATCGTCGGCAAAGCTTGAGTGCCAGACCCACTGGCATTCAACGTGGTTCGAAGAAGAGAAGACGCTCGCAGAGGAACCAATACCGAGCCCAAGAGGTAAGCATCGAGGACTTACCGAATGAGCTCGGTCCAGGCAGCACTCCAGCGTCTGACAAGGCCAGAGTCTTTGGCAGAATACGCTGGGATAAGTCTGGGCATCGGCTTGAAAAGCAATGAAACTTATCGCGGCTTGAGCGGTAGCCAAGGTGATCCTGCCTGTGCAAATTCCCGCTGCCAATACCGCATTCTCACTCAAAGACAGGACGCATATTTGATCAACGATGATTGCCGTAGATCGCCCACATGTTTCCAGTGAGGCTCTGGCGGAGAAACCTAGGTTCTTGGGACCCGGAGCCGCATGCTTGCCACACACCCGATAGGCCCCCACAACTGCAAGAACCCCTTCCATCTTGCCTTGCCGGAGATGCCCAAGTCGACCCTGGGTGGCGATTCAAGCTTTTGAAGAGGTGCTACCACTGCTCGCTAGCCAAATCCACAGACTGCGACGATCACTACTACCCTGGATGTGTTCTCTCGAGATATGTCTGAGACTATTGGCGATGTCCCCACCAAAGCAGTAGCAAACACAAGTTCCTACATGTTCCGACGATATGGGTTGATGAAGGTGCATGAGCACATGCAAAGTCAACATGGAGATCCAGTCACCACCTTCCTCAAACGATCTCGGCAGAAGAAAGTCTCCCTCTGATTGAACATCATCACCGGAGAAAGACAGCCTTCGTCCTCGACGCTCCTGGGAGCAAGCCATCCTCGTCGTCTATAAAAGAGCCTCAAGAGAACCTCCAACGGCCAGGACCATCTTCATCTCAACTCTTTACCAATCCAGCACTTCTACCGTCTTTCAATTGGACGCCACAATGAAGTCTTTCACTATCGCACTCAGCCTGGCTGCTACAGCCATGGCTTCCCCTTGTCCTTATGGACAGCTTGCCGAGAGGGGAGCTCTTCCAGAGACCGAAGCCAAGAACTTCTTCGTTGCTCGTGCGGAGGGCGAGGCTGCTGTTGAGCAACAGATGGCTGCCGTCAAGCGTGCTGAGCATGAGGCTCAGGCCAAGTACTACAAGCGCCAGCTCGACCTTGGAGAGCTCCCGCTTGGAGGTGGTCTTCTCGATGGTGTCCTTCAGTCGTTCAGTGGTGCTCTCGAGCTCCTTGATGTTCCTACGTGAGCACTCTCCTCCCTTGTGAGCAGGACCATGGCAGTGACTGACAGATCACCAGTCCACAACCATTCGGCCTTCAGGAGATCCCTGGCGACGACAAGGCACACAGATACATCAAGCCAAAGAAGTCCGCTGTTCGTGGCATGTGCCCAACCCTTAACACTATGGCTAATCACGGCTACATTGACCGTAGTGGGTAAGTGAATCAGGAATCCCAGTTCCTCGCTCCCCGCACCCCCCGCAATCCCGATCCTTCGGCACCCCGCCCCCCAACTTTGGGTCATCAAATGGCTGACATGGTCCTCTTCAACATAGAATTACGACCTTTGCGGAGGCTGCCAACGCTTGTCAGATCACTTTAGGCTTCGGATATGACACGTGCGTCTTTTTATCTGCCCTAGGCTTGCTGGCTGGCGGCGATTTGCCCACTGGCAAGTATTCTATCGGTGGAGCGGACGCCCGTGTGCCCAACACCCTCGGCCCATCCCTCGGAATCAGCCGCCACGGCTTCTTCGAGGTCGACAACTCCATCTCTCGTATCGACAGCTACTTCGGCAACCAAGCGGACTTCAACTTGGACCGCTTCAACCGACTGGTCAGCATTGCCGACAAGTACAACGGCCAGTTCGGCAACTCTGCCTTCGCCGAAGAGCGTGTCCTCCTCTACAACGAGGCCAAGAACAACAACCCTCAGTTTAACGCTGGTGTCCGTTGGCTCGCCGTCACCACTGCTGAGCGTGTCTTCATCTTCCGTGCTCTGCCAAACGGCACCGACGAGACGAACGCCAACTACGCCAACGTCGCTCCATTCTACGTCAACGAGACCTTCCCCCGTGACTGGTTCCGTCGTTCCACCCCATACTCCCTCGCCAACACTGGCACTGACATCGCCACTCTCCTCGCCACCTCTGGTGAGCTTACTGTCCCTGGCACCAACGAGGGCCTCAACAACTTCGTGCCTCTCGGCCTCGACATTGGCGCCCTCTCCCCACAGGAGGCTACTTGCTTCTTGGCCCAGGCTGTCTTTGATGAGACTCCTGGCTTCCTCGCTCCAGCGCTGGCGGACAACATCGACCTGGTCAACGCTTTCCTCAACGGTGCTTTGAAGCCATTCTTCGCTTCATTCAACTGCGCTATTGGCGACAACACTCCTTTCGCCAACGAGACGAGCACTCTTGCTGGACCCAGCGTTGAGTGCAACGTGTTGGTCAATGGTGTGTACCAATGCTAGACTGGTACAAGGAGGATGTGAGGGTTGAATGAAGAGATGTGGGGAGATAACTGTGGCAGGACCATGAGTGAAATAACGAGGTTGAAACGAACATTCGCTGATACCCGACTTGGAAGTATGACGGAAACTCGGTAGATCATATGATGATAATGACAAGTCTCTTTACTCTTGTACAATACCAAGCTTGGTTAACGTTGCCCTACTACTGTCTCGTGCCGCACGTGGGACACCAAGATCGTCAGTCTCGAACTGCCCGCTACCCCACGTGCGTCTGGACGTTTGCAAGCTCCAACGTCCCTGGTGAGGCTGAGTAGTCTATTTTGACGTCCCCTTCGCACAATCTTCTGTCTTTGAGCAGCAGCGGGCAGAAAAAGAGGAGACGTAATATCGAATACCCAAGAACCCGACTGCCAGACCTCGGCTACTCTTGTGCGATGACTACTAGCAACAGTGTGAGTTCTGACGCACGAGAAGCCACCGACGTACTCAAGTCCCTCCAGGCACACATCCACATCAGGTTCTTCCTCAGTTTTCGTCGCAGTTGACTCGACATACCGCGGAAATGCCTGCACTGGAATCAACGTCAAGACAGTATGACGGCACCAACTCGCGGAGAAAAAGCAAAGCGCCAAGAGAACTCTCTCAGTACGATATCGCGGAAAAGGGCTTTTGGGTGCCCATTTCCCCAGGAACCGGAAAGACCTAAAGCAGCCATGTTATTCGCAACAGCGACTCTTAAGATCCGGAGATTCTCTCGAGGAGAAGCCAGCGCAAACACGAGAGTGCAAGAGATCTGGAAGAGCGAGCGCACAGAATGATGGTATCAGAGCATGACGTCCCCAAGCATTTGATGTGGCTGCAGTGATCTACACAACGATCCGCTGGGCTCGCACTCTTTATAGAGCTTGGAAGAGCTTGCTCACACCCTCACCTTCCTATCCGGGTGAAGCTCTTCGCCGCTTGCGAAGCTTGATGGGCTTGATTGAGCTTATCATTTCCAAGAATGGCTTTTGACAATCGACCGAGGTTGACCATGTATAGCAGTACCTATCGCCAGCATGTTATTCAGCTCTGGATTGCCTCGAAGATGTCGAGGTGGCGCTCTTCCAGACGAATGGCATGGGATGGACGTACATGATCTCAACCTTATTGAGGCGAATGTCGGCAGCCCACTGCTGTCAGGAAGTTCATAAGAAAGCCTTCTTGCAGAGAGGAAGTTTTCTCTGGTAAGACCTGCAGTCTCCATTTCTGAAACATGCATTTTTTAGGCTCATTCGTGGTCGCTTCTCTCGCGGCGTCGGCCTTGGCTGTCTCGACTCCTCACAACTATGTGAGCCATGAGAAGAGACATGCGCCGGCCAAGAAATGGGTTCGTCGTGGTGAATTGGCACCGACCGCAATTCTGCCAGTGCGAATCGGACTCAAGCAGCCAAACATCGACAACGGAAAGGGTGCTGAGCTTCTTCATGAGATGTGAGATTGAGCTGATAACAATACTGTCGACTCGAAACTGACATTTCGCAGCTCCCACCCAGCGTCTTCAAGATATGGCCAATGGTACTCGCCCGAGGAAGTCATCGAAATCTTTGCTCCACCACAACATGCAGTCGACAAAGTCCATGATTGGTTGAAGCAGGCCAGCATCGCCCCGGAGCGAATCTCACAGTCTGTCAACAAGCAGTGGATTCAGCTGGACCTGGCCACACATGAAGCCGAGAAGCTTCTCAAGACCAAATACTACCAGTATGAGCATCTTGCTACTGGAAACCAGCATGTTGCGTGCGACGAGTACCTCGTTCCAGAGCACCTGGCCGAGCACATCGACTACATCACTCCTGGTATCAAGCTTCTTGGTGGTGGAAAGGCTTCCAACGGCCGTGATCTTGACGGACGCAAGAGCTCGATGGAGAAGCGTGGCTTCCGTACTGGAGCCAACCAAAACTTCACAGGCCCGATCTACAAGGGCAAGGTTGATGTTCCGCTGACCACCCTCAACGCCACTGCGTTTGAGTTGGCCCACTGCGATCAGTACATCACTCCACCTTGTATCATGGCCATGTATAACATCACTCGCGGCAGCAAGGCGGCACCAGGCAACCAGCTCGGTATCTTCGAGGAGGGAGATTTCTACGCAGCTGAAGATTTGATCGAGTTCTTCGTCACCTTTGCTCCGTACATTCCTATCACCACCAGGCCTAAGCTCGAAGGCATCGATGGCGGCTTTGCCCCGAGTGTCTTTGCCGGTGGCGAGTCGGACTTGGACTTTCAGATCTCATGTGCGCCCATCTCTTCCATACTTGTGATCGAAAGGCTGACCTGTCGCAGACCCACTCATCTACCCACAGAACAGCGTTCTCTTCCAGACCGACGACATCTTTTACGCAACGGGTCTTGAAGGCAGTGGAGGCTTCTTGAACACCGTCCTTGATGCCCTCGACGGCTCATACTGCTCCTACATCGACCCAATCGACCCGGTCTACCCAGACCCCAACCCTCTCGGCTACCAGGGCAAGCTCCAGTGCGGCGTTTACAAGCCTACCAACGTCATCTCCATCTCCTACGGAGAACAAGAAGATGACCTGCCAACTGCGTACCAGACGAGACAGTGCAACGAGTTCATGAAGCTTGGCATGCAGGGTGTATCGATTGTCATTGCATCTGGTGATTCCGGCGTTGCTGCGAGAAGCACTGACGACAACAACGCAGATGGTGAGCTGTCTTCAAAAAACGTCTTCTTGGTTGCCTTTGCTAACGCTGTGGACGCAGGATGCCTGGGCAATGGACAGGTCTTCAACCCAGACTTCCCAGCCTCGTGCCCATACATTACTGCTGCTGGCGCCACATTCCTGCCCACTGGTGGTGACCCGACGAAGGACCGAGAGGTCGCTGTCACACGTTTCCCAAGCGGCGGTGGCTTCTCCAACATCTGTAGGTTTTTCCAAGCATGAGCTCGACCAGAGATACTAACGGTACTTCAGACCCACAGCCAGCCTACCAGGTCGGTCCAGTCAACACCTATCTCACTCAGCACACTCCACCCTATAAGACCTACAACACCTCCGGCATGAACAACCCACCAGAGACCGTCACCCAGGGCGGCATCTACAACGTCGGCGGTCGTGGCTACCCCGACATCAGCGCCGTCGGCGACAACGTCGTCATCTTCAACAATGGCATCCCAGAACTGATCGGCGGAACCAGTGCTTCTGCCCCAGTTTTTGCTTCCATTCTCAATCGTATCAACGAGGAGCGTATCGCTGCTGGCAAGAAGACCGTGGGCTTTGTCAACCCTACGCTTTATGCTCATCCTGAGGTGCTTCATGATATTACCACTGGAAGCAATCCCGGTTGCAATACCAATGGGTTTGCTGTCTCTCAAGGATGGGATCCAGTAAGTGCAGCCGAACTTTCAACCCGATCTTTGGACTAACGATATCTCAGGTGACTGGACTGGGTACGCCCAACTACCCTGCTATGCTCAAGCTCTTCTTGAGCTTGCCATAAATGCGGCTACCTCGACGGACTTCGATCTCGATTTCACTCGAGCGCTATGGCGAACTTTGCAGTGCTCGTCAGCATTGAATGGGCGCTGAAAGACTTCATGTATATTGGAAATAATATGATTCATGACATTTCACATCATGTTCCTCATCGTCTTCATGGATACCTTTGGCAGTAAAGTCTTGTTATGCCAATGCTACCCGCTAGTCCTAACGCAATGCGAGCTATATGAGTCTCCTGCATTGCCTCGGGATTAACGGCGGGCTATAATACTCAGCCGTCAATGCTACTAACAAGAATGTCACAGCTCTGTGTTTGCTGAATGCTGATTGCTCGGGATGATATGAGTAGCAAACGGGATGAGAAGGAGCAAACGTGAAGAACAGACCAAGTGAGACGGATTGAAGAAAAAGTGGTATAAGTCTAGAACAGAACAAGACGGACTGGAGACTGGGGAAGTGGGAATCAGTGATTTGAGGACGGTTTGAAAACATCTTTACCCCTGATGTGATATAATTTCTGCCGGCTGACTTTGGTAGCCTCTGATGTAGTTGCGGTTCTTCCAGCATGCTCCTGATATGACCCCTGCTGCTTCTTGCCTCGATGCCGCTCATCTCATTCCCTTCCATCCATCCCAGCAGACATCCCTTCTTCACCGAGTCTTTCCTACGACGCATGTTCCACGTTCTCCACCAGCTCAGGAAAGACCAAGCAGCCGAGTCGATGGCGGACAGCCTTGAGAGCCTGCTTGCTCACACCCATCATCGCCTGTGGATCGAGCTCCACCTCGACTGCCTGCCCCTCGACGTAGTCTGTGCACATATTAGTCCGTATGTCTGTGGTGTCCAGCGTGTGGGATGACTTACGGTGACTGATGTTGCCAATCACCCAGCGGCCGGTCTGGTAGGGCGGCTTCACAATGACGCGGTCGCCGGGTTGGAAGGTGGGGATGGTGGTGGCGGCGGCGGACGAGGTCGAGGTGGTTGCCATTGTGAAATTGGCGACTTGATCGAGGGCTTTTGGAGGTTGTGGATGAGGTCGCGAGATGCTGTGGACGCGGTCAGTCTTTGATCGAGATTTTGAGTGCTGCTTGGTCCGCCTTACGAGAGAATGCGCTCTGTGCGGTTCAGATGCGGTTTTGTCGATTGGTGTGAGTATTTGCTGGTCAAGGGAAATTCAACCTGGCCTCCGGAGCGGCGAGCAACAGTGGCAGGATCGGCTAGCAGCGGACTTATAGCAACTCGAGCGTATGGATCTCTTCATAACGCCAGATGGATGGCTATGGGTATTACACATATTTCAGTGCGCAGAGGCTTAGAACCAATATAGCAACATACTTCCAGATAGCATCCAGACGTTCAATATCACCAGCTACACTTGAGTAGGTGAGCGCAGGCAAGTCCAACGTTGTCCCTGAATTCCTACTACGCTGGCTATGTTCCTACTCACAAGACTGAAGCTAGCTTTCAAGGGCACGTCACCCTACTCGTACCTAATGAACGCGTCGCGTGCTTGCAGATTCGTGTGAATTGCTACGAGACTGACATGGACATGGCAGCAGCGGCACGTACCAGTCTTCATGTTGAGGTTGGGTGATGGCGACCCTGAAGATGATGGTGTGATGGTTCATAGTGGATTGTAGAAAGGGAGAATTGGAGTTATTTACAAAGCCAGCTCATGGAGGTAAAGAGTGGAGGCCAATTCAGGAGTATTCGTCGAGCGATCACATGCAATAGCAAGAGTGTTAAGTTGCTTCTTGCATTGACTCTTCTCGGCTGTAGCTATGTTATTTCAGGTATTCTTTCCATCAGCATCAAAGTGCTAGCGGATCTGCCGAAGCCGTTGAAGCAACCTCTTTCATGTAATGCGCCGCCTTGAAGCGTTGCCACGTTGCATCGCCCCCTTTTTTCAATGCGAGAAGAGTCCGTAATGACGCGGTCAGATGCGCTGGACGCGGGTGATGATGGCAGTCTTGAAAGACAAGCCGTTGGACTTCCTCATTCCGCTGGGCGTCACGAGGCAAGTGCCTGGTGAGAGAACCATGCGCTTGTGGAATTTGTCGTGGTAGTCTACTTGTGTGATCAGCTTTGCGTTCGCGTCGCTCGCCATCGACAACCTACAAGAGGCAATATGACCGTAAGCGAAATCCCCGTCGTAGAAGTTGACGAGCACACGGTCTCCGAGCAGGAAGACACTCGTGTCGAGGGGGTTGTGACCGATGGTGAAGTCCTCGTTGGCAGCGAAGTTGTAGTAGTCCTTGCCGGGGTTGTTGCTGGACATGTTGGAGATCGGTCGCGGCGGTGGAGAATGTGGTGGTGGTTTGGTTTGAAAGGCGGCTTGAGGAAGTGAAAGATCAAAAGTCTGTTATGTAGTCAGCGTCTGCTCGAGGTTGTAGATCGCGAAAGACTGGCTTACTGTGAGTGCTTATCACCTTTGCAGAGTGTAGTGTGTTGGAGCTGGTGTTTGCAGTGTCGAGAGAAAGCCCGAGCTGGATGAAGAGCGGCAGTTAAAAGGTTGCCGTGTGTGGCTGTTGCCGTGTCTCTTGCGCCTCAGGTTGAATCTTATTCGTCCCGCCGTCCTCTGAATGGCTACCGGCGACGGGGTGTGGCTTTCGAGGTGGGCCGCATGGAAATTGGTGAATACTTGCTCGCGATCCTTACCCGTAGGCGGAAGGAGGTGGCCAAGGACAACTCGCTGCTGCACGAGCTTCTCAAAGCGAGACATGGACGCACCACAAAGTCGGTTTCGTGAAGCATGCTAGTATCGAGGACATGATGGCGGATGAAGGCTGGATGCTTCTGGTTACACTGCTGGCTAGTCTGGCCCAAGAGGCAAGGGAAGGGCGGCAGCAACAATACTCATGCCTGCATATTTGTTTGTCAATAGTTTAGAATCGGCATCATCAAAGACAAATACAATGCGCAGACAGATCGAGGAGGCTCTGCTTTTTACATTACGTGCGCGCCTCAGTTCCATACCACTCCTCACGCTGTGCAGCCTCCACCACGACGACAACAGTGCCGGCGGGTGTGTACGGCGACGCTGACGTCTCAAAGGCGTAGAAACAGGTGGGGCAACACACGAGTTCTAAGTAATATAGGGTGAGTGATAACTGCCCTTACATCACCCACCCAATTACCGCGATTGGGTGGGTGGTCACGTCTTTGGCCATAATTGCTTGTGGTCAAAATGACGCAGGGGCTTTACAGAACACAGGCTAACTTCGAACAGATTGCAAGCAATGCATGGCTTCAAAAGCCCGGAGGCGTGAGTTCGACTCTCACCAGATGACTTTTTTTTTTGGTTTTTTTTTGGTGCGCTTCACGTGTGAATTGTTCTTCGATACGAGCTAAGAACTATCGTCGTTTTGCAGTTGTTTTAGCATCGCTGAAACGATAACAATAGTTGTTGGGTGTAAGCAGCCCAAAATCTTTGCTCGCCATCCGATTCGAGCGCAATTTTAGCAATCGCACCGCAGTGAGTGGATACTATATTATTGCTCTTGCTACGCAAACATTCGTGCGAGTAGACATCCATCGCTACAGACATTCTAGTCATCAGGTCTATTCCAGGCTGACAACTGGTGCTATTGCACATTCCGACGATAGCAAAGAGTGTTGATCGTTCATCGCCTGCGCTATAAAGCCGAGCAGCTAAATTCCAAGATGACGACATTGCTGACGAGATCTTCAGCCACCCGGGCAGCGTTTCGACACTCAGATGAGAGAAGCCAGTTATTCAGATCTTATTGTTATCCTGCTCAAATTGACATCAACGGCTAAACGTTGTAGAAGGATGGAGTGTCGTCCGAGCTTGAGCCTCGCTTTCTTCGCATTCCCGGGATGTGGATCCTTCGCTCTTCACAGTTCTGGAATCCCGATAAGCTTGTTCTGACTTCACCTCTTTACCTCTTCTTTCCAATTACCATCTCTCAAGGATGACGCCGTCGTTTTCATGACCTGGAATGCAAATGTGGACTGCTCTTGGATCGAAGCTTGACGTTGACGCTTCATTTTGCTTCTCGAGCGTTTGGGTGACAATTTCGGTCCATCGCCAATACTTGCTCTTTTTCCTATGGCGCAGCGACATCGCTTCTTTCAAAACTGTTTGCAGAAGCTATGGGTTGGGCCCCAGGCATCCGCAGCGCAAAATTTTAGCCTTCTCTCGACAAGTGGAAGAACGCAGACTTTTCTAGGCCTGAGAAGCATAGATGCATCTTGTCGACTGTCTCTCCACCCGTATCAATGCAAGCCGAGTTGGTGGTATTCGAATGATTTTGCCTCCAGCCACGCATTGGACCTTCAGGTTCCGAGATTGCATCAGCCTCCTTCATCAGTCACACAGCATCGAGCCACCGCTCCTGAATTAATAGAGAACACTTTCCTCGACGACGAAGTGAACAAGCACAAGCAGAGCTACCTCAACGCCAACAAGGGCCTGCTCGGAAATCACCTAGCGATGTCGATTGAGCCGGGTACGAGATCTCCTGGAATGAGATTGCTGGCGAGTTCAGTGAAGTCTACTTAGCGCGACGAATCGTGTGAGTGGCCAGTCTTTCAACACTGCTATGCCTTCCGCATTCAAACAAGGCATGAAGGCCGGCGCTTTCGCCGTCCACCTTCGAAACCAATATCTACCTTCTCCCTCCGCTTGGGTACTTGCGACTTTATCTATAAGGCTGCGGTGAATAACTGATTTTCAATTGAGGGCCAGAAGCGGCACGACCTCAGAAGATGGATTGAAAGAGTCGGAGGTATGGCGCTATACGATACGCTTTCGATGCTGTTGATGAGCCCGCGCAGAGCTTTCTTTTGTGCAACGCGACGTTCAGCTGGCGTCGCGGGTTTGGGACGGCATGAGTGCCGAAGAAGGGCCTTTAGTCGCCAACAGAAAGGTGAATATTCAAGACTGGCCCTCTTGGAGATTTCTATTGGCTCTGTTGCTTGGTGAGCGCTCGGGCAGGGTTGGATCCCCGCTGCGCTAGCGGACAAAGTTCAAGTCGGCAGACGTGCTGCCTCAACTCCAACAACAGACACCGTTCCTCGACTCTTTCCACACCTGCGACGTACGCCGTCTCGCCTCTTGTCAATCTCAACGACTGGTCGCGTCCAGATCATGGCGACTCTTCCGACAACGCGGTCGGGCTCGCCACCAGCACTGCCGCTAAGCCACCAGTCTGATACTCGCACCGACGAAGACAAAGCCCGCCGTGTGCAGCGCCTGGCGCAGCACATCACCAACGCCCATGACCTCGACGTCGTGATCAGCATCACCGATCACCTACCATTCGTCGTCTCTGCTCTCAACGTCTTGCTTCGAGTCAATGCCTCCCACGGCTTTGTCAACCTCTTGCTCTAAGACCGCTGGTGCAGCGCGAGTCATCCGGGCCTTTTCGATTACCTGAGACACAAACTTCCAGAGCTCCAACTTGCAGAACTTCAACTTCCAGAACTCCAACTTCCAGAGCTCCAACAAGAACGACCAGGCCAGAAAGAAATCGAAATACGGCGAGACGTACTTCGCACGGTGTTGCAACGTGGGAAGCCCAATCACGAAGCCGCTGCTCGTCGGGCACTATATCGAGCGCTCCATCAGAAGTACAAGCAATGGACGAAGGAAGTTTGCTCCGGATGCCTGAACAAAGTCCGGGAAAACACTGGAAATCATCATCACGCATTCTGCCAAATATGCTTCCCCTTGTGGTGCGCTTCTACCGGAGGATACTACAGTAAGCCTACAATGGATAGAAAGATCCGATCATCTTACTGACAGTCTCGCAGCCCAGGAGGAAGTGGATGACCTGTGGCTTGGTGTCTACCCATCACTTGTGCCAGGATTCGAGTTTCAGCACGGAATGAGCGACACTGGACTCCTCACTCACTATCGTGCTGCCACAGTCCAAATGATTGCCTCAGAAGTGCATGGAATGGACCTCGACGCTCTCAAAGACGTGACGCGCAGCATGACGCCCGAAGCTCATCTCCAGTTGGCAACGAACCTTTGCAAATACTCTGCTGAGCGATTCTGTCGACCTCATCCTCATATTCCCGCCAACGAGCTCCACAAGGACATCATAGGACCTGCATACAAATTGTACGGGCACGAAACCGATGTCCTGGGCTTGGAAGCACTGAGCACGACCGAGATCATAGACCTATTGGAACAGAAAGAGGCTACGAATCCTATCCCCAGGCAGCTCTTCAAGTTGGCTGGCGCGCGAAGACTGCGCGATATGGGCACTGTCACGCCGAACGCGATTCGTGGCATCGTCGCAGGTGGCAGGCTTGATCTTCCGGGACGCAAAGCAAGCCTACTCATCCTTCGTCAAATCAGGGAACGCAATGCTGATAAGCTTTAGCACGGTCATTAGCGTGGATATCTGTACTGATGCATGCCAGCACCTGGCATCCCTATAGTTACCGGCCGAGCATCACGAAGTCATCCCAGTCATACAGTACTGCATTAGCGTCCGAGCTCCATCTCTATCATTTTTCCTAATCGACTACAAAGAGTTCAACGCCGCCGTTCGCAAGACATACTGGACGCTGGTCGAGAAGTTCAGAGCCCAGGACAGGCAGCTTTGGTACGACGAGGTGATCAACTCCGAAGGTCAACTCAACTTCCTCTTCGCCAAGGATGATCTCAAGGGCTGCATTGATAGGATCTGGTCGAATGAGGCACTTTTCAATGAATTCGAGATTCGGGATCTGACCATACACGCATGTGCGTCAAGCATCTACCACCAGCAGCTCTACTCTCCCGAGTTCATGCAGAAGGCGGCCAACTTCTCAACATGACAGTACGACGTCTATTACTGCTAGTCTCCTGGCCTCACTTCTACTGATCTCGACGCGTGGATGAAGGCCTACGGCCGCGGCTGCAACGTCACCATTCTTGGTACAGGAGCGGCCGCCTACATGACACCTCACCGGCTGCAGAGCGTGCTTGCCGGCAAGATTTTCATCTACGAGCGCTATCCGGATGGAAATTCCTGGAAGCCTTCTTCACGGCCTTAAGGCTTGTCACCAGCGGTTGCAACACGCTCGAAAGACTGATGCTGGCTGCGTGCCTTCATTGGTAGCGCAACTCACCCGGCCTGGACCACCTTCGACCAACCCATTCTTCTTACCACCCTCATTGACTGCTGATAATGTTTTGTTCTACACCTACGAACCTTTGTTTTGCTTTTCCTCTTCACCCACGGCACGAGCGAGCCTTGCAGCGAAGGCTCATTGCGTTGATTGGTCCGGATGATACGAGCCAGGAGCATTGCCGGTACAACCTGGAATATCAGCTGACGACATTCTCTACGTTGCCGACTCACGGCTTGCTCTGCAAGATACCCCCGAAGCATGCATTTGTGCTTCATGTCAGCGTTTCGTTCAAGACTGTACACTAGATAAACACTGTTTCATTCGTACAACTCTCAACATGAATTCCCGTTTCAAAAAAAAAAATTTCCTATTCAAAGCCTTCAATCTTAGTGATCTCCAGCACAGAAGGCGTTCTGTAGCCAGTGCGCTGAGCAGTACTGCTCCCTTGCAGAATCCCTCACCCAAGACTTTGAGGGATCAGGACCCCGTGTAGGAGAGCATGTAGTCATCATCGTCATTCTTGTCCTTACCATCGCCACGATCAGCAGGCTCCTTCATGTTCCCCGGTGTGAACTCGCAAGCCTCAACGCCGCCCATAGCTTCTCTTATGATCATAGAGTGTGCAACTTGCGTCGCTACATGTCTTGAAGCATTCCTAGGCTCCTTTGCGTCTTGTGTCGACCATAAGCCGACAATAGTATCCACACCGACATGTTCAAATCTGGCCAATTGCCCTTGCTCGGCTCGTTCTTTGCCCATCCTCTATCTCTTTGAGTACAGTCCCTTCTTTCTGAGCTTCGCCTCATCCGCTCAGGTTCCATAGTTCTGCTGATTGGCGTGCGTGTTGTGTGGGTGCAGTGGATTGACCCTGCATGGATGATGTCTACAATTCAGCATCGAACATGTTTCCAGCGTCGCCGCTGTAAGATGCTGTAGTTGAAGCGGCAAGACGTGTGTGATAAAGGGCGCGTGATGATGCAAAATCTCCAAGCCCAAGCGCTCAGATGCAGTTTCTACGGCCCGTCGATGCTGCTGTCTTGCAGGCTTGCAATGGCAGGTGAGAGATGGTGGAGGCTCGAGATCGCGCGGTTGATGTGCGACGCCAGCGATGCACACTGCCCTCCACGTCCGCAGGCGGCTTCGGAGAACTGGTGCTGGCGGGCTGAGGGTGGACAGTTCGAACAGAAGGGCTATGGTCGAGGTGCCGGCTGGTCGGTCTTGATGTGTTCGATGCTTGAGAGAGAGAAACGGTTGGGCAGGGCGACTGTCGACGCAGTCGTGGGGACGGTCATCGAGATGCTCGACGGCTCGACAGGGTCCGGCGTGGATTGCGATCGAAATGCATTTGTGTAGAGTAGACGACGGATTGTAGAAGTCACAGATTGTGTGAGATGCACATCGTGATCGTATGAAAGATGGGGTTATTGTTTGCTGGATGTGATGCGGCAAGGGCCATCATCGGCGCGTAGACAATGACAAGATAACGTCGACCTGCAAGTATCGAGCAGCATAACCGGTCAAGACGTTAAGGCGGGAGGAGAGTCGTCGGCACTCGCGCGAAGTTCGGCAAGGCGATTGAAGTCTATATAGGTTGTAAGAAAAGTGTGTCCTCTGTCCTTCGACCAAATCCGCATTGGCACCGAAGGACGGGGCGTGCAAACTCAGTAGGCTTAGCTGAGTTGAGATCGTCCGTAGTTCAGAACATTGGCTAATTCATCACAGGATTTACTTCACATATCGATCTTTCAGAGATCGTCAGTTCAATCCCCTTGGGGGCACACATCTCAAAACAAGAAATATTTTTTTGCTTTTTTGCCTGTCTATCTGGGCAAGCGTATGATCATTGCGCTATCGATTTCTTTTGATTTGGATCGATTATCATCGTTTATGAGTGTGTGAAGACTTTTTTGCTTGTTGTGTGGCCGCTCGTCGTTCGCGTTGGACGTTTCAGGGACGGCTGGCTTGCCAACTCCACGTGACTGCAAACGCGACAGCAACACGACAACATCACCTTTGCAGCTCATTCCGCCGTCGAGCAACTCTCCAAAATACATACAAACATAACGGCAAGTGTAAAAGATCACCACTGCAACAGGTAAGTTAAGATACATGATCGACGCCACCAGGAGAGAGCGGTGCGCTTGAGAGTTGAGCATTGCTGACGTTTACAGGACCATCAGCGCCTTCAAAAGAAGCAGATTCACCTTCATCGCCTCCCCTCATCGCCCACCATACATGACATGAAGATGGCACGCTCCCGCCCGTCGGCCTCCGCGAGCGAGCCCGGGTTGGCTTGGACAGACCCGACCACGTCCGGAAGCAGCGCAATGTCGGGATCGTGCTTGCGAATCTTGGCGTCGCCGAACTGGAGGAATGGAACACTTTGCTGGACGGGTGTTGATCGAAGATCGCTTGATTCGAGAAGACTATCTAAGGAGGGACTAAGCTGGCTAAATACGAGGGCAACTACCTATTGTGGCAGTGCTAAGACATGTGAAAGTAAGACAAGTGAATCCATGTGCTCTATCTCCTGCGACAACGGGCCGCAGCACGTGCTGGAAGAAGCGATGGGAGACGCAACGCCTCGCATCCGTCCCCGCCTCTCGCTGGTGAAGTTTCCGTCCTGGACACCGCCCTCTTGGGCGATCTTCACCTCAAGATCGTAGACTCGTGTGAGCTGGCGCACCAGCAGCGCCAGAAGAAGGAAGAGGAGAGGAAGGAGGAGAAGGAGGAGCAGAGTGAGAGCCCCTCGAAGGTGAAGAAGGTGGCGAGGAAGATGGCTGGCGCAGTGCGCCAAGCTCTCCGGCGTATGATTAGAGGAAAGGCATAGTCACCAGCTGGGATATCCCCAGAGCAGGACTGGAGACCATGCCGTCCGTGAATGAAAGAGAGGATTTGAGAGTATGAAAGTTATGGGGAACGCTTTGAATGTTGAACGTTTCCAACTGTTTACCGGCCTGATTTCCAGGGGCGTGCGCATGGATCCATCATCCAAAGCACTCAGCTAATGTACATACAGGATACCTTCTATCCTACGTTTTGATTGCGCTTGGTTGGATGGTTCAGGGCCATAGACATCTAGCGAGCGTTCGTGTTCGAGTCGACCGTCTCCTGCATGGTGGCACGCTTCTCATCCGTATCATCGATCGGGGCGTCGTCATCAGTGATGCCGAGACCGTAGGCAATCATGTCGAAGTAGGCCAGAAGGTCGTCGAAGAAACCAGGAGAGCGCTTGGAAGCGTGAGATTTCCACGAGCTGGGAGCATCGACACCATTCATGAGACAGATCCGCTTCTTCTGGAATGGGACCATCGGATAGGCCTTCTGGAGAGACTCGACGACCTCGATGTTGGTAGAAGGTCCCGTGGCCGAGACGAAGGCCAAGTTGGTAGAGGCGCCGTCGTCGACGGTGAAGCAGTGGTACTCGTAGACACCAATATCAACACCCTCGACGAGCGTCTGGTTGACTGGCCCACAGCCAGCTCCCTCGATGTAGGGACGACCGACGTTGACGTAGTAGTTAGCCATGGCTCCGCCATGGTTAGTGGCGGTCAGGGCGACGGTGCAGACAGCTGCGTTGCTCTCGATTGGAGCGGCGTTGACGGCGGTCAGGCCGAGGAGGGAAAGCAGCAACAACATCGTGAGGAAGATGTTGAGGGTGGAGATGGTTCGAAGGCGAAGCTTAGGTTGATCCTTGAGGAGATCTCCTAAGGAGTTGGGACGGAGAGCAGCCAATCTCTCAAAAGGTTGGTAAGTGTTCGCCGTGAGCGAGGTTGTGTTTGCCGTGGTGAGAAAGTTGGTGTTGCTTGCGTTGGGGTAGAGGTGGTGAGGGTTAGGAATGAAAGTGTAGGTAGATTGGTACGTTAAATACTGAATAATAGGTGTTCTTCGTCATGTGTTATGCGTTCAACAATCTCATTGTGTCACTAGAGCCAGTTACATGCCATAATACCATAGAGCCAGGACAAAGAACGGACTCAGGGGCTTAGTGATGAAATCAATAAAAGCAACAAAGAGGCTCGGTATCGTCCTTTTGGGCAAGAATGGCTTTGATAGAGTGCAAATGGAAAGGGAAAGACGCCTCAGGGGCGCTGTATACCACGAAAGAGCCCAGACTTGTCCATTCTGCAGAAAGATAGCCTTAATGTGAAGTTCCGCCTCGAACTGCGAGATCGTCAGTCCTTCTATTGGGGTTCTCTCACGACAGCTTCAGCACCAGATGTATCCAAAGACATATATGTATCTCTGATATTCTTGATATGACCAGGGTTCTGAGATCGTTCATTGAAATATTGTCAGGCTCGCTGCAGGAGAGATAATCCACCGAACAAATGTAATGAAATGTGATGTTCACAAACTCTCCTCGAGCCATCACTCGGCTCTCTGAGTGAAATAATGTCTTGAAACGCCTCTCTTATCGATTCTGGCATTGGCGCACTCCTGGGATGCAATTCTTGCTTGCCAGCCCACGCTCACTTTGAGATTCATTTCCAACATCACAAGTTAAATTGGTTGCCCTTACTTCTCTCTTCATACGCAAAACGCCAACACCATCACCCGCTCCACAACTTCACATCACCGCTGACTTCATAACATCGCAACCACAAGATGTCCAACACCGTAGCAGACGCCATGAACGAGCTCCTCGACATGCTCATCGACTACAAGCCGCAAGTGCACGGTAGCATGGGCTACGTGCAGACATACCAGCAGCTGGAGGCCGTTCTCGTCGCCGCCATCAACAACACCGCTGGCTCGCTCCTGCCAGACATCTTGAGCGAGATTCACTTGCACGTCGACGACAACAACGACAACGGCGAGCTGAGATGGTTGTTGGCGCGGCATGTGAACGAGGCACCGCGCCTCACTACGGCGCAGCAAGTGAGGCTGCGAGAGATCTTGGCGGGCATGATTGGGCCTGCGATTGAGGCGGATGAGGATGACGACGAGAGCGACGAGGAGGACGACTAGTAGGAGGAGGATTACAATGAGAGCGAGGAGGAGTATGAAGAAGACGAGTGAGGAGAGTGAGGGTCGAAGTGAAGTAGGGAGTGCGGCTGACGGCGAATGAGGCGAGCACCACCAACGATGTGTATTGCCAGACGAGAAGAAGATCCGCGATCACGAAGAGGCTATTGGGGGCAGGCCCAAGAGTGAGGATGAGAGCGAGGCAGACCAAGGCCCTAAAATATGGGTACTTCACCAATGCATCAAGGCTTTTGATTCCTGAGCGATCACGCCTAATGTTTCTACTCATGATGATGAATCCCCTCGCCACCCTCATGCTTCGAATACGACGACGAGCTCGCCCCATTCCTAGTCACCGTCCTCGAACTCACCGTCCTCCCCTCACCCCGTCCGTGCGAATGGAACCAGCTGCTCCTCGACTCCTCCCACTTTTCCATCTCGCGACACTTGTCCTCATACTTGGCAACAAACTCGTCTCTTTCGCGATCGGCCGCGGCGCGGGCAGTGATGGCTCTCTCCTTCTGCTCGCGGGCCTCGCGAAGCATGGTACGGAGACTTTCGATCTCAAACTCGAGCTCGCCGCTGTCGTTGTTATACTCGGTGATGGTCTCGGTGACTTCATCGTAGCGCTGCTTGAATTGTTCGAGTTCGTGGCGGGCCTGGAGAATTATGAATGGTTAGCGAAGCGCTTCACAAGAGCAGTGGTATATGAACACTCACCTGGTCACGAGCCTCAGTGGTTGTGCGGATCTCAGCCTGGAGGAGTGCTAACTTCTCTTTGAGCCCAGACAGCTCGCCATGAAGATGATGGTTCTTGTCCTTCAAGTCATCTCTTTCATGTTCAATGTGCTTGATCCTCTCCGTGGTACTGTACACTTCAGTGCGAACGTCGCTGAGTAGAGACTCAGTTCGGGTCAAGGTCTCCTGGAGTGTTGTGAGCTGGCGATGAGTATCAGAAACTCTGCGGCGCTCGCTCTCGACATCGTCACGAAGCTGATCTCGTTCGACGATAACAGTGCGATGGTTCTCCTGGCTGCGCTCGAGGCGCTGACGGAGCTCATGGATCTCGGACTCCAGGCCGTGCAGCCTGCCATCCTTATCGATGCTCTCTCTCTTGGATTGCTCAAACTTGAGAACGATATCTGCCAATCGAGCTTCGACTTCTTCGTTGGCAGTGACCTTTGTGCGGATCTCCAGGCGCAAGCGGTCGATTGTGGTGGCGTGGTCATCTCTCTCCGACTCGATGAAGCGGATGGTGTCCTTAGCCTGCTTATGATCTCGCTGAAGGCGTTCGTACTTCTCAGTGACTTCAGTCAACTCCCTGGAAGTGTCTTCAACCCTCAGAGAGATCTTGCGGTGCTGCTCCTGGAGCCTATCTTTCTCCACCAGAAGCTCGGTGCGCTCACTCTCCCAGGCCTTGATGCGATCAGTCAAAGTCTGAACCTCTTGTCGAGAGACATCAAGCTTGGAAGTGATGTCGGTGTACCTGGCCTTCACATCGGTGTGCTCTCGAGTGATGATGCGAAGCTCAGATCGAGCCTTGTCGATGTCCTCCCTGGCATGGTCTCGCTCCCCCTCGGCCGTCTTCAATCTCAAGACGATGCTCTCAAGTTCCGCTTTGGCGTTGTCAAAGTCGATCTGCGAGCGTGAGGTGGACAGGCGGAAGTCACTCAGCTCAGTTCGGATGCGCTCGATCTCCTGGTCTTTGTCGGCGACTTTCTTCTTCTGCTCGGAGACACCGTTGATGGCAGCAGAAAGCTCAATGAGAAGCTTCTCGATCTCTTTCTTCCTCTCGTGGAGCTCGCGGCCGTGGTTGTGTTGCTGGGATTCTTTCTGCTCCAGGGTTTCGTTGACCTCGTCGATCTGGAGCATCAGCTCTTCTCGCTCCTTGTCAAATGACTCTCGATCAGCCATGAGACGGCTCCAGTACTCCTTGAGCGACGAGGCCTCTCGAGAAGCGTTGGACATCAGCTCAATGAGAACGAAGAATTTGCTCTCAGCCTGAGTCTGCAGCTCCAGCGACATCTTGTTACGATGAGAGTGCATAAAGGAGCTAGCTCTGCGAGAGCTGCTAACCTGCCTGCTGGAGCGAGACAAAGAAGAGCGTTTGTTCTCTGCTCGGCTGTGGAAACCAACAGACTTGGCCGGAGTTTCTGGGTCAGAGAAGACATCTCCGTCGAGATGTGACGACGAGCTGAGCTTCATGATAGCCAGCTTCTCTGGGGTCATGTGAGAGAAGTCTTGGAAAGATGTTTCCATTGTCGATGTGTCTCCGTTCATGATGAAAAGAAGTCAACGATTGAAAAAAGTCGGGGGCGAGCTGGAGCTCATGACAGCTATATGCCTTTGCCATGGTGGCATGGAGGTTGCCCTACATGAAATCTACCGACCGCCCGTGGACGACCTTGACCAAGAGGCACATTCTTTTCACTTCGAGCCTGGCAAACAGCAGAGGGGCTCGCATATACCCAATCACGGCTTCATGAGCTCACATACAGATCCACAAGAGCTCTATCGATGGGGTCATATCCATCATGGCGCTCTTCGTATCGTTCTCACGGAACGCTCAATCGATCGAATGCATTGAGTTTGGGAACAGCTGGAGAAGCTAGCAAGCACATCACAGCCAGCCATGGTCTAGCAACCTGGAAGGTCCGGAGCTGTTCTTTGGCACTTGGCCACGCCATGACGCTGAGCTCCATTACAATGCTCTCGTTGTCGTTCTCAGCAGTCTTCGTTGATTTGTAGGTGACGCTGCAGTTTGCAAACTGCATGGATCTTCGCATCCGAGCTGTCAAAATGTCATCGACCGGCATCTTGGCCAAGGCCTAGAGCCTCTCATCGATCTCGGGATCGACTGGACCGTGCTAAGTCTGGGAATTACCAGAACGGGAAAACACACCACTCGCAATGCTACCAATAGGCCTTGGAGCCGTCAGCTTCGCTATTCCCACGCCCAACCCCCAGCCATCAATTCCCCTGGTCAGCGCTGCTCCCGCTCTTCACAGAGAACTACACACCTCCAGAACGTCACGATCGGTGGAACGAACGTCGTTCTCCTCCTCAAACCCGATGGAACTGACGTGCATTAGACCCGCATTGGCGCATCAAATTCTCCGAGGAGCTAGAAGGAGCTCTACCACATCATGTCCCCTTTGAGGCAATTCAAAGCTCAGCGCTGCCCAGGGAGCTCTATTGCATTCCCCTCTTTCGAAGCTGCAAGCCATGAGAGCATATGTGTATTTTCCCCTTGAGGTCTAGATTCCGCGTAACCAGATGCTCTTATGCGAGTCTTGCGCAGGCTCCGGTACCACGTCCTATTGCGTTATGCATCTCGGTCATGACGATGTTGAGAGGGCCTCGATTGTGTTGCGTTGGGCGTGGTCATCGATGTGTGCTTGGAGAATTTGAACCTATTTGACGGGACCTGGACTGTCAAAATTTACCCACCCAAGGCCTTGAACGGACGATGACAAGCATTCATTACTGTATTCTGCGAACACATTTGTGATCTCTCTCTGCAGGGAAGATACAGAAACAGAGTTTCTCAGACTCCGGACGTCCGAGCCTTTCCAACTTCCCATCCATCGTCCTCCGATAATGCTCAAGACACCCGCCCGTTCTCCACGTTCGCTGCCAGGATCTTCTCGATCTTGTCCTTGATATCCTGCGGAATGTCTCTCTCAAACTTTCGCTTATCCTCATCATTCTTCATATCTCGCAAGGAAGCGTCAATCTTGCTTAACGCATTATCCAACCTGTCTGCCGCTACAAATGGGTTTTTGACAACGTTCGAATCCCTTTTCGTAGGGACATCATCGCCATCGGCGCTTGGGAATTGGTCTCTTCTTAGCGCCCTCTTCTCGACATCCTCCTCGAACGACGGCAGTTTCTGTTGTACGTTGAGGCACGAATCGAGGAGAGCGTTGAAGCCACGCTTGGTTTCAGAATGAATGCGTCGAAGAGCGAGTTCGTTAAAACGGAGAACTAGTCGTTCTGTCCAGTTCTCGGTGTCGTTCTTGGGTCTGAAAGCGTCAAGCTTTTCTCGCTGGAAGATCGCTTCTGGACTGTTCATCTCTCTGGTATGTTGTGCTTATATCGTGGAGCATAGTGAACTTCGTGTTGTGGGGGAAACTAATTAAAAGGCCAATCGAGTTTGCTCGATGGTCATTCAAAGAGAAGGTCAGCAGTGGATTTTGAAGGCAAAGGCAGCCTCAGCACGCTAACGACTCGTGCACAGAACATTCGCAATAGCTTGCTTTGCCATTGTGAGATGTCTATCTCTTCCGTGAATCCTGCACTGGCACTTTCATTCTCCTCAACGACATTGACTCAGATCCCATGCTCCGCGTCAAGTACAATTCGCCAACGGAGTATCACCGCCGTCGCCATATCTGATCGTACAATCATTCCCAGTCGCAGTACACTAAGCTCAGTCAGCCATGTAGTGATGCATGACCATCGAGCAATCAACTCACGAGAGCATTGGGGTCACAAGGAACCGCGAAGACCTCACTCGCAGAGCCTTGTCCGGGCCAGACACAGACAGCCCTGCCTGTCGTGTCGAACCCACATCGCTTGGGAGAACGGAGATGAGCATGATTAGAATCTTTTCCATCATCTCGTCGCGCTCACCAATAGTAGGTAATCTCTTGGACGCTTCGTGGGCGAGGCTGCGCTGTTGCTGAGGAATAGCAGCGCTAGGACTGCTTCCAGATAAGTCATACTTTGATGGCGCAGTTTGAGCCGTGAAAGAAACGTGGGAGTTTCTCGCTGTCTATGAGATTATTAGCATGTCCATAGCAAAGCAAATCTCAGCGAGTAAACATGCCTACCGCAGCTGGGCGGTTGCTCAATGGCTCAAAATCTATCGTTTGGCGTGCCTACCAAATCATTTGGCAAATTTATCGATCGACAATCTGACGAGTATTAGTATCTGGGTAATCAGGTTTCGGAGAGCCTTTTGTAACTTAGAAACTGGAACATCAACGAACTCGCCGGGAAGTGGTGTGAGGCGAGAATCCCTGCTACATGGTTACGCCACAGTCCACCTTGTGGTTCGTATCGCAGCATAGTCATGATTGACGCCCTTGCAGTAGTGCAGTCTCACACGTGAACTTTGACAGCCAGTTTGTGATTCGATAGTACGACTGACACTCCCAAGAAAAGCAGGCAGCATTGTCTTTAGACTCGCACAGCGACATTTCCGTTGAACGTGACATATCTTGTATGACGATAGCACAAGGATCCTGAACAGCGAGAATACAACCAGCAATAAGAGGAAGACAGCCCCAGATATCGTTCTCAAACTACCCAGCCTCATGTGAAGACACTCATGGCTCTCACGAGCACGACCCAGCTACGTACAACTCGCAAACGGATCCCCCTCATTCCACCAACACTTATTCCCAGTCTTCGTACACTGTCGTCCCCACCCATCAGCTCCCCTCTCCCCAGATCCACAACACGACTCACCTTCTTCGCCTGATCACAAGGCCACCCATGAAGCATATTTCCAGTCGTAGTCTTCTTGTCCACGCAGAGCTGCAGCCCGTTGGGGACGTTGAGGAGGCATTCCTACAGATGTTAGGCTTGGGTTGAGGTTGGGTGTGTGGTAGAAGGGGTGCGTACTGAGGTGATGAGTTGGTTGGTTTCTCCGGTTGGGGTTCCGAGGCAGGAGGTGCTGAAGAGAGCGAGGAGAAAGGTGGTGAGAGGTTTCATTGTGGAGATGCTCAGGGAGAAGAACCAAAGTCTCTGCGGGTATTGGGACGGAAGGGAAAGAGGGCTTGAGAGTGGGAGAGGATATATACGTCGACGAGAGGCAAGCTGACGCACGTCTCACACATCCGCAAACATTAACGCCAGTCCTCGGAATGCCAGCCTCCTACCTGCTTGCAGGTCGCTTTGTCCTTGACACATCCCATTGTGCTTGTCGACACAGTCTTGGAAAAACAGTTGTTGGCAGCCGGCTGAACATCGCAGGTGTTGCTTCAACAGCAGGCTTCGGGGTGGTGGCTCAGGAACGAGCGGCGACAAACGACTCCACGGGGTGTCGTTACAGCAGCACAGGTGGCTTCGAGGTGACATTCTCGTCAAACGATCCGCAGTGTCAAGAAGCCCGTGATCAAGGAAATGCTTCACCATGCAGCCAGCCGTTAAGGCCCATCGGGGTTCTTCGATGGGACAAGACTGCATGTGTCATCACGAAGACATCAGTTCTTTCGTAACACATACATATCGCACAAACTCCTCTTCCCCATTCACTCCCCTTCTACAACTTCGCCCCAACCGGCATAAACCTCATCGCCTGCCTCACGCCCAAATCCGCAAGAACCTCCTCCGCGCCCCCCAAAATCGCATCAAACTTATTCGTGCGATTAAACATCTCCACCACCCGTCCCATGCCCGTCTGCGTCAACCCCCTCCCGCCAAAAATGTTCGTCGCCTCATCCGCAATCTCATGCGCACTCCGCGTGCAGAACGTCTTGAGCAGCGCGATGGGGCCGGAGAGCTGTTTGGCTTGTTCGGCGTAGGACATTTTGGTCATTTGGTAGGTTATGGATTCGACCCAGGCTTGGTTGGCTTCGACGTGTTGGATGATTTTGGCGAGTTTGGCGCGGATGACGGGTTGGTCGATTCTACAAGAGAAGGAGAAAGGGAGTTAGTGGATTGGGATGGGAATGGGAATGTGGATGGGAATTGGGACGTACAGGGGTTTGCCGAAGACACGGCGTTGGTGCGACCATTTGAAGCATTCTTCGAAGACGGTGCGGGACCAGCGCGAGACCATGGCGGCCATCATGAAGCGTTCCTGGAATCACATCACATTAGCATACTTCCTCTCACTCCCAACAAGTTACATCTTCAGTGGTGGTAGTACTCACATGATTGAAATTACTCATAATCACCACAAACCCCTTATCCTCCGGGCCCAGCAAATTTCCCTTGGGGACCTTGACATTGTTAAACTCGATATACGTCGTCGCCGCGGCGGCCGAATAACTCGTCTTGACGGGCTTCGTCTCGACGCCCTCGCCGCGCTCAATCAACAGCACCGAGAAGCCCTTGGGCGTCTTGCATCCCGTGACGAAGTAATCGCACCACATGCCATTCGTGATCCACTTTTTCGTGCCGTTGACGATATAATGCTGGCCATTATCGCTGAGTTCCGCCGTGGTGCGGAGGCCCGCGACATCAGAACCAGCGAAGGCCTCGGTGACGGCGAGGCAGATCTTCTTCTTGCCGGAGAGGACTTCCTGGCTGACTCGTTCCCGCAGGGCGTCGTCCTTGCACCAGGCGTGTACGGCCGTCAGACTGATCGTCATGCCGGCCATGTTGCCGTCCTGGAAGCCTCGCATGTTGGCGCGGACGATCTCTTGCGTGACGATGAGGTCGTGGAAGTAGTCGTATTCCTCGCCCTTGACGACGCCGCCGAAGATCTTGCGGCCTTGCAAGTGTTTGCCTGGGCCGAGACGGCAGGCGAGGAGGTTGACTTCGGCCATTTTGTTGATGAGGTCTTGCGAGATGTATGTGCCGTCTTTCTCTTTCTCCATCGCTTCGGGGATGATGTGCTTCTCTGTGAACTCTCTCACGGCTCTTTGCAGCTTGCGGTGGCTGTCGTTGAAGTAGGGCGAGTGGAAGGACTTGTTCAGCCATAGTGGTTCGGCGTAGGGAACTGGGGAGAGGTCTCCGGGTTGAGGGTCGATGGCTTCGGGTTTCTCGCCTTCGAGGACGCCGACGAGGAGGCTCTTGTATTGCTGGAGGACTTCATGGCGGTGGAGGTTGTAGAAGGCTTCGGTTGCGTCTTGGCCGGCGACTTGGCGGAGGACGACTTCGCCACCGGGGTGAGCGTCGATGAAGTCGGAGACGTCGTAGACTTTGTGGTCGACGATGACCCAGATGTCCTCTTCGGAGGTGTGCTGTTTCGATGTTTAGCTTTGCTGGAGGGAGAGGTCGGTGGGGACTAACTTTGGCGACCTCCTGTCGGGTTAGTGGGCCCTTCATGGTGGATGTTGATGCCACGAAATAGAGCAATGAGTGAGAGAGGATATGTAAAGTGCAGGGGTCTGATTAGAAGAAGCCATTGTTGCGTTGATGGAGCTGTCTGCGAAGGACGGGCAGTAGGCCGAGGTCCATGGGAGTTGTCCAGACGATTCACCGACGATTACCTGAAGTGGGTAAGCCGACCCGTGCGTGATTTGATTGGTTCATCGTTATACATTAGCGACAAAGACGCCAAAGACGGTAGTCGTTCAAGGTCTTCTGTATGAGAATAGATGTTTGGCAGAGATGTCCTCACATGATACCCAACTCAGAAAATCCCTTGACCACGTCCTTGTCCACATTGGCAAGCCACTGTTCTTTGAATTGGTCATTGCCTCCCGTCGCTGCAATTGCCTGCTGCAGGTAGTACTTGATGAAGTCCGTGATGTTGATCGTGTGCACATCGTCGGATGCTGTCAACTGGCAACGTCGAGCATCTTCCGGCTGTTCGGGTCCTGAAGCAGAAGCGGTGTTCGCCATCTCAGAACCATACACCAACGCATCGCCACCTGCATCGGCAGCATCTTCTCGAAGCTCGGTGACCACGTCCGTCCAGACCGTCATGAGTGATTGCAGATTCAGCAGAATGAACGGTTGGTTGGTCTCGAGGAGCTTTGTCAGGGCGAGACACATCAACTTGCGTCTGGCTGGATCACCAATGTTCTCAAAGTGCGAGAACCACTCCTCGAGCAGCCACTTCATGAGCGCCTCTAAAGGCTGCTGCTCGGAGAAGGCCGTAGAAGCAGCAGCTTGGCACGCATACAAGAAGCCATCAAGCGAGCCCAAGATCGCCCGCGCGAAGATGGCGAAGTAATCCGTCTCGACAATGCCATCCACAGGAGCCTCCTTGGCGTTTGGCCCAGTCGTACAGTGAGCGAGCCACGAGCCCCGGAGCCCTTGAAGTAATTTTGGAAGAAAGCCATTCTCACCTGTCTTCGGGTCCGATGTTTGGGCCAAGTCCCATGTGATCATGAATATGGCGCTGCTGAAGTCTCCCAGAGGGAGAGAAGCTGCGACATACTGTCTTTGCGCTAGACGAAGTGTCGTCTCAACAAGGTTGCACACAATCCCGTTTGCGTCAGGTCTGAGTGATCCGATAAGCTTCGAAAGTGCGACGAAAAGGTTGAGCCGTACATCTCGCGACAGCATGTGTTGCGGAGCGAGTATCACATACGAGTCCGTGATCTCCAAAGCCTTGCGTAGGTTCTCCGACCCCAGCTCATAAATTGGGTATAGATACTGCACGAGACTCAATAGTTCGGGAGAGGCGGAGTCAGACGGTGTCTGGATGAGAACAGCTGCCCAAAGGTCGAGCGCATCCTCGAGTAAGTATACCTGCGTCTCCGAGCCTGGCTCTACGGCACCTTTGATGATCGGGAAGACCATAGGATGGAGAGGTAGTGAATCGGCTTTCATAGCGTTGACCAGTCTCGCGAGAATCGTCAAGATAGCTTGCTTCATGAGGTGTTCTTCACCCGACTCCTCCCAGAGGCCTGGAAGGAGGTTGACAATGCGCTCAGCGAATGGTGTGATTTGCTGATCGACATGTTCGACAATCACACTGATAGTGTTGAGTAGAGCCATCTTCGTATCAGTCAGCTCCACCTCGCCGATCAGCTGCATGAGCTGGGTCAAAATCGTCTGGGCGTAAGGGAGGAAGTGTTCGGGCGCGAATTCCCAGTCGCTGGCGACGTTCAAGAACTGGCGACCAGCCGTGACTCGCACGACTTGGTCATTCAAGGGGTTGTCTGGGTTGAGTAGGTGTTGGAAGATCTGGTAGACTAATGGTCTGCTTTGTTGGGAGACCTTCACAGAGATCCACTGTCCAAGCAGGATTGCTGCTCGTCGTCTGAGAATGTTGAAACCAGGTGTGGACTTCTGCACTTCGGCGACCAGTACGTCGCGGATGAAAGCATCGAAGTCAAGATTTTGGTGAACGACCGAGGCTGATAGTCCGATTGCCGTGTAGACAGAATCCTTGAACAGGACATCCTCATTCTCAGGATTGGCGACAGAGTAGAAGACATTGAGTAATGGCTCCATGATGATGTCCTTGTAGTTGATGGCAAGGTCAAGGAAGAGCTTCTCCGAGCACGAGCGTACTGAGAACTCCCAGTCGTCGCCGTCACCTTCTTCACGCTTCTCCCACTCTTCGGGCTCTTCTTGCCATTCTCGCAAATCGCTCGCTCGGAAGACGAAGAAACGAGTCACCATCGTCTCCATGACTTCGCGAACGAAAGATTCTGTCAGCAAGGACTGCTTCAGTACTTCGGTAGCTTGATTCTTCTCCTCCTTATCTTCTGGGGTCCGGTACTTGAAGGCCTGCGTAGGATTGTGCACCATTTTGACACAGGCACGGATGATCAACAGGCCTTTTAGAGCAATCTTCTCTGTGAACGGCTTCTCCTCTGCTGCGTCACCATCTGTACCAATCTTCGCAGAATTGATGGCCGACGTTACGGCTTGTCTCGAACCAAAGCTCTCACCAAAGTTCTTGATCAGACTCCAATATGAATTGGTCATCGCCAAAGAGTTTGGTAGAAGAGCGAATGCGGCTGGGTGATCTTTCGCCATTTCGTGGTGAAGCTTGGCGAGCTGAAGAGTATGCCGGCCGAGCAATGTGATGGCATTTTGAGGCAATTGCCCGGCAGCGTTGTTGAACATCTGCAGGAATGTGTCCAACTGCTGAAGTGAGAGATTCCAGAAACCGACGACGTCAGAGTCTCGGTTTGGATGCTCGTAGCCAGAGATCAAGAGACGTCTCAAGAGCTTGATCGCGAGCAAACTCTGCTGCATGTCGTCTGCATTCGGCAATGGCTTCCAGCTCTCCACCAAGCCTGCGTAGACATTGCCAACGACGGCAATGGTTTCTGGAGTTGCGGCTTGCAAGTATTGCCGCGTGCGCTGGAGCCGACCAGTTGAGAGCTCCTTGACGATGTGCAAGAGAGTGAGAAGAGCGCGAGCTAGTTGTAGGGGTGGTGTGTTCTGATTTCGTATGACGCTGACGAAACCGGAGATAGCTTCAGGCCAGTCGTTTGGGAATTCGTACCTAGCGATCTTCGCAATGACGAGGGCATCCTGGAGGGCAAGCCGACTGTCGTGTTCGTTGAGCACGCTGTCGATGAGACGTGATCTGATGACTTCTTTGTCCTCCTTCGGGACGGCGCTGAAAGATATGTGTTAGTATCGATGAACAACAGGGACGAGCTCCAGAGATTCGAAAGCAACATCTGATCGCATCGGAGCGATATGCTTGAAGAGGAGTGAACCTACTTGGTTGCAGTCTTTCTCCAATACTTGTCGATGCCGTTTTTGAGCTGAATTATAGCCAGGTAGCGGACTTCGACTGGTACCCTAGTATCGAGGTATGCACTCTGAAGGTGACGATAGAAGCCAGGCGACTTCTCCCATTGTGCGAGTTGCTTAGTTCCAGTCTGGATCTGATTCGGATCGGAAGAAGAGGCGGATTGGAGGGTGTGAACGAGGGTGCCTTCTGAAAGGGGATTAGCCTCGCCGGGCACCTCGATAGCAAAGGATGGCATGTCAGTGTATCATCGGTGGTGTCCGCCTGGTGGTCGTCTTGTCGCTGTCCAGGTCGAGTTGTGTTGTGAGATGTGTCGTCTATCACAAGGCCGGTATGTCGAAGTCGTGAAATGTAGAAACGCACAACCAATCGCTTATGCGGGACGCACACGCCACACCCGCCCGTCACTTTCAAAGTCTTCGCCGGCCGACGCAGCGCGGTCCTCTTCCTTCTCTACCATGAAAGTTGAATTCACCTGGTAATAAATTTAGGCGCGGAGGCAGACATATGAGCTTCGCGTTGTATACGCCAGGGAGACGGACGGCTGTTACAAAGAAGCGCTTCGAGCATTATTTGCATTGACCTGCGACTCCCGTTTGACAGCAACAAAACAAGAGAAGTCTTCGCTTTGACTTTGCCCGCCACTCTGCATCACCTGACGCGTTGCGTTACCGGCCGCGCAGGTGAGGTACGAGTAGCAGCGTACCTAATCACTCCTCCTCTTCCTCCCATCCATCTCCGCTTTCAACCTCCGACGACTCGTCTACTACCTGCTAGAGCTCTCGTCTTCTCCGTCCAATGTACACCCTCACCACCGCTGTCCGCCAGATCCGCCGAAGCAACCACCACTCCCTCTCCGCCGCGGCCGTCACCACGATGGCTGCTTAGATCCCCGCGGGTCACGCGAGCAACATGGCCTGCTTGACATGTCCTCTGGACGAAGCATACTGCTGTGAATAAGAAGAGTTATCAAACAAGACACAATAGTCAATCCAGCCGAGTAGACGTCATGGCTAGGAACCGTAAGACGGCCACTTCGGTCAACTCGAGCACGGTGTCGTCGGCACTGTCCTCACGATATCCGTCACGAGCATCTTCACCTGAGCCTCCAAGACGGCCCTTTCGTTTCTTCGACCTGCCGTCAGAGCTTAGGTTGAGGATCTACGAGGAGTTGCTATGGGCAAACAGGCCGGTAGATTTGGGTGAGCTCACGTCAAGGCCCAATACCTGACCACAGCTGACACCATACAGACCCAGACAACTTCCGTATGATCCTGCCCCGCCTGGCACTCTTCCTCGTCTCCCGCCGAATGCACGAAGAAGCATACCGCGTCTTCTTCGCCCAGACCATCCGCCTCTTCCCGCAAACCAACCGCTTCTACCACACCAAGAAGCCTCTCCTCCAACGCCTACCGATACACTACCGCAACGTCATCAACACCATGGACCTTGTGTTTGGTCCTGGCTGGACGAAGCCACCACGCTGCCAGAACATCAAGCCAGATCTTGGCTTGCTAGACTGCACCAACCTGCGCACGTTGAAGATCTTCGTCACAATCGATCCGAGTGAGCCAGTCTTTAATGGTTTCCGCGGAGAAGGAGCTACGGAAGATACGTACAAGTGGTTCTGCGTGGACCTGTTGAGGGGCATCTTGGAGCAAGTGCCCAGTTTGGAAACCATTGAAATCGATGCCAATACTTCGGTGAAGAAGCATGGACCGCTTCTGTCTGCACTGCGCAGAACGGTCGAAGCTGGGAAGAAGAGACTGATCTGGGGACCTCGTAAACAGCTAGACACGGATGAGGAGGAGCCTGAGATCGTTGCCCTAGATGGTGCAATGGCATCTATGGCTATCTCGAACGAGGCTCCGCTGGCTGTCACTGTTCAGGCCTAGAGTCAGATCGATGACACGATGATGCGAGTCTCAGTCGATCTGGGGCAACGGCGTACCTACAACACGATCGACTTTATTAGGACTCTGTCTGAGATTCACTCGGTCGTATAACGGGAACGGACCTTCTTCAACAAGCACGATTGCAAGACTGGGCTGAAGAGAATGCGACGTCTCACAACCTAACATCGTTCGTAAAAGCAAAGCAACGACCTGATGTAGTTTGCGTAAGCGCTGAGAACACAACTTCTATCAACAAACCCAAGGTAGCCTTCCGCTCTTCCTCGATCCAGCGGCTCACTTCATGAGATGTGTGATGGGCATTTCTGTAAGTTGTGCTATTCATCTCTCTATTCTCGATCAAAATGGCCCGAAATCCTTTTGCGTGCTCCATCTCGCAGCCTACCGACAACCTTGATGGCACCCATCTGCAACCTCACTTCATCAACTCCTACCTCCTACTTTACTCTCGAGCCTTTTAACTCCCCAGCCGCTGCTTCTCAACATTCCCCTCATTCACCAAACAAATCCTATACCTCGGCACGCCCTTCTCAAAATCCACCACGGCCTTATTCGCCTCCCGCATCGGATACCGCATAATCCAAGGCTTAATCCCCTTCTCCGCCGCCAGTTGCAACATCTCCTCAATCTCCCCGGGACTCCCAATCATACTCCCGCCAATCTTCACCCCCTTGGAAATAAAGTGAAAAGCCGACATCTCAGGGAGTTTATCCTCCGGTGCGCCGACCTGGATGAACGTCCCCTTCGTGCGGAGCAGGGAGAGATACCGACTCAGCGGCATCTTGGGCGAGGAGACGGTACAAATAATCAGATCGAGGCTGCGCGCGTGCGTCTTGTGCCAATTCTTCTCCTCCTCCGTCGCGATGTACGCATCCGCGCCCATAGCCAGCACATCCTGCTTTTTATCCCCCCGCCGCGAAATCCCCACCACGCGATCCGCGCCCAGCGCCTTCGCGAACAAGATCCCGAAATGCCCCAGTCCGCCCACGCCTATGATCCCGACTTTCTTCCCCGGACCACAGCCGTTCTCTCGCAGGGGCGAGTAGACCGTAATCCCCCCGCACAGCATCGGCGCCGCGTCCTCGCTGGCGATCGCCTCGGGGATCTTGAAGACGAAGTGCGACGGGCAGCGGTGGTAGTCTGCGTACCCGCCGTAGGACTGGGAGCCGTCCGGGTATTTGTCCGCGAAGGTGTTGACGCTGCGGACGCAGTGGTTCTCCAAGCCTGAAGCGCAGTCTTCGCAGTCTGGGCGCAGGCAGGAGGAGTTTTGGGCGCCGACGCCGACGCGGTCGCCTACTTTGAGGCCTTTTGTGGCTTTGGAGCCGACGCGGGTGGCTTTGCCTACGATCTCATGTCCCACACACACCGCTGTAGCATTGTCAGCTCTCCAATCCCATCAAACCTCCCATGAGCATGGTATGCATTCAGCAAAAACTCACGATATGGAGTCGGCCCCCACCCACTCCTTAACGTATGGATATCACTGCCACAGATCCCACAATGCGTAATCTCAATCTCGACGTCGGTTTCTTGCCAGGTCTTTGGGTTGGGGAATTGTTGCCAGACCATGTTGCCTTCGGCGGCGGATTTGTCGAGGCCGAGCCAGCCTTGAAATTTGGGGGAGGGGGTGGGAGGAGGCATCGTGGGTTGTTTGTATTGTTTTTCCTTCTGTCTTTGAGGGGAGTTGTGATGGAGGGGAAGTGGAATGGAGAGTGTCAAGAGGCGGTGATAGGAGGGGAGTGGAGAGGATATATATGTATCTCCGCGAAAGATTCAGACTTCTTATGTGAGTAAAATAACCGCAAGCAAAGTATCCATAGGTAAAATAAAATAAAAGACAGCTCTCCGCCTCCACGCCTCCTCCCTCTTCCTCTTTTTGACTTTACCGAGAACCCCCCAGTCCATCTCGCGAGCTTCGAGTCTGTCCCGCAATTCACAGTCTGTCCCGCAATTCGCGGCCGAATTCCTTTTTGGTTTCGAGGCTGGGTGCAAGTGTGATGTGTCTCATGATGATGTGGGTGTTTGATATTTGATTTTGGAAGACTGACTATACCATAGTTGACTGCAACTGCTTGGGCGAGGATGCTTGGTGGAAGATTATGGGTGATGAAGTGACATCCACTCTCGTGAGATCCGCGGTAAAGTGAAGCTCTCGCTGGGACGGAGCTCGGGCCGGGATGTGTGAAGCCGTGGCCATGATGGGAAGAGAAGCAAGACAGAAGGTCAAACATGTAGGGAGGATACATTGACTAAGAGTTCAATCTTCGCTACGCTATACTGAAAAGCCATACAAAATGGGTATCAAACAAACCAGAAGCTCGAACGAGAAAGTAAAGAAAACCACAACAAAACGTCCTTCTCAACCCTTCGTCTCCAAACCCCCCTTCACACTCCCCACATACGGATACGCAAACGCCCTGTTCAACGCGGACGTCGCACTCGGCGTCTTTGCCTTCTCCTTGCTCTTCATATTCTCCTCCACGACCTTCACCATCGACTTCCTCGTCGCCTTCACATCGATCGCCTTCATCTGCAGCGTCGCATCGATTTTCTGCGATACCAGCGTCTCCATCAATTTCGTGATGAGATGCTGCATGAAGATGCAGACGTAGACGCCGGAGTCTTTGTCGCTCGTTACTTCCGGCGTATCTGGGACGTCGAGGAATGTCGGCTTCGTGTCCAGGTGCTCGGAGATGCGGTGGGTGACTTTCGATGCCAGCTTGAGGTTCCGGCCGCGGAAGGGGTCGTAGTGGCAGGCGAGCTTGTCGATAGGCGAGACGAGGAGGAGAGACCAATGATTGGAGGGCGATCTTAGTGGAACGAAGACGTGCATGGTGGTGGTGAGGTCTGGCAAAGCCGCCTTGAGAGCCGCCGGATCGGAAGAGTCTTGAAGGAGCTGGGATCGTAAGGGTCGCAAGAGGGTGAATTTGGGATTCCCTTTGATCATGGTATGTTCGAGGTGCTCCTGCCAGAAGTCGACGGCGTTGTCGGTGAGCGTCTCGCCCTTGATAGCGTCGTAGTCTTTGCGGGACAGGCGGACGTTGTTGTAGCTGAACGATGGATGGGTGCTGGCAGTGTTCTCACTACTGGAGCTGTTCGTCCGGAAGATCTTCATGAGACTGGAGCTCTTCCTGCGATGAGGAGCATCTGAACTGCTGCGGTCCAGTGTGGTTGCCATGGGTGGGCGAGGTGGTGCTGCTGCAGTTGCCTGACTGTAGATTGAGGGTGTATAAGGACGGCCGCTCGAAATGCTGTCTCGATCAGCAGGGTGAAGCAGCTGTGGTGAGCTCTGTCCTTGAGAGGAGACAAAGATCTTCTCTTCCGCACTCGGTAGGCTCGATGGCGGAGTGGGTGGAGCTTGACCATGAATGAACGAGCTGTCGCCCGGCAGCTCGGACACAATAGTCGGCCGTTGGGGTCGTAGTGGCTGAGGCATCAGACCCTGGGGTGTCTGCGATTGAGTATTATTTTGCGCATTCTCATTGACAGAGGGCACCTGTGGTCGATAAGGTATATCAGAAGGCGACCTGGGATATGCAGGCCGATCTTGAAATGGCTGCTGCTGCGTAGGGACCATCTGATCGCTGATACTCCTTGGCTGACCGAAAGCCGGTCTCAGATAGTTGCTGTCGCTTGGCGAGAGATTCGCGAGAGGCTTTCTCACGACTTCAGGGCTGGCAGGCGGGCTGATCGACGACATCGTCCCCGTACCTCCAAAGTCACTAGCGACAGAGCTGATCTGCACACTGAAATCGCTAACAGGTCGTGGACGTCGTCGTTCTGGGACTTGCGGCGGCGGACCAGCGACCTCATCCATGGTGACCTTGAGCGACTTGTCCATGGACGCTGCAGGTGATACGACTGGTGCAACTGGGTAAGGCTCTTCAATCCGTGGAGGCACATCAGGCAGAACCAAGTCGGCATACTGCTTGATACAAGTCTCTCGAACACCTTCCGGAATCATGACGATGAAGAACTCCGCCCGAAGGTTGTTATCCTGAAGCTGCAAGATGCGTGCCATCAAGGCCAGCGACTCGTAGCTCTGGTGGTGGTTCTTGCCCAGCACTCTTCGACGACCGCGAAGAGCATATTCGCAGTATCGATAAGCTTTCTCGAGGCTCGCAAGCTTGATGTATGTCTGGGCCAGGAGGTGAGCCGTCTCGCTGACTTGAAGACGCTGCTGCTCGTTGAGAATGGCGTTCTTGGGAGCATTGTCGAGCACGCTCAGAAGAGCAGCTTCAGCATCCAGCGGTCCGTTAACGTGAAAAGCACACACTCCAAGCATGCGTCGTAGCTCCCAGGTATCACACGACGCTTGCTGCTTGGTGCTCAACCCCTTGATCATCGTCAACGCTTCAGCCAGATAAGCCGCGGCACCAGGGTAATCGTTCTGGCCGAATGCTTCCTTGCCCTTCCCCAGAGCTTGCTGTGCTGCTTCGACAAAGAAATCGTCGTCCGAGTCGGCCTCGTCCTCATCCAGTATTGAGCCCGAAGTAGTGATCCTAGGATGCGTGGTGTCGCTGTCACTCCCTCTCAAGGTCAGGCCATCCGGCATACGTCCCGCACGGCTGTCTTCGCTGGAAATGACCGAGTTGAGCTCCGTGCCGGCCATGGAAGAGCGGGAAGTGACGTTGTCGATGGCATCAATGTCTTCTATCCATTGACGGATCTTCCGCTTCTTGTCGTACTCGCCGTCCCCGGAAACATTGCTGACCACGCTGTCGACTTTCGAATGGCCTGGCGACGGCGCAGGCACAGGAACGGACTCCATGAGAAGCTGACAGTTGGAGAGAGACGTCGCGAAGAATGACGGCCTGTATCTACGCTAGTCTCGCTCGCTGATTGTGGTCGATCTTGGCCCGAGATGATGCCTGTCGCAGCGACCTGGGTGGAAGATTGGAGTGCCGGGGAGGAGGAAGCGGGATTTTCATGTTTGGGAGGCACAAAGGCTGAGAGGCCGGAGGATTCGAGATGGTGTGCTGCGGTGTGATGTTCAGGCTGCGAAAGGGTCTCGCCAGGCGTAGATGCGTCTCATGCTTCCCTCGCTGCAGATAGCTGAGCTCTTGGCCGGTAGCTGACTGGCTGGCAGGGGCACGTGGTGATTCGCCTTAACCCATGTTCGGATCTTCGCCGTGGCCGAGCAGCCGGAAATCAACTATTCTCCGACCGATTGTTCGAAGACTGTATACGTATCTCTCGCCTCGAAAGTGGCCAGCATCGCGGGGACCATTGGACAGCGTTCAGATGGTATGTTACCGTTGCTGCTTGATGCTGTGTGTGCCGGGGCGTAGAAGGGAGTAAGAAGCTTTTGCCTTCCTCGAAGCTTTTGAATCCTTCTCGGCTGAGCTCGGTGGATGATACATCACGTGCGGTGATACATCAACATCGAATCCAAAGATGTACGTTACTGTTTAACGCTTCACGCTCTTCTGTCGTACACTTACCTGTTGTGGCTGTCGAAGCAATGGAACAACAAAAACATCGACAAGCTCCACAAGATTTTCGAGCCCCGAAACATTGACGTTCTCCGTACATCTACGGCGTACCATACCAAAACTCCCCAACAAACTCTCCCTTCTCCCCCATCCTAAACAACCATCCTCATCTTCAACTTATCCCCCTCCACAATCTCCCCCTCCCTCTGCACCAGCTCCTCCACATCCCACGTCGCATCCACATACCTTCCACTCAACCACTGCCTTCGCTCCTTACACAACCAGACCAAAAAACTCCCACACAAATCCTGACTATCATTCGAGAAATCCTTCATGCGCGGCGGGAGGTACTCCTTCGGCCCATCGCTCCACACCGCACCAGGGTGTACCGCATAGCAACAAAGCCCCTGATCGGCGTACGACTCGTCCACGCGCTGCGAGAGGCGGTTCGTGGCCAGGCAGGAAATGGAGTAGCCCAGCGGCCCGGAGACGTGCCCGCCGACGGAGGAGATGTTGGCGATGGCGCGGAGTTTGTCGGGGGCGCCGGAGAGGAGGTACGGCATGAGGTGCTTGGTCATGTAGAAGCGGCCGACGTAGCAGGTCTGCGTCATGGCTTCGATGTTGGGGCAGTTGATGTCGGCGACTTTTTCGAAGGCGGTCCCGTCGACGAGGAGGAAGCCGGCGTTGTTGACGAGGAGGTTTAATTTCCCATCGTGCTCGGTCTCGATGAGGGAGGCGATGGCCGTGGCGTGGGCTTCGTCGCCGTTGTCGCCGTAGAAGGTGGAGATTTTGAGCGAGGAGGGGTGCGGGGAGACGCGGCGGCATTCGTCTTCGGTTTTGGCGCAGGAGCCTTGTGTGCGTGCGGTGAGGATCAGGCCTGTGGCGCCTGCTTGGGCGAAGCATTTGGCGATGCCGGAGCCGATGCCGCGGCTGGAGCCTGTGACGATGGCGACGAAGGGTTTGGGGAGGGTGACTTTGGTTGGGTCGAGGATCGGTGGGACTTGGGAGTTGGTCTTTTTGGTGAAGGTGGTGCCGGCCCAGCTGGGGAGGGATTTGATGAAGTCGGACATGGTGGTGGATTGGAAAGTAGTGTTGATGTTGAAGGTTGTTGTTCTGGGTCTGTGTGTGTGTGTTTGATGGTTCTCTCAGCTGTTGAAGCGATCGATAGCAGTCTTATATCGTTCTCCCAAGGCGGTCTTTAGACGGAGAGGCCAAGGGACCCTCATGGACATAAGTAGGCCAGTCTATCGACCCGTGACGAAGGGTTCACAAGTTGTGCTTCTTTGTACGCAGGTGAAATAACAGGCTAGTCCGAAAAAGGCAAACTGATTGCAGCCAACAAGGTTCGATTATATCCCGCAATAGGCTGGGCGAGCGCACGCCTAGCCTCGCATATAGACGACGCCGCATCACTGCAGCAATGGCAGGCGTTCCCGGAAGTAGTATCGCATTCGCACTGGAAAGGTTGGTAGTTGTCTCTTCGGGTCGAGGCCAAGCCTGTTCGTTCAGTGACTGCCCTCTTTGTCGATTGTCGTGGCGTCAAGGTGTACAGCTGGTGTTGACGCCAATGCATTTGGGAGGCGTCGTACAAGTGCCGCTGGGAGAGCGTATTGCGAGTAGTCGGGCGAAGGCCAAGAATATCCAGGCGGTGCTTCCCAGTGAAAGCTCCTCTTCTCAGCTGTCGGCCCTTTCGTGCGAGCCATAGCCTCGTGTTGGCGTACAAAAGCAAGTCGTAAAAGCCCAGCACCTGAGCTTTTCAAATGAACCAACTCACAACGTCGAACATCCATCCCTCAGCGGCCGCACTCGACCCGCATCATCAAACACAAGTCTTCCATCCGACATCTCATCCTCACCACCTGGCCCAACGACAGGCACAAGTCCATACCTGACCTTACGATCGCCCATCTCCTCAGCCAGACATCTCGCCGATGAATTCGGAGCAGCTTCCTTCAGTAGGGGAGCATGAAAGGCCTTCGCGAGTTCCAGCGGGCTGAGACTTGTGTTTCGCCCAAGGGTCCAGTACTTCCAGTACGTGATCGTCACCAAAGCGACACATACGACTTGCATGGCTGAAGCGCCCCAGAAGTAGCCCCAGCGTGTGTGGAAGACTGGCTGAGCATCTACCCGTGTACCGTCGAGCTCATATCTCGAAGCAAGACCTGGATCAATGAGCTCCGCCAAAATCTTTTCATCGACATCCCTCGCCGCAAGCACACCTGCGCGAAACATAAGCTCATTAAGCCCCGCCAAGACCTCATCCCACGGATCGCGGAGCACAGGCGCGTTGATGATACGAGGATTTTCATCGCCTATATTAGAGTAAAAGAATTCCGGATTCTCTATCAGGCTCTGCTCAAAGGGGCCTGGGCTATTGAGCCAGGTGGCGTTGCTCCAGATCTTGATCAGGACGTCGCTGTGGTATCGCATATCTGCCAGAGTCGCGATGCCGCCGAGCGTGGAGTTGATGTATTCGAGGGGGCCGCTTTCTGCACGGGCTGTGTTGTTGGCCAGCGACAGGATGGTTGGGTTTAAAGCGTTCGTTTCCACGGTGCTGTTACCGTGGAGGGTGACTTGGTACTCTCCGATCGCTGGCTCCAAGGTGCACCTCCTTTGGGTGAAATTGCCTGCTCCGGTATTTCGCACCTCTGGACTTATTATGCCGATGTCGACGAAGATGCTCTCTCTCTCGCCGGCGGCAGCGGACACAGTAGTCGATAGCGAGAGGATCGGACACCAATGGCCAGTGCTATCGGTGAGCAGCTCACATACGGCAGGATAGGCATCCTCATCACCATTTGCCGCAGCTATTGCCGCAAAATCCACGAATCCAGTGGATGTGACATCGCAACCTTTAAAAGAAAAAGCAGGTGCTCGCACGGTAGCGACACAAGTACCAGGGCAGCCTTTGAACGGAGAAGGGATCGGAGCTTGCGCCACCCAGTCCTCCCAGACGGGTGCGAAATTTGCATTGATGGCGGTTGAGAGAAAATCATTCTGGACATCCAGCTTTGCGGCAAGACCAGTGAAATTCGTCGGTACTTGAGGAGCAAGCATAGCGTGCAACTTTAGCGGCATCTCAAGGGACCGCTGAACCGTGGTTGTGGCACTTTGGAGCAAGATGCCGTCCACGAGGATGACCATGGCGCACATAGAGGTGGCTGTGAGGATGCTGAAATGCTTTGAAAACAGGCCGCTCACTATGTTAGTGCTAGCCTCCCAGTCGTAATGGAGCTTACGCAGAGTGGTGCCTTGGATGGCTCTGACCTTTCTCGCAACATCAGTACACGTGTATAACTAGCAGACGAGGGATTGTGCAGCAACTTACCCACCATGTGATGATCGCACCTTCCGCCGCGGCAAATGCCAGCGCTTTGTTGCCAATGCCTGTGAAGATGGACAGGTAGACGCTGGGCTGGACTGTCCAGCTCTCTACTGCTTTACCGTTAGAGAGCGAGAGGACGACGGCTGCCGCTGGAATGCTGAGGAGCACAAACACTAAGGCACAGATCCCAAGGAGAGGTCCTCCACGCAAGAAAGATGTCTGCCAGGTTGCTGAATTCCCTCCAAGGTATCGATGGAAGAGGGAAAGGCCGTGTTGTGCAGGACGACCTTCGTCACTGCAATAGGTCACCGTTTCCTTTGTTGTTTTGACAGTGTCTTGCGACCTTGGATCGTGCTTGCTTCGCGCATTACCATTCGAGCTGGCCAAAAGTAAATTCTCCGCATGGGATACTGTCGGCTCAAGCGACGAGATCGAGTTTCCATCTCCCTTGGCGCTTCGAGTGACTTCGTTGCGACCAGAGGATGAGCCATGAATTTGAGTGTGGGCACAATGGTTGCCAGTGATAGGAACATCGTCTAGTGCAGTGCAATCAGCCTCTTTGGGTAGGTGCGGGTTGTCCTCGGGCTCGATGAGCGACAGCTCTCCATCCGATGGCTGCATCAGTAGTGGAGCTCCCATAGCACCCAAGATTCCCATCGGTCTATAGCCTCGAAAGTTGCAAACGTATCCAATTTCCAGGAAAATATGGATGTATCGTGTATCCAGGGCATGATCCAGTCGTAGTACGGCTGCTGAGCAAAGCAATGCCATGTGCAACAGCGGACTCCGCATATCAGCTGGCACAGTATCGCGCGTTGGCTGCATAACAAGTGTAACCGCACTGCAAATCTGGGCAGAATGGGGCGCTGCAACTTGGCTTGGCGTGTATCAAGAGGCACCTCAGCGGGACACGGAATTTGCACGGCTCGAAGCCCGCGAAGTTGGCCAAGAAGAAGAGCCAGGAGGGTCATCACTACACCCAGACGAGTCAGCCTCAAGAATTTCCACCTGCCAGTCGCAAATCATCGTACCTACCCCCACCCCTCAGCGTGCTCATCTTAGTACACCACCACTGCCGCTCGCTCCTCTTCCACTTGAACATGGTGACAGCCTGCCGATCGACACCGAGAGGATATCCAGTAACAGACGTAAAGACCAGAACATTCGCCCAACCATGCCTCATATCAAGTTCGGTCGAAACCTCCTGAACGGTGACGTGGTATTGCGGGTGTTGTTCGGCTACCCAGCGTTGGAGACGCATGTAGTCCTTGAACGAGGAGGCGATCTCGCGGTTGTTGAGCTCGACGGTGAATCTGGGGGCGATCCAGGTGGCGAGAGAGTCTGAGTCGCGGATGGAAATGGTCTCTGTGCGCTCTGATGGGGCGACGCTGTCGTTTGACACTTGTCTGGATAGATCGGGAGGTGACGAGGATGGCGACGACTCTGACGATGGGGTGGTTCTGAGGGAATTCCAGTCCCGCTCGTTGATGAGCGTCCACAGATTTTGGCACAGGCCTTTAAGGAGCTCGATGTCTGTCGAGTTCTTCTTTGAGTCTGAGCGGTCGAAGGTGGGTCGAGTTGCTTCTGGGTTTTCTGGGCTTTCTTGGCTCTCGGCAGAGTTGATGGTCACCAGCGCCGGGGATTTGGGAAAGGTCGGAAGCATGTCGATGGCGGTGGGTACTGACGAAGAGCCATCTTTCCGAATTCCAAGAAGGTGGCAAATACCTTTCAACATAAGCGGGCACGCACGAAATTGCTCGCTTTCGTTTCAGAAGGTTCAGAAGGATGGTGTGACAGTCTGGAGTCGCTTAGTGGTGATTGATGATACAGCCGCATCGATGAGATCGATACAACTAGATGCCACTTGCCCTGAGGCCGCGGGTGTGTGCCGAGACTGAAGAAGGATGCCGAGAGGGAGTGCTGTGTATGGGAAGGAGGTAGCAAGAATCTCCTTCCGTTTCGGGACAATCTCGTCCGACAGGTGCTGCATATGCATCTTGCATTCGTAGGGTGTTGAGACCGGCCTAAAAGGTAGGTCTCGCGCAATGCTTCATAATTCAGCCTGCTTGCTAATGGTAGCGCAAGGCTGCTCAGTCTGTTGGCCTCACTGCAAACCGTTCGAAATGACCCTCTGCCACTGGAGGAGGGTCTAGATTCGACGGTGTTTTGCTTGGGCAAATTGCTGCGGTACCGAGCGCTTTCGTTGGGAGCTCGACAGTATGGAGATCGAGAACCTTCAGTAGGAGATCATGCCTCATATAGCAGTCGCTTAATCATTGCTTAGTGTTAGAGCCTCTGACTTACATGACTCGCCGGTTAGTAAGGATATAGTGGATCCTTCACGCGATCCTTTCGCGTGGCTACTGCAAGTAGCCGACATGCTTTTGTTCCATTACTTCAGCTTCGACAGCGTAGTAATGAAGCAAGGCCTGATGACAGACCAACTGACCGAGCTCGGCGCCTGCATCGGCACTCGAACTCGGGACTGATTCGCTCTTGCGCAAGGCGTCAAATTTGCCGCGGTACTGAAGACACCGCGCTATCACTACCTCGCAGGGTGCGTGGTTCCGTGCATGGCATTCCAGGTACTTCTGCAGATCTTGCTAGGCAGCCAATTGGTAATTTTGCCACTCAGAGGCACAGTTGCCTCAGGTCGCTTGTTGGCGAATGAATCGTGATCTTCACGCGTGGTAAGGAGCCCCCGCACACCATTTTACCCGTGTATCCAAACCGGATGGTTGCATTGACTTTTTCTGGAAGCATGTTAGAAGCTGTGTGCATTGCATCAAGACGCACTTCAGTCCGATCTGCACGTGTTGTCAGCAGCAGCGCTATTAGTGAGCCCGTGAAGGCACTGATATCAGGTGCTGCCTCGATGGCTGTGAGATGTGCTCTCGCATGGGATCAGAGATGGCAGATTTCGAACGAATTCGGGGAATTAAGATTCCAAGATGTGCTCTGCCTCTTCGGTGACCCCGTTGAAGGATTGCTGGTAAGGCCTCGTCACGGAACATGGCCGCACGCACAATCCTCTGGCGATCGCGGTATGAGGCAGCCAGTGTGGGAGGCAGTCGACGGTCGTGGACCGAGATGTCTCTTGCACATGGTTGCATGTCTATGCCCACGATCGAGGCTTGGACACGAGCTGATCGAGTCGACAGGATGGGACATGGCCTGGGCGGGTATGGCTCGGCCGGGCAGACCATGACAGTGTCGAGTTCACGTAACATATGATGATCTCGGACAACTGCTGGCAGCGAGGGCGAGGTATTGCAACATGTGATGGCCTCGGCGATATGCTTGCAGCGCCTTCGAGTGCTTGGTATGCAGGTCTTCTTTCCTGCGTTGTCGCATTTCTAAGCCCGGGTGACGAGTCGTCCTGGTGGAGGCGGAAGAGTGTGGCATTTGCAGCTGGAATGTTACGTTTCTTGTGTTGCCATCACCAGATTGCGGTCGTATGGCGAGAAGTTGGATGTCGCGGGCTGTGAAGCAGGTGCAGATGCTCGCGGAGATTGCGATTTAAGCATTGGGAAGGTGCTGAGCGAGCAACCACCTCTGCGCAGGCTGCGGTAGGCGCAGTCGGGCCCGACATTCACCTCACTTCACCTCGTCCCAACTCTTCCCTCTTTCCCTTGCCCACCTATTCACTCCATCGCACTAGAAGCCCTTCAAGTCAACCTGGTGAAAGGACGCCTTGGATCTGAGCCTTGCTAAAAAGTTGCAGCCCTCCGAGTTGCAATCATCGATGTTGCAATGATCAAGATCGCCATACTCGAAGTTGAGACGCTGGATTTTCCATATACGTAGGCGTAGGCCGCAATCAACGTGCAGCACCTGCGCAATGGGCGTCTTCGGTCCTTGTTTTCCAGAAAGCATGTAGCTGGAAGTGGTCGGTCCACGGGTCCATTTGCCGTTTATCCTTCGTCGTTAGCTGATCGAGAGCCGTGGTCTCTGCGATTTTGACCAAGACCAAGTTCATGTCTGCAACTCGACTCGGCCAGAGAATGTGCGCATGGTGGAAATAGATATCCCACTTTGAACAGCATCTCGCGGTACGGCCCTGCCCTCACTCTTGTTATGTCCCTTGCATCGCTATGCGGCGATTCGCTGCCACCACGCCGTCAGAGTGGTTCCATACTTGCGTGCTTGCGTGTACCATCTTCTGCTCCTTCACCGCCCTACCGTCCCAAGAATCGCAGCACGCAGATGGGTCGACGTGATGCAGTCGAGCAGCTGACATCCATCACTCGCCACACACGCCGCATCCCACCCACACCGGCGCGACGCCCATCACCACCCGCTGCACTGCTCTCCACGCAGTCTGCCACAGCAGCGCCCTATAGGAGGAGTCCAGGCCCAACCAATCCGAGCAAAGTCGACCGTTTTATGCGGCTTCACGCAAGACGACGTCATCCGCCAGCGCACCAACCGTGGTGAGATCCAAAACGGCCAGAGTGAAGAGGCGTCGAGTGAGAGCCGATTTGGGCGACAAGTGAAGCGGCTCGTGTCGTCGAGTCTGCCGATCGTTGTCCAACTGTCCAAGTGTTCCAGAAGGCCGATTCCTACAAAATCTTATGCGCCCTCGACTGCACCCTCTGCGCTTCATCTCCAAAATCACCACCGCGGACAGACAGCACGACTCAGTCGACTGCAGCAGCACGCTTACCAGTCGCCCGCCTGACGACTGCGAAAGGACTCGAATCTCAGACACGCCGGAGAAAACGTGAGGCCATCAGATCCATCTCCCGACAAGCTGCGCCCTGGCGTCAAACGCTTCCACTCTTTGACACAGCTCACTCCCGCGAAGAATATCGACAGAAACAGCAATCAGAGCCAGATATCCCATAGCCGCGAGCGTTGCCTTGTTCGCCATCAGGTTGCACAGCAGCAGGCCAGTCCCCGTCATACCACCGCCAACCACGCCATCGAGCAGGCATCCCAAGCAATACTCCGAGTACGAGCAGAAGAGGCTCTCTGCAACACCTCGCTTGCTGCCCAATCTGGTGCCGTGCATCACACGTTGGGCTGTGCCAGAACTGCAGGCCTCACGTCATCTCACCGGCCACACTCCAATCTCTTCCCCCGGCTTCCTCCGCCGTCCCCGCCACCTTGCTAGGTCAAGGTGGCAGAGCTGAGCCCGTCGCATGGAGGCCATCGTCGAAACCTCCCTCGAAGCCACCAACTACCTCGTCGACAAACACTTTGACAAAGGCTGGGACAAGTATCAGAAATACGTCAACGGGAAGAAAGTCGAAGAGGAGGTCAAGCCTTATCGTCGCCCCCGCACTACTCGCCCATCCGACACCGCCGCCGACTACAGCGACTCGTCACCTTCCTCGACGTCTAACAACCGTCTCGGACAGAGGACGCCCGCTGCCTCCCGTGGTGTGCATTCATCTGCCGACTTCAGTGGCGGTGCCCCTCTGACCGGTGCTGTACCTCCCGCGGTCGCTGGTGCCACCCTCGGTGCGACTACCTTTGCTGCAGCATATCCATCATCAGCAGCCCGGCGAACGCATCGCAACCAGCTACCCTCACCCGAGCGCGATATAGATAGAGAGTACCGACGAGACAGCATCAGAAGTCTGCATCAAGAGAGCGAAGTCAGCGACAGAGTCCTGCGAGAATACGAGCGAGAAGTCGACGACCCAAGTCGCAGACCCGAATCCGTTCTCCCCGACCGAGATCTGAAAAAGACATCCATCAAACGAGACAGTGTCATGACGTCAGGATACAACGACAACTACACCCAAGGCGGGTACGCTGCTGAGCGTCCTCGCTCGCAGCCACCGCGCAGCAGATATTATGATGACGATGACAGCGACTATGACGAGCGCTCTGGTCGCCGATATGCGAAAGGCTCTGGCCGTGGATATGAAGATGACCGCGACTACGATCGTGTGTACGAGGAGACGGAGCGGTACAGGGGCCCTGTAAGTGCAGGACCACTGGTTGTTCGTCAACATCCCGATATGTCCTGTTGTCACTTTCGCTAATCAGTCTTCTAGCCCGCCAACCGCCCATGGGATGGAAGCCGCCGAGAGAGCTACCGATCTGGATATGACGAACCATACGGTGCTGGTACTGTAGCTCAATACCGTCGCTCAGATGGTGCGCTCGACCGCCGCGAGGAATCGTATGTCAGCCGCAGGTCCAAGTCCCGAGGCCGTGACCGAGATAGGTCGTACTCGCGCTCCCGCTCCAGGAGCCGATCTGAGGACCGCGACCGTGGTGGCATCAAAGACAAGCTCGAAAACACCTTCGACGTCAGTGGTCGTGGACTTGGTGTCGGTATTGCCGGTGCAGTTATTGGCGGACTGGCAGGCCGAGAATTCGGCGGCAAGGCGCACCGCCAGCGCGATGTCATGCTGGGAGCACTCGTCGGCGGTCTTGGAGCCAACATTGCCGAAAACAAGTGGCGTGAGTGGAAGGGCCACAAAGAAGAGAGACTGGAGCGTGAGGAGTATGAAGCCTACGGAGGGAGGGACATTGGCCGAAGCAGGAGCAATGTGAGATGATGAGCATGGAAAGTGCATTCACGACAAACCCAAGCAATTAACGAGTTGACGAAGCGATGGAAGGGCAAGCGTAGAGCTGGATATAATGCGGCGTTTCCAGAAAGTGGATGTTTCTTCTCATGGCATTGAATGCGAAGTTATGGTTCTCGTGTAGATGATTTCGACAGAAAAAATGCTTCTAGTGCAAATGACGTCTATCATATATTCACACTGTGCTTGCGCGTATAGGAGAAGGTGTGATGTGGTGTGGTCGTTCAAGGAATGTACTCTTTGCGAGCCAAGCGCCAACGCCAACTCCAGATCGACAACGCCGAGCGCTGAGCTTCATGTGACAAGTCGAACCTAGGCTTCTGCCAACACACCCACACCAACCTTACATTCCTTACATCCTTCACTTCGAAACCTACCGCCTCCTACAGCGCAACATTCCCAATCTAACCCTTCGATATCCCGTCCAACGACACCCACCCCACATCCGACCAACCACCATCTCACAGCATAGGAGACAGCAACACAACCACAACCTCGGCGGTCCCCCCAACCGCCACCACCATGCCACCCCCCAGCGGACAAGAACCGCTGCTCCACCGCCCAGAATCCCAAAACTCCGGCGAGACTGCCGCCGGCGGCATCGAGGAGGAAGACGCCCTGCTCACGGGCCAGCGCACAGGGAAACAACCCCCGGCGACCGCGGATAAGACTAGGCGATGGCGGGAGATAGGACTGTTCGTGTGGGCGCTGGTCGCGACGGCGGTGGTGGTGGTTTTGGCCGTGGTGTGGCAGCATAATCAACAGACTGGCGGCGGCACTGGGGGTCATGAAGGAGGTGGGAGTGGTAGTGGAGGTGATGGAGGGAAAGGGAAGGGGGGTAGTGGGAAGAAGAATTTGATCTTTATGGTTTCGGATGGGATGGGGCCTACGAGTTTGACGCTCACGAGGAGTTGGAGGCAGTACACGGAGCAGTTGGCGTGGGATAACACGCTCGTGCTGGATGATTATTTGATTGGGCAGAGTCGGACGCGGTCGACGAGTTCGTTGATTACGGATTCGGCCGCGGGGGCGACGGCGTTTTCTTGTGGGGAGAAGAGTTATAATGGTGCCATCTCGGTGACGCCGGACTTTGAGCCTTGCGGGAGTGTGATGGAGGCGGCGAAGAGGAAGGGGTATACGACGGGGTTGGTGGTGACGACGAGGATCACGGATGCGACGCCGGCGGTTTTTGCGAGTCATGTGAGGAAGAGGGAGATGGAGGATGAGATTGCGCTGCAGATGGTTGGGGAGACGCATCCGCTGGGGAGGATGGTGGATCTTATGATGGGTGGAGGGAGGTGTCATTTTTTGAAGAATGACACCGAGGGGAGTTGTAGGGGCGATGGCACGGATGCTGCGAAGATCGCGAGGGATAAGCATGGTTTCCAGCTGGTCAGCGAGAGGAAGGAGTTTGACAAGCTGGGCGCGAGCAGTGAACTACCACTGTTGGCGCTCTTCCCTATGGGAGACTTTCCCTACGAAATCGACAGACGATACCAAAACGACATCTACCCCTCCCTCGCAGAAATGACCAAAACCACCCTCAGGATGCTCGCCGCAGCAACAAAAGACACCGAAAAAGGCTTCTTCGTCATGATCGAAGGCTCCCGCATCGACCACGCCGGCCACGCCAACGACCCCGCCGCCCAAGTCCACGAAGTGCTAGCCTACGACCACGCCATGCAGGAAGTCCTCGACTTCATCGACCACAGCGACGTCCCCACCCTCATGGTCAGCACCTCGGACCACGAAACCGGCGGCCTCGCCACCGCGCGGCAGCTCCACGATGCCTACCCAGAATACGTCTGGTACCCCGGCGTGCTGGCCAACACCTCGCACTCCGCCTCGTACCTCTCCCGCGAGTACCACGAGCACCTACACTCCGAGAGCGAGAACCTCAACGCCTATCTGAAGAGCCTCCTGAAAGACTCCCTCGGCATCCACGACCCCAGCCTCGACGAAATCGAATCCCTCGTCACGAAACCCGAGCGCGCCGCGTACACCTTCGCCGACATGGTCTCCCGGCGCGCGCAGACGGGGTGGTCCACGCACGGCCACTCCGGCGCGGACGTGAACATCTACTCCTCCGACGCTGAAACCGCCTCCGCGCTCGTCGGCAACCACGAAAACACAGACGTTGGCGGCTTCCTAAGGGAGTATCTCGGCCTCGGGAACGAAGTCGAGAAAGTCACGGCGGAGCTGAAGAAGTTCACCGCCGCTTCTTCTTCGCAGGACGCCGAGGGGAAGGGCGGGTGGTTGGGTCCGGTGCCGGAGGAGGATGAAAGGTTGGATGGCCAGGATCATTTGGACCATTATGCGGGGGATCATAAGACGAGGAAGAGCAGGAGGACGGCGGCGCATGTGCACGAGGAGGAGAAGAGGTGTGCGGTTTGTGGGGTTTAGGAGAGTCGTGTGTGGGAGTGGATGAAGTTTCTGGTCTGGGTTTTGTGGTAGTGGGTTTCGGAGTTGTGAGCAGGAGCTACACTGTGCTGACCTGAGAAGGTATGTGCGTGGCGATTGGCGTGGTTGGAATTGGCGTTTATGGGTGATTGATGGGATACATCAGCATGGGATACCCCCTTTTCTTTCCTTCCCTTTTGATTGACAGTCCGTATCTACCTAAGAATACACACCAGCCAGTCGGTGGTAATAAATTACCTCCCATTCCCCTTCCCCGTCACATCATATCATAAAAGCAACGATCCAAACTAGCCCTCCGTCCCCCTTTCCAAGACGATTGCATCTCCGCCCAGGTACGTAGAAAGAAAACGATCTCGCACGTCTTTCAGTCTCGTCATTCTCGTGAGGAGAGTTCAGGGCAGGGTGAGCGAGTTGATGAAGAGGGTACATACATGATGTATGGACTTGTTTGGAAGCTGCACGGTACGATCCGATTCGTGACGGTGGTTCTACCAGAGGCGTGGTAACTTTGTGCCGTGCCATGCCTTGCCATGCCATCCTGCGGCACGGCTTGGGTGGACCACGCCCTTGGGAAGAGGCTGTGGATTGGGTTTCGACTTCGCCTCCCTCTCTCTCCCAGGAGGCAAAGAAGGAAAACAGGATGGAGAGCAGGGAGACGCAAACGCAGAGACCTGGGGGATTTCTGCTCTAGGACTGCTGTTTCTCGTGATTGTGGCTTTCCTTGCTCGTTGTTCGAAATGCTATGCTGATGCTAATGCTATGTCGTTTAGGTCATGTTCCTCATTCCCCTTCCTTGCATTGATATGCTATGCTGCTGACGCTCCTAAACGCCCAAAAGCTCGAATACATGCTCACGACGACCTCTCTCTTTCCTCGCCGAAACGCCCACAACTCCTGACACGAAGCACAATGCAAACCCACCGAAAAAGAGCCAGCCAGGATTCTCTTCAAGATTCCAGTGGTTTCCGGGCGTAGACGAGTCGTCTGGACGAAGTTTCGTCAGTCATCAAATCAGGCTGAAAAGGAGAAGATTGCGACTTACACCTCATGATAAACATGCCTCTTCCGATCCCTCAGCGCCCGTCGAATCTCCTTGAGCCAGTCGGCGACTTGGGCGGGCGTCCACTACACCACAACCCACACATTAGCCATCAACCATCACCACAACCGCCATCATCTCTCCCAGGAATAGGACCTTACTCACCCCCAAAACCCTCGTATAAGGCGCCATAACCCACCCCTCCATCCCCTCCTCCCAATTCAACAAATTCCACCTCCCAATCTCCTTCAACGTCAGATCACTACTCCAAGGCCCAATCGGCCACTTGAACCTCCTCTCCACGACCCCCTCAAACCCGGCCTCGCGGATGAGTCCCGCCATATTCTCCGCAATCTCAAACGTCTTGCCGGTGCGGTGCGCGCACTCGAGCGCATTGCGGCTCCACCGCGCCAGCGTCGCGTCCGGGGAGAGCGTGCCGTCGGCGGAGCGGTTGTGGATGCTCCATTCGACTTGCTCGATCCAGCCGCCGGGTTGCAGGTGCGAGAGGCATTGTTTGTAGAGGGCGGGCCAGTCGGTGATGGAGCCGAAGAGGCCGCGGATGTGGATGAAGTCGAAGGTGGATAAGGGGTAGGTCCATTCGGAGCACATGTCGTCGATTTCGAAACGGCAGTTGTCGGGTTGCATGCCTGGTTGGACGGGGGAGAGGTCGGTGCCTATTACGTCGGCGGAGGGGAATTTGTCCGCTATGTCGGTGGCCCAGATGCCTGTGCCGGTTCCTGGGGGAAAAGGGTTAGGATGGTGTTTGTTGGAGTGGATGCTATTCTTACCGAGATCAAGGATGCTTTTCGGGTCTTCGATGGGTGCCAGGTAGAGTTGGTCTTTGAGGGTCATGATGCAGAGGTGATGGCTGCAACGTCAGTTAGATCAAAAGGCTGTAGGTCGTAGATCCTTACACAATAGCCTCATGATTGTTCTGCTTCTCATCGTTCGGCTGCCAGTACTCGCCATCCCCTGAATACGATTAGCAGGTCATCATTGTCAGAGATCAACACACCCACGATAAGCATGATACGTCCTCCCATTCTCATACCGATACATCGTCGTAGTCGTCGCCAACGTCCGTCCCCTAACGCTATTCTCAGCAGAGTTCGACATCTTGCCACAGCAATCGATCACAAGAAGACTGCATGCAGGAAGGAAGGAGGAAATCACGAACGAAGAATAACTCTCCCCATCATTCCTCCACACCCCATCTTCACTCTCAAACGTCGAATAAGTATCGTCCTTGCACACCACACTCGTCAGCACACAGAAACATCTCTCCTCCGCCATCAAACATGGCTGCATGTCTCAACGTCAAACGAATGTGGAAAAGGAGAAAGGAGCAGTCCGGCTTACGATGGGGATGGATGCAGAGTTCTGCCCGGAGCCAGTGTCGGAACTCATTGTTCCTGACGAGAGGTGTGGAAGCCAACCTCACGCCAGATCAGACCGTGTGGTGATTGATTCTTCGAGTCGATCGATGGGGATCCTTCCAGTGGCGGATGCGTGCTACCGTAGGCTTCCAGCCATAAGTTTCGATCCGTTCGCTCGGGTCGTCGTGTGGCTTGGAGCCTTGAGAAAGTAGGTCGTGTGATCCCGACGGAGTGGGTAGATGTCAGAGGTAAAGTGGAAGTATAAACCAAATTTGTGGAGCTGAGAGCTCGTGATGAGGAGATGGCAGGATCGCAAAGTCGTATGTCCTCCTCGTAGGATTCCTGCTTGTAGGGTTGTGTTCGGTGAGGTGAGGTGAGCAGAGAGGTAGGTAGGTACCTCTAAAAGGCGGGCCCAGGTATGTGGGTTGACAAGCAAAGCTACTTCCTGCTACCCTGCTCGACGGTTCCCTCCTTTCGATGAAGTGCTGGCGGGCTGGCGTCCATGCAAGGGTCGCTGTTTTCTCCGTTCAGATTAGATTATCTTCGCCCTGTCATTGTCGTAGCCGGGGTGAGTGAGTGGGTGGGTGACTTTCGAAAGCCACATGAAACTCATCCGTCAAAGAAACGTCTCCGCCATCGAGTTTCGACCTGTCCCTTCTTTACGCGCTCGGAGAGTTGCAGATACGTGCTCGAAAGCTAGCGTCCACGGAGCTTCCTGCCGTTTCAATCGACAAAGAAGTCTCGTCACAAATGAACAGCCAAAAGCACCATTCAATCACTCACTCATCACCAGGAAAGAGAAAGAGACAAACAAACTCCCACCTCACCTGCCCCATCTCCTCGCCCTCCCACACACTCAAAAAACCACACCCGGGCGCCGGTGCAGCGGCAACGACACCATGCAGCTAGAGACGCACCATGCACGACGTGCAGCTCCGGTGTCCCCAACCCCCCGGACTCGGGACATCGATTCGCGCAGGACAGGCCTCTGCATGCGCGACGCTGGTTCCGGCAGGGTGGGCATTTTTGACGGGTGTCAGAGCCGTTGTTTATTCATGCATGCATGCATATACGAAGATGCAGATGCATGGGGGAGATGAGATGCGATGTGTTGGCGTTTTGTGAGGGAGAGAGGAAGAAGAGGGGGAATTCGACTGCGTCCACTCGGAAGGTACGAGAGCTGTCTGCCCTCAGAGTCGGGACGAGTCCGATGTGCTGGGATTCTGGTTTTGATACGAGGCTCGTCAATCCCCTCTGATGGAAGTCAACATGTACATTATCATGATTGATGAAGGCCATGTCAGGCTTTCAACGTCGCCGTCGCCGGAGAAATCTCCTCTCCAAAACGGCCCCCCCATTTCACCCCTGCTGCCCTCCTCAAACCCCATCTCCATCTCCGTCAATGAACTGCCCCTACTCCATCAAACGCGGTGATAGAGACGACTCTGGAACAAAGAATGTCCATGTAGTCCATCAAGCCCCAACAAACCATCCTGACTTCACATCCCGAGCCACCTCCCCCAAAACACACCTGCATCCCATCCCATCGTCCTGTCTCGGTTCCTCTCGGCACCTAAACTCATCCGCCTCAACCACGAACGCAAGCGTAATGCGCTGGCAGAAACGCTATCTTAGTCCCAAGCAAGCTAGAAAACAACCTGAACCAAAAGATTCAGAATCAGAAAAACATCCGATGTTCTCTGCACATGCACATGTAACAATTCATTCCGAGTCCCTCGCTATCGATCCCTAACTGATTTCCGTCCGGTTCCCTTCACACACGCTGTCGCTTTAGCCTCAAAAACACAATTCTCCCTTCATGCCGCACGATAGCCTATAGCCCATGTGCTCCGCGTGATCCCCTTCCTTTCCGTAGCAGAAGTATGAATTAGATACAACCTCCCAAAGTTCTTCCGTGACCGCGCTTTTTGTCGCTCCCCATAGCCACGCTTTTCCTCCCACCTGATCAAAACGCTGCAAAGGTATAAAAGAGTGAGAATACCACCGCCCTTCGTTTTGCCTTCCCCGGATTGAATCCCATCACTTGCAATGCCGAATCAAACGCCTCGCTCGCCAGCTCAAGCAAGCAAATCAGTAAAACGCCCCCCTTGTTGCTTCGTTGTCGTTTTGCACACCGCCCTTTTGTATCCGTGTCCGTATCCGTCCCCTCTGCCACACGCTTGTTGTTGGTACAGCCAGACCGACGGCCTAAAAGCCGAGATAAGATATAGAGATTTTGATGCAAGGGTATCCAACCACACCGCCGCCGCCACGTATTTGATCGATGCTTTTTTTGACCTTCCGCCCCCTTTCCACACTGAGTCGACCAAAAGCTGAGACATTGGCCGCCCCTCGTCTATAGTAGTTAACATGCAGTCTGCCGTCCCAGAGTCCAGTGAATCCTTGGCGAACCGAGACTGCCGTCTGATGCACTCCTGCCACCTCCGCCATGCGCCACCACGGAATCATGTGGTATTCGAATATTAAGGATGCCCTGGTGGCTTTCTGCTGCTGCTGATCCCCGGATCCTCTTCCACCACAGGCGAAGGCGACCGCACCGTTCCGCTTCTCAAAGCTTCCCTCTGCGCCGCTGCATCTGTTCCTGCATCTTTGCCGCTGAGCGCCGATGCGATCTGTGCCTGGGGTATCGCCGACTTGGGCGATAATGAAAGCGCTCGCTGGAGATCGCTCTGTTCTTTCGCCTGCTTGTCGCGCAGATGCTGTTCGTCCTCGTCGCTGCTGGGGGGCGTTTCTTCGTCCGGACGACCTCGTGCCGCACTGCTGTCCATGCTCTCTCGCCTCAGTCTGTCGGCCTTATCCTTGAGCACCTTGGCTTCCTCAGCTGCACGCTGCGCTCGCACCTGCTTTCGCCACATGCCCGCATATCGGCCTTTCTTGGCTAGCAGCTCGAGATGAGTCCCCTTCTCGGCGACTTTGCCCTCGTGCAAGACAAGGATTTGATCGCACATGGTGATTGTACTCAATCGATGCGCAATGACCAGCATGGTCCTGCCTCTTGACAGCGTCTTGAGCGCTTCTTGGATGTGCTCTTCCGTTTCGGTGTCCAGCGCCGCAGTTGCCTCATCCAGCAAGATGATGCGAGGGTCTTTGATGATTGTCCTCGCAATGGCAACTCTTTGCTTCTCTCCACCAGAAAGTCGCAGCCCTCGCTCGCCAACTTTGGTCTCGTATCCATCTGGAAAGCTCATGATCTTGTCGTGGATACTGGCTGCCTTGCACGCCTCGTACACCTCCTCGTCTGTGGCCGATTGTCTGGAGTACTTCAAGTTGTACATAAGAGTCTCATTGAAAAGGACGGTGTCCTGTGGCACGACGCCGATGTGCTTCCTCAAGCTGTCGATGGTCACGGTCTTGACATCGTGCCCGTCAACTTGGATGGTACCCGACGCCGCGTCGTAGAACCGGAACAAAAGCCTGAACACCGTAGACTTGCCGCCACCAGACTCTCCAACCAAGGCAGTAGTAGTACCTGGTCGGCAGGTGAAGCTCAAGCCTTGCAGTGCCGGCTTTCGATTATCGTATGAAAAGTGGACATCATCATACCGGATCTCGCCCTCGCAGGATGGCATCTCGCCAGCATCGGGGCTGTCAACCACAGTCGGCTTCTCCTTGAACAGCTCCAGCATACGCTCAGAGTTGATCATGTTGTTTTGGATCATGCGATAGAAGGTGCCGAAGAAGTTAAGAGGACCTTGAAGCTGCGTCATGTAAGTTAGTAGGATGACAAAGTCACCGGCGCTGCGAAGGCCACTGGTGACTTGGTAAGCAGCGATGAAGCACGCAATGACCAAACCCATCATGAAGACAAGGTTTTGAATCGTGTTCATCAGGGCGAGCGAGAAGGTGACCAGGTACTCGGCTTTCTGATACTTCTTCACCGCATCGCGATACCGATTGAACTCGTACGCCTCGGCATTGAAGTACTTGACCGTTTCGTACGACATCATCGAATCGTTCTTGACGGCATCCTCCTCTCTGCTTGCGTTTGTCGCTTGGCGGCGAATCTCTGCACGCCAAGAAGCGATACGTATGGTGATGTAGACGTACCAGAAGGTAACTACTGCGATCACGAGAGCGTAGTAGGCGTCGAAGCGGACGAGGAAGTAAACCAGAGCCACGCCGAGATCGATCAGCATGGGCAGGACGTTGAAAGTAACGGACTCCAGAAAGGTATTCAGAGAGGCGCCCTTTCCAAGTGCCGACAGCACCTCGCCTGTCTTCTTGCCCAAGTGGAACTCCAGACTGAGCATGTGCACGTGCTCGAAAGCTGCGACGGAGAGCTCTCGGTATGAATACTGCTCGATGGGGATCCACAGAATCTGCCTCGCGGCGCCAAGGAGCCCGTTAGATCCCTGAAACAGGCGCAACGTAACGTATATTGAGATGGCCGCCCATGGCATATAGACTGGAGCCTCGTTGCCGGCAAGAATGTCGGTGATGACACCCGCCTGCAGTGGGACGAGCAGCTGGATTCCACGCTGGACAGAGACGATGACGAAGCACAAGACGAAATTGATCTGCAGCTTTCGATCCTTGTACGGCCAAATGTATGGGATGAAGATGGCGTACGCGCGAATGTACTCCCACCAGCTGCGTGTTGGTGTCTGCTTCGGCTTCTCCCATCCAGCTGGGGCTTCAGCATGGCCGTGTCCATGGGGTCCGTGCGGCTTCCCGTTTGGCTGCGCAACAGCACCATACGACTGCGACGAGCCATTGGCGGCTCCATTCTCGGTCGAGCCGTTGGGCAACAGCGAAGTCCGCTCCTCTGGGTCGGTGGTCTCTTCAGCAGGTTTCTTCTTGACACCCTGCAGGTAGACGAAGATGGCAAAAAACCCGACGAGAGACAGCAAAAGGAAGATGCGAATGATGTCGATGGTGACTTCGGTGGCTTCCCACTCAGTCATGTCCCTGCGCAGTTCTCCACCGTTCGGATTCCCGACTCTGTGCTCACGGTGCTCGGTAGTGTAGAGTGCGAATGAGGCACCTAAGAGCACGATTTCCATGAGCAGTGCAGCAACCCATGATACGAAATGCGCAATCGTCGGAGACGGGTGCGAGTCTACCATGTGAATGAGTAGGAGAATGTAGATCATGAAAGACCCCACCAAGTAGATCTGCATCATCAGCAAGAGATTGGGGAGGCAGAGAGCTGCTCACGAGACATACCGTCGGATCCTCGCCACACCACCATCCTTCACGGCGGGCGTATATGGCATGGACGATGACCACTACGATGTTTGCACCCAGAGTGCCGACGACACCCACCGACAGCCACTCAAACAGCAGCTTCCTGGGTTTACTGAAGTCCAAATCTCTCGGTACATCCGGCTCTTTTACAGGCTGGTTGTTCTTCTTCTTGGGCAGCGGCTTGCCACCAGGACCCAGCTGGTCGGGCTGCTGGTCCAGCTCAGTATCATTACGGGCCGTGGCGATGCTTCGGACGGTGAAGGTGATGATATAGAGGAGCAGCAGGACGATTGGGTAGGCGATCTGCACGCGACCCTGGATCGCTTGGGCGGTGGGATTGGAGACCCAAGGCAGTGTGTTGTTTGCCATGATGATGGCCTTGTAGCACTGGAGCCGGCGTCGGTCCAGCGGGGCAGGATGGATTGGGAGTGGATGAAGCAGAGCAGAGGCGCCGCGTTGCCGTGTGCCCCAAGCCTCGGAGGGTAGCGACTGTGGGAGGGGATAGGTAGGGTGGGAGTCGGAGTGGTGGCCAAGCCAGGCGCAGACGGGTCTAGAGGGGCACGCAAACGAATGTCGCCATGGTCCTGCTGGGGGAAACGGCGGCGAGCGGCAGGCGGACGGGGGAGCGGTGGCAGCAGCAGCAGCAGCGGTGGTGGTGCTATGCGGTGCCTGTGTCGCGAGGGAAGTACTGGCAGGAGGGAGAGGTCGAGGGTGGCAGCTGGCGGCACGGCATTAGTGCGGCAGCAGTGTGAGTCTGGCTGCCGGCGAACCTTTGCTGGGCCTGTGCTGGGGCTTTGCAGGTGGCACAAGACAGTCGACTCCCGCCGCCGATTAGGTTTAGCGCTAGCTGCGGCTACTCCCCTACTGGTCGAGGCAGGCACCGTTCCGTCGTGCCTGCCGTCGACTCGTCCCATGCATCTGTCATGTGCGCGCCATTCACTCCGCTCTTTCCTCGCTCGCACCACCACCACATGCATTTCACGCGCATTCTTCACGCCCGCCGTGCCCCTACCACCAGCGTCTCGTGCCCCCATCTTACTTTCACCTCGCTGCTGCTGGCCGGCGGCAACGATGCGGCTCTTCCCCGACCAACGACCGCTTAACCTTTGGCCGTGTTTCCTTCTGGCGTCGCCTTCACTTCTTCACACCGCAACCGCTGCGAGTCAGCTGACCACTTCGCCTCAAACATTGCTTGCGAACCTGACACGCTCCCGATCTCTCCGATATGGCGCCCACGACTTCGATCCGCTGGATGACTTGCGTAAGGCCCTGGATGTCATGCAGACGGAATACTTTGAGCTATGGGTGGGCGCGTGGCCCTCTGCCATCGACTGGACCGCTGCCGTCATGAACACCCAAATCGTCTCCTCCATGGCCACATTCAGCCGAGCCCTTGACGACCCATCCTTACTGCCCACGTCAGACGAGGATTACGGGAATAGCGTCGGCCCAGCGCGGGACATTGAGAACGATTTGAATCGCTACTTCTCCCAGAGCGTGGCCTACTATTTCGGTGAGGATGCCTTTGCGATCCGTAACGAGGCCAATGATGATATGCTCTGGGTGGTCCTTAGCTGGCTCGAGGCCATCAAGCTCATCGACGTCCATTCCCGTCTGCACTACCATTCCCCTGGTGATGGATCGTTCAGATCGTGGCATGGCACCCAGTTCGTGAAAGCGTTCGCCCATCGAGCCCGCGTCTTCTACGATCTGGCTGCTCGAGGTTGGGATACCACCCTGTGTGGTGGTGGCATGGTCTGGAACTCTCATCTCGAGCCCTACAAGAACGCCATCACCAACGAATTGTTCATCGCAGCATCGGTAGGCATGTACCTCTATTTCCCTGGCGACCACAACCCTTCCCCTTTCATGGCTCAACATCTGAAGTCCAGCCTTGACACCCCTGATGCCGAGCCGCATGATCCTTCTTACCTTGCAGCTGCAGTACAGGGATACGACTGGCTTAAGAAAAGCAACATGACTAATACACTTGGCCTGTACGTCGATGGTTTCCACATTTCCGGGTTGAGGCGGAACTCGACCATCTGCGATGCCAGGAACGAGATGGTATATACCTACAACCAGGGCGTCCTCCTGAGCGGCTTACGCGGTCTGTGGGAGAGCACCGGCAACACCACCTACATGTTCGATGGACACGAACTGGCTCGAAATGCCATCAAAGCGACGGGCTGGCTCTTCGATCTTGACGCTGCGACTTCCAATTCTGCATGGGCCGGTCTGGGCCGCGCAGGGATCCTGGAAGAGTTCTGTGACGCCCAAGGAGATTGCAGTCAAGACGGGCAAACGTTCAAAGGCATCTTCTTCCATCATCTGACATTGTTCTGCGTACCCCTTCCTGCGCTGCCGCTCTACCCAGGGAAAACGCACGCCGCAGGGAAAGAGCTTGCGTTGCTGCATCATCAGAGCTGCCAGGAATATGCTCTATGGATAGCTCACAATGCTCGGGCCGCAGTAAGCACCAGAGATGCCGACGGCAAGTTCGGCTCTTATTGGGGAGAACAAGATGATAGCTATTTGAAGACTTCACTACCTGACGGTGCCACTGACTACCGCAATAATGCCTCGGAGTTGCTTAACTGGCCGTGGATGTCGCCAAGTGAAGGAATCGGTATTCGTCACCAAGACATAGCGCAGCAGCAGCGTTTGAAGAATGTATACGAAACCGCCCAGAATGATCGCAGCGAGGGCCTACGTACCTCGCAAGATCCCAACGATCGAGGTCGAGGACGCACTGTAGAAACGCAAGCCGGTGGCGTGGCTGTCTTGAAAGCGTTGTGGGAGTTACTATACATGCAATGAGCTAGCGCGACATTCCAGGCATGGCTGTGGAATGTCTTCCCACGAGATTGCCAAGACTCAAAGGTAAGACCTGAGAAAGAGAACTGAGTGAAAACAGTCTTCGACAAAGAACAAATACATGTCATCTATCAACATGAGGGAAACAGACACAATGGCGATCTCGCTTTCTCGCATATACGACTTGCGCCTTTCTGCCGCTCCAAGGCCACCATCAAGCGGAAGAAGACAGCCTTCTAGGAGCCAGAACCATGTCTACCGCTCAAAAGTCATCAGCATGGACACCCGACGGGAAGAAGAAGAGCGTTGTCACATCAATAGAGCCCGCTGATCCTGATCGACCGCGAAAGACTGCTACATGCTGTCAACGAGAGTTTCGACGAAGTCCCGCACCAAGTCCGCCAGAGCATCGCGATACAGCTACAAAAGACGAACCAAAGAAGAAGAAAACATCTCGACCGAAACAACAAGCTTGACGAGCAATTACTAAGGCAACGAATACCCGCAAACCTTGCTGGATGCCGCAACGCGCACAGGTCCGCTCGAAGGACGTCGTACAATAGGGCTCCAACATCAAGTTTCGAGACCGCTAGCCAGCTGAGCGCAGCTGTCACCCTCTACAGCTAGCCATGCGAAGCTTCAAAACAATGAATAAGCTGCCATCGCGCGCATCTCACGCTTCACCTTGCATACTGTGCCAACGACTCAACCCTCCAGCACGAATACCATGGCCGAGTCGAAAGAAGAAGCACAGCAACAACCCATCACAACCTCATTCGACAAATTCTCGGCCGTCTTCGCGCATCGCAACGTCGCCAACACTGCCAAACACCTCATCCTGTACATCAAGCCCGATTCACGAATCCTCGACATAGGCTGCGGCATCGGCTCCATCACCATCGACCTCGCCCAACGAGTGCCGAAGGGCTGCGTCGTAGGCCTCGACATCAGCGAAGGTAATCCTTAAATCCACCACCACAAACGCTCTCTCTCCGCCTATACCAACACCCAAACCAGAATCCATCAAAACCGCCCGCGCCGCCGCCCAAAACCTCAACATCACCAACATAACCTTCCACACCGCCTTCGTGTCCGACCTCACCAACCCCACCATCTTCCCTCGACAAACCTTCACCATCGCCCACCTCCACCAAGTCCTCCTGCACATCCCCTCCCCAACACAAACCCTCCAGCACATCCTCCCCCTCCTCATCCCGAATAGAAGCCTGATCTCCACCGTCGACTCCGCCCACCTAACCTCCACACCCAGCGGCCCAACCATGCACGAAAACTTCACCCGCTTCCAAGCCTCTTCCCCAGGAGAAGTCTTCGGCGCCGGCACAATCCACCACGTGTGGATGCACGACGCCGGGATCCCCTGGGAGTGCATCGAGACGGGGGTGCAGGGGGTCAATGTCTTTGGGGAGGGGGAGGAGGCGCGGGGGAAGAAGCGGGCGGGGATGGAGGGGTATGTGGGGATTGCGAGGCAGAGGGGGGAGTGGGAGGAGTTTTTGAGGGAGTTGAGGGCGGAGTGGGAGGGGTTTGTGTCGATCCGGCGGGGAGGGTGACGGGGAGCGATAGTTGGTGTTTGGGGTTTTTGCGGTAGGATAGAGATGGGTTTGGGGGTTGCTCCTTGAGGACTTTTCAATGAGAAGGGCAAATGCTGATATGAAAGCTCTCTTTCTCATACCTGTGTGACGATCGAGTAGAGTCTCTGAGGAAAGGGGCTAGAAATCTTTTGGGTTTGGATTTTTATCAGGAGAATGCTCCTCTCTTTCTTCCCGTGCCTATGTTGGTCTTCGATGAGTAAGTGCCATGAGAAGGTCCAGTGTAGAGTGGGGCTCGAAAATACTCATTGCAAAATTGGTCTACTCTGTGTCTTGCAATGGTAGCAGGCGGAGACTGTTCCTCGATGTTGCAGGGGGTGCTGTTAGCATTGGCAATGTTGAGGCAGAGGATATGGACAAGACAGGAGTAGGGGCTGCCAAGGAGACGGGAATCGAAAAGTCGTGTTGTATGTCGAAATCACCTCACTTATGCCAATCTACAGTTCATCAAACTGCCGTTATACATCCCTTTGTCTGACTACCTCCGTGTGACGTCGTCCACAGCATGCAGTATCTATACAGTCTCCCTTGCCATCTCTTTTTCTCTCTACTGGGTGCCAGACTGGACGATCTGTGGCGGGCTGCCAGTCTTTATCGCACCGGACGAAGACCCACAAGCCTCGATGGACTTAACAACGCTCACTGATTCCTTGTCTCCTGGAACGACCTGGCCGAAGACGACGTGGCGGCCGTCTAGCCATGAGGTGATGACGGTGGTGATGAAGAATTGCGAGCCGTTGGTGTTGGGGCCCGCGTTAGCCATGGAGAGGAGGAATGGCTTGTCGTGCTTCAGCTTGAAGTTCTCGTCGGCGAACTTCTCGCCGTAGATGGACTTGCCGCCGGTGCCCTTGCATTGTCGTTAGTTGAGTCGAGAATAGTTATGTCAAGGATAGCATACGTTTCCACGAGTGAAGTCACCACCCTGGAGCATGAACTCGGGAATCACACGGTGGAACTTGGAGCCAGCGTAGCCAAAGCCCTTCTCGCCGGTGGAGAGGGCACGAAAGTTCTCGACAGTTCGTGGGACGACATCTCCGAATAGCTCAAAGTTGATGCGGCCCTCGCGTGCTGTGGTATGTTAGTCGTATTGCTTGATAGACGGCCAACAGTCTCTCATTGCATTGCAGCATGACATACGCTTGTTCTCGGCGTCCTGGCTGAGGACCTTGCCGTTGGCGTCGGTCTCGAGCTTGGGACCGGTCCAGGCACAGTCGAAGTAGGCCTTGATGACCATGTTGGCGGACGAAGCGTGAAAGGAGCGGTTGAAAGTTGGCTGCTGGCAAGCTCTGAAGGCCGGTCTGGAGGCGTGGAGGGAGTTCTTGAGGAGGGAACCCGCCGCCGACGAACGTGCAAACATGGTTGCTCAAAAAATGAGGGCGGGGCAGTTGAGGCAGCGCGGGGCAATCTGCAGAACGTCAACCCGGCCGTCTCCATACCGACGAGCCTCCGAGCGCAGCTATAGGCTTCTTGGCGAGCAGCAGCTGGTGTGCACCCTCCGAGACAACCAGTCCCCGTGAGATGATGACGGCGGGATGCATCTCTGGGAGGAGCTTGTGCCCGGTGTGGTCCGATCTGGACTTACATGTTGTTACAGCTGTGGGAAAGCAGCGCGGACTAGGCATTGAGCTTTAGCATACTGTTTCCACCGAAAGGGGGTGCCCAAAAGCTTGCATGGGGCAATGAGATGATACATACCTATTGTACAGTAATTGCAAGGCCGTGACAGATCCAAATCAGATGGAAAGAATCGACCCGGAACGTATTGGAGATTGTTTTGGATGAGAGATGTCTTCAGAACAAATCTAGTCTTCACGTACTCCCGCGATTCAGGGCCGAGGCGGAAGCTGCCGAGCCGACTCAGGCCAGTCGTCAGGAGAAGCCGCTCTCCACAAAACAACGCCCAAAGAAACAACGAAGCTATTGAGCATCGCCAACCCGTGCGCATTTGTCGCCACGCTGCTGGCACTGAGCTGCTGCTCCCCGACTCGGCACAGCATCACGTTCATACGAATATACCGCGATCATGGATCTCAACAGCCTGCGCGATCAGGTCAGCAACCTGACGCTCTACGACCTGAAAGCTGGCGTCAGGAAAGTACAGAATGGTATGCATTGCGGAGGACAGGACGGAGGCTGAGAGCTGACGTCTGCGTATAGCTGTCATGAACTACACCGAGATGGAAGCCAAGGTGCGAGAGGCGACTAACAACGAGCCGTGGGGTGCTTCCTCGACCATGATGCAGGAGATCGCCAACGGAACCTTCAATTAGTATGCGGTCAACCCATGTGCTCGGCGATGCGACACTAACCAGATTGCAGTCAGCTGCTCAACGAGATCATGCCGATGATATACAAGCGCTTCACCGAGAAGTCGGCAGAGGAATGGCGGCAAATCTACAAAGCCCTTCAGCTGATGGAGTTCCTGGTCAAGAACGGCTCGGAGCGTGTCATTGACGATGCTCGCTCACACATGTCGCTCTTGAAGATGCTGCGGCAGTTCCACTACATCGACCAGAACGGCAAAGACCAGGGCATCAACGTGCGAAATCGAAGTAAAGAGCTGGTCGAGCTTTTGAGCGATGTCGACCGGATTCGGGCGGAGAGGAAGAAGGCTCGATCTACAAAGAACAAATATGGTGGTGTAGAAGGAGGAAGTGGTCTGGGCTTTGGGCCTGGCAGCGGATCGAGCAGCAGATACGGTGGCTTCGGCAGCGAGAGTGGCGGATACCCGTCATCATACGGCGGTGCCCAGCGGACTGTCTACGGAGATGGCGGCGGGTTTGGGGGTGAGACCAATGACTACGATGAAGGACCTGGAGGCAGAGGCGGTGACACATACGAGGAGTATGATGAATACGACGACGGTGGTGCACAGGCTACTCCTGGCAGACGGAAAGCCGACGCTCTTGCGAAGGCAAAGGCGAAGAAGACTGAGCCACCCAAACCGAAGGAGCCTGAAGTGGACTTGTTCGACTTCGGCGATGAGCCAGCTACGACTGCAGCCCCAACAATCCCTGCGCCATCTTCATCGGCTACTTTGACTTCACCAATAGTAGCAGGTGACGACGACGATTTTGACGACTTCCAATCTGCCACACCAGCAACGACTACTCCAGCCGCGTCGACTATTCCCAGCATTCCCAAGCCGAATTACAGCTCCATTCCTCCGCCAGTCTCAACTACATCATCCAACACCCAGTTCGCTCAGCCAACGCCACAGGGTGGAAATGCAAACTTCGGCAACATCTTCTCCACCACATCACCACCTCCAAGCAGTGCAACGTCATCGATGTCCGCAATGTCCCCTCCATCGATGCACGCACAGAAGCCCTCCGGATACCAGCCAACTGGACCGAACTACTTCACCTCTGTTAATGTCAATCAAGGCCAACAGCCTGCTGCAGCTTCCAGCTCAGGAGTAACATCGCCTGCAGCAGGCATTGGCAGCCAGCCAGCGAAGAAGTCGGGAGGCGGTGATGCTTTCGCTAGTCTGTTGGCAGGCAGTGGCGCAAAGAAGAATGCTCCGGCTCAGAAGGGCCTAACGATCGCAGACATGGCGAAGCAAAAGAGTCAAGCAGGTCTGTATGGAGCAAACGCGCCTGCAGCCATGGCCGCTCCTCAAGGCCAACAGAAGCCGAGCACAGGAAGCAGCGGAATGGATGACCTCTTGGGATAAAGTAAAAGTTGGCACGAGCATTTTGTCATGATAGATACCGGTAAAGAACGCATCTCAAATGTTCTGTATCTCTATGTCCTTCAAGTCGCTCCGTCAAGTCTGAAGAGGGATGCCAAGATTTTGTGGCCCGAGCGCCTGGCCCGCACAACCCGCGAATTTGAAGACGACCGCCAGACTTCAAGCGACGACCGACTCACGACGACGAAATTTGCAGGCGAAGGAGCCACACGACCACACCACACCAATCCTTCACTAACACACAGCCAAAATGTCGGGTGGCAGAGGGTACGCATGGCCACAGAGATGAGCGCGAGGAGCAGGCACTAACAGGAGATTCTTTCACAGTCGCGGATCGCAGTCCGGTAACAAGCTGAAGATGACTCTCGGTCTTCCAGTGTACGTCCCTCATCGAATACCTCTCCCTTCGAAATACTCGAACGTCTAACGCAGACCCCTCGAAAAAGATGAGGAAGAGTGGAAGAAAATGAGGAAAGAGGCAGCAGAGACTGACAGAAATCCAGCGGCGCAGTCCTGAATTGCTGCGACAACTCGGGCGCCCGTAACCTCTACATCATCTCGGTCAAGGGCTTCGGCGCGCGTCTCAACCGCCTCCCCGCCGGCGGCGTCGGCGACATGGTCATGGCGACCGTCAAGAAGGGCAAGCCGGAGCTGCGCAAGAAGGTCATGCCGGCGGTCATTGTGCGGCAGAGCAAGCCGTGGCGGAGAGCGGATGGCGTCTACCTGTATTTTGAGGACAATGCGGGTGTGGTGAGTGAAGAATACACTTTGATATGAGGGGTGGGGTTTTGGGATGGAAGCTGATTGTGGTGGTATAGATCGTCAATCCGAAGGGTGATATGAAGGGTTCGGCTATCACTGGTCCTGTGGGTAAGGAGGCTGCTGAGCTTTGGCCGGTGAGTACACGAAAAGAGGAATGCATCACACGAGGACAGAACGGCGAACTGACTTGTACATTTCACAGCGTATCGCCTCCAACTCCGGTGTCGTGATGTGAGCAAAGCCTGCTTCATTGCTTCTGGGAGAAATTGGGGAGACGTTTTCGATGCATGGGAGAGGGAAATACCGGCGTTGTTAGCAGCTAGCTTCGGGGTCGTCTCTATACAGACAGACAAGACTCTTATGCGCCTACTACTATGAAAGAGGTCTGCGCTGGTCGGTCTCACGAATATGATTTCTTCCTCGGCTGAGCACATTCTTCCTCCACTCGACCTTGCCGCCTCGATTACACTCACACACGGACGTATCCGCATTCAATCCTTCAGAAAACCGGCAGTCAACTGGAATGGAATTACAACAAACACTTCAGACGTTCAAGCCACGAGATCGACTATCGGAGACACATCCTACCACCTACACCTCCCCATCTCCCTCACAAACCTACTCCATATAACTAACCGTCTTCAACTTCAAAAACTCCTCCATGCCCCACTGCCCATTAAACCTGCCCCAACCACTCTTCCCGACACCCCCATGCGGCAACAACGCCTCATCATGCACCGTCATACTATTCACATGCACCGCACCACTATCCACGCCCCTCGCGATCTTCAACCCCCTCGCCAAACTCTCCGTGAACACGGCCCCGGACAGCCCGTACTCGGTGTCGTTGGCCAGGTCGATGGCTTCCTCGTCGCTTGAGATGGGGATGAGGGAGACTGTGGGGCCGAAGGATTCCGTGTGGAAGATGTCCATTTCTCTAGTTATGTCTGTGAGGATCGTGGGGCGGATGCGGTACGGCGAGGTTTCTTGGTCGTTGGTGCCGGCGCCGTGAAGGATCCTGGCTCCCTTCGCCAGGGCGTCCTCGCGGAGGGCCTGGTTCTTCTGCACGCCCGGCTTGGCGATGAGGACGGGGGCGTCGGCATCCGCGGCGTAGATTTTGTCCGCGGCGTCTTTGAGGGCGATGGTGAAGGGTTCGAGGATCTCCCGGGCCACGAGGATGCGTTCCGTCGACATGCAGATTTGACCCGCGTGCAGGAAGGCGCCGAGGGCGCATTGGAAGGCCGCGTGGGGGATGTTGGCGTCGGCGCAGACGATGGCGGAGGCTTTGCCTCCCAATTCCATCAGGACGGGTTTGAGCTCCTTGCCGGCTTTGGAGGCGATGAGGGAGCCGACGAGGGTGGAGCCTGTGAAGTTGACTTTTTTGATGGCCGGGTGTTCGATCAGGAAGTTGGTGATTTCTGCGGCGTCGGAGGGCCGGTGGTAGATGATGTTCAGGACGCCGTCAGGGAGGCCGGCTTCTTGGAAGATAGAGCCGATGGCCCAGTAGGTTCGGGGGGAGAGTTCGGGGCCTTTGACGACCGCCGTATTGCCTGCCGCGAGGGCGTAGAGGAAGGAGCGCACGCCGAGGATGTACGGGGCATTCCAAGGGGCGATGCCCAGGATGACGCCGTAGGGTTCTTTGAAGATGAAGGCGCCCTGGCCGGGGGTTTTGGTCGGCGGGATGATGCCGTGAATGTCAGCGGCGCGGCCGGCGACGTCGCGGATGTTGTCGATGGTGGTGTCGATGTTGAAGTCGGTGAAGGGGCGGAGGGCGCCCGTTTCGCGCTGCATGTAGGTGGCGAGTTCGTCGCGGCGTTGGGACATGAGGTCCGCGGCTTTGAGCATGATGGTCTGGATGGTGGAGGGTTTGGTCTGGCGCCAGGTTTTGAAGGCGGTTTGGGCGGCGTCGACGGCTTGTTGGGCTTCTTTTTTGGAGACGGAGGAGGAGGGCCAGAGGGGGGCGTTGTCTGTTGGGTTTTGGACGTCGAAGGTCGTGCTTGTGGTTACTTCTTTGCCGTTGATCCAGAGGGGCACGGGGCCTGAGGGGGTGCCGTTGGTTTGGGCGGGCATTTTGAATTCTTTCTTGGTTTGTGTGATGCTCTTGAGTTGTATGTTGGAAGTTGGAGAGTTGTTGGTGAGATTGTCGTCTCACGCGAGACAAGCTGAGGATCTCTTTTCTCTTGGATATTGGCAGTCTCCACTCACAAACCCCACCTGTTCGAGATGTCCGACTCGTACAATTTCTTGATGATTAGCAATTCAGATCACGTTTCCTGATGACAATATCAAATAAAGGAAGACCTTTTTGACTGTGACGTCCACACAGCTCCATTTTATATACCTCTCATCCCTACATCACCTAACCCCAAGTCAAACCCTAAGGTACCCGACTCCACGAGCCGCAGCACCCACCATGAAATCCTCCACGACTGCCTTATCAAGCACACATGTACGCCATGTGCTAGGGGTAAGGTCTGTAATGCAGAGCGGAAGTGAGCAAACCCCCGCAGTCGTTTTCGACTTCAACTTCGGCAGTTCAGGACGTAGGTTTGAGCTGACCAATGACTGTTGTTCCGTCGATTTGTTGCACACAGGTGCAGGCATGTTCTTGTCAATGTTGCTGTGCTTTTCGCTAGGCATATGTCAATGTTTGGAGAAACCTTGTTGGTGACGATGTCATTGTTGCTTGGGAACCTTGGAAGGTTGTTGGACCTGAGTTTTGCCAGGGAAGGCTGAGGAACCAGAAGTCTAAAATTCGCTGTTCTTTCGGGTGCGAGTGACGGGGTGATTCGGGTACATAAATGTTTTATAAAGCATGCTGGTATATGACGATGATGTCTGAAAGGACCAACTCCTCAGAGGACTGTGCAATTCGAGATGTTTCTCACCATGCCACAGTCCTGACCTCACCCGTAGCATCATCCATGTCGGTGTAGGTACCACTCTCACCATCCTTGCCCAGCAACGTCAAGCGCACGGCATTGATCGCACCCTTTGCGAGCTCGCCTGGTTTGTGGTTTGGAGGTGCACCTTGCCCGTAGTTGTTAAGGTTCGTTGCCTTGAGATCGAACGTCAGCACTGAATCTCGAGGTTTTGCTCCGAGTGGGAACCTACTCTGAACCCTGGACAGCAGGCGTTGATTTTCATCCCAGGACAGAGATGCCAGTAGTAGAGCATGATCATGTTCAGCGCGGCTTTGCTGCTGGAGTATGCGGGCCAAAGGGCGTTGGATCGCTTGGTGGCGTGTCCCAGGCTGCCGAGTCCGGTGGACATGAAGATGATGCGTGGGTTCGAGGCTTTCTCAAGCAGAGGCCTGAAGTCGTCGGCGGTCTGGGCTGTGCCGGCGACGTTGGTGTGCACAGCCTGCATGATCAAGTCTGAGATCGGAATCTTATTGAGGTCATCTTTGTCGGGGGCAATGCCGGCCTGAAGTAAGAATTAGCGACTTTGCATGGAATCTGGGAGTCTTGCCATGTTCATACGTTTTCGTGGAGGACATCTAGGCGTCCGAATTTCTGGTCGACCTCTTTCACAGCCTTGGCGATGGAGTCATTGTTGTTGACATCGATCTCGAGGAACTCGGCGTGTGTGAGCCCTTGGCTGTGCAGGTCTTTGACAGCTGCTTCGCCCTTGGAACGAGTTCTTGCACCGATCAGTACGTGGAACCTGTCTGGGTGGTCTTTGAGAAGCTTCTTGGCGATCTCAAAGCCCAAGCCTGTGCTGCCGCCGGTGATCAGGACGATTTCTTTGTCGAGCGGTGCCATGATGATTTGCTGGTCTTCGACTTCTTGATTGATGGACTTTTGCTGAAATGAATGCTTTGCATTATATGTGTTGTTCAATGATACTTGACACTGGCTCTATTGGATGCATTACCTCCGTGATATTATCCATGATGCGTAGAGCATATCAAGCGACGAGGAACAGCCTGAAATGCTAGCCATTCAATGGCAAGTATTTGTCCTTCGTACGTGCGAAGTCTCGTGAAGTGGAGTATGTAGGTGAAAGCATCGGATATAGAGGGGACATATATGAACCGATAGCCCCATGGCAATGAATATACCCAGACGACGCGCGATTCATGCGTACTGTATCACGGTGATAATGAGATCCGGTTGTCCATGCGCTGGCGGGTTCTTTGTCCTATCTGCGTGGCTGCTGCCATGTGCTCCTCGTGGCAAGTTCTGCGTGACACGAGCTGGGAGTTCCTTGGTCAGGGGTCGGACGACGTGAGGTCGTTCATCGTCAATGTCGCCAGCTGGCTGGATATGGTGGTGGTGGTTGTGGCAGTGAGGGAGAGGGACGAGGGATTTGCTGCAGTCTAAACGAGGCGGATGTTTTGGTGACGCCATCAAGCGAGAAGCTAAATTGATGAGCGCCATCGCGGCTGGGAGCTCACAGAAGAAACAAGGCACTCGTCGCCGGCTTCTTGGCCACCAACCCGCGCCAAAGAACCTCGTCCAGCTGGATGTCAACAACCCCTACAGCTGATCAGCTTGTTTCTTCCTCGGCACCACTGCACAGCCCGTGAAGAAGGAGAGAAGCAGCAGGCGGCAGATTTGACCGCTGGACACCTACTGCACTAGCGTCGATACAGCTCCAGCCTGCCGCGTCGCCAGCAAGCTGTGGCTCATCGCCCTCGGGTCAGCCATTCGAGCTATCCATTTGGCGTTTCGCCTGTCCAAAACACCGCACCTCTGGCCAACTTCGCCTGCTCCCCTCCCACTCTTCCACCCACCCCTCCGCTCGCCGCCCTGCGCGCCACACGCTCCTTACATCTACGCCCCGTTTCCTGCGACTTCTCACCTCACCATTCACCACGTCGTCGGCGATTGCGTCGGATCCAGCAGCTACCAACATCCCCGGTCCTGGCCCAAGCTTACCTCACTTCGCGAGTTGGCCTGAACGACGCCAGCTCCGCAACCTTTACTCCAACCTGCCAAGCTGTACCAAGTAGCCAGCGCCAGCATGTTGGAGGGCACCGCCGGTCGGGCCCACGAGTTGAAGGTGCAGGGCGCTGTCGAGGCGGCACAGGAGGGAGCTGTCGACCCGCAGCAGGCCGAGAAGACGCTGGCACAACACGCCCGTGCTGCCGGTGCCGCGACCTTCGAGTTCAATCCTGATGCCAGTCCAGAGGAGAAGGCGGCACAAGCGAAAGAGGTGAGTGGAGCCGTGAGGAAGTGGAGGGAGCATTGGACTGACATTTTTCACAGCGAGCGGGTCCACGACTGCATAGAAAGCACAAGACTGCAGCTCTAGTCACTGATGCTGACGATGGCGAAGACGCCGGCTACGATCTACCTCCTCCCAGCAAAGACGGCGTCATCGCCAGCCCACCCACTACGAACGGAACCGCCAATGGCAACATTGTCAAGGAAGAAGATGAGCACTTTGAAAAGGTGGGATGGGCACCGAGATTCGGCAACCCAGGCTTGAAGGATGACGACGGCACATTGGCAGACCACCAGACCTTCCTCGAGGGCAAGCTGGACGACAAGTTCTTCGGGGACTGGTACCACAATGCCGCAGTCATCATCTTTGCCTGTTTGGCATCATGGACTGTGGCCGTTCTGGGAGGTGGTTTGGGCTGGATCTTCATCGTCATGGCTGCGTGCGGAACATACTACCGGACATCGCTTCGCAGAGTAAGACGCAACTTTCGGGACGACATTACCCGCGAACTCGCGAAGAACAGGCTCGAGACTGACACCGAATCTCTCGAATGGATCAACAATTTCATGGAGAAGTTCTGGCCAATCTACGCACCAGTCTTGTGCTCGACAATTGTCAGCTCCGTCGACCAAGTCCTGAGCACCTCCACTCCCGCCTTCCTGGACAGCATGCGAATGAAGATGTTCACCCTGGGTACGAAGCCTCCCAGACTGGAGCATGTCAAGACTTACCCCAGAGCTGAAGACGATCTTGTCATCATGGACTGGAAGTTCAGCTTCACGCCAAACGACACTTCAGACATGACTGAGAAGCAGAAAGCCAACAAGATCAATCCAAAGATTGTCCTGGAGATTCGCGTGGGCAAGGCTATGATCTCCAAGGGTCTGGACGTCATTGTCGAGGACATGGCATGCACGGGTATCATGCGTGTGAAGATGAAGCTACAGCTTCCCTTCCCTCACATTGACCGGGTCGAGATTTGTTTCCTGGAGCGGCCACACATCGACTACGTCTGCAAGCCGCTAGGAGGCGACACGCTCGGCTTCGACATCAACTTTATTCCTGGTCTCGAAAGCTTCATTCAGGAGCAGATTCACGCCAACCTTGGCCCCATGATGTACGCGCCGAATGTCTTCCCCATCGAGATTGCCAAGATGCTCGCAGGTAGCCCTGTCGACCAAGCGATTGGAGTATTGCAAATTCACTTCCACGGCGCTCAAGGCCTGAAGAATCCAGACAAGTTCTCAGGAACTCCAGATCCATATGCGACTGTTTCGATCAACAACCGCGATGTGCTCGGCAAGACCAAGACTGTGCATGAGAACGCCAACCCAAGATGGACGGAGACTGTCAGCATTATCCTGACGAGCTTGCGCGAGCCATTGACTATTGGCATCCACGACTACAACGAGTACCGCAAGGACAAAGAGCTTGGTGTGGCAACGTTCAATCTCGAGCAGCTGGAAAAGAACCCCGAGTGGGAGAACCAACAGCTTGAAGTCTTGCTCAACGGCCGAGCGCGCGGTACTGTTTCCGCAGACATTCGCTTCTTCCCAGTCCTGGAGGGCCACAAGCTGGAGGACGGCACTGTCGAGCCGCCACCGGAGAGCCTGACGGGTATCGCCAAGTTCACTGTCGAACAGGCCAAAGATCTCGACGGTTCCAAGTCCATGGTTGGCCAGCTGAACCCATATGCCGTGCTCCTACTTAACGGGAAGGAAGTACAGATCTCGCAGAAGCTCAAGCGAACCAACAACCCCATCTGGCCGAATGCAACCAAGGAGATGCTCATTACCGATCGCAAGAAAGCGAAGCTCGGTCTAGTCATCAAGGATGATCGGGATATCGCCCACGATCCCGTGCTGGCGACATACCAGATCAAGCTGGACGACCTTCTCGATCTCACTAACAAGGGACAGGAATGGTTCAATTTGGCAGGCACAAAGACTGGTCGTGCAAAGATGTCTTTGCAGTGGAAGCCTGTGGCACTAAAGGGCTTCTCGGGCGGCAATGGCTATATTGACCCTATTGGTGTGATGCGTTTCCACTTCAAGTCTGCCAAGGACCTCAAGAACCTGGACACCGTCGGCAAGTCTGATCCCTACGCACGTGTGCTGCTTTCCGGCATTCAGAAAGGTCGCACCGTCACCTTCAAGAACAACCTCAACCCCGACTGGGACGAGGTCTTCTATGTGCCTGTACATTCCACGCGTGAGAAGCTGACCGTGGAGGTCATGGACGAGGAAAATGTCGGCCGAGACCGCACGATGGGTCAGATGGAGATTATCGCCGCCGAATACATCAAACAAGACTCGAACGGAGAGTACCTGGTCCATGATACCAAGAACGATACCATTTCGTCCCTTCTGAGGATTGGACGTGGTGCGCCAAAGGGTACTCTGAACTTCACCGTCGCCTTCTATCCTACCCTGAACGTCATCGATCCAGAAGAAGAGGAGCGCGAAAAGGAGGAAGAGAAAGACAAGGTTCGGACAAGCGCTGATAGCTCGCGAAAGAGCATGGGCTCTCGCAAGAGCACTGAAGTCAATGGAACCAAGACCGTTACTGATACTCCACCTCGCCCTGTCCGAAGCGGCACAGTTGGTACAATTAGCAGTCTCAAGTCAACTGGTGAAGGCGCTGAGATGAGGCGAGCGCTCGAAGCTAATGAGGGCGAGCAAGACGACGAAGTCAAGAAGGAGGTTCCCAAGATCAGAATCACGGCTGATGATCTGCAGCAATATGGTAAGTCAGCGCAACACACTGGAGTCAATTTCTTGCTAATTGTGTATAGAATCCGGTCTCGTCGTTTTCACCGTCCACGAAGGAGACTTGGCGTACACTGGAAGCTACTTGGAAGTGGTCATGGACGACATGAGATATGCTTCGTACACCAGCGCCAAGATCCGCTCGCGCCAACATTCCTTCAATGAGACCGGTGATGCGATGGTTCGCGAGCTGGATCTTTCTCGCATGACTTTACGTCTGGTCACAGAGACGGACAAGAAGGGCACGGAGGAGAGTGACATTAAAGCCAGGGTGACTGGCCCGACACTCGAAACACTTCGCAGATGCTTGTACACACCTCAGGTCATCAGCCTCAAGGACTCGCAAGGCCATGAAAGCAAGGTCAAGGTGTCGATGCGATTCCTTCCTGTCAAAATGGAGTTGGATGCCAGCGAATCCTTCAACAACCAAGGTACTCTCCGCGTAGAGGTGTTGGATGCTTCAGACCTTCCAGCTGCGGACCGCAATGGATTCTCTGATCCTTTCTGCCGATTCGTCCTGAATGGCGAGCAGGTGTACAAGACGTCGACTCAGAAGAAGACGTTGCACCCAGCATGGAACGAGTTTTTCGAAGTGCCAGTTCGCAGCCGGACGGCCGCCAAGTTCGATGTGAACGTCTACGACTGGGACTTTGGCGACAAGGCGGACTATCTGGGATCTGCATCCATCAGCCTCGACGTGCTGGAGCCTTTCCAGGCACAGGAAGTTGTTTTGAACTTGGATGGCAAGAGTGGATCCATCAGATTGAAGATGCTCTTCAAGCCCGACTACATTACCCGCTCGCGCCAGGGCTCTTCTACATTCTCTGGCACGTTTGCTGCACCCGGAAAGATCATTGGTGCACCAGTCAAGGGCGTCGGAAAAGTTGGCAGTGCTGTCGGTGGTGGCCTATTTAAGGGGGCTACATTCGTCGGTCGTGGCTTCAAGCGACGAACACAGAACCCAGATGATGTCCCAGACGAAGCGACGGCTGAGCTACGTGCGACAAGCATGGAGTCTGCGGACGCAAGCAGTCGACCAGGAACCGCAGCGAATGGATCAATGCACGGCAACTCGATTGATGGACTGGCTGTCCCTAGCAGGGAAGGCGTGGCGACGCCTAGGACGCCTCACCAACGCCAGACCAGCTTTGGCCAGTATTCGCAGAGCCCAGCGGTGGCTGGCGAAGTTGGCACCGCCACGATATCTGTGGTCAGTGTCTCTGGCTTCGAGGCAGACACCAAGCTGGAAGTGCACGTCCACCAGGAAAGCAAGCATGGCCATAAGGAAGTCTTCAAGACCAAGTCTGTGAAAGCCAAGACTGGCGAGGCGACGTACGCAGAGGAGTCGAAGAAGATCCAGTGCAATGCCGCGCAGCAGTTCAAGGTGGCCGTGAAGAATGATCGGTCTTTCGGCAGAGACGAGGACCTTGGAGAGGCACCATTCTTCATCAACGACCAAGCTCAAGGTGGCGAGCAACAGATCCAGGTCGGACAGGGAATCGTGGTCATTCGAACTTCGTTCCAGCCTGCAGAAGCCGGCAGCATGCTGTCGCCCGAGTCACCTGCTAGTGGCAAGCTCGGGCGATTTATGAGCCGGCGAGAACGCAGCGTGACGCCGTCTGGGAACTAGGAGGAGACCAGAAAAGACCCAGGCAGATTACGGCGCGCAGGAAGAAGTATCCGAGAGAAGTCGAAGACGATGACGGGGAGCGTGCATCGAAGACTGAGCAACGCAAGCACGACCAGTCTGGCCCGGACGAACAGCATGGCGTCGAGCATAGCGCCAGACGAGATTCCCTTGTCGTGGAGGTCCTCTTTGGGCATGAATGGGGCGATGGAAAACGATGAGTAGGGCGTCGGAGAATAGGGCGAGAGCACAAAACTTGCATGCTTCTTGAGTGTTGTTTTGGAATGAGTTGAGATACCAACTACTGCGCGCGTGCGACAGCTCCTTTCTCTCTGGTTTTCTGAGTGTAATTCTGGTAGACTCAGTGTAATAATGCAAAAGCAAAGACATAATATCCATCACTGTCCGCCCTCGTCGCCCTTTGCTGCCCTCCACTTTGCCCTGTTTCGGATGTCCCCGCAAATGTCATTCGTCGAAGCTTCAGCTTGCTCTTCTACGAGCTTCTTCGCGCTCGAATTCAGTCCACACATAATCACTCGACTGCCCGCCTTTCTCACTTGCGACATCACTGACTGAGACCCTCACTCGACTTCTCTAATACAATCAACGACTGAAGGATTCAAAACAACATGGCTGACGCCGACGCTCTCAAGGCCGAAGGCAACAAGCTGTTTGCTTCGAAGAACTTCTCGGCCGCTGCGTAAGTCACATGCCAACGCGGAAACCCTTCGTTTGAAATGTACTGACTGTTCTACAGCGAGAAATTCGGTGAAGCCATCGCCGCCGATCCTTCCAACCACGTCCTCTACTCGAACCGATCCGGTGCATACGCTTCGCTCAAGCAGTGGAAAAAGGCTCTCGAAGATGCCAACAAGACGACGGAGATCAAGCCGGACTGGAGTAAGGGCTGGGGACGAAAGGGTGCGGCACTACATGGTACTGGCGACCTGATGGGTTCGGTGCAGGCGTTTGATGAGGCACTCAAGCTGGACCCGAACAACGCCCAAGCCAAGTCAGGTCGTGATGCAGTGCAGCGTGCGATCGAAGCAGAGGCGAGAGCAGATGGCGTGGACCCAAGCGGTGGACTGGGCAACATGTTCAACGACCCCCAACTCATCCAGAAGCTGGGCAACAACCCCAAGACGGCAGGATACCTGGGCGACGCACAGTTCATGCAGAAACTGCAGCAGCTCAAGAACAACCCGCAGGCAATGAACCAGGAGATGTTTTCGGACCCGAGGTTCCTGCAGGTCATGAGTGTTTTGCTGGGTATTGACATCTCTGCGCAGCCGACGGATGATGCTGATGCTGCGGCGGCCAAGTTCCAGAAAGAGCATGATGACAAGGACGAGGATGTTCCTATGCCGGATGCTCGGCCGAAGGAGGAGCCTAAGAAGGTGCCCGAGCCCGAGCCAGCGCCAGAGCCGGAGCCAGAAGATGAGGAGGCTAAGGAGAAGAAGGCGAAGAAGGAGGCCGCGGACAAGGAGAAGGCGTTGGGTACGGAGGCATACAAGAAGAGGCAGTTCGACGAGGCCATCGCACACTACACGAAAGCTTGGGACACGTATAAGGACATCACCTACCTTACCAACCTCGGTGCAGCACATTTCGAGAAGGGCGACTACCAGGCGTGTATCGAGGACTGCAAGAAGGCCGTGGAGGAGGGACGAGAAGTACTCGCCGACTTCAAGCTCATCGCCAAAGCGTTTGGCCGTATGGGCAGCGCTTACGAGAAGTTGGGCGACCTCGCGAATGCCGTCGAGTATTACTCTCGCTCCCTCACCGAGCACCGCACACCTGACATCCTCACCAAGCTGCGAGCCGCCGAGAAGGCAAAGAAACACGCCGACACCAACGCATACATCGACCCTCAAAAGGCAGAAGAAGCCCGCGAGTTGGGGAACCAGAAGTTCAAGGAGAACGACTGGCCTGGCGCCGTGGAAGCCTACACGGAGATGATTAAGCGCGCACCTGAAGATCCACGAGGCTACTCCAACCGCGCCGCCTGTCTCATCAAGCTCCTCACATTCCCAGGCGCCGTCCAAGACTGCGACGAAGCCATCAAGCGCGACCCCTCCTTCATCCGCGCCTACCTCCGCAAAGCCCAAGCCCTCTTCGCCATGAAAGAGTACAACCGCTGTCTCGACGTCTGCGCCGAGGCAACAGCCCACGACACGGACGGTAAGAATGCCCGTGAGATCGAGCAGCAGAGCCAGAAAGCTCTGCAAGCGCAGTTCTCCTCCCGCGAGGGCGAGACGGAGGAGGAAGCCCAGGCTCGGATCCAGCGTGACCCGGATATCATGCAGATCCTGCAAGACCCGATCATGCAGAGTATTCTGCAGCAGGCGAAGGGCGATCCGGCGGCTTTGCAGGATCATATGAAGAATCCGGAGATTGCGTTGAAGGTGCAGAAGTGAGTACACTTTTACGATCCTTACATGTGTTGAGACTTTTGCTAACCTTTTGAACAGGCTCATAGCTGCTGGTGTGATTCGACTAGGCCGGTAAATGACTGGAAATGAGTAGTGATGAAAAGCGAAGGGCAAAATGGTGAATGAGTGAGTGAGTGAGTGAGTAGCTGAATGTTGAGGCTGTCATGCGACGCCAAGACTTCCACATGATAGCTTCTGTAACTATTAAGGTTTGACGCATACACTAGCTCGAATCCAGAGATGAGCATCACAGACCGTCCGCCTATGCCATGGCTTTTGAAAGTAAGCCTGTGGCATTTTGCTGATAAGTTCGCAGCGTTCGAACTGGATACGTGGTAGGCCGTCTTAAGACTACGGTCTGCGAGCATTCCCCGGCGAGTCTCGTCCTGGCAAGCCTAAGACCGATGACTATATAACGTGGGCCATCCAATCCGGCCCTTTGCTTTCTCTGGGCTTGTTGTTCGAAACGTATACTAATAATTGGCCCACGGCAGCGGCGATGGATACAGAGACCATGGCGATGTCGATGGTCAAGCCGTTCATGTAGCTGGATTTCACAGGTTAGTTCGAGGAAAAGAATGTCGGGGTTGGAACAGACTTACAAAGGACGATCACCACCCTGGAAATACTGCGTGCCGACCATCAGGCCGCACATGGCACTCATCACCCACATCCTGTTCCTTGTCAGTACCGGCGACTCTCAAAATGTGGCGAAGGATTGACACTCACGCAATACCAACACCCCGATCCGCATCATCCCGACAATTCAGTTGCAACCACGTATTCGAGACCGGATGGTACGCCACCGCGAAGGCGTTCACAGCCGTCCAAATTCCCCAGCGGGACCAGTCGCCCACGTGCGGGTGGACGGTGCGGGCGACGATGAGGACGACGAGGTAGCAGGTTAGTGCTGCTAGGACTGTGGCGCCCCGGCGTTTGGTGGAGTCGGATATGCAGCCGAAGAGGAAGACGACGGGGAGGGCGAGGCTGGCGCCTACGGCGGCGAGAGCGTTGGCGGCGGTGCGGTTGAAGCCTAGGGACCTGGAGGGTGGGTGGTCAGTCTCTCGGGGGGTTTTGTGGTTTGAGGGTTGGGTTCTTACATGATGATGCTGGGCGTATACGTCGTCAGACTGGACCATGTTGAAAAGGCCGCGAATGTCTGGACGTAGTGCAGCCAACGCCGGCGATAGGAGACGGTTCTCCAGACTTGGTCCAGGGAGATCTTCACTCGCGCAAGACTCCCGCTTTGACTGGAATCGTTCTGCATGCGTCGTCGGAGAACTTCCTTTTCTTCCTCGGAGAGTCGAATGAGTCCAGGACCGAAGAGCGGTTTGGGATCGTCGATGCTCGCGGGTAGACAGAGTGTCATCACGATGGCCATGAGGATGGTGAAACATCCCTCAACTGCGAACGCTTATCAGCAAAAACCCCTTCCAACACTCCCTCCAAAAAGAGGACGACTACCCACCCAAAAACAACCACTGCCACCCCCTCAACCCCCTCTCACCCCCCAACCGCAAAATCCCACTCGCCAAAACCGGACTCAGCGCATTCCCCCCAAACATGCCAAAGAAGAAGATCGAAATCTTCCGCGCCCGCTCCCGCGCCGGGTACCACGTCGAGAGGATGTACATGCCGCCGGGGATGTAGCCGCTCTCGGCGAAGCCCAGGAAGAGGCGGGCGGCGAGGAAGCCGGCGCGGTTGGTGAGGAAGATTTGGAGGGTCGCGACCAGGCCGAAGGCGAGGATTTGGAGGGGGAGCCAGATGCGGGGGCCGATCTGTACTGCCACTTCAGCTGAATTCCATTCTTGTTATCGTCATGATGATGATGAGGGTGATGGTGAAGGAAAGGACATACCCTCAACAACGCCACATTACACGGAATCTCCCACACCACAATCCCCATGAAGAGCAGCTGATTCCCGAGGTTCACGGTGCTCTGGTCGATGTCGATGTCTTGCGTGAAGCCGTCTGTCAGGGCGCTGGCGAGGTTCATGCGGTCGAGTTGGAAGACTAGGAGGCCTAGGAAGAGGGGGAGGAGGACGGTGAGGTTGATTCTGAGGGTGGTGGGGGTAAGTTGATGTGGGAGTTTGGGTTATTGGGTGGATGGGAGAGGCGTACTTGAGACGGGTGCGGGCTTCGAGGTTTGGGGAGGGTTTCTCGGAGGGGGATGGGGCTTGGTGGGATGTTCTGAGAGTGTGAGAGTCGGTCGGTGCATGTTTCTCGTCGTCGTCGACGTCGACATCCCTGTGCTGAAGGAAATCTCCCGACTTCTCAACGCCTCTGACGAAATCGCTGCCCATGGTCGCTTGTGCTTTCTCGCCAGTCAGTCTTCCAGCCAGCACCACAACCAAAAAACCAGAATCCTCCCACAAAGTCATCAATGTCCTCCTTATACCCGTCCCCATGCCAAGTCAGCCGCGCCCTTGGACCTTATCGCTTCGAAGAGAGCGTGGGCGATTGCGTGACCGCACCGTGGTCCGCACGTTTTTCCCACATGGCGAGGCCAATCCGCGATCCCTCTCGATTCAACATCGTATTCTTATTCAGAGCTCTCTCTCCCACGACCTCGGTCGCATCTGTGTGTATTGTGCGCTGCTGTATCGGCCATCATGGTTGAAGGAAAAGCTATCCGAAGAGTCGCCGTGATTGGGGCTGGACCCGCAGGGATTATTTCGATTGATGCGCTTGTTCAGGAAAAAGCTTTTGATGTTGTGAGGGTTTTTGAGAGAAGGTGTGAGGCGGGTGGGTGTTGGTACGAAACACATACCGCATCGAAATACTGGCAAAGGAGTTGACGTTGACGATTTTGCCAGGAGCGCCGATGCTGGACCACCGCCGAAAATCCACGATGTCCACTCCCTGGGTACCCGCACGGCTGATAAGCCTCTGAAAGTCCCAGAGAGACTCCCTGCGTACACGCCCAAGTTCAGTCAGATTCGGTTCCATGAAGCTACTGTGTACCCGTATCTGGAGACGAATGTCGATCACCGAGCTATGAAGTTCGAAGACGAGCCGATTCCAGATGAAGTGACTGGTCTTTCAGTCTCGATATATGGCCCAAATACGCCCTTCCGACACTGGGGTGTTATTCAGGGGTATTTGAAGGGCTTGCTTCAACGTCATGACTACGAGGATCTTGTCTCGTACAATACCTGCGTGGAGTTGGTCGAGAAGGTTGGTGATGAGTGGCGGGTTGTTCTTCGCAAGGAGGGCAAGGTGAGGGAGTACTGGTGGGAGGAGAGATTCGACGCTGCGGTCGTTGCGAGTGGGCACTATTCGGTGCCGTATGTCCCACAGACTGCTGGACTGAACGAATGGGTGCGGACTCGGCCAGGGAGTATCCTTCATTCGAAACACTTTCGTGGCCGGGACCAGTTCAAAGACAAGCGGGTCGTTGTTGTTGGCAAGTCCGTCTCTGCCGCAGATATCGCCGTCGATCTCACAAGCGTGGCGTTGAAGCCTGTTCATGCCATCACCATCGGCCATACAGCGAATGGCTATTTCGGCGACGAAGCCTTCAACCATCCAGACATCCTCAACCACCCCTCAATCCAACGAGTCGACCCCTCAACCGGCACCGTCCACCTCCTCGACGGAACCACAATCCCAAACATCGACCACATAATCTTCGGCACAGGTTCGTCCCCCCATCCCCACCCCTCCCAATGCAAATACTAACCCCAACGCCCCAGGCTACACCTGGACCCTCCCCTTCCTCCCCTCCCTCCCCACCCGCAACAACCGCATCCCCAACCTCTACCTCCACGTCATCCACACCTCCGACCCCACCCTCCTCTTCATCGGCGCCGTCCAAGCCGGCCTGACCTTCAAAATCTTCCAATGGCAAGCCGTCCTCGCCGCGCGCCTCCTCGCCGGCCGCGCGAAACCCCTCCCCTCTCTCCAACATATGCAAGACTGGGAAGAGGAGAGGATAAAGTTGAAGGGTGATGGGCCGAAGTTTGGGCTGGTGTGGCCGGATTTTGAGGGGTATTTTGAGGCGGTGAGGGCGTTGGCGGGGACGGAGGGGCCGGGGAGAAAGTTACCAAGGTGGAGGGGGGAGTGGATGGAGGTTTTTATGGAGGGGCGTGAGTTGAGGAAGGGGTTTTGGAGGAGGTTGAATGAGGAGGCTAGGAAGAGGAAGGGGAAGGGGGAGGTGAGGGCGGTGTTGTAGGAACGAAACCGAATCAGGATGAGCGATCCCAGACCCTGAGAATAGCCTTGTAGTGACTACATGTCTCCTGGCACGGGCAAGCCCGAAAGACGCAGCCTCGTTCACCACAGCCTTGCGAGTTGCGTGGACAGCCAGCCGAATCCAGGAGCCGACAATTCCATAGCCTTCTCGGGCTGAGGTGGCTAAGTTTTAGCCCATGATTGCGATTGTTGAGTCCGATAAGAAGTAGAAGGGTACGCTTGTGGGGTTCTTCAAGCTTTGTTCAGTCGGTGTTGAAATTGGACAGGACTGCTGCATGCGTGGACCTAGCGAATGATGAGAAGGAAAAGGCTGGAAGCTGCATAACATCCCCGGTTCAAAGTCCATCCGAATGTAGCTCCAAAGCTCCACATAGGAACGAGTCACCAAAGCCGAAGCCATAGCCTACGATACCCACTCCGCTTCCTTCCCCCAAGCTACCTCCTAGCTGTCTGTCCCGAAAGCCATTACGAATCACAGTTAGGAAACTCTACAACAACTTACTATCATCTTTCCCTACCGGTCTCGTATGCGATTTTGATTTCGAAAGATGAGTTCGGGTGCAAACCGTCCCGCTATGTTGTGATCGGAGTTCGGCACAGCGAAACATGCGGCGTTCGCGTTCGACCATAGGCGGGGATTGAGAAAAAAGGAAGGCAGCAGCATTCTATACATCCGCAAGGGAGCTTATATCAAGCGGCGTACCTACATGACCGTACCTTTTTAATTTAAACTTTGCAAGGAGAAAGGTGTTTGCTACTACCTATCATGGCCGCAGCCCAGCGAAAATACCTTACCGACGCTCGACGAGAGCGGATCGAGCAGTTGTTAGCGGAATATCATGTTCCTGGGGCGGGTGTTGCTGTTGTGTATGGGGATGTGATGGAGACGGAGGTACGTATAGCAATGCGTGTGAACATTGCCGGCGAAGCCGCTGACATGTCTTTCTGCCAGGGCTATGGCCGCGCCCGCCTTTCCCCCGACAGTCCAGCGACTTCGAGCACGCTCTTCCACATCGGCAGTCTGACCAAAGCCATGACTGCCGCCGCCGCGGGCAAAGTCTTCGAACTCCCCGTCGACCCAAAAGTCGATCATCCACGCAATAAGGTGTTAGAAAAGCTTCGCCGTGATAGATTCGCCACAAAAATTCAAAGCGTTCTGCCAGAGTTTGCGCTCGAAGACGAGTACATCTCCAAGGAAGCCACCATCGAGGACGCACTCTCGCATCGCACGGGAATGGACGGCGCCGATAAGCTGTACGGAGACTGGATGGGTCGAGATCCTGCGGCGCTTGTGCGAGCGTTGCGGTGGTCGGGTCCGCCGACGAAGTCGTTCAGGAATGCGTGGCAGTATAATAATGTTATGTACAGTGTGGTCGGAGCGGTGTTGCAGGAGGCCACAGGAAAGGCTTGGGGCGATGTGTTGAAGGAGTTCCTGTGGAAGCCGTTGGGGATGGAATCGACTGTGGCGTATTCGGCGGAGACGACTGAGGAAGACGAAGCTCGACTGGCTCGTGGGTACTACTGGAATGACTCAGCTGGCGAGCCGTCTGCAGAGGAGTATCTCGAAGAGCCGTTCCTGGCGTTTGCGGGTATTGGACCTGCTGGCTCTACGGTATCTTCCGCTGGAGATATGGCCAGGTGGATCAGAGCTATGTTGGCTGGCGCTCGGGGCGAAACCGAGTCCTTGATCTCCGCCGGTCTATTCCAGGAGCTCGCCACGCCGCGCATATTCCAGACTCGAGATGCAGTGCATTCTGTTCCTGGACAGAGGAATGGTTTCTTGGGCTCTAAGAGCTACTCCCTGGGTTGGTTCGATGTGCCAAACGCACAAGGATCGAGGCATCCTGTTGTTTGCCACGGGGGCGGGTTGACTGGCTTTGGATCTATGCTGTTCCTGCTTCCGAACGATGACTTCGGCTGCGTTCTGCTAGGCAACACTACAGAGTCGTCTCATGTCATTGGGGAGATCGCGTGCCTTGAGTTGCTGGCCGATAGATTGGAGCTGGAAGGGCAGGCAAGGAGAGAGTTCATCGAATCTGTGCAGACGGCTTCGTCTGACGCAGCCATTGCATCTATCCAGCCGACACTAGGTCGAATTCGTTTTGAGGATTTGCGGATCGACTTTCCCAGGCCAACACAACACCAGCGGCTCCTGGAAGAGATCTCAGGCACGTATCAGCATCCAGCATACGGTTCATACAATATGACCGCTTTGCCAGACTCCGAATCCAGCACAAAGATCGTGTATGGCTCTTCAATTTCGGAAGACCTGCAGAAAGAGCGTTCCAAGAGCCGCGCGACGAAAGGATTACTGCTCGTGCAGCCTTTGGGTCATCGCAGCTGGAGGAACTTGTATGTGCTACACCTCCGCACCGATCTGCAGGATGGCGGCCTGCCAGATGCCATCTATTTTGATCTTGAGCAGCTGGCAGCTCATGGGAAAGGTCTATCAGAAGTAGAGCTGTCGGGACGAGATACCCGTACGGGGCCGTCGGAGGAATTCTCAGCGGCCAAGGTCTGGCAAAGCGCTTCCTTCAGCCAAAACGGTGCGGTCCTGCAATTCAAGAAACATGGTACTGGATACCATCGCCTAGGCTTGAGGCTAGGCAATGCCCGTCTCGTAAGCGACGGGACTGGTGATGAAGCGAGCTGGCCAGAGATGGTATGGCTGACAAGAGACGTCGAATCGAGGACAGCGAAAGCACAGTCGGGCTCATGAAAGAGGAAGATGCTGCCAGAATGCATCTTCTGGTAGCTGGTATTCAGCAGCAATCTCTGACACCCTGTTGATAAGGTAATTGTCAGGAAAGTCCGTACTGGAGCTGTGCTCGACCGTGAAATCCGAAAGCTGTGGCATTTGAGCCCCTGCGTCTACATGATCTCTGTCCATTATGCGGGTGAAAAGTGTTCGGATCCATCGTGCCAGAACATGAACATCTTCGAGTTGTTTAAGTGCGAGAAGGAGAGGTCGAATTACTGAGCGTGCGCTGGCGATATGCTCTCCTTGAAATGCACATGTGTCGGTATAGACCGCAATGGTGCTGAAGATTGCAGATACGCTGGGGTCGAGGTCAGAGTGTGCTCAGAGTCACAACGCGGGAGGATTTTCGTACTAGATCAGTGGAAGCTGCTCCGCTATACAGTGGAGCAATGATTCGTCCACAAGTTCGGTCATGCGTAGAGCGGCTTCTCGTAGAGTGTCAGTCACAGCCAGGCGTTGGCTTGGATCGGCACAATGTCTTCGTAGGCGCTGTAGGAGAGTGATGGTATAGTATCTGTTTATGCCTGTCAGCGAATGGGATGTGGCGGCTGATGAGGAATTCTGTACTCACTCATGGCAGACTTTGAGGAGGAGGCTAAGACGGTGTATACGGTTCCAACATGACCAGCTCTCAGCCGATGCTTGCCACAAAGAGAGATGCTCCAAGATGTCTGCGCAAGCTTGCATACAAACCTCTGGATCTTTCACCAAACGTAATCGAGTTGGTGAGCAGTGACGATAGAACAGTAACGAAGCTGTGTGTGGGTCAGTGGACGAAAAAGATGCGTTTTATGCCGTGATAGCTCACTGGTTCTGTTAAGTTCAGCCTGTAAACGAATGTACCGGGCAGTTGTGGACTCGTCGTCGTTGAAGTCTTGCGGTCGGGGAAGCTCCACATCGCAGTCTAGATCATTGATGATCAATGGACTACCCATGGACAACGAGACTTGACGGTCTCGGATCTGTTGCGGTGTTAACTGCCTTACGGATTTTGAGGGGTTTCGGTTTTTGCGTACATATAGACACCACCAGACCCGTCTTTGGGCCGAGTTGTCTGTCGAATCTTCTGTCCCATCGGTGCGGTGGTATCGCAGGGACTGCGCAGTCCTGATAGCGGTTCCCAACCACCATGCAGCGTCGCGATACATCGAGGGTCTGCCAAACCAGTAGTGCAGAAGAAAAGCGCACACGATGAGCGTGGGACGAGGCATTTCCCGATCGGCATCGAAGGCTGCACATGCGTCACTGAAGTGGGCGTCGCAAGCCTCGACACGATCCGCAAAGCCCATTCGTGTTGTAATCGTGGCAGCATCGCAATGCACAGTGGCGATGAATAGGACGCAGCTCATGAGAGTTGACGAGACCGTGCCGTTTCGAAGGGTAGCGAGGAAGTGATGCTTGTCGAGAATAGGACAGAGGGTGTGAAACTCGTCCATGTAAACTTGAACCAGATCATGCACCAGGGCAGGCGGGTATTGCCGTTTGTTCCAAAGCTCAAGGTTGGACAACTTTGAAGTGGTATCTTCCAGAGAGCTTGGAGTGGTGGGCTCGTCGGCGGTCCTGCGAAAGCTGGCGCTATGGAAGTTGACATATGCCGAGTACCAATTATGAGCTGTAACAGCGGAGCCGGCTGGCGATGTCTTATTATATGGGCTGTATGAGACATGCTGCTCGGCATACAGCTCGGCAAGGTCGAAGTTCGTCGTAGGCTCTTGTTCTGATCTTTGAATGTCAGTTGGCGTGGCGGGTACGCTCCTGTTGGGTGCACTCGATACGGGTTCCTGGACACCTGCAACAGCCCCTGGAGTCGTGTAACGTCCATTTGGGCCTCTGTGAAGGGTGGGATCAGTAGCATTCTAGACATGATGTGGTAGTCCTGCAAGACCTTCTGCGTTTCGATTGCAGCAGTTGACATGACTGTGCTGTGGCTGCACCTTTGCTCTTGCAAGTCGAGCACGGAACTCCATGCATCCCAGCATCACACTTGATACGGCGGCCGTGACATCGTTGACAAGCCGTCTGTCGTTTCCGGACTGCCGAGCTTCTAGGGGTAGAAGACATCTGCTTAGTCGGCTGTCCTTGAGCGATGTGTTCCACATTCATGGTAATCACCGCTGAGCATGGCTATCGCTGGTAGTACAGAGCTCGCTGCCAAGAAGTATGTCAAGACGAGGCTTCGTGAAGAGGAGGTGAAGTTGATGCGGAGATAACGGGAATCTCCATCTAGGGCACCGGAGTGCTCCAGCGTTAGTCAGCTGGTGATTGAAGGAGTGCCAAGCCGCGCCCCCCGCAATCTCCCCGGCCCCAGTCCGTTCTACAATCTCGAAGACTCCTCCAATGCCTATAGCCAACACAACTTTCAAGCCTCCAGACTCATTACCTTGACCCAGCCACGTCCGCATGCCAGGAAACATACACAAAGGCACCATTCGTCCTTTGCTTGCGGCACAAGACCGTTCCGATCCATGCATATCGCCGGCTGCAACGGCTGCAAGCACATTCAAGAGACCGATGGAATTGAGTCTAGAAGAACGGATACTAGAACTTCCTGGACTCGACCTCCATGCAATCCTATAGCAGCCGCCTTCCATTTGCGACTTGGATCTGATGGAGAACCTGGGGCGAACCTGTACCCCGCACAACGCGGTTCCTGGCTTGTGATCGACAGGAAGCCAAAGCCGCGCCATAGGCTATGGCTGCGGCTACGGTCCCCAACAGAACATATAGTTGAGCCAAGGCTGGATTTCCTGGGGAACGTGAATCCATGCAGCTGGAACAACTCATCTCAGGATCTGGATACACAGCATGGATACTCAGCCTGGTCGCAGCTTGTTTTTCCAGCTTCGCCATAATAAGCGGCTGATTTTCAATGGTGAGACAGTGTTGCTATCGCTCCAGTCATCTTGCGTGCTGGACGTGTGCTGATATGAGAGAACGCAGTCCTTACCCTCAACATCGCCTACGTCTGCTTCGGCTACGATGCCTCAGTTATCGCCGTCTGCCTGCCCATGCCGGCATTCTTAGACACTTTTGGAAGCGTGAATGAGGCCGGAGCTCCCTACCTGACGTCCAGTCAACAATCCATCATCACGGCAATCCGCACCAGCGCTGGAGTTCCTGGTCTATTCGTCTGCGCATACTGTGGGACTCGCTGGGGAAGACGCAATACCTCATGGCTTGGATGTGCGGCGACGCTACTTGGGACAGCACTTCAGACGGGTTCAAGCTCGGTTGCGATGCTCACAGTCGGATTGACAGTTGCTAGTGAGTCTGCAGCCGTCTTTGCATTCGAAAAACCGGACTTACCTTCTCCCAGACTTTGGCTACTTCGTCATGGTCTCCATGGCGGCCACACTCTCTATCGAATTGGCTCCAGTACCTCTTCGCGGCCTTGTGGGATGTCTATCTGTGGTGGGGACCGGAATCGCCTCTGTACTTGCAGCTGGAGTTGGCTGGGGTACGCACGCTTATACCACATCCGCTGCATACCGGATCCCCATGGGCATTCAGATGTTCTGGCCACTTTTGCAAGGAGTCCTTCTGCTGTGGGTGCGTGACTCGCCAACAACCTATCTCATCAAAGGAGACGACGCTGGAGCCGAGACCAGTCTCCGCCAAGTTCGCCATTGCTATACGGAAGCTGAGATCCTCGACGAGCTGGACACTCTCAGACAGCAAAGCCGGCTAAGGCTGAACGAAGAGAGTGTCCGATGGATCGAGATGTTTCAAGGAAGCAACCTGCGGCGAACATTGCTCGCCTCTTTCCTTGGTGTCATCCAGCAATTCTCTGGTTCGATCTTCGCCGCGGCTTACGCTACTGTCTTCCTGGCTGGATTGCACACAGGTAGTCCGTATGCACTCACATTCGGCCTGTACGTCTTGGTCCTTGGTGGCGGTGTAGTTGGACTCGGTCTGGTCACAGTCATTTCGCAGAGAACCATCATGCTACTGTCCTTCGCCGGCCTTTTCGCCATCGACATCACTGTTGGAGCATTGGGTTTCGTCACCCCTCCGACGGCTGGTGTCTCCAAAGGCATCGCCGCCTTACTTCTCTTCTTTGGCTTTTACTTCTACATGACCATGGGCCCGCTGACCTGGCTGAACGCAGCCGAGTTGCCCACAGCCCGTCTCCGGACCGTCACCAACGGCTTCGTTTTGCTTTCGATTTCCCTGACAAGTCTCCTGGTCACCTACGTGCTGCCATACATCACGAATCCGGATGAAGGCAACCTTGGAGCTAAGGTCTATGTCATTTTCGCGGGAGTCATGTTCTTCGGCTTGGTAGTCTCGTATCTGTGGTTTCCAAATTGCAAAGGCAGGACCCCGGCCCAGCTGGATCAAATGTTCCAGGCTCGACTGCCAGCCCGAAAGTTCACAAAATGGGTCGACGTTGACGAGTTGGACGAAAAAGCCATGCAGAAAATGGAAGTATCTGAGAAGGAGCATGTCAGCGTAGAGCAGAATGCAGTCTCGAGCTGATATGTAGATCACGAGCAATGTCCTTGATTGCTCGTAGCCGAAGCTGCGAGTTCGCAAGATCTTCCGCACTTATCACCCCGAGAAGGCCCAGACTCTCGTATCTCAAAATATTTTTCCGCGGCAAGCGAAGAATATAGCCATCGGCCGCATTTTGCATGTAGCGATGCAGCAGGGCCGGGACTCACGCCCTCGCTACCTGACTGTACGAAGCGATAGTGGCTGCAGAGGGATCATGCATGCAGTGAGGCAGATGTTGGTGTTGGTGAGGAGAAGTGAGACATGTGCAGAAGAAGAACACTTTTCACAAAGTGTACGTTGAACCTGTTCAACCGGTCTTCGTCGCTCGTGTCACAGAACTCGTTTCACGGTTTGGCTTGCTGGCGCCGGCATTTGATGGACATTCATTCAGCCAATCAAAAGCTCCTCTAATTTTAATCCCGCCCCGTACCAGACCCTGCATGGGTCGCGTTGCTTACATACAAGCAAGTCGAAGCGCCAGACCTGACCGGACCCGATCTCGTGCATGTCGAGTGATGAATACGGCATTATTTCAGCCTCCGTATCACAACCGAGTTTCTGTACCACCGTCTTGGCGTGGTCGACTTTTCTTGTTGTTGCTTGAATGTTGATCTTCTGTTTCATGTTTCGCGTTGTTCAATACATTGATTAGGAATTGATTGAGCGGCACAGCTTTCTCCAGACCCTGAGCGAGGCAAGCCCGACACACGGCCCACCGACCGACCGCCGCTGCTGGGATGTGGTGCAGTTGAACACGCGAGCGCATTGAAACACTCAGGGCGACGTAACCTCACGCTCGTCTGTCTGCCCCATTCACCGGTGCTGGCCACCCTTCTCCCACCCACCCACCACTCACCACCGCCTCCACACCCCGGCACCGAACATGGCCGACGACGACAGCGCCGCCAAATCCGCCAAGGGCTCGCGCTTCCTGAAGAAGAGCAAGTGGGGCAAGATATTCAAGGAGGACGACTCGGGCGCCGCAGGCCGGCAGGGCACCTTCAAGCTCAACGAAGACGTCGTCGACTTCCTCAAACCCAGCACCGAGAAGAATGTCCCCAAAATCGACATCGCCATCGCCAAGCGTTGGCCCGATGCCCACGAGGTTCGCCGCGCCGACGAGGCCAGTCCGCTGCCGCAGACCACTTTTACCAAGCCTAAGAGGAGGAAAGGGTTGACGGTGAGCTTTGTCAAGACCGTGCCGGAGATTATTGGCGAGGGAGGCGATGATGCGGCGGATCCACCCCGGGAGATCTCGAGGTTGAAGGCCATGGTGAGCAGGTCGGTGTCGGATAGGAAGCCTGGATCTATCGACTTTGGACGTGGGCCAAAATCGCCACCGATACAGCCGGCGAGAGAGCAGCCGCCGCAGAGGATACAGGAGGATGAGGACAATTTTGTGCCTCAGCCGCTGCGTAGGGCGCAGACGTCGCATAATGAGTTCTCGCCGCCTGTGCAGAGGAAGCATGCTTCACCGCCCTTGGGACAGCCAGATGTTCACAAGCCAAGTTTGGGTAGAACACCCACTGGTTTCAGTGATCATGATATGGACCATACTACGCCGTTGGATACGCCGGTTGATCGACTGGATGCGATTATGGGAGGCTTCGACAGACAGACGGAGACTGAGAGACCGAGGTCAAGAGATCGCCCGACTGTTGTCACGACCTTCAACGATAGAAAACCAGAGCCAGCACCGGCCAGCGCACACCCAGAGAACTTTTCGAGGAAAACATATGCGGGACTCTCGCCCAAAGACGCAGCATCTCCAGTAGCGCAAAAGCGGAGGGAGATGAGCGCTAACGAAGGCATGATGTTTAGGCGAGCGAGTATGCTTATTCAGAACGAGGACCAGGAGGATGATGACAGCCCTCCTCAAAGCAGTCATCCTGCACCTTCACAAATCAATTTCCAGCAGCCGATGTATTCAACGCAGCAGTCGACCTCGTCGTCGGTTGGGACTTTTCAGCCGGAAACTTTCTCGCCTCCAGATTCTGGGTTGACGCCGGAGACAGCGATTACCCCTGGTGGACTCAATCCTTTTGATGATCCCAAATACACCAAGAGGCATTCGAGAGAGACTGCTCCTGAACAGATTCCACAGTCGCAGCCTCAGTCCTTGCGACAGACCGCCAGGCCGCCACGCTCGCAACAACCTACAGATCCTTACCAGTATCCGCCGAGGAATGAGTCTAGAGAACAGCTTCCAGCTTCACGAAACACTTCTACTGAGCACCGTGTACCGCAAATCTCGCAACCTCATCCGCAAGGGCATCAGAGAGTGTCATCCCGCGACGGGAACTACATGCGCACAATGCAGCCGCCGGAGGGTAGCCTCATCCCCTTAAGACCAGCGCCTCCGCCATCCGCCCCTTCACAAAACATGAGAGTGCCATCAGATACATCATCGCGGGATCGGTCCAGATCGCCAGGGTTGCGTGATCGCCTGTTCGAGTCTGCCACCGCATTGGAGAAGCTGGAAGGAGACCGGCTCGAGAAGCCAGCTGCAATGTTTAGTAGGCCAAATGGCTCCTCCACCAGCCTCAACATGTTCGCCCCTAGCGCATCACACTCAAGGACTGGATCGAGAGACGGTACTTCTTCACCAAAGATGCTGCACCCAACGAACTCTGTTTCGCAGCAACAGCCGCCTTCGCCTCGCTACCAGAATCCACAATATAACCAAAGCCCTCAGAACCAGAGCCCTCGATCTTCGTTACTTGGTCCTGGAAGGCCCGGTGTGTCCCCATCTGGACCATCACCAAGGCCACGCGGGAGCCCCGAGGACTACTTCGCTGCCCCCAGAGTCAATCAATCGCAACCGGTCAAGTCTCCAGCTGCACAACTTCGTCAAGAGGATGCAGAGCGACCTGGATCATCGGCGTCAAACCACTCACTTGGACGACCTGCCGTATCGCCAATGCCACCAGAGCATGGAAACCCAGCTGCTGACGCTGCTTTCGCAGATTTCGCGGGGCGCGTAGCACACATGAAAGGTGTATTCAAACTTACTGCTGAGAAGGAGCTACCTTCGGATCGGTGTAGTCCTGATTCATGGTTAAGAGCTGCTCTATGGTGGTATTTGAAGGGCAAGGCAGGCCTCGAGCAGATGCTGCAACAGCGACGACCTGATGATCGCCGAGAACTACTCACACAAGCACATGTGGATCTGGCCAAGGCTTGGTGGATATTGTCTGATCCGTTGGAGGCATATGATTTTGCCGACGAACCGAGCCCTCAAAGCGCACGTTCTGGAGATGGTCTGGAGTCGTTGCTCAGGCGGTCTATCGCAGCCATTCGAGCGCATCTCAAACCGCTCTGTTTGTCCATGGCCAAGAATCATCTGCTACCGCCAACGCAGTCTCTCATTCAAGGACAGGATACACGAATCTGGTTGGAATACCCACGTTTCACGCCGGATGCTGCTGCAGCGCTTGGCGGGAACGCTCGAAACTCGCTCCTCATTGACGATACCACGCCGACCGTGGACCCATATCAGATGATGCCCCTCAGCGATACTAGAGAGACGTTTTGCTATGGCCGGTTCCCGGTCGAAGTCTTCATCAACACCGACGAAGCGGACACGGACAGGATTGTTCTGCCATGCATCATGACTGTGCTGCGGGGCCGAAGAGAATACCAAACGAGCTTGACTATTGCTAGTCAGACCAACCTCGTCAACATCAGAATCTCGCCCAAGCAAGTCGACAAGCGGTCATTGACATGGTCCGATGTGTCTTGGAAAGCCAGCGCATTCGGCATGTCAATCAGACTACCTCGAGGCTTCGATTTGAGCGTTCGAATGCAAGAGCGTGACTTCCGTGCCGTCTGGAACTTGTCCGAATATGCACGCAAAGTGGAGAAGAGTCTGCGAACTGAGCCTGACGAGAAGCTGGTCCATGAAGCTCGACTTGCTGAGCTGCAATATGCCGACTCTTCAAACTCCAGCGCATTCCCTGCAGATAAGCTGAAAGCATGCACGGCCCTCATTTTCGAGAAGATGGGCACTCACACGGATGGCAGCGGCATGCGTAAGGTGCACCGCGGTTTCCGCATGCTACTGATTACTGAGCCTGGCCACAAGACGTTGAGCAGTGCCAGCCATGAGGTTTGCCGTGGAGCGCCGCTCTTCTTTGAGTACTTGACCGATTCTACGGCCAATGGCCAGACTGCCATGGTCATCCGTGTCCGAGAAGAGAATAGGCAGTGCCGAATGCTACTGGTCTTCCCCGACGGTGGCAGTCGACAGGCGCTGTACGATGTGCTCAACGGATTGACTGTTGGCCCGGATGAGACGATTGTTGGCAGGATGACTCTAACGAGCCTCAACATCGAGCCGGCGTCCCAGTCTGAAGGCTTCTCACAATCAGCCCACCCTGCCCTTCGCAGCCTGCAGTGGCAGAAGCTGGGCGTTACGAATGCGCTGTCAGACGACCCCAACAGCAGGATAGCCAAAACAGTGGAGTCGGAGAATCTGCGGATAGTCGCCAGACATGCGAGTGGATGTATAACAGATCGACTAAACCTGGGCAAGGGAGAGCTGTTTTTGCGCCTGCCAGTGACCGACACCCCGACGGTGCAGATTCTGCGCGAGCCCCAGGAGGATTTGACGATGTCCATTGATACGAGGTACTCGCCGCAAGACGTTGCCAACGGATGTGGACAACTGCTTCAAATCATCATGCAACAACAGACCATCCGCACGTTCACCTTTGCCACCCTGGCCGACCTTCACGCATTCCAAGCGTCGATCACAGGCTTTACTGTTCGATATGATGGACTCGCCAGCAACTTTGGCATTTCGCGGCGACGCATGGTTGTTCCGATCTACAAGAAGTGGGAGGCGTCGAATGTTCGTCTTCAAGTCGTCTCCCAGGGAGCAGTGGTGCAGCTCATCGCATTCATGGAGGACTTCAGCCATGCAGATGCACTCTGCTTCCAGATCAAGTCGACCGACGTTTTCGAGAGCGTCAAGGGCGATAACAAGAACAAGAAATGGGGTGTCAAAATGGTCGATGCCAAGTTCACTCTACCGAGCGAAGAGAGCGAGGACAAGAGACGTTTCATTAACTTGGAAGGTCTCGAATATGCTGAAGAGCATGACGACATTACTGTAGGGTTTGAGACGGAGCAAGGTATGTTTGTCCTGTTAGATCGTGATGCTGTTTCACGCTCACTAATCTCCTTCGCAGACCGCGATCGTTTCGCTCAAGCCCTGCCTGCTGCCACGAGTGTTTCTCGTGGCATAACTCTCAAGCGACGCATTTGAGACGACATTAACGACCCGATAACGCTCGCTGCCTTTTTTCTTTGCACATACTTACACTGCATTATACCACCCAATCGAAGCTCTGGGCCAGGCGTCTGGAGATCGGAATGAAGCGTTTTGGCGGGAAGAATGAGTTGGACAGGGTATAGAGGGCGTGTGAGGCTCGGGCTGTACGCCCTATGAAAAGTACAGGTGAGGTCACTCGAGCGAAGTGGGATGAATGGTGGGGCCAGAAAAGAGCTGCAAGGTACCAGGTATCTACCCCTCGACACAAGACACAATCACGACAAATCATACCATCCGCCTCTGCCGTTTCTTATATCTTCTTTCTTTTCCTTCTACTTCTGCGACTGACCTACACTACCACGATGGCGCCCAACAATGCAGAAAAGAACGATATCTCCGTCCCCGACTCCTCCAACCCGTCCAACCTCTCCGTCTCCACCCTAGGCATCCACGCCGATAACCCCATAAACTACTACCAGGACGTCGCCCCAGCTCTCCACGTCTCCACCACTTACCGCTATGCCTCGAATCCCGACAACCTCGTCCCCGAACACGAAGTCGAAATCCCCTCTCTCTTCCCACCAGGCGGCCCCGTCCGCGGCGACGCACACATCTACTCCCGCCTGACAGCCCCCAACGCCTCACGGCTCGAACTGATCCTCAGCCAGCTCCTCGAAGCTCCTTGTCTGACATACAGTTCCGGCCTATCAGCGTTCCACGCCCTGCTCGTGTGGCTGAAACCCAAAGTCGTCGCGATCGGGAAGGGATACCACGGATGCCACGGAGTTCTCAAAGTCTATCAAAAATTGACAAACTGCAAAATCGTGGATATCTTCGACGAGAAGAGCTGGGATGAGGCGGGTTTGGGAAAGGGCGACGTGGTGCATCTCGAGACGCCTGTGAATCCCACGGGAGAGGCATATCATATCGCTGCGTTTGCGGAGAAGGCACATAAGCGAGGGGCGGTGTTGACGCTCGACTCGACGTTTGCGCCGCCGCCGCTGCAGGATCCGTGGAAATGGGGCGTGGATTTCGTGATGCATTCTGGTACGAAGTATTTCGGTGGGCATTCGGATATGTTGTGTGGGGTTGTGGGGATCGGGAAGCATAGGGCGGGGTGGGAGAAGGATTATTGGGGCATGTTCGAGGAGAGGTTGTTTCTTGGGGCGGTCATGGGGAGTTTGGAGGGGTGGCTGGGGGTTAGGAGTTTGCGGACGTTGGAGTTGAGGGTCAAGAGGCAGAGTGAGAGTGCGGAGAGGCTTGTGCGGTTTTTGGAGGGATGTCTGAAAGGCGAGGAGAAGGGTGCGGGAAGCGACGACGTCCGGAAAACCGTTGCGAAGATCGAACACGCGAGTCTTCAGCAGGAGGATATGTCCTGGCTGTCGCAGCAGATGCCCAACGGCTATGGACCTGTGTTCTGCATCTCGATGAAGAGCGCGGAGCTCGCGAAGCGTCTGCCTAGTAAATTGCATTTCTTCCATCATGCGACTAGTCTCGGCGGCGTGGAGAGTCTGATCGAGTGGAGAAAGTTGAGTGATCGGGGCGTGGAGCCGGAGTTGTTGAGGGTTAGTGTGGGTGTGGAGGGGTGGGAGGATTTGAAGGGGGATCTGGTTAGGGGCGTTGGGGAGTTGGTGAAGGAGGGGGTTGTGTAAGTGGGAAGGGGATGGGGATGGCGAGGGAACGGGGGCGAGGAAGGAGAAGTTGTGGGGCATAGATGATAGATCGGTGGCTATAGAGGTCGTTTGTCTGCGGGTTTTGTCTTGTTTGCTGTGGGCTTTGAGGCATTGCAGCGCAATCGCAGCGTGTCTCGTCGCTGCATAGGTGAAGGCCCCCAGGAGCTGACTCGCCCTTGCCTTGTTGCTCTGAGCTATCCTTACCGCTCTTCGAATCTGGATGCATGTCTTGATCCTGTACGTCCTGCGATTGTTTGAAGTCAATCAAGACTCGTTGCTCCAAATTCAGCCTTAGCATGGGAGTTTGACTGGTGAAACTGGCCTGTTGCTGTTGGGGTTGTGGGCTACGCCGGGCTTGGGGGAGGCTATGTTTAAGATGTCTTGTGGTTGGAGGTGGATGCAGGGTGCGAATCTGGGTTTTGAGGCGAGGAGCAGGAGATAGTACGAGCGTTAAAGCCGGAGAAGAGGGATTGTGCTTTTGAAGTCGAGCAGTATGCCATGTTAGTAACTGAGGAGAATGGAAATGGGTGATGCGCTTTGAGCAGTCTGATTGGGGCTCTAGAAGGCTAGCGTGAGGCTGTGTGCCTGATCAAGCGGTACAAGATGCTTCCCCTGTATTCCACTTCCCTCAACAAAGTTTGTGCCGTTCCAAACAAACACGCATGATCTTGTTCCTCCTGAATTGATGCTCTCAAAAGAACGCGCCAAGATAGCGCTCGAATTCCGTCCTCAACGCCACCACATCCACCCCTACTCTCTGCCCCAGGAAGATCAGAACATTCAGCATAACGTACTGAACATCCACGCAAAACATGACCCAAGCCAGCACATCGAAAGGAGTGTACCAAGCCCCGAACGTGTGACAGAACAACGCCGCGGTCCCCATCCTGGTCGCAACCCGAAACGCAAACCAGAACGCCGTGAAATGCTCCTGCTTGAATCCTCGAGCGAAGCCGCGTCTGAGATCCGTCTGGCGCCAGAGGTACTCCGCCGCGATATCCTCTGGGAAGAGTTGGAAGGCTTTCAGACCGTGGCAGAAGTAGAAGGCAAAGGATAACATGCAGAAGTGCATGAAGTCGATAGCGCAGGCGTAGACAGGGAAGAGGATGGTGGATTCGCGGACCATAGGGTGTGGTGGAATTACTGGTTCGTGGTGGATGATGTAGGTGAAGACTGGGCGGAAGAGGAGGATGAGCCAAATGAGGCCGTATATCCCTTCGCGGAGGAGGAATTTGGTGGTTGCTGAGAAGGACATGTTCTGCAGAGACATCCCCGAGTCGGCTGCTGTTAGAAGTTGGTTGACTGGTGTGTCGTTGGCTTGGATGATATATGAGTGAGGGGATTGATTGCTGCTGGGTTTGTGGGTCAGTGCAAACATCTAGAAGGGCCGTTCACAAGGGAGCATGTCTCACGCAACGCTTGCATGTGAATTGAGGAAGCTACGATTTAGTTTTTGGGAGCTCTTTCTCTTCGTTGGTCATGCACTAGCTTATGTGTGAGATACGCGCAATGACCGCAAAGGTGCATAACTTCACGCCCCCATGTATCCGCATCTGTAGAGACTCTGCCAGGCTCAATCCATCTTCTCCGCTCCTCGCAGCGCTTTCTCCTCCTCTTCCGCTATCTTCTTCGCCTGCCATGCCGCGAGCGGGGCCATGAAAAGCATGAGCGCAAATATCACGATGCAGATTCCGCCATTCAGCACCCAGGCCGCCACAAAGAGCACCGAAGTTATCCTCCCCAAAACACCCTCACCCACGCCCAGATTGGCGACCCAGAGTCGTGCGACGCGAACAAACGACAGCAAACGAGGGCTAGAAATTTACCGAGCTGGTCAAACGAGTATTAGATCGAGGACGACTTCTATCCATTTCTATTGATTATTCTTTTGTCCAGCATCGAGGAGCCTAGCAGAATCTCATTGCACAATAGGTAAGTCGTTACGCAAACGTGTAGTCGGGAAGCTCTATACCCGTGGCAGGAGGGTTGAACGACGGACCCATCCATTTCAAGATGCCAGACCAGGCGATGAACCCCAGGAACCAGTGTAAAATCTGAATGCCCCATTGAGTCTGAGGATTGGCCATACTAGGAGCACCAGGAGCTAGCTTTTGAGCTGTTTTAATGAAAGGCTTCATTCGATCTTCATACATCTGGAACGCCTTGAAGATATCCTTCGGCTTTTGAGCGAGCTCTCCAGCTAGGATGTATGCGCCAACAAGTGCTGCTGTTGTACCCATGCCGGTGATCGGTGACGGACAGTAGCCAGCATCGCCAATCAGGACTGTTCGACCACTTGACCAGTGGGGAAGATTCACCTGTGCAATCTTCTGCATGTAGAAGTCGTTGGCTTGCTCCATCACTCCTACTACTCTCTTAGCTTCCCAACCGGCATCGTGAAATAGCTGTTTCCAATGCGCTTTCTGCTCGGCGATCCCCTTCCTTGCCACGCTATCCATGTGATCATCCGATGGCATCGCCCACAACGAAGCTCTGGTGACATGAGCATTATCCGGTCGAAGCAAGATCATGCGTTTGCCAGGTGCATTGTACCAGCGAGCCCAATCGCTATCGGACTCCTTGTGTGGTATCCGGAACCAAGCTGCCCATTGGCCTAGATCGTTGAGACAGTCATGTGTGGTTTTGGGATCAAACGCCAATCTTCTTGTTGTGCTTGCCCAGCCGTCTGCAGCAACGATAACGTCGAATGACATAGTAGGCGAGCCGTTCTCGAAGTCGACTTCGACCTTCTCAGACTTTTCGCTGATGGATTTGACGCTTTCTCCAAACAAGTATCGCACATTATCTCTCGTAGCCTCATAGAGGATGAGTCCAAGATCACCTCTCATGATCTCAATATCGGATGTGAATCCTTGGCCATCATCGATTGGAAACTCAGCACGGCTAACGTTCTGAGCATCCACAAACTTCAAGCCTTTCTCGTGGGTCGTCTTGCTGCGAACGGTCTCCTCCAGACCCATTCGACGGATGACTGTCAGTCCATGGCCTCGAACGTCGACATTCTGACCGCCAGTCCGCGGCTCCGGTGCTCTCTCAACAACTGTTACGTTAGCTCCGGCTTTGGCGAGAAAGAAGGCTGTAGCAGGGCCTGCAATGCCAACACCGCTGATGAGTACATTCAAGCCTGCCATTTGATTGGTATTTTCTGGCCGATTTTATTGAATACATTGTAAGAAGTTAGCCCTCGTAACGAGGAACGTGAGGTTGATTTAGACTTTTGTGATTTTCCGATGACGTCAATAAACAATCGAAGTGAAAGTCTGAACTGTTCACAACTTCTTGGTCTGTTCGCCTACAACATCATCGAGAAGGCCTGGCAGTGTGGTCGTTGTGTGCCAGGAGATCATGAAAGAGAGCTTGCATTCCGCCTGAAGTGCTGACGGTTCGAGGAACCAAGACAGATCCTCGAAGTCAAAATGCAGAAGGACCGATTGCATCTCTCGGCGGATGTCATCATCCAAACAAAAGAGCGGCAGAGCGGCAGCTTTCGCTGAATCTCTCGCCGCAAAGCAGGAAGAAAACGAGAACAAGACGCAGTCTCGGGCTTACTCAAGACGATGCTATTGGATACGGGCCTACTGTACCCCTCGGTGGCATTTGGGGAAGTGGAGGTGGAGGCTGTGGGTGCATGAAGCTAGACTTGTTCCTGTGCAGAGCTCGACTCGTATGCGGAAGATCGTGAACTGAGCTCACTGATGGCAGAGCCCAACAAGGTAGGCCTTTAAAGTGATATTCTCCACGTGTCTGGGTTTTGACAAGGTCCTTACTCCCTACTCCATATCGACAACATGATGGCGGCCACAGGAGCCTTGTTCCTAGCCATATTGTATGCCGTGAACGGTGGGTATATCTGGAAAGATCTTTGCGTACTTCGTTGTACTGATTCGAAGTAGCTCAGACTGGCACAGAACGACCAGTCCCAACGCTGAGCCCACAGATCAACGCTGCTCCAAGCCTTACTCCTACAATCTACGATGCACAAGCCCCCGATCCTCAGAAGTGCCCAGGGTATACAGCGTCCAACGTCCACAACAGCACCGACGGCTTCAATGCAGAGCTTACGATTGCTGGCTCTCACTGCCAGGCCTTTGGAAACGACATCGACGACTTGCTGCTGGAAGTGCAATATCAAACGCAAGATCGGTTGAATGTGAAGATCTATCCAAGATACATTGGTGACAACAATCGTACACAGTATCTCTTGAGCTCCGACATCGTCACTGAGCCTGAGGGTGATGGTCACACCACTGAACAGACGAGTCGTCTGAAGTTTGAATGGACTAACGACCCGACCTTCCAATTTCGTGTGCTGCGCGCGGAGACGGGAGAGGAGCTTTTCTCGACTTACGGTCATGTCATTGTGTACGAAGATCAATTCCTCGAGCTGGCTACAGATATGGTCGATGTATGAGTTCCCTTTGCAGACTTGAATTGTCATTTGGTACTGACGGTTTCGCAGGGCTATAATGTCTACGGGCTTGCTGAAAACATCCATGACTTTCATCTAGGCAACAACCACACTCAGACATTCTATGCAGTGGATGCGGGCAATACTGTCGATGGAAACGTATATGGAACATTTCCATTCTACCAAGAGACCAGGTACCACGAAGGCAAAGAGACTACTTCGCACGGTGTATACGCTCGAAATGGTGAGAATGAGCAAGAGCCTACCTTTCAATACTGGCCACTGACAGCTTGTAGCCCATGGTCAAGAATGGCTTCTTCGAGATGGCAACATTACATACCGTACGCTGGGCGGCAGCTTCGACTTGTACTTCCTGAGTGGCCAAGATGAAAGTGGCAGCTCGAGTGCACTAGAGACCATCCGCCAGTTTCAAGTTGACTGTGTCGGAACTCCAGCTATGCAACAGTTCTGGACCTTCGGTTTCCATCAGACGAGATGGGGGTATGAGAATATCTCAGTCATGCGAGATATCGCCAAGGGATACAAGGACGCCAATATTCCTCTTGAAGCCTTGTGGAACGACATCGACATCTACGACCTGTACAAGGACTTTACAAGCGACAACAACACCTTTCCGGCCGCGGGCATGCAGCAGTGGATCAGCGAGCTTCACCAGGCAAATCAGTACTACGTACCCATTATCGACAGCAACATCTACGCACCCAACCTTGAGAACGAAAGCGACGCATATGGACCCTGGGAGCGAGGCGCAGAACTGGGCATCTTCATTCGAGACCCTACTACAGGCGACCCCTACTATGGGAATAACTGGCCTGGTTTCTCTTCCTGGGCGGATTGGCTACTGCCAGAGTCACAGGATTGGTGGACCAACGAGATCCTCAGCTGGTTCAAAGATGTGCCTTTCGATGGCATCTGGATTGACCTGAGCGAAGCATCCTCCTTCTGTGTTGGATCGTGCGGCAATGGACGCTTGAACGAGAACCCAGTACACCCGCCATTCTTGCTCCCAAATGACCCCGGAAATGCCGACTTCCGATATCCTGAAGGCTTCAACATCAGCAATGCTACAGAAGCCGCTTCTGCAAGCGCTGCCTCTGCATCCCAGGCATCGATGCTCTCAACGACAACTCTCATCCCGGTAGCGACTACAACCACTCAAGGGCGAACGGAGCCAACGCCTGGTGTTAGAAACCTGAACTTCCCACCGTATGTCATCAACCATGTTCAAGCTGGGCACTCACTGCTTAAGAGTGCCATCGCGCCGAACGCCACCCACAATGATCCGTCCAATACTACCGAGTATGAATTGCACAATGTCTACGGGCTGCAAATCTCCAATGCAACCTATCATGCATTACTCTCGGTCTTTCCAGGTAGACGACCATTCACAGTCGGCCGCTCGACATTCGCGGGTTCAGGTCGAACGACAAGCCACTGGGGTGGGGACAACACCTCGACCTGGGGCTCCATGTTCCTCTCGATCTCTCAAGCATTGACCTTCATGATGTCTGGAATTCCAATGTTTGGAGCCGATACTTGCGGATTCGCTGGCAACACCGACTACGACCTCTGTTCTCGTTGGATGGAGCTGAGTGCCTTTTTCCCGTTTTATCGAAATCACAACGTCAAGGCGACCATTTCGCAAGAGGCATACATCTGGTCGTCTGTTGCAGAGGCTTCGAGACGAGTCATGGCTGTTCGCTACAGCCTGTTGAATTACATGTATACCCTGTTCTACCACGCCCACACCAAGGGCGATGCTGTGATGAGAGCACTGGCGTGGGAGTTTCCTCAGGATCGCTCGCTTAAGGGCACGTATACGCAGTTTCTCCTCGGTCCATCTCTCCTCGTAACACCGGTCCTTATTCCGAATGCAAAGACTGTACGAGGTGTGTTCCCAGGCATCGGCGAGGGTACGAGATGGTATGACTGGTACACCTTAAAGGAAGTGCAAGCCAAACCGCAGGAGAATGTCACCTTGGAAGCTCCACTCGAGCATATCAACGTCCATGTCCGTGGTGGATCGATTCTACCTCTTCAACAGCCAGGCTATACCACGACTGAAACCAGAAATGGCTCGTACAGCCTCCTCGTCGCTCTGGATAGCCATCAGACAGCCAGTGGCAGCCTGTACCTTGACGATGGATACAGTCTGGTGCCAGAGCAGTCGAAACTCGTTCAGTTCAAGTATGCTGACGGCGTCTTGTCGACGCATATCAACGGAACTTACAAGTCTTCACCGCCGCTTGCGAATGTCACACTTGCTGGAGTACCTGGCCATCTGACCGGATTGTCACTCACGATTTCCGGTCAGCCGTGTGAAGTGGGTGAAGTGGCTGTCGATCCTGGGGACGGAGTGCTTCGCATTAGCGGGCTCGAGGAGTTTACGCCAGAGGGTGCTTGGGAGGGCGAAATGGTCATGAAGTTGTCGTTCGATTGAGTGCTCTACAAGATAGTCATGGAGTCGATTTTCCTCCCAAATGATGCTTCGCAGTTCTTCACATCAGCTTCTTTTTGGACGAGGGTGTTTGTGGTTTGGTCAAGGTCACAGTTCGAAATCTTCCTACAGGAGTGCAGAGCTATCGAAGCTTTCTTAATGGGAGTTCGGAACCGGACATGTACGCCGGGTCTCGTGAGCAGCCATGCATGCATTGCGACAGCGAGGATGTGGGATGGACCCACCGAGTCAAGGATTCTCTTATCAGATCAATGCGGACGAATCTTGGGTTGTTCCACAAATCGCGATGCCAACGTGGTTGGGTGTCAACCTCCCTCCTTGCAATGCATGTAGAAAGAGCTTTCCGTGAATATGGAACTCGCAAGGATCCGTTTATTCCAACGCGAGCACTGACTCCAGCCGATGATCCTCGCCTTGGTCTCGAAAGCTCTCAGCGTCTGATGACGGACCTTGCCGAGGTCGTGCTCGTTGCCTATTTCGTTCCGAATACTCAGAATCTTCGTGAGTTCTCCTTCGGTGTTATGAACTGCGGTGAGCAAGCAGTGAATTGCTCATGACGATACCCGGTCGTGGCGATCTCCATAAGCCACTCGTGGAGTTGAAGGAATTGCAGCTTGACGTCTCACACGGCACAGCATCCGCTAACCCAGCAATGGAAGTGTGGTTGCCTCATTGAACGCGGTAGTCGCGGCCGTGAAGCATACCAGCGTCGCAATGCACTGCCCCTGCAAGGAAGATCGCCATGGGTCATAAACGTCGCCACGGCCGTTGCTTGGTGCCCTGGGAGTTGTGGCAGCTCGAAAAGATTTTCTGTCAATTCGCTGAGAGAATGAGTAGCTCATGGAGAGAGCCTGCAGCGACAAAAGCAATGCGTCTTGCGTGGGGTTTCTCCACCAATGCCCTGTAACAACAATCTTCTGTGCGCAAGCTTCATTGGTCTTTTCATCGCCGACTCAACACTCTCTTCCTTGAATTTGAGGCACACAGTACTCACAACCATGGCATCCGGGCAGAATACCGCAGGAAGAACTGTTACAAGATCGCAGTTCTTCGCTCAGATCGGCCTTCGTGACGATAACCAAGACCACCAGCGTCTGTTTGGGTTGATGCAGGTAGCCGACCCCCTTCATTCCGTGATTGTAATCCAGTACTGATGCTCAGATAGAATGAAGCCGCAGCCGGATCCAGACGGTTGTTGGCTCAGCGAGGAAACGCCAATGCGCAAATCGACGAGGAAAGCTTCCGCAGAGAGGTGCTGGCCATCTACGCAAGTGCAAGCTCCGAGACGAGGGGACTTTACGATTTCGGCATTGCGTATGGGACTGACGGATCGATGATCGATAATTGGGTGATTCGATGGATGCTGTGGCAGGCCATTCATCAGCCAAATGGTCATTGATGGGAGATGAGACGTAGGAGATGATGTGTGAGCCCAGTCCGGGATCCAAAAGTTTCGCCGTGCAGAATATGGTACCCATGAGCAGTTCTGTATTATGTGATATCCTTGTGCGACCCTTTCGATCCATTTGTTCATAACCCTCGATCTGTTCGCCTAGATGCTGCTATTCGTCACCAATGACCATGCCGAGTCGTGGCAACCCCTCTCTTGATGATGTCGTGTCGAGATGAAGGTTGTAGCTGCAAGCTTGAAGCTGCATACCCCTCGACGGGACGCTCCTGGAAAACCGATCGAGATATGATCGCAGTGTCAAGTATGCAATGGTGTGTTTCGCATGATGAGTGGAAGTCGTGTTCCTGCCTTTCATGGTTAGCGCCATCGCAGCCGGACAGGGATGTTGTCGTGAACAAGAGTCAGGCTCTGCATGTGCGAAAGAATATCACGGCACACAGATTGCTTTCAGGAAAGAAACCCATCGTCTATCTTGCTTTCGATCCTTTAGACGTTCCGGCTTGCCATGATGCAGCGTTGCAACGCTACCGTTAGCCGTATCGCTGCGGGAACCGGCTTGCCAGATTTTTCTGACCAACAAGAATTACGCCACGAATTGACTTACCGCGGCTTGAGCCACGATCTCGTCGCCAGCATTGGACGGAGTGGTATCGCCGATATACCTAGGCCTTGATGCCAATCGTCAGCCTGCCGTAAACGAGCGAACAAATTGTGAGACATGTGGCTTGCCGGTGGGTCCTAGAGTGCGTCTGCCATGCGAGATAAGATCTTGGGAAAGCCAATCGTCTTCTCTTCTTTGCCAAGCGAAACAACCAAGATGATCAGCTCGAGGCAGGGTACATGCATCCTCAAGACCACCAAGCTGAAGCCCGAGAGCCGCATCGGCTGTACCAGCTGAAATGTCTTGCTGACACCACGGCCGCTAGGGCATTTGAGGGATTGGTCATTCGCTCTCAGGTCCAGGAGAAAGGAAGTGTATCCGAATTTAACCCTTGCAAACGCCTCTAGGCGAGATCGCGTGCTAGTGTCTCCATCGACTGATGCTGGCGTCTTACATATGGCGGACAAAGACTAGTGGCTTGAGAAGTTCTGGTTATGTTTCCCGACCTTCATCTGTCGACCTGCAACATTCAGCACGAAGAGATAACACGAAAGTACTTTCACAATGCATGCTTGGTCGGAAGTCAGCCGGCATGGCATAAGCTCTATCGTATGCATGGCGAGTAAGGCAACGATGCGCTTCTAGCTAACGCTGTCGCTAGGAAATTACTTCGACACCCAATCACGCACAACTCATACATGTTGTGCTCGCACAGATTGGACCCCTGAGCTCATCCTGTCATCGACACACGACAGACCTGCAGTATACTCGATTCATCACATGAGGTAATACATCTTTATCGCACGTTCAACTGACTTCAAGCTCCCGCTCCTGAACCTAGCAACACACCATCCGCATCGACAACGACTCCTCCAAACGCATTCCATTCCCCCAGCCGCAGCTGCCCGACGCCTCAGTCCGCCAGATCGTTCCACGAAGACCCCAGCACCGAGCAAGCGCCGACAAGAGAGGCATCTATCAGCGACAGTCAGAAGTCTGGTCCTGGATCGCAAGATGAAAGGCGATCGCACGAGATCTTACAGGCCTCACGTTTGCCCTTGCCCACCACTTCGATACCAGGTGTTGCCTGGGCCCGATGTCCTTGTGATACCCAGCCACTGTGACCATAGCGAGATCTTGGCTTGTCCGGGTCCAGGGGGATGCTTCTCTTCGTCAGGACAGACGCCGTGGCTCTCGTCGACATCGGTGGCAATAGGGGCGTGCGCTTCCGTGCAGAAAGATGGAAGATCCCTGGACAACGCCGTCCTGCAGAACTGCTTTCTCACGCTGAAGTGACCTCACTTCTGCCAGGTGATCATGTTCGAGTAGCACATCGTCGCTGGTTTGAGCTCGGGTCTGGGGTGTCGTTCGCGCGTTCTCTTGTCACCGCGTCTTCTGCCTGGATCGGTGGCGGGTTGGTCGCAATCAAATCGGGAAAACGAGTGTTAGGTGAGAAACGAGACATCTTTTTGCATACGCGCAGGACCAATCCGCGGCCAAGCTATCCGACACTGCATGAGCTTCCTTGTTTTGAGGAATATCTGCGGAGAAAGTAAGCCGAGAAGACCCGTAGTCAGCTGCCAGTCTCTTGTTGTCGGCCGTGTTTCCTGCCTATGAGGTCGTACGCGGTCTCAGGGTAAGTCATCGAGCGATCGTGCGTATCTTTAACGGTTGTGCTTGCCGCAAAAAACTGGAGCTTGACACTGAGCCGTCGCTTGTGTGAACCCCGAGTAGATCAAAGGATCGGAGACCAAATTCGTCGACATACATACAGCACTATTGAAACCCTGCGATGGAACAGACTGGCAGATCAGCTCTCATAGGTCCATCTCCAATAACCCCATCCTGCTGTGGCGAACAATGAGACAGATACAAGGATAAGGTTCCTCAAGGCCTTTTTGACATGCACACCAAAGATGTCGTCGATTCGTTTCTGATAGCCTCTAGACGCGTTGTCTCCAGGGAAGGGCGGTTTTACTAGGAGAAAAGAAAGCATTTACGTCTCGGGGCGTGGGGCCCGTGCGTCGCAGCTGGGATCCGTGTGTCGTGACAAGGTCTGCACATAGACTGGCAGCAACGCGGGGACGGAAGGGTCTTGGAATGGGAGGTCAATGTTGTGGTGGTTGGGTGAGTAGTCCGTGCTCAGGGGCTGTCACGTGAGTAGCGGTTCTGTTTGTTTTGGGTACGTTATGAGGATTATGTCGAGCTCTGCATGGAGAAGGAGCAGGGGAGACGCAAAACGACCTTGGTGGGTTGGTATCAGCGACGCTCGGATTCAAGTCGTCGCAATACTGTTGCAATGGGGGTTCTGCGTGCCGCCAACGAGCGAAGACACCGCTCGTACATGGCCGATTGCGTGCAGTTTGAACATCCGCCCTCACCTTCTCAGCATTTTCACCAACCACAATATCACGTAAATGCCCATACAGTGACACAACAATCTCCGACATTGTGTCCAAACCCAGATGCAATCAGCCATCTCTTCCAATCGACATTTCTGCACCAGAGCATTTCAACTTCATGGTCATCAGCCAACTCAGATGAAACATTCTCGTGAGCATCAGGCATAGCTGGCCGGCCTAAGCAGAACGAGGTTTTGAAGGTTGAGTTCAAGGGGGACAAAACAAACCAAGAAGACTCGTTTACATTCATGAATCTGCTAACTCATCAAACAGTAGCGACTGCGTCTCTAATATACAACCAAGAACACCACAGGACCAAAGCCCAGACAAAGGAACGACTCATCCGTCTTTCACCGCCTCCCTCCATCTCCTCCATCTACTCGATACTCATACAATCGCCCACAACCTCCCAGCCTTATCATCTATGCGTAAACACACTCCGAGTTTCCAGAAGGCTTGATAGCAAACTCAGTCGGCACCACCAAAGTCTCTCCAGGCGCCGGCTGCGCCTCACAGGTATAGTTGCTCGCCTTGAAAAGCGGCGAACAACCATACAGCGTCTCGCTCTCTCCAACCTGTCGGAATTGGACATAGAACGCCTCGCCACCTCCCAGTGTAGGGCTGGTCGTGCTGAACAACTCCCACTCGACACCTGAGTCCAAGCCGCATGTGCTGAGGAGGAAGGGGGAGGGGCCGTTCTGGCCGGGGCAGGCGCTGGAGGCCACGGCATTGCCGGACACGCAGTGGGCGGTCGTTGTCTCGACGTTGATGGTGGCGTTGTAGATTGTGTCGCCGCCGTCGCGGCTCGCGGTGCTGAAGTCGGAGACTTGCCAGGTTAGGCCTTGGCGGGGGAGGACGGCGGCGGTGGTGCCTGTGATGGCGAGGGCGGCGGCCAGTGCCTTGGTGGTGAGGGAGAACATGTTTGTGGTTTTTGGTGGTGGTGTTGTTGAGATTGGAAGAGGTTGGTTCAAGGTTGGTCTGGAGTCTTGGGACTGGAGTTGCTTGATGAAGTTGCTTGCTGATAACCAATACTTCACAGGCATCTCACCACTCTTATATATCCCTCGCCATCCCCTCCCCTCAGCCCCAAACCACCCCGTCCTAACCGTGCTCCACCTCCTCATGACGACAAGTCCCAAACAACCCAATCCGTATTCCCACAACACCCGTGTCAGACATACGAGCAAAATAGCATCACTAAAAATCTTTCAAGTGTTTAAAAATCGACTTAGTCGAACCGGCAAGATGGGAGATCGTCATGCGTTGCTATTTCCAGCGCAGCCTGGTCGGGAAATTTACCTATACTGAAAATCCTACAGCTGCCCTCTTCTGTTACCACGTGCATGACGTAGAAGTCGTCGTGGACATGTAGGGTTTTAATACGAAGAGTTTGATGTCATTTTCTTCAGTTTGAGGTTTTTTATGGTACGTTTGCCCTTGTTGTTGAAGTTGCACGGGGCACCAGCTGGTATGACGGATTCGGCTGGGGATGTCGATGACTTCTTCTTCTACGATGGAGTCTGACTAGAAGCGGCACTTGTACACCACCGATGCCGATTTTCAGAAGTTTTGGAGCGAATGCATTCGTTCGTGATGATTTGTGTCTATTTCAAAACAAGTCAGACCGCTACTTGGGAACAGGCGTGAGCAATCCTTTGCAGCGGCGGCTCCAGAAGAGCAGTCAGGCTTGACACTAGACATCAACCGCGGGAGATCTACGCAAGACAAGCGAGAGAAGTGGTCTATGATCTCGGAGGTATGATACAGTATCCCTTTCTCGAAAGTGATACGTCTCGAAGATTTGCAACAGTCAAGTGTCTCCGGGTATCACCATGACCAGTTCCTCGGTCTCACCTATGAAGGCTTCTTGAGTTGAGGTGAGATCAAGACCCTGCGAGTAGAACACATTTCCATGCCGTACCTTCTTCTCAGCGACGGACTTCATCCTCGGGGCGGCAAGAGACTGATGTGGTGTGGCATCCAGACGTCGCTGGCGTAGAGAGCAAGACGAGGGGTTTGATATGAGAAGAAAGACCTGTCGGCAGAGGAGTCGCATGTGTCCCAACTTTGTCTTCGCGTTTACGAGATGCACATCCTAATCCCTCTTAACCCCAACGCTCCCAACCTGCCTCAACCCCACCGCCCCAACAACACAAGCAACCCCCATCATACCAAACATCGCCCAAAAACTCGCTCTCAACCCCTCCATAACCCTCTCCTCCTCCCTCACCCCACCCGCCTTCCTCTCCACGCCCTCCTGAATAACACTCATCAGACACAACCCGACACTCGTCCCCAGCTGCGCAAACGTATTAAACACCGCCCCAGCCAACGCCTGCGTCTTGGCGGGAAACGCATTCGAAACGACGATCGTGCCGACCGTGAAGAGGATGTCGACGGAGAGAGGGGCGAGGAGTTGAGCGAAGAAGGCGGAGTACCAGTAGGGCCAGGAGGGGTTTATGGTTGCCATGAGGAGGGGGGAGCCGGCTTGTAGGATGTTGCCTGCGAGGACGGCGAGGGCGATGGGTGTGCGGTTGACGAAGGTGCCGACGAGGAGGTTTAGGAGGGCGCCGGTTAGGACTTGGGGGACGACTTTGAGGCCGGCGGTTAGGGGGCTGTTGTGTTGGACTTGTTGGAAGCTGTGGGTGGTGGTGTTAGATTTGGTGGGTCTTGGGGAGGATGTGGTGGTGTTGGCTTACAAGAGACTGCAAAAGATCTCGAGACAGCTGTTGACTGAGCTGGATAGCATGATCATCAGGCAGACGCTGGTGAAGGCGCTGTTCTTCCACATCGAATTCGGAATGAGTGCTGGCTTGCCACGCTTCTCTTGGAAGTGCATCCAGTAGACGAATGCCGGTACCAGCACAAGACTGATGACCAGCAACGCAATTCCAGTAGCCGTCTTGATATTCGCCGTGTTGGCCGACAGCAACCTACAACTTCAGTCAGCATCTCGACATCCCTCAACCAAGGCCCCTGCCAAACTTACGCCAGAACATAAGAAACCATCGCAAAACTCCCACTCGCAATCACCGCCCCAACCCAATCCACTTCCCTCTGCAACCTTCCCCCAACATCCCTCCACTTCCCTAACCTCTCATCCCCCGGCAACGTCCAAATCCCTAATCCAAAGATCAACATCCCCACCGCACCACTAGCATAATACCCAACCCTCCATCCAACATTACTAACAAAAACACCTCCAAGAACCAATCCCACCGCAAAACCCAGGGGCATGGCGAGGAATGTTGATGCGAAGCCGATGTTCCGTGGTCGTCCATCTTCGATATTCGTAGAGACGATGGAGACCGCAGAGGGGAGAACCATAGCCGTTGCGATGCCCTGCATGGCGCGGAACATGATCAACTCGATTCCATCCCTCGCTACACCACAGACGAGTATGAACACCCCGACGAGAAAACATCCTGGTAAGAAGATCCTCTTCGGACCCAGCACATCTGCCACGGAGCCCGCAATGAGCAGACAGGATCCACACGTGAGGTAGAAGACGCTATTCGGCCAGAGGAGGAGGTTGGGCGGGATCGAGAGGTCCGCAGCGATGGTGGGCAGGCCGATGGCGAGGAGGCCGTTACTGAACGAGGAGATAAGGTTTATGCTGCTGAGCTGGAGGATGACGGTCCAGGTGCGGGAGGGGGAGAGTTTGCGGGTTGGGATCGATTGCTCTTGTTCGGCGGTTGAGGGAGCAGAGGGCGAGGATGAAGCAGGGCCGCTGATGGTGTGGCCTGGTGCTTCGGTGATTTCTGGAGCGGGTTGTTTCGGGATTGGAGTGAGGTTTGAGAGCGGTTCCAGCTCGAGGACTGTTTGCGTTGCCATCTTGTGGCCGTGTTCTTGTTCCGCTGGGAGGAGAAGTCGAGGACCACAAGATCGAAGAATCCCCAGATGTTGACCAGTGGCCAGACCGTCTGGTAATGACTGATAACCGTGGTCGGAGATGGAGTCCGAGAGCTAGGAATTTCGATGTTGAAAAGTTCACCATCCATTCACCGCTGTCACCTGCTGCGCGCAGGGCGTCGAGCTATACCACTTCGGGTGAACTAGCGACGAGAAGCATGTGGAAGAAACGAAAGAGAGACTTCACTCGTCGATGCGCTTACTCATAAACTGTCGAATGCTGGTATCACGCTCAAAACGAACCTCACTCACTACCCAGGAACGCCGCCCGTCTATGCCCTACGTCGGTGATACAAACTTACGTGAAATGCACTAACAAGGCAGAACTCTCTCCAATCCCTTGCTACTTACCAAGCTGCCCAGCTGCTGCTGGGCAGTCTTGCCCGTGGTCTACCATGGGAGATTGGGCGCGAAGGTGCCCCTCCCAGGCGAGAGATGTTGCGGCATCTCGTCCGGGCACTCGTCATCTCTGGCGGGGGGAGACGAGGGCGCAAAGGGACGAGTGGTTTTCTATCCCTGATAAATCCCCGCACCCAGCGGATCTTGCCCACCAAAGAGACCACCGCCCAGGCCAAGATTGCCATCCAGCGCCCAGCTGAGCGGATCGAACACCGCATTGCCACCAAACGGCGAGCCCCAATCCATCCCATCGAGCGCGCCGGCCGCGCTCAGGCCGAGGTTGTCGTTGGCGGCGGGTATTGGACCCGCGCCCTGGAGGCCGTTGGGCGGCTGCGGCGTGTTGCGGGACTGCGTATCTGTCGGCAACGCAGTTGGGTGCTCTACCGCCTGAGCAAGGCTGTCTCGACCAGGCTGGCCGACACGCTCGCGCCAACGCCAGATGGCGTCGTAGAGGACCGAGAGAGAGGAGCGGCAGCGCACCTTCAGTTGCAGGCTCTCATCGGCTGTCCTGGGGATGCCGCCACCCTGACCGTCATCGGCAAACAGCTTCTGTTCCATCGCATTACTGCTGTTCCAGAGCTGGGCCATGACTTCTGCGAGTCGTTGCGGCAGGTCGTTGGATCGGACACTCAGCTTGCGGAGATGAGTGACGGCGCGGGAGAAGAGTGTTCGTCCGTGGACGATGTCGACGTGTGCGGCGTAGAAGGAGTTCAGGATCTTCATCAATGTTGCGCCGGCTGCCAGCATCATCTGTTCGATGTAGCGTGGTACGTAGACAAATTGATCCATCGACATATCACTGACATGCTGTAGGAGAGCGGAGGCTGCGATGTAGACATTCCTGAGGTCTGCGTAGTAGTTCGGCTGCTGTGGCTTGTCGAAGAATGCGGTCAGACGGAGGTGCAGTTGGGCGGTCTTGAGGTATAGGACGTCGACGGCTATGATATGAGTTAGCAAACAAGTCAAGAAGGTGGTACGGTAATGGCCACTTACGTGAGTTGCTGGTTGATAGTACTGTGACTTCCAGCTCGCCGAGTTCTCTCGCGTACATGTCGATTTGAAGTCCACGCTGAGCTTGATCTACCTCAACGACGTGGTCACGCTGCATGGTATACAATGTTCTGGTAACGGTATCGCAAAACTTCTCGATCTGGCAGCGTGTCTGGATCTCTGGCTTCATGCGGTTAAGATGAAGACCATACGTAAACCACGCCCATCTAGCGAGTGGTGGCAGGCCGTTTCCGGTAGCGACATTCTGTGCTACGATATTGACAGTCGCCCAAGTGTTGAGACGGTCGGAAATGTCTTCCTCGCGCAAGTCGATTCGGAATCGCATGAAGTCTTGTGCGTGTGAGGGACGATGCAGGCCGTACTGCATGGCAAGCTGGAACATGACGCCGCAGAGCATCATTGTGGGTTCTTGCGAGGTAGAGGAGGTTGGTAGAGGCCATGTGCATAGAAGTGCAAGTGCTTTGCAGACATGGTAGGATTGTGGTACTTGGGCGAGCGTGTTCCAGAGAATCTCTTCGAGTGGGCGTTGCAATTCCATGAACAGGCCTGGCTTCTGGTCCCATTTGCGAGCCGCGACGGAGATGATGGTCCAGTGAAGAAGTGGATGCTCCTCGTAGTAAGTCTTGTACGGTAGCTCAGGATTGAGGACTGGCAAGAATACGTGGTAGCAGTCGAAGAATACGCGGTAGAGCTCGGTGATCTGAGTCTCGGTGAGAGTGACGCTGCCGAGGGTCATCATGGAGGTGCCGGGTGTGATGGACGGATAGCTGGTTGGGGCGAGTTCTCGATATCCTTGGCTCAAGTCCAGCAAGCTTCTAGATGCTGCAGCCTCGCTGGCGCCCAAGAATGCGTTTGATCCAGAGCCCATTGGGGCGACTGGTGCTCCTGAAGCTGGCGAGGCTTGATAGCTGCCGGTATAGTTGGACTCTGGTCGTCCCTCATCTTCTGGCAGACGCATGCCCAGTGCTTCGAATCGTGCGAGCTTGGCCTTGCACATGTCCAACTCCTTGGCCATCTCATCGTGCTGAGCACGCTTTCCCAGTCTCTTGAAGCCATCGTCGATGCTGCACTTGAGGTTGTGTTTGATGCAACGATCGCAGGGTTTGTAGTGGTCGCCCGGACCCGCGACAACGTTGCACCTAAGCTTTGCCGGGGTGTCAGTATACCGATTGACTCATAGATCCAATGGTCTAGTAGATGGACGGTCTCTTGCCCTCCTCTACGCCCGGACGTACCTTCTGCTGGCGACAATCGTTACACGCCCTCTTCACGCCTGGCTGGTGTCGAGGCTTGTTGCCATTGGCCTGCTGCGGGCTCCCCGCGCTGCCTCCGCCTGCAGCTCCCTCGCCGCCGTCTGGGTCGCCATTGTCGGTGGGATTCTCGCTGCGCTTTCGCTTCCGAGTGTGGTCGTCGCCGCCGGGGGTGGTCGAGGTCGGCGACGTCTGCTGCGGCGAGACCAAGCCTGCAGCTGGTGGGTCGAAGGCGGTTCCGCCGTGCCAGGACATTTGGCTTCGTCGGGCTCGAGGATGTTATTTGGTGATGCTCCGGTGTCGGGAGGGGAGGAGATAGGCTGCGATTTCGCTGAGATTTGAGAGCCCGGCCTTAGCGTCGTCGCCCCGCGTCAACAAATGTCTGCTGCGTCACGTGGACGGAGGTTTGTCAGCCTCGATCAACGCCAACGCCGTGTACAAGCCGGAGCAACAGACGATACAGCAAGAACGAGCCTCGGCGATCAATCGATACAGACACAAGGACCAGCACATACCTCTCGCAGATGTGAGTGAATGATAGCACGTTCCGTTGGGACCGCGCCCAATGGCCGCATCCGATTACCTCAGCTTTAGACTTCGGCTACACGTTTTGCTCCACGGTCTGAACCACATCTTTATCGAGACTTCACATCTTCTCTTGCAGCGTCGTCCAACGAACGGCATCAATGAATGGCTAGAGAGTCGGGTTCGCGGTGGTACGGCATACAAAACAGGTGCTATTAGACGGCAACGATGTAGAACCGACAAGGAACCCTCGCTCTTCGATTGACAACGCTCTAGCCCATCCGGCTAAACGGCACCGTTCACATATCCAAACGACGTTGATGAGCAGAGGCAGCAGAAGCAGCATAACCACGTCCGGCAACGAAGACTACCATATCAACGGCCTCAATATTGCATGGAGATAATCCGAGGAAGGCCGACAGGAAACCACAAGCCTAAAGTACTGTATCTTTGTCGTTCCGCTCAATCAGCAATGCATAGAGCTGTGGTCTTCTCTTATTCTGCAAAGGCGACCACGCTCGTCTTCGCAGTTTGGACCAGCTACATGCCTTGCAAATAATGAGATGAATCTCCCACTTGGAGCAGAGGAACCAAGGTGCCTGGAACTCAACGCCGAAGAGATGTAGATCGGTCAGAGACACGAATTGTTACCAACCTCCCAACGAATGCAGTGTTCACCACAGCACTTTCAACGGACCAAATATCTCAAGTGCTCGACCAAAAGATCACCAAGAACCACTGCCCGCGCCAACGATGTAGTTGCGACCACTCGGCCTTTATCGATGTGGTATGGCGCACCAACAGCGGCGCATTCTATACCGAGGACGAGACCGGTCGTAGACGTCCACACTTCCAACTTCCAGCTATGCTAAGCTCGCTGAATGTGACAGGAAGGAGGCCAGTGACTTAAGCCAAGATCGATGATCTACCGCCTGATGCAACTATATCCAGGAAGGACCCTCTGCACGGAGAGTGAGCTTCCGCCTCGCCGCTTCCTGGATCCATCACTGTCTCGCATTCTCTCTCCGCCCTGGTAGCTTCGCCAGCATGCCCAGCAACGACTCTCTCAACAGCGGTCACTTCAATGTCTTCAGCTGTGAGCCAGCATTATGGCGACTCGGCTGTGCCAGTCATGGCTCATCGAACTCGAACCCGGTTGCAGTCGAGAGGTCAGCGCGAGATGTGTTTGGTTGCTAAACTCTCGTGCTGCTTCATGCTGGATCGACGCAAGATAGGACTTTCGCTCGTTCCGCTCCCAGCGGGCAACATTCAAATCTGCATGCACGCTCTCGAAAGTCGCTGGTGAACATTCACTCAGAAGCACTCCGCCTTCGGGACATGCAACCTGAGGGTCTTTAACAGAATGCCACAAGCTACCGCAACAGCAGCCCTCTCGAAGCTTCTGTATTCGTATTGAGTTTGTCCTACTGGCCCGCCAGCGCCGCGGCCTTTGAAATGCACCATTCCTTGCGAAAGTCCAACGTTCTGAGCTCTTGCAGCTTCTCAATCACCCTTCCTGTGCTTTACGCCCCGGTACCTTCGTCGCATCGAACGCCTTGCGGTTATGCCTTCGACTTCACAGTCCTTCATCTTCCGCTCTGAAGCAGAATTTCATCTTTGCAAGACTGCCTCTGCCATACTGCGGTGCAGCTGTGCAACAAGGTTGGCTGGATCTGAACGGTACGTAGCGAATCCTTCGACGAAAGTCTGCGACCCCACTGCAGCGAGAGCGAAGGCTATCATGCATGGCTCACTTAGATTTGCCCTAACATCGCGCTTTTGGTGTCTTTAACTACCTTCTTGTTAGGTGCTGTTCCGAGGTGAATGGTATGTAGCGCTGTCGAAGGTCTGAGGACAAGCCATGTTATTGACACACACTACTTGCTACACCGAGGCTGGCGAACATACCGGTGTGCACAGGAGCGCCTCATAGGCCGTCTCGTATTCATCTTTGCCTATTCGAACACGGCATACTCGGACATGCTTGACTCCGATGGGCTGTCGTTCTGATCGACGCAACACAAAGACCGATCTTTGACGAACTTCTGGCCGTATACAGCAGTCGACGTATGTCTCATTGGCTACCTCGTTCCATGGCAGTCAAGAATGGTATTGGCTCAGCTTGGCAGCAAGTGGTAGAACAACTTCATAAAGATGTCAGTACGGTCCACTCGTCTATACTGATTGCTCAGCCCCGAGCAATCGAATATCAGAGCAACTATGTATGGATTCGTTCTCCTCATACTGGTCCTCACTGCAGTACAAGCTGCTCGCCTCGACAATCGCCAGGCTGGGCCTTCAGTGACTATCAGCAATGATACCATAGTCGGCTCTTCATCTCTGGGCATCGACAGCTTCAAGGGCATTTCATTTGCGCAACCACCCGTGGGCAACTTGCGTCTACGACCGCCTCAGCCTATTGTTCAAAATTTTGGAACCATCCAAGCAACGGGGTCACCAAAAGCATGTCCGCAGTTCTTCACGCAAGCCAATACTGGCCTGCTCCCACAAGACGTTCTTAGTACCGTCCTCTACTCGCCGTTGGTACAAGAGATCACAAATGCCGGGGAAGACTGTTTGACACTAAATGTACAACGACCTTCAAATACGAACCCTTCTTCCAAACTGCCCGTGCTGTTCTGGATCTTCGGCGGTGGTTTTGAGGTTGGCTCAACTTCGACATACGACGGCGGAAGCATTATCAGAAAGTCGCTCAGTGTGGACGAACCCGTCATTTATGTCAGCACCAACTACCGTGTAGGAGGCTTTGGCTTCCTAGCGGGCAACGAGCTGGCCGAAGAGCACTCTACCAATCTAGGGCTACGAGACCAGCGCCTCGCCTTGCAGTGGGTAGCTGAGAACATTGCGGCGTTTGGGGGTGATCCAGATAAGGTTACCATCTTTGGCGAAAGTGCTGGATCCATCTCGGTCTTTGACCATACGGTCATCAATGGTGAGTCCTTTGGGCACAAAATTGCTTAACATCATCAAGCTAATCTCATCAAAAGGCGGCGACAACACCTACAAGGGCAAACCGCTCTTCCGAGGGGCGATCATGAGCTCAGGCTGCCAACTTCCAGCTTTGGACGTACGCACCCCAAGAGCACAAGAAGTCTTCGACACCGTCGTCAAGGAAGCCGGCTGCAGCACCACATCCGACAAACTCAGCTGCCTCCGCAGCGTCGATTACATCACGTTCCTCAACGCCGCCAACTCCGTCCCAGGCCTCTTCTCCTACCAATCCTTCGTCCTCTCCTACTTCCCCCGCCCCGACGCCGGCGACGCCTTCTACAGCGAATCCCCCGACATCTCCATCGCCTCCGGCCGCTTCACCAAAGTCCCCGTCATAATCGGCGACCAAGAAGACGAAGGCACGCTCTTCGCTCTCTTCTCGCCCAACCTCACCACCAACAACGACCTCGCCTCCTACCTCGTCTACTACTTCCCGGAGAACCCCAACGCCGAACAAAACGTCCGCGCCCTCCTCGCCACATACCCCGACGCACCCCTCCTAGGCCAACCCGCCGGCTCGCCCTTCCGCACAGGAGTCCTCAACAACCTGTACCCGCAATTCAAACGCCTCGCCGCCGTCCGCGGCGACTTCACCTTCAACCTCCTCGCGCGCAGAGCTTACCTCCACGCCGTCTCCCCCTCCATCAAAGCCTGGTCCTATATCTCCTCGTACCTCTACGGAACACCCGTAGCGGGGACATTCCATGGCAGTGACCTCATCTTCACGTTCGGACTCCTTGGGGATGCGGATGTGAATCCTATCACGGATGCGATTCAGACGTATCTGGTCAGTTTTGTCAATCACTTGGATCCGAATGTGGTTGGGGCGAAGACGAAGTGGCCGCTGTGGAGGGAGAATGGGAGTGTGCCGCTGTTGATGGATTTTTTGGTGGCGGGGAAGAGTCAGTTGATTCCTGATGATTTTCGACAGGATTCTTATGAGTATCTTCTGGGTCATCAGGCCGAGTTCAGGGTTTGATGGCGTGAGGACGAGAACAGATTGTGATCTGGACGATGCACCGCAGGGAAGTTCATCTCTGTCGTTCGTAGGCTCTCTAGCCAGCCTAAACTACGATCAGACGCATGGTCGCTCACGATATCATGGAAAATTTGAAGGGTTCGCCGTTGGATATGTTCCACTCTCAGCAAAACGGTGGAGGTCAACGTCCCTACATGATATGGCGCCTGATAAGTGACAATGATGCCTTCTCGTTTAACGTTTCAGCAGACGCAGACTGATACAAAATTGGAACCATTGTTGGTAAGCATACCTTCCGTGACAGCAACTCCACCAAATCGGGTCTGTTATCGAAAACGCAGAGGCATCATAAAGCTCTCTCCCCTTCTTCCAAGGGATGGCAGCCACTCATCAACGCGGGTGTGCACATGATCTGACTCCCCGCTTCTCAACGATATGTTGTGTTACATACAACTGCCTGCTGGGCAAGCTGAGCGTGCGAAGTACCAATGATAAGAAGGCGATACCCGCACAGCTGCACAGCCTGTTCAACCCTCCGCCTCGATATCAGACAATCACACACAATGCCTTCTCAAGCGGTTGGCAAGTACTTGGATCGCAACAAGCTGAAAAAAAGACTGGAGGAGAAATATGGCACAAAGTTCGATTTCAACATAGTCGTAAGAGCTTGCGAGCCAGTGGCCAAGCGATGTACTGACGGGAGCAGACGTCCCAGAGCGGCACGAATTGGGATTATCCTGATGGTCACACCGGGCTATCCGAGGTATGTAGCTGCACAGCCTCCACATGAATCAGGTCACTGATCCTCGTACTAGGATGAGATCGAGTAAGAACTTCGATGTGCGAGCACATGACATCGTCTTTCCTGACCGTAGTGTAGGCAGTGCCAGAAAGATCCGCCTCAGGCTTGATTCAAGCATGCTTCCTTTCCCCCAGTGAAGTTCTTGGGATGGTTGGTTCGCTTTTGAGATAACGGTATTTGTTTTACCACATACACAATGCACGATTTTGACGAGAAACTATCTTGTGTCCCAACTGATCGCTGTTTTCTGTCTACTCCCAGTGCGCAGGCGATACCGGTGATCACAGTATCCCCTTCACGTAAGCTAGAAGAAGAACGTAGCAAATAGAGCATACTGAGACCAGCGTAGCGGATACAGCCTCAAAAGTTGTAGTCAGTGACCAAGGTATTACTGACCGCCAAAGCATCACAGCCTTGTCAGGTGTCAAGTCGAGGAGAGATGGGGCAGACTACTCAATGAGGTTGATGTAGGTAATTCGAAGAGATGTGTCTGGAAGATTCAAACTCATCGACATCGCGACAGCTGCATCAACTAGAACAATTCCTTTCATCGCCTCAACCTGACGAAAGCTACAATCACGGATATCATGAAGGAGCACGACGTGCGACCAGAGTTCTTTGATGTCGTATCATCGTTTTACCACAAGACCCTTAATATCGAAGAGGCACTCTCTCTGCCTTTGCAGGTATTCCTCGACACGAACAGCCTGGGTACCGTCCTCTTCGACAGATGTTGAGTGCTTGCTGCACACTAACGTCCGCAGAATACATGTATGTCATCAAATATCCCGAAGAAAACCTTCGCGTGGGCGAAGAGCCTTGGTCCATTCGACAGATGGCTATATACCATCAAGTCCGACTCCAGGATCGGCGGTCTACAATCATAATGCTCACTCCGTGCCCAACCACCGTAGCGAGGACCCGATTGACTCATTGGGTGAAAACTGGCCAGCTTCCAACGGCATCGATGGGCAATGTCTTCGAGCCCAGTAGGATACTGCTGACCTGCTATCTCGACAATTGGCGCTCATACATGAAGTACTACGAATCAAAAACCGAGCAACTCGTAAGCAGATGTCTCTGGACCTGGGAGCCTCACTAACCAAGCCCAGTCGATTCGAATGCTGAACATAGGCCTCAAAACTCCCAACGGCGTTTCAACTTCCGATCTGGCTGACATCAACTACATCGAGAGCCGACTGACTCCCGCCCAAGCCGTCCTGACGTCAATCATAAAACTGTGCGACGATCTGGAGACAATGACTGCCGAAGTCAAGACTCTGCTGCCAGACGCTGCAGACGCCCAGTGGCCAAGAACCCTCTCCAACTCTCGAGCGAAGCTCATCGCCTTTCGCAGCAATTCCAGCGTTCTTCTGCGAAAAACGGCCAATATCTCGCAGATGCTCAATAGCATTCTGACCTTCAGAAGCCAAGAAATCATGAAGGAGCAGAGTGAACGGGTGCTCTTTCTGACCACTTCGACCGTCGACGACTCGGCGACTGTTCGCGTGATCACTGCCATCACGCTCGTCTTCTTGTCGTTCACGGTAGTTGCGGTAAGTGCTCACAGAATCTCAGCAGTTGTTGCATTGCTAATACAGTGAGCAGGCTGTGATGGCGATGCCGCTTTTTTACCTCGACGATTCGTCGAGGTTGGTGGTGTCGTCGTCGCTGTGGATTTACATTGCAGTTGCTGTTCCGCTGACTGTTGTGACATTGGCGTATTGACGAGTGAGTTTGATGCAGAAAAGACGAGAGAGGAAAGGCGACTGGCAGGCGGGTATGAACGCGAAAGTCGAGGAAGTTTGAAACTGCGATCGAAGATGTTCTGGTTGTCATTTAGTATTGTCGTATGTCTGTGAACGTTGAAGCTCATAAGCTCCCTTTCCCAACCCCCAAAGCCTGCTGTCTCCTGCTCAGCTCTTCACAGACGTCTTCAATTTGTGCGCGGTGACGGTGATCGCAAATGAGAACTTTTTCTCGCAAGAGCTTCCAACAGGCTGCAAACAGTGTGTCCTGGAGCCTTGTCTGATCAGCGCTGTGTGTACCTGTGCAGTTCGACAGCTCAGAATGACCCGCCATTCTGTCGTCGAACCACGCCAAAGCTTGTTCTTTAACCACCGCATACTCCTGAGCGATACCTGTCGTCAACGAGGCATCTTCGTCTGCACCCTTGTTGCTTTGAAGACCTCCGTTCGACGCCGAGTTCTCAGGTGGCCTGATGACTCTGAAGAACGTCATGTCGCTATAGTCCTTCAACAACCTGGCTCGAAGGTCCTCGAGCGCTTCGTTGCCGCCATACAGCCATGCCAGGTATTGGGCAAGGACTGTCCCAAATGCCCATACGTCGCTCGACGCTCCAACGAGCCCATCGCCTATTCGAGCCTCTGGGGCAGCATTGGGAAAGTATGGGTCGCCGCGTGTCTGTACCAATACCCGTCTTGGTAGAGTTGCTCGAGGGCGCCTGGGATGTTGATGCTGTATCATACTGTACAGAGGAGAGGCCAAAGTCCGTTATCTTGAAGACCGGTCTGCGCTGTCCTGTCTCGGGGTCGTCTTCGTATGTGACGAGTATGTTCTCGAGCTGACAATCTTGTTCCAGTGTTGCCGCACAAAACATGTACTGCATCGTTCGAAACAGAACGATATCAGTCGAGCTCTCGTGGAAAAGCGTCTCCAGATGAACATTGTCGAAAGGCAGAGACTTTTCAGTGAATATTTCGAAGTGCTCTTGAACGTTCCGACAAGCACTCGTAAACCGACTCCAGGTGGCCAGCCACATCTTTGAAGAAGGGGTTGTCTTTGAGTATATTAGAGATGCGAGGACTTGCCAGAAGTGCGGTCGTTTCATCAAGCCGGCAAAGAAAGAGTTGGCTTCAGTAGCTTTTTGGAGGTCGGAATCGTGCGAGATGGAGCCTTCTGAGACTGACGATCGAGCAGTCTGCATGTACAAGATTTTGAGCAGGTCTTCGTGGTGACGTACTAGGCTCTCGAGTGCACCGCGAGGGCAGAAGCCGACGTCGAAATCGAACCGATGTGTCGGTGTCTGCCGGATGGGCTCCGGGCAGACCATTGTCGACCGCTTTAGAGCGTCTTTGAGCTGATCTGCGGTCATGTCAAATTCTGTGGTACGCAGAGCAGTGGATGTGATCTCTGATAAAGCCTTCAGAGGTTCGACAACTTTGGCTTGCATGGCTGCACGCCAACTGAGGTCATTAGCGTCAGAGGTTTGGGTCTCGAGACACCATCTGAGTGCGCTCCCCAGTCCATATCCGTAGTCACTTTCTATCTCACTCAGCACCTCGTTTATGGCGTGACGAGATTCTCTATCGGAGGGTATTGCCGGCCAGGCGAGGTGCTTGAACAGCCTGGAAAGGAGCGTGCCTGATCTGTGTGGCTCCCAGGAGCTGCGAACTGGAAACAGTCTCGAGAGTATGTCCCCGAGACTTTGTGCTGGCTGGTCTGCGGTATCTGCACTGACATCGGACCAATCATTATCGAAGTACTTTGCGAGGTAAGGCTGGGGATGAAGGCTGTGCGCCAACACGGACTCAAGTGTTGCCATGCGTGGTCCTGGAGTCCCGCTCGCACCAGCGACTTTACCAGGACTTGCTACCTTCACCGAATACGAATCGTTGCTGTCCTGCAGAATACCTTCCAGTTTTCGTTCATCTGTCAAATGGACACAAATGTTCTTGATCGGAGACCGCTCTTCGATCTCCATGTTGCCTTGCCCTGCGGCTTCCGGCGCGTGGAGCCAGCTGGAGGCCGTATTGAGTTGGCTCTGGCCTGACGAGCTCGTGGCATCCACAAATTGAGATACGCGTCTCGTCCGTGTAAGGCAGTCCTGTGTGATGGTATCATCATAGACGGTGACTGTGTTGGAATATAATCAAGAGCTCGAACGTATCTGGTGCGCTGCCCAACAGTGGTACGTGGGTCAAGTGATCTTTTTGTTTATTGCACGCTACCCGCTCCTGTAGCATCCTGTAGACGTTGTTTGCATGGCCAGAAAAAGTCACAAGACCCTTGGGAAGACGGAGGATAGTGTTGTTCTCCTGAGCCAGATCAGTATGCCGATGGTCACAAATGTCATCTTTCAATCGGACCAGCTTTTTCAAGCGGCTGCGTAATGATATCAGCAGCGGATCGACTTCTTTCAAGAAGCGGGAAATCTTCAGAGAACGTAGATAGGCGTTCTTTGGTTCATGTCAGTAACGAAGCTGGTTTCCCGTGATGGCGAGGGTCAGGGGCTGACCTGGTATGTCTTGTCTGATCGTACGGCAACCAAGGCTCCGCTCACCGAGTCCAAATCTGTCGAGAGGTTGGAAAGGATCTCAATGTATGAGCGGTCGTATTCAATGTTGATGGACCCCAATTTCAACCGGAATATCTCCTCCTCTGCAGCCAACCCAAATAGCTTTCGTTTTGTGTATTCTTGCGCGGTGTCCACTATCTCCAGAAACATGCGCTTCACTGTGTTCTCGTATTCGATCTTGGTTGGCACAAAATCTGCATCCAGGCTGGTACGGAGTTGTATGATTTCTCGAGGCAATGAACGAGACGGTGAAGTGGAGTTAAGCCAGTCCCTGGGCCAGGCGTCCTCACATTCGCCGAAACTCCTGCATACCTGAGCGGCCAGGGAAGACGACATCTCGTTTTGGATGCTTTCCAAGTGTTTGCCATCATGAACTTCGTGAAGGTGAAGTCGGAAAGCGAAGCGCGAAGAGTATGGCGGCGACCCCTATGTCTCGGAGAGCTCCAGCCGTGCCTTCTTTTAGCTGATGAGTCGCAGCACACTTCTTGGTTGCACAACAGACGGTAAAGCGCATTAGCGACCTTGCACTCTCGCTTGGCGTCCAGTCAATAGCTCCATCTCGCCTGTGGAGGGGTCTTACTCACGGTACAAAGAAATGCTGCTCTCCTCTGCTGGTTGTTCGCACAGCTCTAGAAGGGCTGAGATGGTCAATCTGCATGGCGACGATATCGAGAGGCAGTGGTCTACAGATCGCGGTGAGAACGGTGTCATATCGGCTTCGCACTATACACGAACGGCTGAACGGATATTCGGGGCACGATAATGCGTTGGACGAAGTCGACGAGTTGCTGACTCGCTTTACGGTCTGGAGTCACGAGATGGGTCCAGGTCCTGGCCAAGACGGACCTGTATGCTTGACTTCTTTTCTGGAGACTGATTCCCGGCTTGAGGTGTCGCTCTTTGATCTCTTGAAGGACATCCAGGACTATGCCGCTCAAGGTACGCATTTACTTCTGTTCTCGGGAAAGTCACGGAGACGCTGACTTTCATAGTGATTAGGGAGAGCGAGACGGCAAGCTGGGAAGCTCAACCAACACGGAATCCAAAAGAAAAGGAGGAAACATCACAAGGAATACCTCGGAAAGCCATGCTCTTCACCACTGGCCTGCTGGAAGCTCTAGCGCAGTCAATCAGTGCGCTCTTTCGGCTGTCGAGTATCGCAAGAGATAGTGGTGGAATGCAGAATGTCGAGCTCGAATATCAACCAATACAAGCGGTGCTTGTTAAGAGGAGGATGGTCATGGCACGGGCATATCTTTCCTCTGATCCACCAAAGCCGGCGAAGCAGTCTCTCGATGCCGCGGTGGAAGAGGCTGTGGCGGAGATAAATCACGCGGCTGAGCGTCTTGAGGCACAATCTTCAGCTGAGGATAACAGCTCTCTTTCAAAAGATGAGCAAAATAGAGATAGAAGAAGTCTCCCGGTGCAAGACGTCGTAAGAGTGCTTTCGAAGAATCAAAGAGACACATTGGACACTAACAGCTTTTGTCTTGTTAGGAACCTTTCGACACAGGAGACATAGTCTTTCTCTTGGACCCTGATGGCGAGGAGATACCATATAAAGTGATGGAGTGTAGGTTCCAGAACGGCAAGATCCATTACAGACTCGAGACCGAAGACGGCGAGATCTGGGAGGATGAACAGGGTCACTCTTGGGTTGAACACGCTCATATTTCTGATGGTACCGCATCTCTGCCGACCCGATCGAAGCCTGCGACAAGTACCACTGAAGGCAGAACCGAATCAACAAAACTAGATCCAGTTGTACCAGAGCCAGCCTACTACAGTGAGTGACTAACATACTCGCAGAAGTCGACTTAAGTTGCTTCAACTGACTTCAATAGTCGATTCACCTCCACTGTTGCCCAAAACTATAACACCGCCGGTCAGTCCCAGCTTGTGGATCGATGCTGACTCTCTCCGCCAGCAGCAGTCTGGGCACAACTCTTTGGAAAGCGTGCTCTGCAGTCACCCACATCCATCGGCGTCGAATCGAGACCCAGTCGTACATAGGTCTCGCGGAGATGATACACCAGGCTCCCCCAAAGAACCGCCGTCAGCGAAGCCAGATGACTATCCAAAAGCAAAGGCACAGGAGCCGCAACGACCACCACTCCAAGGCGTCCTCCAACGGCAAGCGATGAATCTCGGGAACCGAATGAGACGCTTTCTACCATCAGGAATTAGCAGAGTACGTTGATAGACGTCTTGCTTGATCTACGGACTGACCCCTGAGACAGGGCCCTGCATCCATCAATGCAGCTCGATTCCAGAAGCTGAGCAGCGTGTATCTAAGGCTGCAAGATGAAGAAGGGACAGAGTCGGGATGGAGCGAACGTCTGCTGGTGAGACAAATACGAGGCAGGCGTGGCATGCGGATGTACCAGTTGAAGGACATGATGGACAAGCCATACGAGGGTGGCAGGTTTTTCGAGGAGTCAAGGCTGCGTCGGGCGCCTGCAAATAGTGAATCACGATGAATTGCCGTATCAGTTGCTATCCTCCTCCTTCCGGTCAAATTGGAACATCCATCCCCATTACTTTTAAGCTATCTAAGCAGCTTGGAGTGCAATTAGCAGCGCAGTCGCCTATAAAGAGTTGGAGAGATGGCACTTCCATTAACGGATTGGACGTTCCACTTTGACCGGGACACCGATGGGTAGGCCATTCCACAGCCGAGCGATTCTACGCTGACACAGTGGTCTGGACATGTCCGATTCCGGAGGGCGTTCACGTCGAGCCGGGTTCGTGGGTCGACAGGCGTCTGCATCTGAGGGGACTTAGAAGGTAGCAGGTTGAAATGGCTACGATTCACCTTTGAAGACACTGGCTTTACCTGTGTTCTGCCTCTTTCATCGTATGCATCAGTCTTTCAAGTATTAATGGCTTATCCACGTCCAACACCAGGCGTATCCTCAATCTTGAACACATACTTCACCGCACTCGCCTTTCCTTCCTTCAAGTTTCTTAACCCGGCCTCGACACCTTCCAGTCCACCAGGCACAACCTCCTGCGGCTGCGGCTTGAACCACCCCTCCTCCAGTCCTTTCGCAATGTATCTGAAGTGCACGAATGCGAAGTCCTTCAAATCGTCTGGCACACCATGGGAAGCCCCAACGGTCGTTAGGCTCTGCTGAACAGTCTCCGGGATTTCTTCATATTTCTTCCCCGGCAGGACCAAGGTGATCTTGCCCGTGTTGGCATCCAACACTTTGCAGATGTTCTGATAACTGCCCTTCTCGCTCACAGCGTCGAAGGCGTATTCAATCTTTCCATGCTTGCTCTTCGCCTCTTGAAATCCTTCCACGACGGCTTCATCGCCTTTGCGGTAGTCGATGATGATGTCGCCTTTTTCTGGAGAGATGAGCGATTCGACGTGGGGGATGCCTTTACCGGCGACGCAGATGAGAGGGTGGATGTTGGCTTTTTGAGCGAGTTGGATCGTATAAGCGCCTACTGCTGAGGCGGCGCCGTAGACGATGAGAGGGGTTGGTTTCGTCACTGGGAGCCAAGGTTCGGGGAGTCGAAGACGAGCGAAGAGGCCGACAGCTGCTGTCAGAGCTGCGAGGGGAATCGCGGCTCCCTCTGTGAGACTTGTCAGCTATGGTTAAGGAAGGGCAGGTAATTGGGAATACCTTGGAAGCTAGTCTTCGAAGGAAGATGGGCAGTTGTATGAGTCCAAGAAAGAGCGTATTCGGCATAGGATCCTCCAGGCTTCATCATCTCGTGGAAAGCAATGACTCTGTCGCCTGGCTTAAACTCTGAGACATGCTCGCCAACTTCGTGGACGTAGCCTGAGATATCATCGCCCTGATTGACTGGAGGCTTGTCGGCCATGGTCTGAGGTCGTTTCCTGCGGGATGTTAGACAATGTCATACTCATTGTCCTTGCGGAACTAACCAGTCCTTAGGATTGCTCCCACTGTAGACGACTTTGGTCACAACCTGGTAGGGACCAGGCTTCGGGATGGGAGCATCTTGTATCGTGACCTTCGGGCCTTTCGCAACCACTGCTTCCTTCATCGTGCCGTTCGAAGCGTTCCTCGTCTGTCCTGCGATTTGGGAGAGTCGCCGTGAAGCAGACATTGTCAGCGTCCGCAACATGGTACAAGAAAAGAGATATTAATGAGGGGAGAGCTCCGGAGTCATCGTCCTCTACCTCGTAGCGATGACAAAACACCTACGACACCCATGGCACAATTCCCGATTCGATGTAGGAATTGCCCAAGAGAGCTCATGGAGATGCTTCCTCCGTCAGAACGTAGACCGAGGTTCTCCTCGCCAGAAGCGTCATCGCTGGATTACTCGTTGCTGGCTTTCGTCCCATGTATCTAGCAGTACAGGTACGAACATAGATCTAGAGATCTTTGGAAGGCTGGAATGAAGAACATGAACGAACTGTTGCCAGAGCCATGGATAGGGGAGAACGAGAAGCCCGCGAAGATGGAACGGAAGCACGTGAGATGTGGAGCCGCAGCCAGAAGAGTCGGCAGAGAGAAGGACGTCCAGACCTACAATTGTTCAACGGAGAGCAGGGACTTCGCTGGACGAATTGTTAAGGAGATCGTTCCGGAGTTGCTGGTATAGATAAAAGCCTTGTAAATGGAATATTGATCAAGAAAAGAACGAGAAGAGAGGAGAGGAGAGGAGCCAGGTCCGTGGAGGAAGCAGAAGCTTTGGGCGTTGTTTCCCCAGCGACTGCTTCGTTTACGACTTGGCGGTTTCACGTCCGCCCGCCCAAGCCAAAGCAAAGCCGAGCCGCGACTTGACTTGACATTGAATCTTCCTCTGCCGCCAGACGTCACTCTGCCACCTCGACACCACCACACCTGAGGCACCGCCGTCACTCGTCGGCAACACACCACGCTCATTAACGACTCGGCGATTCAATCAAATCGAGCAATCAAAACCAGCTGGCCGCCCACTGACACACCTCCGTCAACATGGCCGCCGCGGCCGGAGCTGTTGACCGCAACAGCAGCATCCAGGTCGCCGTTCGCGTGCGGCCCTTCACCATCCAAGAGGCTGCGCAACTCACCAAGACCGACGATGGCCCTCTCTTCCTCGGCGACGGCTCGCTCGCTGCCGCACCAAAGCCAAAGCTCGGCCAGAAGGGCCTGCGGAGCGTGATCAAGGTCATTGACGACAAGTGCTTGTACGTATACATACGCCAATTCCGCGTATTGACAATGCTGACATTTGACTACAGAGTATTCGACCCACCAGAAGACAACCCCGTCCAGCGGTTCAGTCGCTCCGTCGTGCCCACCGGCAAGCGCGTCAAGGACCAAACATTCGGCTTCGATCGCGTTTTCGACGACAACACCACCCAGAATGACGTTTACGAGGGCACCACCAAAGGCTTGCTCGATTCTGTCTTGGACGGATTCAACTGCACTGTCTTCGCATACGGTGCTACTGGCTGCGGAAAGACGCACACGATTACTGGAACAGCCCAGCAGCCGGGCATCATCTTCATGACCATGCAAGAGCTATTTGAGAAGGTCGAGGATCTTCGCGAGACCAAGGACTGCGAAATCACACTGTCCTACCTCGAGATCTACAACGAGAAGATTCGCGATCTGCTTGTGACAGACGACACTGGCAAGCAGAATCTCATGCTGCGCGAGGACAACAATCAAGTGGTGTCGGTCGCTGGCCTGTCATCCCACAAGCCCAAGAGTGTCGCAGAGGTCATGGACATTGTCATTCGAGGAAACGCGGCTCGCACCCAATCACCAACCGAAGCAAACGCAACGTCTTCGCGGTCACATGCAGTCTTGCAGGTCAACGTCTCTCTGAAAGACCGCAATGCCTCTGTCAACGAGCCCGTCACATTTGCGACCCTCTCCATCATCGACCTTGCAGGCTCTGAGCGTGCTTCAGCGACGAAGAACAGAGGCGTACGCCTGCAAGAGGGTGCCAACATCAACAAGTCTCTTCTCGCCCTCGGCTCTTGCATCAACGCTCTCTGCGAGCTGCGCAAGCACATCCCATTCCGCAACTCGACTCTGACTCGACTCCTCAAATTCAGCTTGGGTGGCAATTGTCGCACAGTCATGATCGTCTGTGTGTCGCCTAGCAGTGCGCACTTCGACGAGACTCAAAACACCTTACGCTATGCAAATCGAGCCAAGAACATCCGCACGAAAAGTGTCCGCAATGTCTACAACGTGGACCGCCACGTCAAGGACTACCTCAAGAAGATCGACGAGCAGATGGGCCTCATCCGGGAGCTCACAGAGCAACAGAAGGACTACGAGAACATTGCATTTACCAAATTCCGCAAGGCCGAGACCAAGAAGTCAGAGATTGCCCATGACGGAGTGCAGCGTATCCGTGCAGCCTATGAGCATTCTTCCCAGGAGCGCAGCGAGCGCATCACCAACACTAAGAGACTTCGCCAAATTGAGCGCCGCATTGGTGCAATCTCTGGCTGGGTGGGCTCATTTGATCAAGTCTGTGAGACCCGTGAGGAGGAAGAGCCACCAGTTGCTTTGGTAGCCATGAGAAAGACCGCACAAGGCATTCTCTTGGAGCTTGAGGGAAGCCGCCAGCACTATCATCAACGTCTGGCCAAGAACAACTGGACCCGTGCAATTGACACTGCACTTCAAGATGGGATCCGTCAACTGCAGAATCTGGACGGAGCTATACCCGACAGTGCTGAGGAAACCAACTTGCGCAAGGAGGTTGACCTCCTGAAGAGCCGAGCCGACATCGACATGCATGTTCAAGTCCTGGAGCAGGAGAAGGTCGGCGAGTCTGGGCTGATGCAAGTGATGCTAACTGCTCACTTTGAGACCATTGCCATCCTCAACCAAATCATGCAGATGAGCGAGGAGGAGGCGGTTCAAGCAGCACATGATGTCTTGGGTAAAGTCTTGCAGTCTTGCACTGAAGCTACTGGCCAAATCATCAAACCCGACGGCGGCCTCCAGATCACCGAAGCAGTCCCACCCACTCGATCCGGCACTCCAAAGAAGAAGAAGCAGATCCCACTCATGGGTCCAAGTCCGATGAAGAGCAAAATTCGACAGTCACTCGCATCACAGCCTGGTCCTTCGGCCATCCCATCACATCTGTCTGCAGAGATGCAGCCCTCACCACACGTAGGCTCCAGCCCAGTCCGTGGAGCAACAGCGAGTCCTAGAAGGCGCGTTAAGCTCGGCGGTACTGCTCGCAAGGGAGTCGCATTCGCTGGTGGCACTCCTAAGAAGAAGTCGCCCAGTAAGAAGCGTGTTGTGAGATGGAGAGATGAGGACGACAATGCCGGTTCCCTCGTGGAGTTTCAGCCAACCCCGAAGAAGTTTGACAACACTCCACCCCAGCCGAACGGGCTCGATAGCGACTCGAACGAGCCGCCGAAATCGTCATTCGCATACGATGCTGATGGCGAGATCATGTCTAGCCCACTTCCAGCCGCACCTGTCCCAAGTAGCGAGGCTCGCAAGACCGGAACAGGCCGATTCGCAACCGGCTTCCTCTCCAAGAAGAACGAAGGCTCGCCATCTATGCCCCCACCACCGACTCTCAGCCTTGGGGCGTACTCTAGTGAAGACGATTCTAGCCCGCTTCGATCGATGGAGGGCAATCGCGCCCCGCAACCACGCAGCATGCATGTCAAGAAGTCTTCTCGTCCGCCAGCCCCGAGCTCGGGCTCGGAGAAAGAGCAGGAGGAAGGTTCGACCTACTCATCTGGCAGCGAGGTCGACAAGTCGTTCTCGGACAAGACCACAGCACGCGACATCGGAGCTGCAATGCGAAAGGGCCGGCGTACTTCATCACTTGGTGGCAACAATTCTGCTCGCCAGCGTGAGCGCGACATCGCCTACCGCCGTCGTAGCCCGACTGCGACTTCTCCTCCAGGCGATCAAGGCACCTTCTCGGACTCGCATGCCCGCCGATTCGTCAACTCGCATCGGGATAACAGCTCCCGCAGCAGCATCCTCAGTCCTCGCACCCAGCCGGTGACCAAGGGTTCGCTGCCATTGACAGCTCGTCGCAGCATGTTCGACCTCGGTGGCAGCACGCCGCGTGAGAGTGCTCCGCGACCGGCATCCCGGGCCAGTAGCGTTGTGCCTGGCAGTGCTACTCGCGGTAGTGCCACGAAGCCGCCGTTCAGATGAGGAGGATGATACCCCTGGGTTGTTTCATCGCTTTCTGCGTGTACTATGATGGCATCCAAGTGCTGGATGCCAGATTATTGTGTTGATTCATGGGCATGGCGTTGAATGAAAGGGTCAGCTGGAAATGATGATGGCGTTGGGAATGGGTTTCGTTCAATCAATGTCCATCTGCATGCCTAGCGTACTAGCGAGCGAGACCCCTTTCGTAGTCGAATGACTGTACAACATGTTCAAAGGAAGCCTCCCACTCTCCACGATACTGTCATGGTTGGTCGTTGCTGACCTCACCTATCCACCCACGTCATCTTCCCATCTAACGGATCACAGCACCAGGCATCCTCTGCAATTCGACCTCCGCTCGCTGCGCAATATGCCCATCCTCTCGAGGCATCGATCCAGCCGGATCCCTGCCTCCGAGACGACGACGCTCGAGGACGATCAAACGCCACGAAAGCAAGATCCCTCCGCCGGAGAGCGGGAGGAACAGGGCGGCGAGGACGGCTTTGGCGTTTTCGGAGAGGTTTTCTTGGAGGAGGGCGATGGCGCCGATGGTGGTTATCGCGGCGAAGGTGAGGGCCCAGAGGGTCCAGATATAGAGGGGGTTGCGGTAAAGTAGGGGGTAGGAATTGCGGGATGGGGGACTGGGTCGTTGTTGGAGTGGTGTCGTCGGGTGCGTTGTGGTCATGTGGCTGGTTGGAGAGGGTTGGAGAGGGTTGTACGAGAGGAGGGGAAGTGGGATTGGATTTTGCAAGGAGAGAAGTGCGTGTGCACAATGTTTGCTTACGTTTTTTGATAGCAAATCAACATGATTGACTAAGAAACATCAATACCAGATTCGCGAGACTCTGGGGGTTGGTGGTAATGTCGATGTTGTACAGATTCGTTTTGTTACGTCCTCATGTGCCCTTGTCATTCCATGATCCCTTCCATTCCTCTTCTTTGCCCGTCCAGCCTCCTCCCATTGCCCATCAACTAATTTATTGACCTAGCTGAGACGTCGATCAGTCGCTGCAGAAGGGTTCATGTGCCTCGACATTCCATACCTTGCTTCAATCACTACCGCACCACAGCCCTCGGCATCGCCTGAAGCTCCACCGCAACCCAATCAGCACCACCGTCCCGACCAGGCGCAGGAACTCCAACTCCAACACCAGGCCTCCGACTCCCACCGCCATCACTTTCCCTCCTCTCCCTCCCCCAACAACCCTCCCGACCCTCCTCTTCGTCTTCCTCACACCCCCCAGCATCGATCCACCGAAACAAGACCTTGAAACTGAAAACGAACAGCCCCAGCGCGATGAAGACGATGGCCAACATGCCGGCGTCGGAGACGTGCGGGACCGTCATGCCGATGGCGCCTAGGAGGATTACGAAGAGGATTATGCCGACGTAGGTTGTGCAGAGGCATCTTGTGGAGGGCGTGGGCCTCGGGCGGGGGATATGCTGCGGCATGGGTTGAGGGTTTAGTTGTTGGTTTTGGTGGGAGGGACGGTTGTGGGAGCGACGGTAGTGGGATGGGGATGAGACGGAGGGTTTGTTTGTGCTGTTGAGTGCTGGCGGTTTGCCGCACGGTGGGGGAAAAACTTGAGGCAGCAAACGAGATAGATCTCCTTCGGTCGAGCAATTGCATATACAGTAGAATGACTGGGCGCTTTGGCACTTGCCTTCCACTCCTCCTCATTGCACGTCATATCACCAAGTTGGTGGTCTGCTTGCCTGTCTACCACTCGCCTTCGCCTCATTCCCATATGTCCCAGCAAACCTCTCATTTCTGCCTGTGCTGTTTGCTTGCTGCGGGACCTTGTCTGATACATCGCATCAACCTGCAAAGACTGCCAGTCTTCTCCTTTCTCTCCGTGCCGTTCCGTGAGACTCACCGCATCATAGCCCCCGGCATCACCTGTAGCTCACCCTCCGTCCGTCCAGGATCGTAAGTATCCCGACCAGACGCAGCCGCAGAACGCCCTGCAGCAGCAACATAAGCAGAAGCCCAAGCTCAGAACTGGCGATCAGCACGCCGAGCCCGACGCCTGTCCTCCTCGGCCTGTTCCATGCAAGTCAAACGTAGGTACAGCCCACAGCTGAAGATTGCGAGGGAGCAGGTCGCGATGATGAGTGCGCTGGTCGTGGCTTCTGGGACCGAGGAGCCGAAGATGGTGATGATGAAGAGGATGGTTGTGGCGAGGGTGGTGAGGGGGAGGGTTATGCCTAAGCAGGTGAAGGAGTTCAGGGGGTTGGGGCATTGTCGAGGGGAGGATGGCATGGTTGTTTCTTGGTCTGGGGATGCTGCTGGGCTTGAGGGGCATCGGAAATGGTGTTGGAGAGCACTTTTGCTGGAAGGGTCGAAGGGTCGGGGTTCGGGAAGGTTGGTGGGAAGTCGAAGTTTATGTCCGATTCTGGAAGGAGGTGAGTGAATGGAGCCAATCTGAAACAATTTGCTACCAGTGTCCAAAGCTGTTGTCCTGCTTGCTCTTCGAGCTAGTATGTTCTTCTCTCGCCATACAGTAGTAAGCATGCGATCGTATAGCTGTCGGGGGGATCGGATAGTTGAAGGGTTATGGGGGGTCGGGTAGATCTAAGAGACGTTAGCATGAACATTCAGAGCGCCTGGTCTGCCGTATGCAGAGTGAAGATGATGAGGAAATATTGGACTGTCATCCCCTGCTGCACGGGGACGGCTGTGGTGCCGTGCATGCAGTAAGTGGGTTGGATGCTTGATGAGATCCGGGGATAGGGGTCGATTGAGATGTGATAGCCTCTGCGGCGAGTTGCCTTCTCTCTGGTCTATAGCTGGCCCAAGGCCAGTCCAATCTCTTCACTTCTACCGCGCTCTCTTCTGTCTTTACTGCGTTGTACTATCGCCACGTCAGCTCGCCGCCTGCCTCAACCGACCTCGCGCCTCACGTACCTTCCCGTCACGTCGGACGCACCGCGACGCGAGGCAGTGGCTGCAGCTCAATTTCCTGTCCATCGAACGCGTTGTGGGGCGGTGATGGAGGCGGCGAAGTTGAGGAGGGAGGCGGAGGCAGACCAGAACGCCAACGACGCGTCATGATGGAGAAAATGAGGACCGCAGTTCCCAGCGCGCAGAGGCCGGCCATGATGGAGACGAAACGTCTCCACTCCGAGGAGAGAGAGCGGACCAGGAGGGCGGCACCGCCGAGGGCGAAGGCGAGGGCGACGGATAGGATGAGGAGGATCTCCTGGAAGAAGGATCCGGAGCACATGGTGACTTTCTTTGTTGCTATACGATGGTCAGTGGTGATGATGATGGTGTTGGAAGCGTGGTACATACTGTTTGTTTGGGGATATGTGCGAGAAGAAAGCTCGAGTGTGTGGTTTGTATGAGAAAGGTGAGGCCAGTGTGTGGATGAGGTTGAGATGTATGTGCAGTGCCTGTGTGAATGAATAGAGCTCGGGCCATCAATAGCGCTTTCGCTGTACTTCACATATCTCCGTCCTAAAGCGTTCCTGATACGTGCTCTACCCTCATGCTTCGTATGCTCCCCCACTATCGCCCCCTAGCTGCCACTCGTCCATTCGGCAATATAAACAATTCAATGCTATCCCTCCCTACATCCGTAACCCGAGCTCTGCGCACACCACCGTCTTCCTCAGTCGATCCCCAACCGAACCGACGGCGAACCCATCGATATGGCAGCACCAACAGATAGTATATCATGTATCCCACTGCGACAAATACTAGAGCAACTGCGCCCAAGAAGAAAACGAGAAGAGCTGCGGTTCCCGGGACGCTGAGATCGGTGCCGTCTGAAAATTTCAGTTTATTGCCTTGGAACAGTGCTATGCCGAAGGGGATCGACGATATCCATAAGCCGAGAGCCAACACGACGTATACCCATCTGGGACAAGTTGGGTTGCTGGGCGGTGTTATGTCCGTGTCTGTGTCCATTGGGTAGTGTTTCTTCTAGATGCTCTGTATCGTTTGAAAATAAAACGTGAGATATAGTAGGTAGTGTTATGGCCAAAAGTGGTTGAGAACTAACAGTTCGCAGGGAAGGAAGCTGCCCCAGGAAAAGAGTCAAGAGCAAACAGACGTTGTTGCGCAAATATCCGCAAATTTCGACGCAATCAAGACATCGACAGTGAGGCGAGAGCATCCCAGCGAACTGGGTACGCTAATCAACCAAGCACATTAAGAGAAGAACAAACTAGAGACCGCCGTCACCCTCGCCCCAAGGCCCAACTCTGGGGCCTTTGTACAACCGACCGCCCTTCCAGACCCATCTTATATTGTTCCGATCCTGCAGGACGCGGACGTCTTCAACGGGGTTCTCAGTGACGCCAATGAAGTCGGCTTCATATCCTTCTTTCAATTGACCGGTCAATGGCACCTGACCCTGAACAGTCAAAGGTCCGTGAGCCGTTGCAGCTTTCAGAGCTTCAAGATGAGACATGCCTGCTTTGACGGCCAGTTCAATCTCATGGGCCATGGGATATCCGGGTGCTGTATCTACACCAAGGGCGATAGTTAGACCGCTCTTGACCGCTAGCTCGTACGCATGCCAGTGGCTCTTCAGTGCCAATTGGGCCTTTTCCCAGACGTACTCAGGTAAGCCTTTGCCGTTCGAGTCTCGGAGGGCAGTCAGCGCCGATGCCGTGGCCACGTAGATGTTGCCTTTCTCCTTCATCAAGTCGATGCATTCCTGGTCTGCGAACGAGTTGTGCTCGACGGTCGTTACGCCCGCTCGGACAGCAGCCAAGATGCCTGGCTTGCCGTGAGCGTGAGCGGCCACACTGCGCCCCATATGTGTGGCCTCGGCCACGATCACATCCAACTCCTCGGGGCTGAATTGTGCGTAGAGCGGATTGTCGTCTGCGGACATGATGCCCCCGGACGCCAGGACCTTGATACACTTGGCCCCGCGACGGATCTGAAGTCGCACAGCGCGCCGGCACTCATCAAGCCCGTCAACGAGGCAGCTAATGTTGGAGCCATAGTGACCGGGACGAGTTTCACCCACACCGAGATTTAGAAGCGCGTCGCCGGCTGGCAAAGCAAAGACATCCCCGTGGCCAGCAAGCTGACTGATGCACGCACCCGAGCTATAGATGTTTGGTCCGACGATGGTGCCGTCGGAGATGCTGGACAAGTGATATACCATCAGCGCATATCGCGGATAGAAGACAAGCGCACAGCTTAAGTTCAACAGCATACGTACGCCTGGGCGACCTCGCAACCAAATCCCCCAAGATCACGCAGTGATGTATATCCCCGTTGAAGCGCTTCCCAACAACCGCGCGCAAGGCGAGCGCCATGAGTCGCTGGATGGACGGAGACGAATACCTGGTAGGGAGGCAGCGCATCGTCCTGCGGCCCCGAGCCTATGAAGTGCGAATGACAATCCCACAGACCGGGCATCAAGTATGGGACGTGGAACTGCTGCACCACTCGATCATGGTAGTGAGAGGGCAAATCAGCCTGGCCACCAGTCCAGAGGATGAGTTTCCCTTGGTATACGAGAGCAGCATTCTTTTGAGGCTCGCCATCGCCTGGGATGAGCAGATCGGCTATGACGATTTTGACGGCGAGCTTTCGCTTTGACGCATCGGCATTGTTGTCTACGGCGTTGGCGATGGGTCTGAATGGGATTGAACACATGCATGGTCTGGAAGCCTGGTCCGCCAAGCCATACTCTCGCACCGGAGGACTATCCTGCACAGAAGCTAGTGGTGGTGCTGGCAGGTGTTGCTGCCCTATCTCCAACGCCGATGAGGACTGACTCCCCTCCGTTGCCGGCCCATGTTTCGGTATTGGGTGTTTCGTCATGTTTGAAGCCACTCTGCTGCCAATCCTGACTTCGTCTTTTGACCTCAACAACTTTCGATTAAGCGAAAGATGGATCGAGATTGGTCATCGTCCCCCGGTACATCAAAAGAACCTAGCTCTTACGCGAGCTCCGAAGAAGTACTCAATCTGGTTAGGAGCTCATTGTGTGAAGGATGCAGGATTCGCATCACTCGCGATGATGTTGGACCAATAGACTTGGCTCCTGTACGACGTCAGCTGTTGTGAGGTACACAGGGCGGCTTATTTCGGCTCTGCAACAAGATGTGCTTACTCCGATTCCAATGGCTGGTATCTTGAACGAACATGAGAGGACTCTCCAACAGCAACACCATGTTCTCCGATCCTAACGGAGTTTCCATGCTGTTGACGACACAATCGGGCGCTCTCTCATAGCAGGCTGGCAGTGGGACTACGCACTCCATTGCAAAGGTTATTATATCTAAGGATTCAGCCCATCGGACAATCTGCAAAACACCCTCGATGAACATGCACAACAACAGCACATCAAAGCAGCACCACCGCCAACAAGACCCACCCCCCTCAACAACCGGCCCCTACACCCCCTCCCCAACAACCACCTCCGACCTCCTAATCTCCCACACAACCCTCATCCTCCACAACCTCAATACCCGACACTACACCCCCCAAACCTACACCGCCCTCCTCTCGCCCCACCTACGCATTGACTGCAACAGTCAAATCTCCACCGGCATCCCGCACGCCATCGCCGCCTACAAATGGGTCGCGGACATCAACCCGCGCTTCCACGTCGCCGTCATCGAAGCGACGCCGATCGTGCACGAGGAGAGCGGACGCGCGACGGTGTTGTGTGGGTTGAGTTTGACGAATTGTAGTGATGGGACGGTGAGGGCGGGGAGTTTGTCTACGAGCTGGAGCAGGGAGAAAGGGGTTGGGTGGAGGTGTTGGAATTTTGAGATCTTTTTTGGGATTAGGGAGTTTTTTTGAGAAGGGAAGGGGGCCCTAAGGAAGCGTGAGGGAAGTGTAGAGGGCAATGGTTGAGGTGGGAAGGCTTCTCGTGGAAGCCTAACCGTTAAGCCGAAGACTGGAGCGCCGATATGGCCAGGCTCTCTGGTGCATTTCCTGCTGGCATTCACAAGTCAGAGGTGTGCGTTCTCAAGCCAGCGAAGAGGAAGTTCAGGAGCCTCGAAAATCTGCTCAAGAATAGGGATGTCTCAGCGGAATGCCAGCATGAGGCAAAAGCATCCCCTCTCATCACCGCCCCTTCCACCTCCACGCCAAAACCCCAGCCACGACGAGCAAAACCGGCAGCACCCTCACCACCATCCTCGTCGCCGCCCTCCTATAACTATTCGCAATATACACCTGCACCTTCTCCTTCACGGCCGCCGTCTCATTAACCCTCGGAAACGGCACATCCGACACGGGCTTCCCCAAAAACTCACAAAGCGGCTTCCACCCTTCCTCGATCCGAAACACCAACAGTCGCTCCTCGGGCGTGACTCGCTTCACCATCTCCATGTGCTCGATGTAGACTTTCTTGGCGTTGGCGATGTACATGGCCTTCGAGTCGGGGTTGTTGAACAGGCCGGTGGCGCGTGGGATGGTGACGCCGAAGTAGTGCGTGCTGAAGAGGTCTGTTTGTCGGCAGATCCGCGCCATGTAATGGGAGTCGAGGTAGCTGGCTAGCGGGATCCAGGGGTTGTACACATTATCAATGACGCCTTCGCAATAGCTCTTGAACCAGGCGTCGACGTCCCGCTCGACGAGGATGACTTTCGCTTCAGGGTAGGCGGCGACGAGCTCTTCGGTGAAGCAGGCGGCGGGTTGGTCGGTCGTGGCACTCCAATACCCTAGCAGATTATCCCATTCTTTGCGGCCGAACGGTTTCAGGCCTTTGCGTGTGGCGAGGGCGGGGTCATATTTGAGAATGAAGGCATCGCTCCACATGTCCATGTCCGGAGGGTTGGCGCTCATCTCGACGTGGTGCCAGGTAGGGAGGCCGAGGATTTCGAAGGCCGCTTTCATGGACATTGTGCCGGTTCTGCAGGTTTGGGTCAGTCGACGAGAACCTGCGGCGCGGCATTGTGCATACCTCGAAATATTGCAGCTGAGGACTTCCATCGGCACCGTACGTTTCCTCGTACGAGGATCTTGGTTTGCTGCCACATAGGCGTGCGGGTGTCGTTCTTGCAGTGTCGCCATTTTGCTAGCCGTCTGGTTGCTGGAAAGAGTGTATTGCGCGAGCTGCGCAGCCTTATTTGTATGTAGATGCGCTGACGGCTTAGCATCGCTCTTTCCATAATCATCGAGCTATGCGCCGCTCACTTACGAGGCAGGCGAGAATCTTCCTAATTGTGCTAGTGCCAAGGGTTCCAATGCGAGGTGAGGCTGAACCGCGTAAGATTGTCGGCATGCTTGCTCAATTGGGACTGACCCACATGGATCGTAGGGTTGCTCTCGTATATTTTGACAGATGTAGAGGACTTTGCGGAGCCAATGCGATTCGAGCGACTTCACTGTCGTAAGGAAGGTGTGCCGTAAGCTATTGCTGAACGAGCGCCCGGCAAGAGTTGGTGCAAAGCTGGAAGGATGCGAGATGGGAGATGCGGCATTTGTATTGTCAGCTCTTCAATCAATAAAATACAGTCATCTGCTGACAATGTCGAGGAAGCCTGATTGCAAGGATGAAAAGAAGGATGTCCCTGGCAAGGTTGGACCTACGCCCTGACCTGCTCATCTAACCATCCCACCACAGCTTCGACGAAATCTCCAGGCTTCTTTTGCGATATAATGGCCAGCACCAGGAATAGAAGCAAAGCGGCTCTGCTCGAAGAAATAGTTGGACATCTCCAAAGCCGTCGCTTCATCTGCGAAGCTTTTGCCGCCCCAGAGCGTCAAGCATGGCACTGAACTTTTGCCATTCTCTTGCAACAATTTCCTGTTGTCCACAACATCCTGCTCGAACGTTCTGTAAACGTTGAAGCCTGCCCTCATGGCACCTGCCGCCGCGTACGCATCCGTGTAGACGTCCAAATCATAGGTGCTGATGGCGTTGGGGTTCTGTGCAAGCCGATCGAAGAAGTGTTTGATGTAAATTCGTTCTCTGCCTTGAACGAGGGCCTCTGGCAGGTCGGGAATGTTCTGGAAGGTGAAGTGCCAAACGACCAGGTCGTTCTTCATCTTGTCGTAGCTGGGACTACCTGGAATTGGGCATTCTCCCCAGATGATGCTGGCTGTATCGTTTGGATACTGCATGGCGTAGGCATGGGCGATCATTCCGCCTGAGACAATGTCAGCTGGCTTTGCAGACATATATCGTCCTGTCCATACCAATGTCATGCCCAACAACATGCACTTTGCCCTTCACACCCAGCCTTTCCACCAATGTATGCAAATCTGCCGCCATCTCTTTCTTCGTGTACCCATTCCAAGGCTTGCTGCTTGCGCCTGCTCCTCGATAGTTCGGCACTATGACATTGTAACCTCTCTTCGCTAGTGGCGTGATGACCCTTCGAAACTGGTAGTTGGTTTGTGGAAAGCCATGGATGAGCAAGATCGTTCCCTTCGCCTGGATGTCTTTCGGGGTTGGGCAGTAGATGTAGTCGATGATGATGCCAGGCTCGGCGGACGGTGAGTCGAGGGGAAGGTCGGCGTTTTGCATACGGCCATGATCCCAAAGAGAGTCATCGATGTTGTTCCAGTGGGCGATGCCGCTGCCGAGAGTAGGCATGGTTCGTAGTCAGATCGTTAATGCGTCTGGAACGTTGAGGAGCCCACGAGAGAGGGCGAGATGAATAGTAGGAGCTCTGATATCATACTTACGGCTGTGAACCTACCCTGGTCACTTTCTTGTCTTCTTGGTAGCTGACAAATGTGTGTCAAGTTCTGGCGAGGACTTCAGGTCATGGTCGAATCAGGGCCACATAGCACCTTTGCGAAACTCGGAAGATGTCTCTCTCAGTCGAAAGGCAGCCGACGGAGGCATTGGGTTGTGTATGCCGGACGACTAGAAGGTCCTGTAGAGAAGTGTGTTCGAGCCCGATATGCGGTTATCCCGTTGAGCCAGCGAAGAAGCAGGCAATGTGATCGACCAGCTGGGGGAGCAAAAGGTCGAGGTGGTGAGGCGACGCTTGGACGCACGTTCCGGCACTTTCACAGCTCGGGAAGCCAGCCGTTAGTCTGAAGCCAAAGGCGGCCAATCGTCGAAATTGCTAGACTTAGTATTCGGCATTAAAAGAATCTAAATCGACGGTGCTAGACAATTACAACCTTCTCTTCAATGCTTGGACTAACAGCTTGCATGGATTCGAACCCTTGGGACGACTGGATCACTCCTTCCTAAAGGGCGATTTCTGGATATAATGGGAGGAGGAGGAGGAGTTTCAACGGAGAAGAGGGGGTGAGAGCTACTTTGATTGATTGGCTAGATCTCATAGAACGCTAACGAATGTCAGTCTTGGCGCGACAATGGGAAACAGTTGCCAACTGTATACCGCAGTACTTTGGCTTCATTTTCCAAAATCACCCCCTTTCCAGCCAACTCGTTCCCAGATCACAACCAGCTATCCAAGTCATAAACGCCGCATCCTCACGCCACGACTATGCTCTCCATTCAGTTTTATCGACCATTCGCTGCTTCTCCAGCACTTGCCATCCGACCGGGCCATCATCAACCAACGAGCGCTTCTTCTCCGGCACCTCTCGCCATTGGAACAGACGCGTATACTCGGTATCCTTCCTCTCTACCACTTCAACAACATGCTTGCCCAAAACAGGCAGGAATTTGAAGCCATGGCCACTTCCACCGCTGCACACCATTAGGCCCTCCGTCTCTGGCACGTGGTCAATGAGGAATGACTCGTCGACGCTGTCGCAGTACCAGCACAGACGGACCTGCTCTGGTTCTAAGTCCAGAAGTTCGGTCATGTTCTCTGCACAGAACGATTTCAGAGCATGCATCGCTTCTTCGGGAATCTTATCACTCTCAGTCTCAGGAACCGAGATCAGTCGGCCTGACTTCTCGCTCCTATGGCTATAATTCGTCCACTGCGCTCCCGTAAAACAGAGCTTTACGATCCCTCAGGCGTCCTCGGGAAGCCAAAGATACCAGCCACGTTACGTTTCTCGCGATCGTACGAGCTCATGTTCCAGCACCAGACGGGGAAGTTCTCTGACGCGTATTTCTCCCACAGGTCTTCCTGATCTCTCGGTAAGCGGAAAGAAACGACGCTGCCTGCAGTGGTTTCTATCAGGTCTTCAGTCTCTGGAAGGAAACTTGGCGTCCACCCGCCACAGGCAACGATGACGAGATCTGCTGAATGCGATAAGCCGTCAGAAGTCTTGATACCGATGACCTCTCTCCCAGTTCTGATCAAAGACTCCACGCCATTGCCAGGACCATAATGCGTCTTGACTCCAGCTTCCCGACAAAGACTCAGTGCAAAACAACACGCCTCACTCGCCAGCGCAAACCCCGCCGTTCCATCAAATACCCCTCCATCACCAACCCCCTCTCAGGCCTCCCCAGCGCATCAATCTTCCCCTTAGGAACCCCATCCTCCGCCGCCCTCCTCCTCTCCCCAGCCTCAGAAACCCTGTACTGCAACCCCCTCAGCACCCCCGGAAGATTCTCCTGCGTCCTCACCTCCCCATCACTCAACACCTCCCCAACCCTTAGAAACCCACATCTCTCCCACAACCGCCTCCCACTCTCCGCGTTCCACTTCTCCCACTCCGCAATCGCCTCAAACGCCAAGTCGCGGTAGAGTTTCGAATCGCCGTAGGAGGCGCGGATTATTTTGTTGTCGTCGCAGCTTGCGGCGACGCAGCCTTGGGAGCACTGGTAGGCGGTGGAGGTGTAGTCTTGGACATCGTAGAGGTGGACGCTAGTGTAGCCGCGGCGGGCGAGGTGCAGGGCGGTGGAGAGGCCGAAGACGCCGGCGCCGATGATGAGGATTTTGGGGGTGGGGTCCATTTGGGGTCAGGGACGGCAAGAGTCTTGAGGGGGCTTCGATGAGATGAACTTTCTATCGAATATAAGTGATTGCATGGCCACCGCCGCTTTCTCAAAGACAAAGCAAGCATTGCCATACCGGGCAATCACTCCGGAGATTTCAATCCGACTACGCCGTGCATTCCGGTTCCCAATGAGAAGGGAAACGATCGCATCCTGCGAGCTATGGCTTCTCCAATCCCCTCTTCGTTTATTGTTTACTCCTAGGTCTTACTACACGTATCTCAGCCCTCCCTCAAAAACTCCACCGCCCTCTCCGCCACCGCATACACCAACGTCTGCAAATTCGCCCGCGGAATCAGCGGGAAAACAGATGCATCCACGACCCTCAACCCATCAACCCCGTACACCCTGAACTTCTCATCGACCACGCCGCCTTTCTCCTTCGGCAACATCGCAGCGGTTCCGCAAGGGTGGTATTCACTTTGCAGGTTATCCCGAACCCAGCCCTCCACGTTCGAGGCGTTGAGGGCGTAGTATCCGGGCTGATACTTCCTTCCCCCGTCGACAAGCAGCTTACTCAAAGGTTTCGTCTGCGCGACAGCCTGTAAGTGCAATGCAATCGCCTCTAGAACTTTGATATCGAGAGGATGCGAGAGATAGTTCGGATCAATCCTCGGATACTCTGACGCATCACTCGACTGTATGTGGACGCTCCCGCGGGAGAAGGGGTGTTCGAGGACGCCCTGCATGCTGAAGAAGTTTCCTGGCGTGGAGGCGAGGAAGAGCTTGCTGCTGTCGTTGGAGAGTTGGGGGTTGATGCCGCTCGGGAAGGCGAATTCTTGCACGATGGCTTCGGTGTCGATGGAGGCGCAGAGGAGGTCGTGTTGTGATGAGGGGTGGGGTGGGCGGAGGTGGGTTTGGGTGTGCGTTTTCTTGGTGTCGGGGCAGATGCTTTCGATTGATTTACTGAGGTCCAGGGGATCGTCTGTGGTGTTTTGCTGGATCTGTGCGAGGGAGAGGAGGCCTGACATGGCACTTGTTGTGGCCAGAAGACCGGTGTGGTTTGTGATGTACTTCTCGTACTCCTCGTTGAAAAGCGTCTCGTTGGCGAAGTCATCCAGGGTGAATAGGCCAGGCTCCTTCACTTCGTAGCCTATCGGTACGTAGGCATGATCTTGCAGATTCTCACCAACGTTCTTGTTCGCCACGAGGATTTCGATGCCGTACTTCTTCAGGATGTCGGGGTTGCCAATGCCGGAGAGCTCAAGTAGCTGCGGTGATCCGAATGCGCCTGCGCTGAGAATGACTTCTTTCCGAGCCTTTACCTGGTGCGTCGTGCCGTTGGTGGAATATAATGCGCCAGTCGCCCGAGGCCGTTTCCCGGAATCGACAAATGTGATCCTCTGTACATGAGCTCCCGTGATCACTTTGAAGTTTGGCCGATTTTCAGCACCACGCATATAAGTGGTAGCAGCGTAGCTTCGACTTCTCGTCTTCGGATCCATGTTGATAAGATTTGTATAGCCTCCAAGCGCCAGGCCATCTCGAGGGTCCGACGATGGAGGCAATCCCAGTGCTCTGTACGTCCGCGGCCATGCCTCGTCAAAAGGCAAGTATATGTCTGCGAAAGTGTTCAGTACGGGACCATCTTGCCCATGCAGAGCTGGATCGATGTAGCCAGTGTCCAGATCTTCGACTGTCTTTCGAGAAGGCTGAACGTACGATTCAGATCGACGATAGAATGGCTGTAGTGCATTCCAGGACCAGTTTGGATTGCCTAGCAGGCCCCAGTTGTTGATGTCTTGCTGTGATGCGTGCGTCCACCAGAGGAAGTTGATTGCAGATGAGCCACCAAGTTGCTTTCCTCGAGGATGGGCCAGAACATGATTGTTGGCATTGACCTGGTGCGAGAATGAGCCTCAAACATAGCGGACGTAGTGAAAATGCATACCTGTGGAATTGTGCGATAATTCCAGTCGTACTTTGGGTTGCTGTAGAGCGAAGTCAAGAGATTCGGCGCAAGGACTTCAACGTCGCTCGTTCGATCTTCTCCAGCTGCAGAGTCTCAGTCTCGACGCCTCCTTGGCATTCATAGTGTTCTGCCGAACCTTCGATGACCGTGACCGTCACGTTCGGATCTTCACTCAGACGAGCCGCAATAGTCAGGCCTGCAGTGCCGCCTCCGATGATGCTGTGCTAGTCAGGATTGTGCTCGCTGTCGACGACTTGGTGAATAACTCACACATAGTCTGACCTTTCAGCTCGTGCAACAGTAAGCAGCAGCGCAACCAAAAACGCAGAAATGAATGCATGCATCTTCTTGGCCAAAGATATCGAAGGAATGATGCTGGCCGAAATGCTGTTCTTCACGGGATTCGATAGAAGCCATCTCGCCTCACTCTCTGGGCTACTTTATACAACACCTCAGCTGTGGCTCCCAGGTCCCAGACATCTCTTGTGGCGTTTCCCGTGTAACCTGACTGACGGTTTGATCAGTCATCTCATGCAAATCATTGCCATGCCTACGGCTCAGACTAAGCAGGTCGCTATAGGGCTCTATGTTGACTGAGATGGGCTACGGCTGTGTGCGGACTGGCTGTGATGGTCGTGGCGCTGTCGTGAGTGAATGTGATGGAGTTGGGTTGAAGTCGGTCTGAGGCACCAGAAATGGAGGTAGATTCGCTAGATCCACTCAGCCTGTCATGATTGGCCGGTGGGAGAAAGTAGGGCTTGGAAGCGGAATCCGCAAGACAGTTGCCAATCTCCCAACAGGGTCAACCGTCAGCCCAAGAAGAAGACCTCCATCGAACATCCATACTCGACCACATACATCAACATACATTTTCAAGGCTTCAGTACTGTACACTCTTGTGGAGGCTGGTGGTCATTCAGCCTGTTGCCAACGTCATGAGCCGCCGCACAGCAGGCACCATGCCAATCAGCGTCTCCGTGCCGTTCTGTGCCGCGCTTGACAACAATCAAATACAGTAGAGACTACCAGGTCTCTGGCCGCGAGGCGTTCGACCGCGACGGACAAGCGCGACGGAACGACGCACCTCGTTCAAGTATCGACTACCTACAGCGAGCGATCATTCTCCACCCGGACAACGAGCCATGGTCCGCTGCCCTATCATCAGTGCGTAACCTCGCCATCGGCGTGAGAACAGGCACAGAGCTCGACGAACTCAACTTTGGGTCGCCTTTCCATCTTCTCTTGGATATGATCAAGCTGCCAAACCTCACCTCACTCTATTTCCACGGCCTATCCAAGAGCGCTGCCAGTGACACTTTTGATCTACCTGACGGACCTTACGATATCGCCGAAGACAGTTGTTCATTCGAACACATCTTCCTCGACAACTCGGCACTCGGCAATCCACACGAGTTTCGGAAGGCTGTTGAATCAGCACCCAAGTCTCTCAAGTCGTTGACGATCTCCGCCAGTGAGGCGAATGACATGGACGGATGGCTTTCTTGCGCTTCTGAGACACTCGTGCTCTACCAAACCAGCGATCTTAGAGGCTACAGATGCAATTTGTACCGTCCAGATGAGCTTTGTACACTCCCGAAGAACTTGGAGACCGCTGTCGTGGACCCAGAAGACATATTTCTAGATGAATATGGCTATCGCGGCTACGGGTGCCTTTACAATGCGAACAACTGGGTCGAGCCATTCCAGTTCTTCACGGAGCGCCATGACATCGACTACATTCCTTCAAGCATCGAGACTCTGGTCTTGCAAAGGCCAAGCGGTCGCTTGAGCGAGGCCGAGGCGGACCAGATCGACGATGCCATTGTCGCCATCCTGGCTCGCAGATCTGTCTACTACCGCCACTGTTCGAAATGCAGACCCAGATGCCGCAACTATTTTCCGCACTTGAAGGCCATCTACCTGGGTGCGTTGGAAGATGAACAAGAATACGGGTCGAAGGAGCCCAGGCGAAGAGTCTGGTTCCAGAATGCGATTCGAGCAGGCCGTCAACAAGGTATCGATATTCATACGAGGACGACTCGTAGCCGCCCTTTCCATGAGATTGTATTTCCTACTCCGCCGAATCCTCGCGATTTGAAGTTTGTGCCGGAATCTGTCAAGGAGGATTTGCGAGGCCCGCGTGCGTTCGATGTGTACAGCGGAACGTGGGGTCCGCCGGGGTGTGGGAACTGTGGTCTTTGCAGTACGTGCTTGAGGAGGTATGATGCCGCAGTCTGGAAAGAGTTAGACAAGGCATCGCAGAGGTGAATATCTGGTGTGACACAATCTGTCCAGAACGTCGCCACGCCTGGCAATGACTTGCCGAACGGATGCTGATATGGAGGCCACAGCGGCGTCGGAGATGGGGGAGAGACGTTACAGATCAAGCATATCTCGCTAACCCAGGGTTCTCATTTCCCAGTGCACTTGCGTGCAAACAGAATAGCTCTACACAATCGCAATGTTGAAACGCCAACTGCTCATGGCTATCTTCTAGCAGCACTATTCCCTCCCTCCCACCAACGCCATCCCATTGATACTCTCCTCTCCCGGATGCCCCTACTCCGGCAAAGCCAACGGCCCAATCTCCTCAAACACATCCCCCGGCCCGGGATTCTCCTCATACGTCCTCCCCCCAAAATGATTCATAATCCCCCACACCGCATTCAAACTCGTCTGCACCGCCCCCTCCACCCACGCCGGCGTCCAACTGACATCGTCCCCTGCGATGAAAATCCCCTTCTGCTCCGCCGGGAAGTCCTTCTGCATGAAGTGCGAGTACATGCGACGGTTATAGCGATAGTGACCCGGCAAAGCGCCCTTGAAAGCTCCGAGAAAATACGGATCGGCTTCCCAGGAGACGGTGATGGGCTCGCCGATGATGTGCGAGGCGATGTTGGCGTTGGGGTAGATTTTCTCGAGGGCGTTGAGGGCGAGCTGCACGCGCTTCTCCACGCTGTGCGGGAGCATTTTGAGGGCGTCGCTCATCCACGAGTAGGAGAGGCAGATGACGCCGGGCTTGTCGTCGCCGTTGTCGAAGAGGTACGTGCTGCGCGTGAGGCGGTCCGTGAGCGTCATGCTCATGGTGTCTTGGCCGGTTGTCGGGTCTTTGTCTTTCCAGAAGGGCCGGTCGACCATGACGAAGGTTTTGGAGGATTGCATGTAGCGGGTGCGGTCGAGGGCCATCCAGAGCTTTTGGGAGAAGAGGGACTCTTCGCAGTCGATGTTGGTGGTTAGGAGCCAGGATTGGCAGGTTACGAGGACGGCTTTGTAGGTGCGGGCGGCGCCCCAGTTGTCGACGACGGTGATATTGCCGTCTTCGGCGTGAGCGATCTGCTTGACTCCGGTTCGTGGTGCGCCGCCGTGGAGAGAGCTGAGGCTAGTGCCTGCTTTCCAGTGAGCACATGTCTCTGGCACATGTCTCCAGATTCCTTGCGGGACCTGCTCCACTCCGCCGACGACAAGCCGCTGGTCCTCATCGCAATTCGTCATGACCACTCGAAAGATCTCCAGCATCGAGTTGGGAAAGTCGGAGTCCCACCCGCCAGTACCAAATCCAACCTGTCCAAAGACCTCTCGATGCAGAAAACTCAACTTCGCAAACGACTTGGACGTCGCCACAAAGTCATAAAACGTCCGATCGTCCCACAGCGGCACGAGCGTATCCCAAAGCTTCTTCAGACGCTGCACATCCCGATCCCGAATCGCCTGCTGAATCTCCGAAAAATGCGCTCCATGCTCCAGCGCATCAGCCCAAGCATCAGCCACCTCATGAAACAGCGCCGGCAAATCCGACGTCTTCTCGGCATAATACGTCTTCCCTTCCAGATCAATGACAGTGCTATTCGATGCCGAGCTGAGCGGATTCGGAAAAGCTTTCGTCTCCAGTCCAAGCTTATCGACATAATGGTAGAAAGCCGTCGAGGAGACCGGAAACCTCATCCCTCCCAACTCCGCAACCACCGAATCCGTGCCATTGAACGCCTGCGAGCGGAGCCGACCGCCGAGTTTCGACGCTTCGTAGACGACGGGCTTGAGGCCCAACTTCATCAGTTCGTACGCAGCGACGAGGCCGGACATACCGGCGCCGATGACTGCTACTTCTTGGCCATGTTGTTCGGGCGGAATGTGGCCAAGCCCCACGGGATTTTTCAGCCAGTCGTCGAAGGCGAAGGGGAAGTCCGGTCCGAAGATTGTAATGGGTTTCTTTTGGCTGGCGCCGTTGGTCTCTTCGATTGAGCCCATTTTGGGGTGTTGGTGATGTTGGTGAAATCCCTTCGTGCGGGTGAAACAAGGTGAGGTGAGGTTGAATTCCTTCGGGCCCGGAATGGAAGCAAGGGTGAGCCGATGCTAGCCGCCGATCTCGCTGGGTCCCGACTGTCAGAAGAACTTCCTATACACCGCTTGGGTATACTTCAAAGGGTAATTTCATGACACATTTTAGCTAATAGAAATCAGCAGAACCAGCCTTCTCAAGCCACGACCGAGTCGCAAAGCTAGCCAAGTTATGGATGGAAGGACCGTGGTTTATCTGCTTGTCTGCTTCTACTCGTCTGCCACCTGGTTGAACATGAACTATACACAGCCTTGTCCAAAGGAGACGATTGACTTGCGCGCGGTAACGACATGACTTGGCGATTCTGGCGGCTCGACTGGGCTGGCTGGGACACGCAGCTGCAAATGATTCGCCTCGCTTCCAGCTGCAAGTTCAAGGTGGTACCAACCCCAGCGCCTCTTATGCAGTCCGCAGATTTTGGGGCCAAGATCTCCACTCGCCTCCGCAGACCTTTCAGCTTCTCGTCATAGCCTCACATACAACATTTTCACGACCCACGATACCGTTGTGAGAGCAACCGACATGCGAAGAAAGTTTCGCCAGCTATTCAGTGGGCAAGCAGGATCACAACCGAGAAGGAAGGAAGCTTGCGAACCTCCCACACCAGCACCGTCCTCGACTGAAACTCCTGCCGAGTTCTACTACGAGTCGATCGCACCCGACGAAATCCGTCTTCTGACAATAGCACCATCACCAAGTCAAAGCCAACCACTCCACTGCTACCTCACAAGCCATCGACGGAACGAACATCCTGGCTACGCAGCCATCTCCTACACCTGGGGGGATGCATCCCAGCGTGGAAACATCGAGTGCAATGGCAAGTCCTTGGGAGTGACACAGAACTGTGAAGCGGCTCTGCGAGCGCTAAGAGATCAAGCCAAGCCGCGCACTGTTTGGATAGACGCTGTCTGCATCAACCAGGAAGATTCCGAGGAGCGTCGTTTCCAAGTCGCCAACATGGGTGAGGTCTTTCGCCTTGCGACTGTGACTTTCGTCTATCTCGGCGAGTCAGATCGGAGATGGAGCATATTTGACCAAGTCCCCGATCTGGAATGGCAGGGCTTGCTAAACAGGCCGTGGTTCAGTCGCACCTGGGTGATTCAGGAGTTACTACTGTCTCGGGAGGTCATCGTCGTCATCGGCCTCGACCGTATGGCCTGGAAAGATTTCCTGGCATTTTGTGAAGCTAAAAAGAGTGAATTGCACCTGCCGACGCTCATGACCATGCGCACCGAGTTCTCGCTCGAGTACGCACGACGGCCCCCAAAAGGCTGGGATGATGGAGACATGCCCGGACCTGAAATGGCAGATGACGATGATGACGATGTATTGGCTGCCTTGAGCAGGAATGTGCCCAGGCAGATGCCCTCATCATCATTGTCTCCGACCAAACAAGCAAAAACAACGGCACCAGCTCGCATTCTGGAAAACGTCAAGGGCGCAAACATCTCGAGAGCTGGACACAGCGATCAAGAACGGTCAAGCAAGGAGACCGGGCAAATGAATCTAAATTACTGGCGGCTTCCGGACATTCTAGAGATGACCCACGAGTTCAAATGCCAGGATCCGCGCGATGCTTTGTTCGCCATTCTGCCTCTGTTCTCTCGACCAATTCCAAATCTTCTTCATCCTGACTATCAGAAAACGCCTCAAGAGGTCTTTGCAGATCTCTCGTGGTTCTTGATCGAGCAAGGCAATGTGACGGCCTTTAGGCATAGACACCAACGGACCCCAACCGAGATGTCGACTCCCTCTTGGGTGATGTATTGGCCGGCTTCAATCTTACCGCCACCTTCGGATCTTTATTTTGAGCAATTACCAGCCAAAGCAGGTTTTGGATCCGCTGGACGGGATGTTCGAGCAAAGAGAGTAGGCACTGATGGCAGCCGCATCCAGCTTCGAGGACTGATCGTTGGCGTGGTAAATTGTCTATATCACATCAACGATCTTCTGGTCATGTTGCCCATGAAGCTGCCCATCGGCGACTTATTCGTTGCGCTTACCACTGTTGCTGAACAAACCAACGTCGCAGACGCCAGCGGCTATCTAAACTTGAAGTGGACCTGGCTTATTACTGATGTTCAACACAACTCAAACGAAGCAGTAGAAGAACTATTACAAGGCATCTCCAATCGCGTGATTGACGATATACAGACCAACTACTCTGTTCACGCGCCCGAGATTCAAGCAAGTGTAAAAGTGAACATCCAGACCGATGCAGACGAGACATACAAACTTCGAGTGAAAGTATGGTGTCCTTCTTACGACTTCGCTGCCCGGTCTCTGCACTCCGCCATCACATTGTGCTGCCAGGAGCGATACCGTCGAAGGCACTACTATGACCATCAACTACCCAAGTTCATTCGCACAGAGAATTCGAGTATGTCCTTCAGGTTGACCAACGAGGATCATGATACATTCGAGCACGATGTCTCATCGGCATGCAGCCACGGCACGTTGCGTCACGGGGATATCGTCTGTGTGCTTCTGGGATCTGGATATCCGGTTGCCATGAGGAAGAGCGATGATGAAGGGCATTTTGAGTTGATTGGAGAGTGTCGAGTTGCCAAAACGGATGTCATGGAGGGCAGACTGCTTGAGGAAATCGACCCGGCCACCTGGTGGGCCGAGCCTTGTCCCGGCCCTTTGCAAGACTTCGTCATTGCTTGAAACCGTTGGAGGGAATACACTCTTCCGCTGTGTCTTCTCCCTTCTCCTGTATCTTCGATCTCGCTCACAGGCGTAAATCTGGTCCTTTTTTATATCCTGGCCACCAAGCGTCATTATACAAATAGATCAAGGCCGTGGCATAGCTTTATCAGCAGCCGGACGAGGTTACCATTTCTGGACTTGCTTTTGCATGACTCTTCTGCTGAGGTCAGCACCGCACGAACGACCCAATCACTCCCGGCCTGGTGTTCTGTAGAGCTGCGGAAGAAAATCTGGTGTCTAGAGTGCTCATCCGTCATCCGTCCGTTAAGACGGGCTCCGTCCGTCTGTCCGTTTCAACCACCTATGCTGCCGCCTGCGCAAACTCTGCCCGGCATCCTCACCTTGCCCAATAGCGAGGTAGTACTCTCAGTTTGCAGGAGCCACAGCCATGGCCTCGCACGAGACCGCCTCTCGGGCATGCCAAACCTGTTATCGGCGTAAGATCAAATGCGACAAGGCACTACCGAAATGCTCTGCCTGCATCAAGTAACACTCATTTCTTCTCCTCGACTCCGGTACCTGAAATAATGTACTATCCAGATTTAAACGCCTCTGCGCATATCGAGAACCACAATCTTCCCCTGCTACCTCGAATGGAGATCTTTCCGCAAGCTCGTCGACAAATCCGGAGCTTTCGTTGGAGCAACATGCAGCTTGCGTAGGTACTTTTCTCGACCAGGAAATTTCTCAGTGGAGTGTCGCCGGATTTTCCGACACCAAAGCGCCTTGGAACTCCCTTTTTGCATTCACGCGTAGCCCCTTCGGCCAAGATGCCGCCATCCGCCAGCATCTGTCCCTATACTTCGAACGCATCTCGCCTTGGCTGCCTGTCATCTCGGACGAGAAGCTCTATGTCGGACTGCTGAATCCTTTGATTACCGCCAGTCCGGATACGATCTTCTTGTATGTGTGCATTGTATTGCACACTAAAACTCTGCCTGAAGACCAAGAAGTTCACACGTTTGAGATGTATGTCATGGCTCGGCGATGCTTGTCCGAGGTGGAGATTCGGGGAAGGCTGTCGATGGAGATTCTGCAGGGGTGTATTCTCATAGCATTGTTTGAGTTGGGGCATGCTATATACCCGGCTGCACTTGGTAGTATTGGCTCTTGCAGCAAGTATGCAACGGCCTTGGGGCTGGGCTTCGAGACGAAAGGCCAAGCCTTGACTACGGGATCTTTCGTGGATCTTCGCAGCGAGGAGCGAAAGAGGGTCTGGTGGGCTATATTCATTTTGGATAGGTCAGTTCCAGCAAAACTCTGTGGGAAACTACATGACTGATCTAAGCAGATTCGCCAACCTGGGCAATCCACATCATACTCCGGCTCTTCCTGATCCTCCACTGGAAGCTGTGCTGCCAATTCCTGTGATAGATGGCGCGAAAGCCGATCGTTGGAAACGGAATCCCGAGCAAGTGGTTGCTACGTTGGCTTCTCCGTCAGAAGACCTAGGACGATTCGCCTGTGTCTGCCAAACAGCGTACCTGCTCAGCTGCGTATATCGTCATGTTGCTGATGATACCTCCGACGCTGAATTCCACGAAATCGAGCAACAGCAGCTTGACAGCACACTGCATGCTCAAGTCAAGTATCATGCTCGAAATATCGGCCCATTCAACTCGATCTTATGTTATCAGACTGCGTTCTCATTCAGTGCGTTGAGGATACTCTATCCCACAAACGGCAGGACTTACCAGTACGAGATGGCACATGGCTCGCTCGAAGAACGAGCGCTTGAGATAGCTGAAGAGTCTGCAGAAGTCGCATGGCAGACCGCAAGGTGGTACCTTGACGAGGGCCTCCAAGACTTTACACATGGAGATGTGCCCATCTTTACACTTCCATGGCTGTACTCGACGGGAGTGTGGCTGCTTGATCAGAATCGAAATGAAGATCTGTGGCTCATTCAGCAGACGTTTCAGAAGCTGCAGCAGAAGTGGAGACTAGCTGGTAAGTCAAATATCAAATTAAGTCTTGTGCAGCTCTGATGTGTCTTGTGTGTAGGGGTGTATTCGACTTTGCTGGAAGCCCGGAAGGCTATGGCGAGGAAACGCGGAGTGGAGACGGAAGGCTGTCCGTCAAAACGGGCATCTGACGGACTTTCGGGCTGGAGGCCGTGAATGTGCCAGACTAAAGTAGGCTGTTATGAACATCAGTATCTAGGCCTAGGACTCTTGCTGATCAATCAAGATCGTACTTTCAGTGTCCTTTGCGTCGCTTCTTTGTCTTCTGGGTCTTCTATTGTTAGTACAAAAGTCAGTCGTTGGAACGCTTTTGCAAACACGCTCTGACTTGTAGCCACATCCTACCTTCACCATCATCGTAACCCAAGAGCCTAGCAGATATGGTCACTCGCGTTGGAATCATCGGCCTGAGCGCCTCCGATGGCACCTGGGCAGCAGGAGCCCACGCCAACCCACTCAAGACCCTTCCGCTCTCCGATAAATACGCTCTTAAAGCCGTATCTACTAGCTCTGCCGCCAGCGCTGCGAAGTCTGCTGAACGTTGGGGTATTGCTTCAGACAAAGCCTACTCCAGCGCAGAGGACATCGCCAAGGATCCGGATGTCGATCTTGTCGTGGTGTCGGTGAAGCTGCCTCAGCATCGGGATCTTACTCTTCCGCTGCTGAAGGCTGGGAAGGATGTGTTTGTCGAGTGGCCGCTTGCGACGAATTTGGAGCAGATTGACGAGTTGCTGAAAGCGGCTAAGGAGGGTGGTGGAAAGACGTATGTTGGGTTGCAGGCTAGGACCTCGCCGGCTATCTTGAAGGTATAGTTGGTTGATGTGCTGCTGCGACTCTTGCTGATGTCGATAACAGGCGAAAGAGATCATCGACTCTGGAGCGCTGGGGAAGATTCGTTCCAGTACTATCGTTGGACTTGATTCTTTCCTGCTGCATCTGCCGCCGCAGCATGATTATGAGCACGATGCCTCAACACGTTCGCCTCTCCCTTGTTGTACGCTTTGTGCCAATCCAGCTGACGTTGGTTGACAGGGGCCAATGCATCCACCATCACCTCAGGGCATGTTCTTGACGCGCAAGCCTTCCTCCTCGGCGAGTACGAGCACTTGACCGCCCAGCATGACTGCTTCTTCAAGACCGTCACGACGCCTCATCATGATCATCCAGTCTCTCGCGACGCGCCCGACTCTTTCCTTGTCCAGGGTAAACTCCAGTCTGGCGCGGTAGCCAGCTTCAGCCTCATCCTCACGACACCTGGATCGCCATCCTCTTTCAGTTGGACCATCGCCGGCGACAAAGGCGCTTTGAAGCTAGAAGGTCCCAATATCAACATCCAGATGGTGTCCCCGATGGTGTACTTCGCATCGAACCCGAACTTCTCGATGGAGGACTATTTGGGCGGCAAAACGCTGGAGTGGGAAGAGGTTGCGGTGCCGAAGACCAAGACGGCGAACAACACTGGCGATTTGTATTTGGCGATTGCGGATCGAAAGAATGCGGTGGAGGGTAGCGTCGTAGATTTCGAACGTGCGGCGTTGCGACATCGTATGTTGGAGGCTGGAATGAAGAGCGGGCGAGAGGGAACGATCGAGAAGTATCTCTAATTGAAGCAAAAAAATATCAGCGACGTATGGAATCGATCGAAGATGTATCATCGTTTGTTGCCTGGCAGTCAAACGTGTATGCGCATGCAAAAAGTGATAGACGTGGGAAAAAAAAAGTATTTACGCGGATTGAACACGCGCCTCTTAGGCTCTTAATTTTAGTCTGTGAAATCTGTGAACTGTTAGCAAATGTTCTGTTTATGCCTTGCACCACTTGACCACGCCGGATCAAATAGCCAAGAGCCCGATCACCCACCCAACGCGGCTTATTGGGTGGGTGATGTGAAGGCAGTTCTCAAACACCATATATTATTTAGGAAATAGTCTGCAGTGAAGGTGTTCACGTGTATCTGTAGACCAGTAGCCATTCTGCTCCAGATGTTTCGTGATCTGGCGCACAAGATGTGGCCATTTTGTCAATACTGCTGGAGATTGGCGTCCATTGTTTTTCTTCATATTGATATGAGCCGACCACTTGTAATCGCTACTACAATGCATTTGGCTATCTTCGGTATTACACATACGCCACGGAAGGAGAACAGGCATCTTCTGTACTGAATTCAATACTTGTCACTGTGAGAAGACTTCATGTTCAATCACCACCACGCATCAGGCGCGCAAGAGTAAGCATCGGGGTTATGATGAGGATTGAACGGCAGGACCGCTGCGCTTCCACCTCGAGGTTGTTGTACCTGTTGGGAGGCCACACACTCCGTCTACAAATGCACAACTCATGTCCCATTGCAATTCGGCTGCGCTGTCGACCCCCTCTGGTGTATGTCGACCTGCTTTGCTGCAGATGTCCGAAGCTGCTCAACAGCGCAATCCGTCCTTGCTCTCTTCAGCAGCATCGCCCTTGAGCTGTCTCCTTCTTGCGTGGGAGCACGCGTTCTCAAAACGGATTCTCAACAGCTTCCCACTCCGACTGCTTGCCTATCCTCGTGTTCCACCCGCGCACAACTTCGAAGCCGTCATAGAAAACCTCCGACCTAAAATAACATCGACCAAGCGCCTTCTTCTCCTCCTTCTCGAGGTCACTGCGAGCTTCCTCGATACTCTCCGAGGTGTAGTCGATGATCGCCTTAGTGAAGATGAAGATGAACCTGAGGACGAAAGGATGAAGCTGTCCGCCATCGACGCGCGCGACCGTGATATTGCCAGTGGGAGAGATAGACGGCGGTTGGCCGAAGACCGCGCTTTGAGGTGTGACATCGAGGAAGAGTCGCTCGGCGGGCTGGTTGACTTCGCTGGCGTCGCTGTATTCTACCTCTGGGATGTCGGTGATGGCGCGGTTTGAGGTGATCTTCATGGGCAGCTCGATGAAGTCGGAGATTGGTGAGGCTGTCCACTGGAGCTCGTTGTCGAAGTCCTGGACATAGAGGTCAGCATGGTCGGCGACCATCTAGACGACGACTTCCTGGGCGCTTTCTTACGCTTTGAGTCAGAGGTGTGATGTACGCCTTGCCGTCTGGCGTGAGGGTGCATCCAGCAAGATTGCGGTAGAATGCCACGTTTGTGAGTATGGTGTTTCCTGAATGCTTCGTTCTTCTCTAATGCGCTCTTTGATGACTTACGAAAGAAAAGCGCAGACGAATTTGGACGGCACGCTTCATGCGACGCCGGGCTTGCAAACAGAGGAGTGAATGCAACACCATCGGAGCACCATCATGCTGCTTCGAAGTACTACCTATCCGCGTACCGTGCTCATTTACGCAGCGGTCGAAAGCTCAACCGTACCATCCACCACACTACAACTGCTGCTGGGTCTGCGGCATCATCTCGACCGCTCATCTCTGCTCAGGGAAAGCACACAAGCCAGGTTACGAGGACGCCACGCATCGATTCAATATTGAGACTGAGAAAGTTGCAGCCAGACCTTTTGCCAGGGAGGACGACAAGTCATCCAGATTACTGCACGGTAGAACGGGCAACTCTCTACTACGACAGCATCATTGACTGTGTCGGAAAGAAGAATAGCAACCCAATGCAGAAGGAACGGCTCAATGGCATCGTCCGAGAGTATTTCTTGACGATCCGCACACCATCTAAGGACAAGCAGTCTACTGGGAGAGATAAAAGGAGGGGGATACAAAGCCTTGTGGTAGTGGGTACGCGGAGGATCAAGACAGCACAGCACAAGTGGAACCGCACGTCGTTGGAAAGTACGATATGAAGAGCAGTCAACCAGGGAGGATCAGAGGCCTCACCATGGTTCTCGACGTACGCATCCTGCGCACCAGCATCTCTAGTTCCGCTTCTCTGTATGGACATCCCATGACTCGACTTGCACACTTGGAGACCAATCTTTATGTGTTTCAGCATCTGTACGGTCTTGAGACTCGCGGGCTGGAGCATTCCGGCCCGCTCAAGCCTGGAAAGAAACACTATCTGATGTGGGAGGAGAAGAACTCAGAAGAGAAGAGAAGCCAAGATGGGCCCGACAGGTTTATCATTGGATGAAGAAAGGTTCAACCAGTTGTGACACAGTACTGTGCCTCTCCTCGCTCAGCAGCTGCCTTTTCACCAATTCGTCGAGCTGGGAGCTTGTTCACCCGAAGGATCGTCACGGCCAACGTTGAGGCGAAAAGATGGAGCAAAAAGGCAACCCCACCGCTTGTCACAAGCTGCAGGTCCCAATGAAGCTTGAACGTGCCAGCACGTGGCTTGGAAGCTTCTCAATGGCAAGGGACTTGGGAGACGAACATATATGCACAACAGGCTGCTCTTGTTGGGTTCGCAGAGATAACTTCTCAAAGACTAAGGAACATGAGACTTTTTACATTTACCACAATCGCAAACTTGGCCCAGGCCGTGGCCGTGGTCTCACAAAACAATCAGACTGTGGTGTTGTCAGGCAACCATTCAGCTGCGACGAAGCCTTTTTGGGATGGCTATACATACTGTCAAGGTTGTGCTGCTGCAAAAAAGGTTTGGCCAACGTTGACGATCGTTGCAGGGCGAATCATTCAACCCGGAAAGACGTGGCATCCAATGCAAGATGCCGAGCTCATCAAGTTGCAGGTGATGTAGGTGACGAGACCTCAATTGAGAACTTCCAATTGCTGATGAAACGAAAGGCACAGGCATGGCGCCCGAAGCCCTGCTGCAGGAAAGGTTCCAGGCGACAACACCGAATGGTACCAGTGCGGCAACCCAGACGAGTTCATGTTCATGAACCAGGGTAATATCGTTGAAGGAGAGCGATCACCTTTCATGAAAGAAGAGTCCGTCATCGACGGCGCTTTCAGTTATGTCTTGTGGAAGGGCAACTGTGACGCTGGTATAGATCTTGCCCCATTGAGATCTTGGAAGCCTTGCTGAACAGCGATGCAGGTCAATTAACGGCGCTGGGCTCCCATCGTATGAACTACGTAGGTCAGGTGCTCAGACAAGTATATGTCAATACCCTCGGCTTCCTGCCAGACTGGATGGACTCAAGCTTCCAAATCAGTCATACATATATTTGGTGAGAAGCTCGACGAAGGCTTGTAGATCCTGGAGGCTAACTGAACGCAGGCGAACCCGAGAGTCTGTCGAGAACTTGATGGCGGGACTGTATCCACTGCAATATCGAGCACCTGGCCAGACATTGACAATGCATGTTAAGCCGAGCCTCGTCGAGACCAAGATCGGCAACACAGCAGCCTGCCCTAAGCTCGCAGCTATCATGTCTTCCTACACCAACTCCAGCGAGTACGCTGCGACGCTCGCACCTTTTGCCGAGCTGCAGAAGAAGATCGTAGCCGCCTACAACACCTCGTCGATCAGAGGCTTCAACACCAGTCAGGACCTGTACGACACAGCATCAGCCGCTTACTGTCATGGGCTTGGCCTCAAGGGCAACCTGACCGAACCCGACATTCAGTCTTTGACCATCCCAGGCACGTCCGCTTATCATAACGTATTCCGCTCGAACCCCGAAAATGCCACGGAGGCGAAGACGCTGGCTGTCGGACCATGGCTCCAAGAAATCGTCGCCTCCTTCTCAGACATGAGCACCAAGCTGCAGGTCTATTCTGGTCACGATGCCTCCTTGGACATGTTCCTGTCGGTAGTAGCAGATCCGGATCTTCCATGGCCGCCTTTCAGCTCGAGTGTGGAGATTGAGCTTTGGCAACATCGGCAGAGGGGCAAGTTGGTGAGGATGTACTACGAGGGAATGATTGTGCCTGCTCACCCGCAGCTGAACTGCTCGTTCGACGGATGTCCGCTCGACACGCTGGAGAGCTTCTTGTCGAGGTACATCCCGACGGATTTGGCAAGTGCGTGCAAGGTTTAGTGAGTATGGCATCACTGCCTGAAATATGAACGCACGGAAACGCAATTGTTTCTCCTGTCATCTCAGTCCGACTACGCTACTCTTTGCAGCAATGACATTGGTGAGAGGCGTAGAATCGATGAGAGAAACTTGGCATTTGTGCACTTGGGGACGTCAGTAGGACTTTCTTTCTGAGCTTCTGATCTTCCATGCGTCGGACTGTTTCCCTACTGTGCTTCACATCGATAGCTTATGGGTGCACAGAACCTCGCTATGTACGCCAATGCATGATTGCAGTAGCCCTTCTACTCTTCAGGAAGATACACCACAATCCGATCCAGATCGGCACCCAAAGTACCATTCCCGTTGGACAGCCCCCCGACAGTGATTGTGTTGCTACCTTCTTTCAAATCGAGTAACAGCGGCGTCGAAAGTAGGATGCCTTTGTGCGTGTCCCGCTGCCGTAGTTCCTTGATGTTTGCTGTATCTCCGTTGACCGTAACACTGCTGATGCGCCGTAGAATCCATGTCCCACCAATTCGGTCTGGACTGCCACCAGGCTGGTCGCCAAAGCCCATGTCGTCTGTGTTCTAGTAGTAGAACGATATCCATTGCGGTTTGCCAGATCCCTGCACGTTCTCGAATGTTATTGTGCTGTCGTTGCCCCTAATTCCTGTAACGATGATCCCACCGCTTGCGAAGTTGGCTTCCTGCTTGAAAGCGCCACCTTCGATGACAGCATCCTTGGCGTAATATGTCTCGCCGTCAATAGGTGACCACTCGCCGGTTTTGACATCCAAGTCATATACGTCATGCCAGACAACGTCAAGCGTCATTTTCTCGTCATCGATCACTGCAGGGAGCCAGATGTACCTGCTCTCCCAAACCGACCGCGAGTCCCACTGATCTCCAAGGTACAGGTACGTCGTCCGCTTTGTGCCTTCGATGCGGAGTGAAAAGCCTGACTGGGAGTTGTATGTTCTAGTGTTGAGCGGAGCGACGAAGAATGGCTGAGACCAAGGACCGGAGAGACTGTCGGAGCGGAACGCCACCACATCTGCCAGAGGATTAGCAAGTTCTTTCAAGCTTGGGGCAAAGGTCTTACTGTTGGGTCTGTAGCCTGTCTTGTGGCTCATCAATGCGTAGTAGCTTTGATCGGTCTGGATGATCGTTGGTGCCTCCAGGTCAAACTTGTCGAATCGATGGATGACGCTGTCCAGCGACGTGATGTTGCTGTTGAAGCTCGTGAGGTACACATCTCTTCCTTCTACGCTGTCGCCATTAGAGTAAAGGGCGTACGTCTTTCCGTCTTTGTAGTCGGTGAACATGCCAAAGTCCTGCGACCAGTTGCCGAGAGGCGCCGTGGCAGAGACGAATGAGTATGGGCCGGTGATGTTGGGAGATGTTGCGAAACCCTGAAGTAGCCAGCCGTACGTGCTGTTGTCGGCGTGCCACCACATCTACCACCCTGTCATGTCAGTAGTTGAAGTATAACATGCAACTGAGCAGACTAACATGGTACTGCTCCGCTTCCTTGCTCCAAGCAACCTTTGGCCTTTGAATTATGTGCTCCGGGGCAATGTATGGATGTCCTTCGATCGGAGCTAACGAGACTCAGCAGGGTCTTGATTTCTGAGTGGATGAATCGCACCCAGTGCAAGTCCATGGTACGTCCAAGTCGCAAGGTCTTCGGAGCTGTAGACTGAGATGCCGCCGCCCTCTGGCTCATCTTCCGTCTTGCGCTCTCCAAACCAATAGAACTTTCCATCTTCTTCATCGACTGTAATGCCGCCGGCGTGGGCGTTGACAAAATTGCCGTCGGTGTCCAGCCATTCGCCTGCAGGAACAATGTACTTGGCACTGGCGAGGATGCCCAGAACAAGCGACACAGTTGAGACATGCATGTTTGCCAAGTCTCGATGTAATGATTCACAGAGCAACTCCTGATTCTTTGTAGTTCCTCCTTCTCTTTTATATCCGCTTTGCCAAGCCGTTGCCGGTAGTCTTTGTCCCGAGCTCCTCTTGCCAAGCATTCTTGGATCGTCGAACCAAGCGATCGTGTGTTTGAGTACACTCAAGCGTGTGAATCAGTTCGAAGTCGCGCGGAAGATTTTGGGGTTGTAATTCTGGAGCTGAGTATGCTGTCGAAGAATAGACATGATACCGTCAGGACGGCGGCTGCAGGTGTGAGTGTGGGTCTCTCTATGAGTGCTGTCTGTGGCGCCACCAACAAACATTAGGCATCCAGGAGTTGTAAGGTGGGTAGGTAGTATGGCTTGCGAGGAGTTTGTGTGTGGTAAAAGGCCGTTTGGGCGCGGTCTGCGCCAGGTAGTCAGCAAGTTTTATGTGTGATGAAATGGTATTTGAGTAACTTGCGCTTGATCTCCCAAGCATTACGAGCCTGGACTGAGCAACTGAGGCTTGTTTGGGTAGATTTGCGTGGATGAGAGATTCCGGGAGGAAATGAAGCTGACATTCACTCGCAAATTCCAAGCCGCGCCCGCGCATAGCTGTCAGTCTGCGCGTTGTTTCTCAGCACGCTAGGTGCAGGGGCCACCCCGCTCAACTATAATTATTTTCTTCGCTCCAGACCTTTCTTCTCTCCTCATCTTCTGCGGCCTGTTGCCGCGGACCGCAGGGAATTTTTGGCGCCCAAGCGGGCTGACTTTTTGTTCAGTCTGCTAATCCGTCGTGTCTTCTAGGGCACGACAACCAGTCGTGCCGGTGCGACTATAAGCGAAGTGGCCGACTCTCATTTATCTTGAAGAGACGTCCTGCTCTCGCCACCGAGGTTCGTATCGCAATTTTTGTTACTCACGCCAGGAAGCTGGTATTGCATTACCTCCAGCCGAATGGCCACTACTTTTTCATCACGTTGACTGCTCCGGCCGCCGCCTGAAGAAGAATGTATCCCCATCATAGTTGTTGTGTTCTTTGTTGTGTCTGAGGTGTCGTTATCTTGATGATGTGCGCGTCGCGTCGCCAGGCGGCGGAGGTGGTGTGATGCTGAAGCTGGCAGAGTCAGAACGCGCCCGTGAAGCAGCAAAGGTAAGCAGAGAGTCATCAACAGCGTCTACACGTGTATCACAATCACCAATCAAAACCATCACATAATCAAATCTACCTTCACGTCCTCGTCGCCATCATCACCCTCGCTGTATGTGCCCCTCTGCCGCCGTCATCAAGCCGAACTGACGTTGAGCAGATGGACCTCAAAACACTTCTCTCCAAGCTGAAGCCGAAGAACTGGGCCAAGAAGAAGTACCAGCGGGTTTTCTCGCCAGATAAAGAGACGGAGATGAGAGAGTCGCCGTACGAGGGGCGAAAGAGGAGGACCGCGAGCACGGAGGCCATCAAGGACGGCAAAGCCGGCGTTTGCAGCAACGGCAGGTGAAGGCTCGCAAGTAGCACGTATCGACCACCTCTCCTCTCCCTTTCGGCATACAACAAACCCGTTGGCCTCATTCGGGGCGTGGTACCGTCTGCTGTGATCGAGAAAGTCGATGCCAGCTGGCTCAGCAGCTCGTAGATAGCGGTCCTCACGGCAGCACCAGCAACAAGATCTCGACGGTGTGCGGACTCGCCGTAACAGCCTACACATCCTCCTCAAACTGACTTCGACTGAAATGTAGCGTACGAGTTCTGGCCGACCGTTGTTTCCGCTATCACCTGCGTGGACACGACGCAAGCAGACATCGCGCTTAGCCAACAGCATCGATCACCTTCAGTATCACACGTGTCGGTCGCATGTCTTCTGGTAATATGGCTGATTCAAGTATGGCCGTATGTAGCTAACTCATCGCCACATTCTCCATTTACTACGCCGTGGCCCCGCTCGCAACACGCCAGCCGCCGGAAAACCCCACGTCTTTCCTTCATGACGCCACCAGAACACCGCTGTCTCCTCGCGCAACGACGCAACTCCATCCTCGCAGTGCTACTCTCGGCAATCCCTCCACGCTCAAGCACACTTTTGAGCACCATCCCAAAGCACGACTCTTCCGACGTGGCGCTGCACTAGCGGTAGCGAACAGTGCAGCTGGCGACTTTCAGCAGGCGCTGGGATACAGTGCTTTCGTGGCACACGTACATCTCGTCGGTGTGGAGGCCGGCGCCAGTGACATGGGTGGCGCTGACTGAAAGTCGTGGCAGCGCCAAATAGAGATCTTGCTGTCGAGAGATGATTGTGCGGAGGGACTAGTTCGTTCCCAGAGGTGAGGGATGCCAGGTGAAGAAGTGAAGCCAGAGAACAACAATGGTACCAATTGACTTACAGTCACCATTGTAATATCACTTGCCTCGTTTCAGGCTTACGGTGAAGGTCATAGGCGCATCGTCAGGAACTACATCTCAGGAGAAGAGCGCAATCCTGGTGCTCACCAGTCGCAGTGAAAGTAAAACCAACAGCCTCCATCAACACGAAAAGGTCACATCCACACCTCACCAAAACAAAGTACAATCCCCAACAAAAGACCAAGCTCAAGCATCACAAGTAGGTCTCCAGTGGCACGATCGATAGGTACAGATCGGAGAACTCATGGGTTGCAGTGGACTTTCAGAGTTTCATCACCACTGTGCCTGCGGGCTTCCAGGCGCTGATGCGGGAGTATGAGGCTCTTCGCCTGAAATGGATGCGCGCAGAAGAGGAGAACAAGCTCCTCCGCAACATCATCAAGGAGCATGGCTTGGAGGAGGTGGTTGAGAGGCGGAATAATGTGAAGAAGATGGAGAAGGTGGAGTACAGACAAGTGAGGTTCTGTAAGGTTCAAATACCCATTGAGGCAGGTCGTGGTCTGCAAAGCTTTTCATCCTGGCAAGAGACTTCCAATCAAGCCAGAGATCGAAAATGTCACGATCTCTCACATTGAGCCTCAACGAGGTGCACTTGCCGTTTGGCGCAAAAGATCAACATTACCCTCATGAGCCGTGCCTGGCGTGAAGCAATCTTTGGCCAAGCTGACGTCAAGACCAGATTGAGTTGCTTTGAACCGCAAGCCAAAAAACCCTATTCACCTCAAAATTCCCAAAGACGGCATGGCTTCATAGTCTTGATGTGGAGCTATTACATCGATGCATTGAGTGTTTGGAATTGACTTGTACACCAGTCTACACATATACCTCGAGGATGAAAGCTGAAGAACCCCTCCTCCGCTCCCACTTCACTACCTTCAACACCAACCATGAAGCACCACTTTTTGTTGCTGCCACTGCTCACGCTGGGATGTGATTCATCCATCATTTCCCAGCTTTCTGGTGAAGGACGACTTACCGGCTCATCATTCGGCATTCCAGGACGAAACGCCACCTATGACTACGTTATCGTCGGGGGCGGACTGGCAGGCTCCGTCGTAGCCTCGAGAATCACAGAGCATACAAACGCATCAGTAGCAATCATCGAAGCGGGCAGCTTCTATGAGCTCAGCAACGGAAACTGGAGTCAGATCCCATACTGGTCGGAACAATGGGTGGGAGCAGGAGAAGAGGATTGGCAGCCACTCATCGACTGGGGCTTGATGACAGAGCCGCAAGTCAGCGGCAAACGGATACATTACGCCCAAGGCAAGACGCTGGGTGGCAGCAGTGCAAGGAATCAGATGCTGTGGCACAGAGGAACGAAAGGCGCATACCGGAAGTGGGCCGATCAGGTCGGAGACGACTCATATACGTGGGAAAATATGCTCAAATATTTCCAGCGAAGCGTCAACTTCACACCGGATGTGAGAAACAGGACTGTGAATGGATCGGTCTATGATGCTGCGGCGTACACCATGAGCGGAGGGCCGTTGCATGTGAGCTATCAGAAGTATATCTACCCGCTGTCGCAGTATGCTCCGGCCGCATTTGCTTCGGTGGGCATGAAGAGTCTACCAGGTTTCGCTAGCGGCGACTTGGATGGCTACGGGTGGTGGCAATCGACGATCGATCCCGAGACTGGTCTCCGCAGCAGTGCTGAAGCCACGTTCCTCGAAGCTGCGTTCAAACGCCCAACTTTGACAACCTACATCAACTCGCAAGCTAGGAACATCATCTTCCAGAACGGAAGCGCCACCGGCGTGAATGTGACGAACTACGGCCAACGCCCTTTCACGCTCTCAGCCCGCAAGGAGGTGATCGTCTCCGCTGGAGCCTACCATTCGCCCCAGCTTCTAATGGTGTCTGGCATAGGTCCCAGAAGCACCCTTCAGAGGTTTGACATTCCCGTGATCAAGGATCTCCCAGGCGTCGGTCAAAACATGTGGGACTCGCAAAACCTTGGAGGTCCGACGTATGAAATCTCCGTTCCTGGATTCTCGACCTGGCAACAACCTGGCTACATGGAGGAGGTTATTGACCAGCTACGATCTAATGGAAGCGGTCCTCTCACCAACATCGGTCTCGATGTTGGCGCTTGGAATACCTTGCCAGATCGCTCAAAGTTCAGCGCCGCCGCAAACAAATCACTTGCAGCCTTCCCCGCTGACTGGCCTTTGATCGAGCATTCCATACAAAGCTCCAGCAAAGTGCTGGGGACCACCGATTCCAAGACACAGTATGGAGTTATTGCCTGCCTTGTTATTGCACCGACTAGCAGAGGCAACATGACCATCCAGTCTGCCAGCAACCTCGATCGACCGATCATCGACCCGAACTGGCTTCGAGACCCAACAGACCAAGAGGTCGCAATCCAGGGTTATCGAGCTGCACGAAGAGCTTGGCAAGCCATTCCAGAAGGCATCCGAGTCGGAGACGAAGTATCACCTGGCAAGAATGTGACAAGCGATGCTGATTTGCTGGAGGCCATCAAGAAGAATTTGAGTCCGATCCACCATGCGAGTTCGTCTTGCGCTATGGGCAGGAAAAATGATACGATGGCTGTGGTCGATTCCAAGGCCAAGGTTTTTGGCGTCAGGAAGTTGCGAGTAATCGACTCCTCCAGCTTCCCGTTCACTCCACCCGGGCACACCCAGGGAATTACGTACGGGCATGCAGAGAAACTTGTCGACGACGTACTGGATGATTACTTCGCATCGCAGTAACCCTCGAGGATGACTCAGGCCCGGGTACTTAGTCGCCTGAAATGAAGCCAAGGTCTTGAAGCTCGAGCATGCCGTACAGATCGAGAAATTGCCACCTGCGACAAAATTCGTTGATCTGCTTCGACGTATCTGCAGGTAAGTTGAGCTCCTATCCAATCCAGTGACAGCAGGCCCATAGAGACCATAAGCAGGATACGATATCGTCTATTCAAGATAGTAGAACTTCCTCATCTCACCACTCTGGCAGCAGTAATGCAAGAACCAGACCCAGATCTCGGATTCTCGCACTCGGGCGCCTGTCGGCAGATGCAATATCTGAGGTTACCAAAGCAGCTGGTCAAAGCGCGGTCTCAAGAATAGCAAGAACCGGCGACAGATAAGAGTCAATTGTACTTTCCTTCTGCGGGACGCTCAAAGCGATCGACGAGAAGTGCCGACTAATGCACGAGGTTCTCTCGAGCTGCGTACAAAAGCCGCCTGACGCAACGCTTCTGAGATTACTTCCTGCAGTGTTCCATGAAGAGACACTTTCATCACCGCAAACATCGTCTGCAGCTCAGGAAACCTATCAAAGACATAACGAGTTCCGACACTCATCACTCCGCCACACAGATACGTCGCACAGAAGTTGCGTGTTAACGCACTCAGAGTGGGTCCTTCCCAAGACAAGCAGGATCGGATAAGTATACGATTGGCTGATATGGCTACCTGAAGTGGTAGGACGCCTGTCAACTTCCTCGGGAAAAGTCAATCCGCCGTCGGCTCCTGCAGTTATGCATAATTGTGCGGGGGTACCAAGTGCAGTGCAACTGAGCTAACGAACATCGTCTTGTTGATCTTTTGGAGTACTTTACGAGGAATACGAGGTTGAGATGGGGAATGTAAAGAGAGCGGATGCCCGCGAGCGAGAAAAGTTGCTGTCTTCTGTCGACTCGACTTTGAACATCCTTTCGCTTCCGCTTCTCTACAGATTTTACCATCGACAAACTCTTTCTCGGCGAGGCTGCACAAGATGATCTCAGATCTAAGCTCAGAGGCGTCAGTCTCAGCGACGCAAGTGTTGCTAGCTGCCTGCGGTCTCGCCGTTGCCTACGTTGTGGTAACGGCTTTCATTCTGCCGTTCCTTTCTCATCAAGGCAAATACTGGAGCACGCAGTCATGGGTCGGACTGCAGAAGCAGTGGTTCGCCAGGTATCGAGCCGGGGCCAACGCCGTCAAGAATACGAGGAATATGGTTATCGAGGGCTATGAGAAGGTAAAGTACTACGAGTGTGGCGAGAGATCGCAAAGTCTGACTTTTCATAGCAGTTCTCAAGGAATAACAAGACATTCGTTCTTCCCCAGTTCAGCACCAGGCCGCTTCTGATCTTGCCAGCGAACAAGTTGAACGAGTTTCTGAGCCTTCCAGACGACAGAGTCGATCCTCTGCTGCCCAACCAAGAGTCCATTGCTACTGAATATACCGTCGGATCAGACATCAGCCATGGCCCACACATCGATATTGTCCGTCGACAGCTAACGAGGCGGTTACCGCTCCTGACCACGGACGTCTACGAAGAACTCGTCTTCTCGATGAAAGATAACTGGAACGCCGACCAGCACGACTGGACGACTGTCAAGGCCTACGACACCTGTCAGAAGATTGTCAGTCGAGCAGCGAATCGTGTGTTTGCTGGCACTGAGCTGTGCCGCACGCCTGAATTCCTTGAGCATTCTCGACTTTATGCTGTGGCTGTCTTCAGGACTGGAGGAATCATGAGATTGTTTCCGAAGCCGTTACATCCGATCATTGCACCGATCTTTCAGCGAGAAATTAGAAAGCATCTAAACATCTGCAAGAGGCTTGCGCTGCCGAACATTCGGGAGCGGTTGGCACATATCCAGAATACCCAGAAAGACTCGACGTACAAGGCACCAGTAAGTTCAATGATGTGCAAGATACAGAAGATGAGCTGACGAGGGGCGCAGGCCGATGCACTGCAGTGGATGCTTGAAGATCTCAACGAGCTTGCGAAGAAGGATCCGTCCGAGCTTGACGAGCACAAGATCGTCCGCCGCTTGCTCCTCCTCAACATGGTCGCCATTCATACCACCAGCATGGTAACTACCAACACCCTCCTCGACCTATATAGTTCCCCGGACAAGGAGGAATACGTTTCTGGCCTCCGCGAAGAAGTCGAGCGTGTCCTTCGCGAGAGCGGCGGTGAATGGACCAAAACCGCCATCAACTCGATGTACCGCATCGACAGCGCCATCCGCGAATCAATGCGGTACTCTGACCTCGGCGACGTGGGCATGCGCAGAGAAGTCATCGACCCCAAAGGCATTGACCTGAGCGGCGGCATCCACATCCCCTACGGCGTCCGTATCGCCGCGCCAAACCACACCATTCATCGTGACTCTGCTTTCTACGGCAACAACGCCAACGAGTGGGACGCCTTCCGCTTCTCCAGACCACGCGAGCAGTATATCGAAGAAGTTCAAGCAGCCGGCGGAGATGCAGATCGACTCGACAGAGTCCTCGAGCAGAAGAACCAGGGCCTCATCGCTACCGGAGCTGACTTCCTCTCCTTTGGGCACGGAAGACATAGTTGTCCTGGGCGATTCTTTGCCAGCCAGGAGATGAAGCTGATGTTGGCGCATATCGTCATGAATTATGAGATTGAGGTGGTTGGTGGGGAGAGACCGCCGAACATGCTGATGAATGGGGCTTGTATCCCGAGCCAGACGGCGGAGTTGAGGGTTAAGCTGAGGTCTGGGAAGGCTTAGATTGTGGTAGAAGCGGTACGAACCTTTCACATATCTCCATATACTCCAGATCAGGACTTGGTGACTGCCGCAAAACAGCTACTGCTCCTTTTGTCGCTTGGATAGACCCCCTTCAATCACTGGTCACTCGCAGGCCAGGCATGGAATCTTGGAGATGGAGATAGGATCGCACAGCCTTTGCAGCTTTCTCTGACATGGCGAGCATGATCCTATGCCGCCTGCATACCTCCTCAAAGAGCTAAGTATCCAACAAACCCGCGGCTTTCTTGACACAGACCCCGGCATGCAGCGATGTGCGGCCCTAGTCTCTTTCCGCCTTCACTTCTTTTGTTTTGCTCGCCAGGCTTTTCATTGTTCCCGTGCAGGATTGCACAACCGTCAGATTCGTCCTAATCAATGGCGACTTGCCCTGTATCTGAATCGTCTCAACGCACCATCTCGGACGTTCCAAGAGGCATCCATCAGATCTTCCATCTATCAGCTATGTCTGTTCGCTCGAGTTTGAGTAACGATACGCTTACCTTAGCTTCCCAGCACCGCTCGAGCGTGACTGTTGTAAGCTAGAGACGAACTTGCATTCACCAAACCGCGGCTTCGGCTGGTAAAAGAGAGAGTTTCGGCGCGTTCGGCTTCCTCGCAATACGTGGTACCGTCAAACACCTGCTTGACCACGAAGGTCTTTTGTTCGATGTGCAGTCGCCTCATGCTCCATACAAGCGTCTTTCGAGCCAACTTTATGCTGCTGCCCAGTCCCCATATCAATTTCAAGCGGTCGCTGCAGGAGTGCTTGGCCAAGTCTTCGGTGCCGCTGAAGGGTACAATAACGGTGACTCGCAGGGATCTCAGCTTGATGGCGGGGAGCCAGTTCTTAATATCGAGGTTCTCGCCTTGTAGGTGGTCGATGGGCATGCACTCGGCGCTTGATAGGCGAATCTCAAGGTACACGCGCTGCAGGTGACTTTGGAAAACAGGCGGAATCGCCGGTGGCTGAGGTATTGTGATGGGCTCCCTGATGTCATAGCACGAGGCAGGAACTCTAGACCTGATGGTCAAGGTCATGCTCGTCTTGATCATATCGTTCTGGAAACCCGCGTCGAACCGTGGAAAGGGGATGATCGTTTGATCAAGATCGTGACCTTTCCAGGCTGTTTGGATAGTTGCAGACCGGGGAAGGCCGTGTCTGATGCAGCTGCGTCGTAGCGACGTCTCGTCGCTGACCCACCTGATGTTTCGACCCAGGTGCTCAGTACTATCTGGCGTTCATAATCCGGTGCTGCTACTTGGGTCATCGTTGTTGATGCTCGCCTCGCATGTCAGCTGCACAGCTTTTGTCTTGGGAGCCCATTGTGATTGCCGTCCCCTTCGTCTTACCTTTCCAACAAGCTGGGCGCTACCCATGTGTTCTCACAGAGACTTTGCGTGTCTTCATTGTCACCCGTCAACGTTAACGCGTGTTTGAACGAGCGGCCCAAGACCGATGTTGCCCCTGGATCTGGCTTGGCACCGTCCCAAGGTGGAAGTTGCGAGACTAAGTCCGCGCTCACTGTCACGGAGATCTCCGCTACCTCCATGACCTCACCTCGTCGTCACCGGCCCTTTTCCCACGCGTTGCTTTCAGTCTGGGTGCAGTCCGGAGACCGCGCACCGGCCATGTTATGGTGCACGGGCCACTTGCTGGGCTTAAAAAGGCCGCTTTTCTTCCACCTCTGGCCAACTTCTTTTCTCTTCATCAACGGCAGCTGCTGAACTGTTCGCAGCGCACAGCATGCCGGGGCCGCGCCAACCTGAGGTGGCATGGGTTTAGCTCACGCTCACCGTACCCAGGTCCGCGTGCCTTTATTCAATTTTTTGCACTCGCTGCCTGGCCTCTGAGCTTGCTCATGTCAGGTGGCACCGTGTCGCTGGTATTGCACTACCGCTAGCTGATGCGCCCTTTTTCTTTTCATCAGTCGCTTTGCCTTGTGCATTGAGCTGGAGAAGAGTACACGTCCTCCTCCTTCGTCACAACATCGTCGCAATATCCTCAGTCTTCCACGCGTTGTCGCCATCTCCATTCCATATCACGGCGTTTGTACCATGTCCAGCTCGAGCAAGGCAGCCTCCATGACCCTCGTGATCGTCTCTTTGCATCGTTGCTAGGCATTTCATGACTAGAGTGACATTCTGCGAGTGTTCACATTGTTCTACCTGTCCTCCTTCAAAGACGCACGTTCGCGCCAGAGGGTGAAGCAGGCAGCTATACCGTCGATCGTCCAGCAAACGCCTGCACGTTGGTGGTGCACCATTGCCTGCCAATACTTACCAGTGGCCTCTACTGATCTGCCATGCACGAGTCAATAGTAACGGAAGCGACCAAGGCCGGCTGCCATCTACACAACTTCATCTTTTCGCATGAAGCATCCAGCTCAATCGACCATTCCGCGTACGTCTCGCAGTCCAAGACGCCGACTCTGCAGTCTCCACCGCGACTTTCACAGACCATGGCCGCATCTACAGCTCCGCCTGCTCGCAAGCAGAAACCCCCCTCGCAGCCACTGCGCTCTCCCCTGTCACCTTCAAGAACAAACTACACGATTTCTTCAGATCAGAGCACGCCAGACACTCGCCGCAGACACCCTGCTTCGCGTCGGACAAACAAGAAGACGCGCCACCTCTGCCGGTTGTGCTGCACAAGGCAGGTTGGTCCAACACATCTGCGGCAAGCCCAAGGACGGTGGCAAGTGGACACTACACGGAGTGCAAAGAACGAGGAGCTCGCGGTGGAAAACAGCAAAGTTGGCATCACCACCTCCATGAGAGAGAAAGAAACAAGGCGGTTCAAATCCAGGGCTGCAAACGTTTCCAGCCTGGCAGGCTGATCTACTCGGGGCGCGTGAGAGCTCGCTGGTGTCCAGAGTCTGTCATACTAAGAGAAGTAGGTTTTGATGATCATCTTCATGACCGAAAGAGTTCGGTCAACGAATAGAAGGGAAGCTATACTCCACAGATTTTTGCATCCTCACGAGTGACCTTGCAGTTCTGGAAGAGTGGGTGGCAAGCAAACGTATTGGAATAATAGAGAAGAGACAGCAGTTCGGATATACACTTCACATATTATTTTCCACTCAATTACGAAGTGGGATGGCCGTCTTCCTCCTCTCCAGCCGTCTTTTCAAACCCATCGTCCGCTGCCATTGGTATCCATCCAAATGTACTCGGTGCTCTAAGCTTCTCCCTCCTCGTGCTTCTCCTAACCCGGCTGCACCTCCTGTTGCCTCTTCCATGCCGCCGTTCACAGCAAGTGCCGGAACCTCTTCACCTTCCTGTACTTCTTCTTCATCTTCCATCGCAAGACCATGAAAACTATCGATTTCTTCATCAGCACGACGGACGAGGAGCATTCTCATGGGGTGTGAAACGTGCAACGGGCCGCGACAAGAGATACGTAAGGTCTGGTTGTAGTACCTTGTGATGTTGACCTTACGCACCGTGAATCCGGGAAGAAAGTTGCAGGGAGGGTTTGCTGGTGCTCGTAATGGGTCTGCTCACGAATGGGGACCAGCAGCCATCGGTTTGGCGAGCATGATGGTCCTCCTGACTCCGCAGCAAGACCAAAATCGAATCGGGCAACCTTCTTCTCAGCTTTTGCAGACCTTGATGATTGAGTAAGGCTTCATGCAGCGGTACGCACCCATTCAGGGGAAGCCTCGCCATCCAGCCGCCTGCCTAGGCTGAGCTTCAAACCTGCTTTCCTTTTGATAACTTGTCGAAACTAGCTGAGTTATCTCTGACGCTCATGGACCAATCATATCGGCCTAGGCAAAGCACTGATGTCGCTTACGGAGGAGTCCTACAAGAGCTTCTGCGCCGGCACCGGAGTGCCAACCTTCCAGCGCCTTGCAATGTACCAGATGAAGAGAGCGAGGCGGATGGCCACTTGCGGATGACTGGACGTGAGTCCACTGCCTTGTGGAGGCATCTGTCCGAGAAGGAGGCGAAAGGCAAGCGAGAGAGCAAGCGGCTGCAGGGGGCCGGAGAAGGAGGTGTCCCACACCCAGACGATGAGAACACAGACGAGGTGACCATCCAGTATTCGACTCTCGTCCGTCAACTCCGCTGCCGTTGTGTCTCCTGATCTTCCTCCTCTTGATGAGTGCCTGATTAATGGCGTGGTGTGGCAGTTTTTGATCCACTTCGCCGTGTTTCCGTCTCTTGCAAGGCCTCTCAGTGCCAAATACGTAGGATTCCAATACGGAAGGTCTCGTCCCGTGGAGGCAAGTGTCGTTTGGAGCTGGATTTCTGACTGATTGGAGGAGTAAAAGTTGTGAGGGCCGTGCGGAACCATTGTTCTCGTACGCTGCGTACGCCGTGACTTCGTTTGTGGCATTGTTACTTCCTTTGTCGTGGATGATTCTATTGTTTTCTTATCTGCCTCGCACTCGATGTCGGATCTTTCAGCTAGAGTTCTGTCTGTATTTCGTCGTTCAGGAGTGTCTTCAAATGGACTGCGGATGATCTCTGTCCTCACGAAGTATCCCCAAGGCCGCATCGGCCGTGCGTTGTCCATCCAGCTGAACCTCAATACCTCCATTCGTGATGATTATCTCTTACTCCTCCGCAATGCGAGCCGATCCAGGTGCCAACAGATGTTCGTTGTGACTGTGTTATGTTTCAACGGCATCATAAGAATGGGTCAGGGGCGTCCGTTGGCCGATTGCTGACGAGCAAGGTGGTGACAGCGAACGGGGAGATTGTTTGGTAGTCTTCGGCTACAACCTCGTGGTCTTTCAAGTCCTGCAGTCCACAGGCGACATAAATGCAAGATATCCATGCTGAATGTGTTTCGATGTCCCTGGAACAGAGAGTGGCGGCCGCTGACAGTGTCGCTGCTGGTGGTGTGTTGAAGAATGTAGGCCGTTTGTGGGAGCTGCTGGGGGGACACGGCATCGAAGGCGACGCCGGCGACAAGGCAAAGACCATATACAGACTCAAATGAGCCTATTTATAAGTGAAGAGAACTCCATCGTCCACTAACATCTCACAGGAACCCGCTCGCTCACTCTGCTCTGCTCGTCTGCTCGTCTGCTCGCCAAACGCCTGGAACTGGATTCACTTAGATAGCTCAACCCTTACGTTTCAGTGCACTAACATCTTCTACTAGATCTCTGACCGCTCCAAGTTCAATCCTTGGAAGCTGCTTCACAATTTTTTTTTCTTTTTGCTTTTTGCAATAGATCTCCTCCACATTGCGCATTGATACATTTCCCTCTCCACGTAGGCCATAATAATCATCTTGTAATCATCTTAAATCTTTTTGCTATCGATTTTGAACGTTCACCCCCTTCTGAGATCCATCCGATCGGTTGAGAGAGTTCGAGCAAGACATTTGAAGTCACTATCTTGGACGGCCTTTTGGCGGCTTTCGAACAACGCAAACCGCGATCCGCCAGCAAACGTCTTTGAACAGACACTGCCCTAGGACAACATCACGAGCGACTATGATAGAGCATTCAACACCTGCCTAATTTGAGGTTTCAACATTCGATTGTCACCGGCAAAGCGCTTGCTGGCAAGGAGGCTTCGAAATCAGCAATATGTGCAGAGTCAGTGTCGAACCCGCCTTCACGAAACCTTTGCGACCGGCACAACAGTCACCCTCGGAGCTGCCTTCGCGACGTCGCAGCAAATCGTTTACTGCCAGCAACGAGATGGTATCGACCTATACGCATCACCTCAAGAGTTGTGATGCCCACAGACGAACGAGAAGCATGCACCTGGCGACGCGCAGCAGTGATCTTTGGACGCAGAAGAGGAAACATAACGGAGCAACTTGGAAAGAAACGGTGGACGTATCAACGGTTCATCGAATCATCACTTGGCGCCGGTGTCTCGCTGGCATCTCAGAGTCGCCCACCTCGGCCAACCTCAATTCCGGGACTCTACGCTCTTACCCTCTTCGTCGATCATAACACACTATTGAACATAGCAAAGAGAACGACGCAGGGCGAACGCAACGCGACTACAGCCCCTTTTGACGCGCGCGGTCGGAGAGATGAAGAAATAGCTTGGACAAACACCAGAGGGTAGCAGAGGCGTACGGCATTCTGCGCATGGTTTGCCCAGACATGACAAATGCGAGCTGGAGGAGAAGTTGGAAGACAACACATCCAAGCAGAAGAAGGCTCTGAAATGGAGCGTGGATCATGCCCTGTTCTCGTTTGATAGACGTTCGTTTGAGATGGTGCATCGAAGTGTTCTTACTTGGACTGGGGTTCATTGCCACTTGGTCCTGTCAAGACTGCTCAGCTTTGAACGACTCTTCAGGTTCCCTGAGACGCCTTGGAAAGAACCAGAGGTAAGAGATTGATGAGTCGTGGAGGAGAAGCTTGCACGGCTGCTTTTCCAACGCCCGAAGCACCTTCTGGCCATGGCGACTGTAACTCGCGAATAGAACTTGGAATGAGAGATAGTCGGTTCACCCACCATCCCATCAACAGCAAAGGACCAGACACTTCTACACAAGGGAACGCACGCCGGCTTGAGGACTCAACAGATCTCATGGTGCCTGTGCTTCTACTCAAACGAACAATTACAGGATGAGAATACCGCAGTAGTCTATCAACTTGAGGTTCTTCATCGACTTCCAGCCCCAGGCGGATTGCCAGGCAGAGCACACCCGCAGACGAGCGAAAGCTTTCGCCAAACGTTCACGAGAGAATGGCTACAGTCGGAAAATTTGCTCCCTCCACGATGGGGTCGTTCATGTGCTCCAATGACAGTTCGGCAGTTGCGCGATCATCGCTCCCAAGAGTATGGACAGACGGAAACGACTTGAGCAGCTGTCAGGGGCAGCATGAACGAATGCCAATCCTCCAAACACATTGAGAAGATCGACGCTGACGCAAGTTAGATCACCAGATCGTTCTCAGTCTCCGTTATTGCTGCTTTCCAGCCCCATCGACACGTACCCTCCTCCTCCACATGCCACAGGCTGGCCAGCACTACCACACACACTGCTGACTTCTGCCAGCTCACTCGTGTCGCCAACGGCAACAGCGCTGCTCCTCGTAGCTTCGAAACAGCAAACAACCGCCGTACTCTGAAGCGCAAAGGCGACGATCTCATCAACAAGCTGGAGACGACGTCGGAGGGTGGCAAGATAGGAACAAGGGCAAGGGCGGACGGATGGCAATGGAACTTGAAGAATGACATGGGTAATGCGGTCTGGTCTGTTGCGGTGCCTTTGAGCAGGCTCACAAGATTGTGAGAAAAAAAGCTGTGGCAGACGATCAAGGACAAGTTCGAATGGGAGAGACATCGATCGAGGCCGACCAGGCCTGGGTGGAGCAATGGAAATGCCTCTGGCACAATGACTATGAAGGGAGACACGGTGAGAGCGGAGGGCTTCAATGGAGATCTTGCAGCCCTGGAAAAGGCGAGGAGGAGAAGCAGTGAGAAAAAAGGATCGGCCTTGCTATGATCTCAGGATTGCGAGCTGGTCAATTGCAAGGCAGAACTGTATGCAAAATCGGAATTGAATCATCTCCACTACAAACGCAGGACGGTACTCCGTATAATTCAACAGTATCATAGCCACCGTAGCGACTTGCGATGCCGCCGACCGACTCAAGAACGCCAAAGAAGAAGGCCAACTTCTGCGAGAAGCGAGATGGTTTGACAAAGCGAAGTCAAGCACTCGAGCCGAGTGCGCCCAGGAGGAGCATTTCATGAAATAGTACAAGGTCCACACGACGAGGGAACAAGCGCACTGAGAAGGAGGAGCAGAATGAGAAGGAAGTGAATGTCCACGAAGCAGCCATCAATACCAGAGCTATGTACAATGGTGGCATGCGCCCTCAGAGGTATTGGACCGGCAGCAGCCATCCACCGAAGGCAGAAAGTAAGCGCTCGAGTCGACAGCATTCTCATCACCGGGCGAAGATCAGAACAGAAAGCCACGAGCATCCCTCAGAGACCCATATCTCCAGCCGAATCCCGCCGGCAAGCCCGTGAGCAAGCCCGTGTCGAAAGGAAAACTGGAGTGCCCATCATCACCAGCCAGACACTACCCTCGCGGGCGTGAGCTGACCCCAGCGGCTGTCAGGGCGGGCCGAATTCATCACTGGGACCTTGCAGGCTCTGTATTTGTATCCCAATCTTGCAGCCTTCACCTTATTGTCCGTCTCTTTCTGTGCTCACAAGTATCCTGAAGCTGGTGAGCGGCGACGGCGAGGCAGAAGTCCAAGGAGGCAGGCATACCTTGCTTTGAGCCAAGAAGATGTTGTTGCAAATGGAGACCCACCACTAACCCGCCACTTCGAAATGTGACTCTCCAACGGACGATCGAGGTCTTCGAGGAAGTTTCTGCTTCATTCGTCAACGAGGGAAAAGATGTTGAAGACGACTCAATTGAGTCTGGTGGAGTGAGAAGGTGCCGAAGGGGATAGGGGAAGGGAAAGGGCAGAGAGCGATGGCGACAGACAAGATCCGCAGCCACAGAGGCAAGCCATTTTGGTAGGGTCGGTGCTCTCACTCCTCCCCCAAAGGGGCATAGATGCGTGATGCGTTCTCGGACATGCCTCAGGGTTGTCCCCGAAACAGGGCCGTGATGGTAACCTCCACGGCAAGCGTGAGACCCGACCAGTGCTTGAATCTCAGTCGTAGCCGATCATTTTCGTGCTGGGGAGATGGGGAAAGGGAGGAGGGACTTAGCTCTGGTAATCGAATCGAGTCTTCGACGACATTGAAGACCCACCACTCACTCGCAGCCTCGATATGCCACGCTCCAATGTTTTTTTGTTTTGCCTGAACTCCGAAGAGTGAAGAAAGAATCAGCAGATCGAGCACTCTTGGAGGGCGGATGAGGGACGAAGGGGAAGGTGGATTTGGAAGTTGACTCTCAGAGTTGAAAACCTTGTTCATCATCGGACAGAGTCCTCAGCCAAGTGCAAGGATGATAATCATCGAGTCGAAGATGGATGGGGCGGAGAGGATTTACGTACCGTCTGGGAGTCGAAAGTGCCTTCGACATGGAGACCCACCACTCGCCCGCGGCTCCGATATGCCGCTCTCCGATGGTTGTTGTGGACCTGGACTCCGAGGAGTGGAAAGCACGTCAGCAGATCAAGCACTCTTGAAGAGGAAGGGGTGGGGTGAGGGAAGAAGGACAGGGTGGGGTTGACTCTCAATTTTGAAAACTACTCTCGCTCATCATCGGACGAAGTCCTCAGCCAAGTGCAAGGGTTGCTCATCATCGAGTCGGAGTGGGGAGGATGAGGAGGGTGTACGTACCGTCTGCAAGTCGAGACTATCCACAAAAGGAGACCCACCGCCCAACCGCACACGCCGAAGCGAGGCACAAAGTCGTCTGAGACGTCCTGGAATGAATAGATCAGCAGAGTGAACAATTTTCGAGGGGGTGGGTGGACGAGGGAAGGGAGCTGTCAGTTTTGAAAACCATATCAAAAAGACAGAAGTCTTGCATCATGGAACCATTGGTTTCCGTCCCAAGGCTCCTCAGGTATAAAACCAAGTGCTTGTATTGTTTACATCATACAGCGATGTGGGGAAGGGAATGGGAATGATGGGAATACTGCCCTGATGATGTTGATCGTATGGAGGTCGAAATGGGGACCCACCGCTGACCCGCCACAGTCGAAGAGTGACACCCCAACCCAATCGCGAAGTCGAAGTCGGCCCTACTTTGAAAAAGAAACGTCAGCATCGGAACTGCCAAGACCGGGATGTGTAGGTTTTGGAGCGTGCGAATAGTCAGAGATTGAACGTATGTGCATCACGCCTCAGCAGCATTGCGATGTAGGTTCATAAGTTCATCATCATGGTAGCAGGGGGATGATCGGGCAGGTACTGACCTTGGCGGATGCTCGACAGGCAACGTAGACATAGGGTCGGGATCTGCAGAGTCAAAGTCAGCGGAATTCGCCTTCGGTTTGGGGAAGTGTGTTGAAGGACATGTCGCCTCAGACATAGCTTCGATCTCATCAAAGATTCTTCAGTGTGATAACGAACTTTGGTTGTCATCACCGGCGATATGAACAAAAGGGAGGGAAGAGGACACTAACTCTCGCAGACGGTTGATAGGCAGAACCGTCCCGTGTTTGGGCCTCAGACATAAGGTTGTTGTCGTCAAAGATGTAAATCGACAGTACGAACGTGCAAATTGTCATATTGTCATCATTGGCAGCAAACGGGGCGGGATGTACTCACCAGCGTCGATGCCAACTTCGCAGGGGTGTAAGCGAGGTGGTGCTGAGGCGGTTGAACCTGCAAAAAAGAAGACGCAATTAGCATGCGCCCATACCGCAAATCAAAAGATGTGCATGAGGTATTCAACACTTGGTCAGAATTGGTCGTTTGGTCAAGGGCAGGCGAGTTCTAATGAACCAGCGGCTTGACCATAGGTGGTGCTGCTGGCGTCACCGAAGCCTAGATGCCAGTTGGTCATCACCAACCATGGGCTGCACGGAGACACCACCGAGAGTAAGCATGGTATTCACCTTTTCAGAGTGTAGTAACCATGATTTCATCACTCCAAGGAAGGGAGAGGACGGGCTTTCGAAAGAAATCGAGGTACGTACCTCTGCGACCTGAGAGTCTTGAGAACTTGCGAAGTACTCGCTGTGGACGAGAGCATGCTCAAGGACAGTATGTTGGCCTGTGTGTTGAGGGACATGATGGCGGGTCCGTGGATCGTAACGGACCTGACTGCATGAATTTGGTCAGCGTATGAGTCTGCAGCAAGTCTTCGGAATAAGGGAGAGAGTGGGGCAGTGATCAGATGTTCCTTTGATGACTTCATCGCAGTCTCGAAGGTTATCGCCAATTGCTTGGGAAAACGACATGGGAGGTGCTCGTTTGGGTTTCGTTTTTGTTAAAAGCTCGGTGTAGAACTTTTCTCATCATTTCACGAAGGGTGTGAAGGGTGGGTGCGTACCATTTTTGCCTTTGAGTTTGGTCTCAAGGTTGACTTGAAAGGGATGTGGAGATTTCTTGCAGTCGGTGTGCCAATGGGGTGGCGATGACGACGAGGTGTAGACGCCGGTGGAGTCGATCCTGGTAGCAAATATGCAAATTAGTGTCTGAGCGCGCATTGTATTTCCGAAATGGGGAGAGGGGTGCGGTCGGAATCAGACTGGTCTTTTCAGATTCTTTACGATCAGCGCCGTCCCACGGGCTATCTGGAGGTAGAACCTCCGTAACCACGACTGGGACTGGTGAGGCTCATTGGAAAGTTTTTGTGCAGTATAATTTCCTTTTCATCATAGGACAATGTAGAGAGAAGAGAGTGCGTGGGATGGACAGACCTTGTGGTGTGGGTGACGCGTCGCGTCTTCCTGTCGCGTCTGCGTGCGTGTGAGACGGGTGCAGTGACCGAGGTGAGGATGGCGGTGGCGGCGGCGGGTACCAGCACATAGAATCTGTACCTTCCAAATATCAGCATTGTACGTGCAGATGGCGTAACGGATAAAGTTGGTCAGAGTGGTGCGAAGTCAGACGTCCCGATGTATCAATGGACATCCTTCAGCGACCGGCGTCAGACGCCGCCGCCTGAAGTCATTCCTCAAAAGCAAGTGTAGATAAAAACGCCCTTCCGGGCGAGGCTCGCGCATCATGAAGATGAATTATGATTGTGAGGTTGATGGATGAGACTTGCCTTGTGGTGGTTGACGCCGGTTGAAGACGCGCCGGACGCGACTTCAACGGCGGCCGTGGCGGCGGCGGCGGTGGCGGCGGCGAGTACGCGTTGGTTGCATATCTTGTTATTTGCCTGAAGAGTGTGTAAAGAAGAGGGTGATGATGAGGAGGAAGATGCAAGAAGCAATAATGGTGATGGTGGATGATGAGGTGGTGGAGGTTGATGTCGGTGGAAGCAGAGAATTTGACAAGTGACCTTCGAGCTTGATTTTACTACCGCCTTGGCCGCTGTGACGTAAGCCAGTCTTTGCCGGGGCAACAGCAATATCACAACTCAATCGGACTTCATGGGTAAGCCTCTGAGTCTGCGGGAAGAGGAGGTATTATTCTCTGATCCATATGGCCAATGCACACGATAACTATAAACAATCCGAGATCTGGAAGGCTTATGGCAGCTTGTACTTGAAGACGTAGCACAACTTGCCCAATGCCTTGATCCTTTCTCGACTACACAGTCATTCAGCTGACCTTCAACAGTACCTTCTTGCTCCGCCTTTGCACGGCGGCTTCGGGAATGAATGTGAAGACCAATCGCCAAGTTATCCAACGCTCTGCTATCGCAACCCCGAAGTCCTGCTGTCACGTCAGGTTGAAGACTGAACGCTGAACGACGACAAGACCCTGTTTAGAGAACGACGGCGAGTCTACTGCATGCTCAAGACGTCCGCATGAAGATAAAGAAAAGGGAGAAGACTGTATCAAAGACACAGTTTGTGAAAGAATGGCAAGAGTTGGACATCATGGTTCGGATACACCAGTTGCCGATGAGATGAGTCCAAGAACTTACGAGCCAGAGGGCTCTTATCGGACAGCGCAATCAACCCTCGACCTTGGACGCAGCGTAATTTCCGTATGAGGACCTCGCAGTATCCCAAATCAACCATTCTGCTCTATCTGTGCTGGGACCATTACATCTAGAAGCACGCCTTCAGCCCGGCTCAAAAGCAGCAGAGGTATGCGACATGCGGAGTAACACAACAAGGCTATGCAAAGACGTCAGTAGTCTCCGACTCGCAGACGATACTTTGTTGCTTGATAAGGATCAATCGAGCCTCAGAACTCGTTCCTCTTTACGTTCATGCGCACAAGGAGCTCAACGGCCTAAGCGTCGAGCGAACATTCAAAGCCAGGAGGATTGCGTTGGGAGCAATTGCTGGAACGTTTCAACAACAAAGCATCAAAATTAGTGATTTATCCCATCTTGGTATCAATACAATCGTTCTACGAATTGCAGCAAACAAAATCAACCTTCACTCTCACCTGCGAAAGACGAGGTGAGGTTGGGACAAGCCGACGATCGGCGACGGAACGAGGCAGCCGGGTGGATCTTGGTATCCACCCTGGCCACGCGCCAGCATGCACTTGGCGGGCATCCCGATAACGGCCAGCGCAACCTCAGCGAATGACGAGGCGGCTGACTGTACCTCTGAGCGCCGCCCAAATTGCGCTGCGGGACTCCGGTTCTCTTGCGCACGCAATCCGAACGCCCATGTGCCCGCCGGTCTGAAATGAGATTGTGAGGCTGGGCGAGATATATAGGCCAGCCTGACGCCGCCGATGCCACCGGCGCCGTGACACCAACTCCGCCATGGCTTCCGCCAAGCACCGCGAGCGAAAGCTGCCCATCCAGCAGCTGGCTATCCTGTGTAAGTGTCTACGAGGAGGGTATTCCTTTTGCCGAGTTACGGAGTGGAGCAGGATGCAGGATGGATGCAAGGGCGAGCCTGAGGAATTCAAGATCTCATCCTCTGGCTCTTCGGCATCACACTTCTCGCATTCGACAGTACAAGCACCGCCAAGTACCTTGCTAACCACCTCCAGCAATATGCCGATTCGCAGAGCCTATCGCGAGCACCTCGCTCTACCCCTACCTCCCAGAGATGGTCGAATCCTTCCAGATACCGCAAAACGAAGTAGGCAAATGGGCGGGTATCTGTGCCGCAATGTTCAGCCTCACGCAAGCTGTCATGGGCATACCGTGGGGTAGATTCTCAGACCGATACGGCAGGAAGCCCGCTATATTAATCGGTCTGGCCAGCACCATGTTTACGAGCTTGCTTTGGGGTTTCAGTAAGAGCTTGCCAATGGCAATTGTCGCAAGAGTGTTGGCAGGAGCGGGAAACGGAAACGTAGGCATCATACGGACAACCGTGGCAGAGATGGTACCTTTCAAGGAGCTACAGCCTCGCGCCTTCTCCCTCATGCCTCTTGTGTGGAACATTGGCAGCATCTTCGGTCCGACCATTGGCGGAGCTCTCGCCAATCCGCTGGATGTGAAGCCTGGAGAGCGGAGGCCCAATGGCAGCCTGCTCGAAATGTTCCCATATGCTCTGCCGAACATTGTATCGGCATGTTTCTTTGCCGTGGGCATTACGGTAGGGATCCTATTCCTTGAAGAGACATTGGAAACCGTCCAAGGTCGGAGAGACTACGGATTGATTCTAGGTCAAAAGATCACCAACTTCTTCAAGACTCATGTGGTCAAGATCGAAGAAGCACTTCACATTCGAGCAAAACAGCAGAAAGATCAACCGAACGGCGAGACCGAACCGTTGCTCAAGAACCAACGAATCGATACCGACGAAGAGGACGGTGAACCATACGAGACCAAACCCAAGCTTGCTCCGCCGTCTTGGCGAGAGGTCGTGAACAGGCAAGCATTCATCAACTTGATTGTTTACACATTACTCGCTATGCACTCCATGGCTTTCGATCAGATCGTACCGGTCTACATGCAGCACAGCCCAATCGGCAAAGAAGGCTCGACGCCTTACGAACCACCTCTCAAGTTCGCCGGCGGGTTTGGACTGGACCACTTCTCCATCGGCTTGATGAGCACCTGCTACGGTGTCGTTGGCATGATCATCCAGTTCTTCGTCTTCCCTCCCCTAGCCCGCAGATATGGCATCCTTTTCTGGCTGAAGGTTGTCGCCTGTGCATTCCCCATCATCTACCTCATCACGCCTTTCACAGCACTGCTACCGACGACTAAATCTCAGATTGGATGCATGTTCACGGTCATGATCTTGAAGTGTCTTGCTGGTATCTTTGCATTCCCCTGCAGCACGATCCTGCTCACGAACAGCGCTTCCAGCTTGAGGACTCTCGGCACACTCAATGGAATCGCCACTTCGGTTGCTGCCATTGGCAGAGCAGCTGGGCCAGCTATGTCTGGTGCTATCATGACCGTGGGTGTGAAAAAGGGATACATCATCGCCCCTTGGTGGTTTCTCGCTGGAGTTGCAGTCATTGCGGCCATCCCAGTGTTTTGGCTTGAGGAAGGCGAGGGCTTCGGCGGAGATGATGAAGTCAGCGATACTGAAGAGGAAGATGAGATTCCAGAGGGCCTCGCAGTGGCCGCAGCAGAAGGGCAGGCAGAGGCCACAGGTGGCAAGCCTGGACCGATCCTTCCCCCTGGCCAGGATGACGACGAAGACCACGAGGAGCACCAATATGGAGGAATCACTGCTCTGAGTCGAACGACTACTGCTTCCTCTGCCTTCTTGACAGACGATGACCGTGACTCTGCCGGGCCCGCAAGTCGAGTTCTCAGCAGGAGAACGTCTGGCCTCGAAAGGACTGATCAACAAGATCAGGCAGCGCCTCCAACCCTGAGCAGGCGAGGATCTAGAAGAGTCATGAGGAGAATGTCTATACCGATCGGGATGGGCAATCAAGGCATCAGCCGAAGGTACAGCAGCAACCTTGGCCAGAGCTTTGGCAGTACAGGAGGCTATCAATGAGGGAAAGGAGAGTTCTTGTCTCTGTTTGTCTTCGAAAAAGGGACGGCGTACCTTGGATTTGAGCCTTGCGTGCATAGCATGGTGTTTCGGCGGCATTATGGGGATGAGATAAGTATTCAACGGCTTCGAAATGTATGATTAACTAAGAAGCAAAATCGAAAGCGTTTATCCATCGTCGTCGACGTACGTCTTCAGGAGGTGAGCTTTGCGAAAATGTCTATAACTTTTCACAGCCAGCGCCCCCTTCATGTTCCTCTCCTCTGTGCACTTCGCAGGCAGAACGGCGTAAGTCAACCACGCCCAGAAGGACCATTTCACCCAGGAATACCGCTGATATCCCCGTAGAAAGAAGAACAGCCGAGATATGCCGGCCCGCACCAAGGTGCTAGCCACCATTGAGCTGCTGGGGAGAATTCATCCTCCTTTTCACGACCTTCCGCGCCACTACTCTCTCCTGCACCTGGCAAAAGCGCATCAACTACTCCCCAAGTTCGGGCCCCAAGATGGATCATTTCTTACTCTTCACCTCTACGGCCCGCAACGTCCAAGTCAATCGATAAAGCATCACAGCCAAGAGAATTTATCATGTGACAAAAGAGTTCACTCACGCAGTCTTGGCACTATTCTTGTAGGTCAGACTACTTAAATCCATAAACACCAACCCTCGACGGCACCAACACAACCATCGCCGCAGATGTAGCGGTGATCCGTGGGGGCCGGTACTTCCTGACTCCCGAAGCGCAGCGAAGAGCACGGACGACAGAAGTTGACTGCGAGGAGAGACACTGCATCACGCGAAAGCTGTATGGGGTTTTCCTGGACTGGTGCGCATCACCATGGCCGTGGCCGTGAAAGTCTCGTCTGGCGCTGCGCCGGCGCAGACCTCGCGCTCATCTGGTGGATGAGGGTTTCAGAACCTTTGGGGAGGTTAGATCCGCTCCAGCTTCTGTGTGTGGTCTTGCATGTATGTTGTTGAAGAGGAAGAGGAGGATATGTGGCCCGGCGGCTTTTTGAGGCGGCCTCGGTTGGCAGTGATCGTTCGTCATCGAGGTCTTTGCCTTCTGGCCCGGTGAGGTCGACATAGTAATGTTGCGCTTGCTTGCGCTTTGCCTTCGACTGCGCGATCTCCTTCACCCGCGCGATCTCCTTCGCCCGCGCGATCTTCTCTCTCGCTGCGAAACGCCACCTTGCGGCGTGGTCAATTGCACAGACGGGCATGGCTAATATCACTTCCAGAAATACGGCCTCCAAGACTGCCTCGTTTCGTGGGCCGTGAGACACCAACGTTGGCTACGGCACTGGGGTAGGAGGAGAAAGCCGCCAAGGAGGTGAAGGCATGCGGCAGCGTCCAGGTGAAGAGTGTACTTGCTGAAGTGAAGGGCTCACTCCTTGAGCGGGTACTGTTGATGTGAGACTGCCTTAGCACTGCCTCTACTTTCTTACTTAGATACTGAGCTATATTAGAGCCAGTCCCTTCAGACAGATTCTGAGAATCAAGAGATTCGGTCAACAGGTCATGAATGGCCAACGCACGGTACGGGGGCCAGAAGAAGGGGTGCCGTTGTCGAAAGCAGATGAAAGGACCGGTGATCAAAGCCGATAGTGGCGGGTCTTTCAACAAGTACTGGAAGTGTGATTTCTCTTCAAACCTGTGCTTACAGCGATGAGCAGAGCCGACCCTGCCGGCGAAGGGCTGGTTGATGGAGTGGACACGTTGCTTGCTTTGGGGATCATGAATGGTTCTGGCCCCTCCCTTTCTCCTCACGGCCTTACAAACCGATCTCAGGATCCTCCTTCTCTACCAACCGCGCTTTCACCAACCCCCACAGAATCGGCAAGAGATTGAACAGCGCCACAAGTAGTGGAATGAGCTGACTCGAACGATCCAACGGCGCCTCTGAGAGATCAATCCGATTGATCCTGATCACCTCCTCCACGAACACGATCGATCCGATTCCGACCAGAGCGAAAGCCGCCAGCTTGACAAGATCGATGACTTGCTTCGCACGAGTGTTCTGGGTTTCCCGTCCGAGGTGCTCGACGAGAGCGGCGTGGTCCTTGCGGTCCAGCAGCTTCTTGAGGATGCCGGAGTCGACTATCGTGGCCCATGCGAATCGTAGGATGAGGAACAAGGCCAGGATGCAGCCGATGACGGAGAAGACTTTGCAGAACGCGAGTCAGGGTGTGCTTCGGACGTTGATTCGGGCGAAGAGGAAGCTTTTGCAAAGATGTCAGTATTGTTGAGATGTCTCGAGAAAAGCGACTTACACAAAAGCAGTACAGCCTTGTCGTGCGCCTTGGTCGGGCAGGATGAAGTATATCCATGGTCTGTATGATTGATCAGCCACATCTCCAACACCAATCGTAGTTGCGAGTGAACTTACTGAACCGCGAAGACAATCGCAATCGTCAGCGCATAAACGCCCTTCACAATACTCGTATCGTTATGCCTCCAAGGAAACACGAAGATTGGCAGGCTACCAGCGCTCAAGTCAGCTTTGTCACCATCTCAGAGAGTAGAGAAAACAAACCTCAACACAACCGTCATCAAAAACACAATATACCACTCCAACACCGCAAAGCTCTATCCCCCCATCAGCACACCTCGCTCCTCTGCACTCTAACGAATACTGACCCCCTGAACCGTGGAGACAATCGTGTTAATTGTCACCGCCAGCGAGATAACCACCACCGCCCGTCGGACTTTCTCTAGCTCCTCGGGGAGATGCCATTCCATTGCCAGGACGCCTGCTACGAAGGAGATGTAGAAGGAGACGCGGACGCCCGGGCCGTAGATGTCGGCGTCGCCGATGAGGGTGCAGGTGTTTGGTTCGGTGGTGGAGTAGAAGGTGCGGCTTTGGACTAGGGGTGGGAGGGTGAAGAGGAGCGGTGCTGATGGAGTCTGGGTCAGTTCAGACATCGTTGATGGTGTGAGTTGCTGGTCGACGTACCGAAGCATGTCCACCACATCTTCATAACTCGCTACCTGTTCTCTTTTCAACCCCCAAACATGAGTATCAGTCGCCTTCAGGAGGACAGTCTCGAAAGCCGTGCTCAAAACCAGTTTGGTCTTCAACACCCTCGCGGCGAAGCACCACCCATCCGCCTACGCAACCTCTTAAAGAAAGATGGATGAAACAAAAAGAAGACACAAAATCATAGAAATAGTTGTGAGTTCATCAAATGCTTCCACCCAAAGCCCAATTCGCCTTCTATACGAGCGTCGCTGTCCAACGCCTCGTACAAGTCCGAGAATGCAGAGTCTCGAAAATCTTTCGGACTGATTCGAGACTCTGATCATCCGCGTAGGGTGTGTGATGATCACGGTCGATGTCGTGGCCGAGGAAGAATCAGAAAGATGCCTTCTTCAATTTCAAAGAGTGTGGCGAGGCAGTGGGTGTTGGGCTGAGGGCTGAGGGCCGGTCGGAGGACAATCACAGGCGGAGAGGGCCTTTGACAGTGGTGCGTCGAGCACGCATTCATTTATTGAGAGAGCACTCGGGAGAAGGCCTGTTCTCGATGATAAGATGAGTGCCAAAGGCCAATCCAGGGTTGAGTCGAGTCTCTGTTCCTAAAGTAAGTAGCGAAGAGTGGCGTAAACGAATTCTGAACTCTTTCAAAGCACATTCATACCATTCATTCTGACTCGTAAACTCCATCTCAATGCCTCGAAATTCAGGGCAAACATCTCATGAGAGGAGTGCCCTTCAGACAACGCCAGTCAAAATGCCAGCAAGAGAGAAGTGGACATATGCACAATTTGGTAGCCACCACCCGAACGCCATCATCACTTCATGTCTCATCAGATCCGATTCAGTAAATACTGACTGCTCCACCTCCTTATCCTCTCCCTCCTTCCTCCACTGCTTCCCTCGCCCTCGTCATCAGATCTTGGCTCATAAGCTGGCGGAGGCGATCCTGACCTCACTGCAACATCGTACGATGGAGGCGCAGCCTCAGGGACATCCACGGCCCTGCGAGTATGCATCGGCCTTCTGGCGGTATAATCGCTAGGCCCGGTATCCGTCCTCTCGTTCCTCTCAATCTCGTCGAAGTTCCTCGCCCAGAGACTCACGAACGGCGTCGAGCCCCTCGAAGCCATCATGGTAGGTCGTGGGGTGGGAGACACAGGACCGGGTGATTGTCTCCTCGCTTCTTCAGCTTCGAGCCGTGCCTCTTCTGCCTTATCGTATGCGAGCTGGCGGTCGTATGGAATCGTTTCTTCTTCGGACGATGAGCTCGAGGAGCCACGGCGTCGACGAGTGAAGTCAGAGATGAAGCGGTCGCGCTCGTGGTCTTCCATGGCAAGGAAACGGACCCATTCGCTGGAGCTCAGTTCATGGGGTTCGATGTCGCGCATGCGCAACTGGCTGGCGGCGAGATGGCGACGGGCGATGGAGAGAGGACGGTTTGTTACTGCTTCGAGTTGGAGAGCACCGAAGCCGCCTGTGCGAATGGCTGGAGTGTTGTACATGGCCACGCGAGGCCTGGTTCTGGAAGGCATCTGGTCTTGTTTCTTGGCTTTGCTCGTTGGAAGAGGCGTTGTCCGTCGTAGGAGAGAGATATATCGTATCTAATCGTCACCAGTGGGTCGAACTGGCAAGCTAGACGATAGCTGGTTGTTGTGCGTCGAAAACTGGGAAGAGAAGAAACAGTACCTACTTCCAGGACGAAAAGAAGGGTGCAGTATCCAAGGTCGCGTGGTGCATCCTCGCTCCCGCCTCTTTCTCGTCCCACACCGACCTCAATCAACCACGCCCACTCCCCGAACGCAAGACCGCGCCAACATCGCGAAAGAGAGCAGCCCAGAACCTGCAGGTACCTCTCACCAGACCCCGCTCCTCCAGCCCAGCTCTCCACTCAGAGCTTGCCTCTCGTCCTCACCTGCTTCTCTTATCGGCATCGTCGCCGCTCGCCAAGCACGCAACCGGCATCCTTCGAACGTATCTTTCACGTGGCGGCGGCGTGTTGCGAGTCGTTTGCCAAGGGCGGTGGGGTTTGGGGGGCTGGTATGGCGGTTCGTGGGTCTTGCGAGTGGATGGTGAGCGATGGGAGTGGAGCTTGGAACGTCAGCCGGGTGAGGGGAAAGCGTTGCCGGTGCCCGGTCTTGGGCGATAGATTGATTGTTGGCGATGGGCGTTGATGGGAGAAGCATTCTTTTGGACGTAGACTGCTGCACGATTCAATATCCAATTCTTCTTCGACCCTATGATCCACCTACATCGAGGTCATTTGGTGGGCACGTCCTGTATCCCTTCACTGCAAGCCGGAGCAACTCCCAAAGCCGGATGGCTGGTAAGACCTGGACACGACACATTCGCTTGGCAATGCACATGAAAAAGACTCATCACCACGGAGGATTTTGGGGAGCGCTGCAAAGATCCACCGACCTGCCAAAGTCCGTTGATCGCACGAACAAGGAATTAAGCGAACTTGCATATATTTCTCAGCTGGACTACCCACTCCAGCTCGTCTATCCCACGAAGCGAAGCAGAAGGAACGATATATCTTGTATTCGTATGACTCTCTTCAGAGCCTTGCCAGCGGTCCGTCACTTCTCACGACACCCAGGCAGGACTTGGTGATGTCCTTGATACTGTTGCAGCCCGCCAACTGCATGCATCGCTTGAACTCAGTGTAGAAGGTGTCGAGCATGATCTCAACGCCTTGTTGGCCGTCGTACTGCGGGAGAATGTTCTGTCAGCATCTGTATCGTCCACTGCTTGTTGAGTCTTTGGACTTACCGCCAAACCCCAAAGTGCTGGTCGTCCTACCCAGCAGCACTCTGCGCCCAACGCCAACGCTTTGAACATCTCTGCGCCGGAGCGAATGCCACCGTCAATATGGACTCTGATCCGACCAGCGGCAGCTTCAACGCATTCTGGCAGAGCATCAATAGTCGCCGGGACGCCATCGAGTTGCCTGCAGGACCACGAGTAAGCAGCAGTCCACCATCTCCTTCACTGTACATCGTACTCACCTCCCGCCATGATTGCTCACAATAATCCCATCACAACCCGTCTCCACCGCCTTCAATGTATCCTCCGCCGTCACCACGCCCTTGATCCAAATCTCCATCTTCGTCACACTCCTCAACCAAGGAATCTCCCTCGCCCACGAATGCGCATCGTCGTTCAAACTCGTAAACGTATCATCGTGGGCCTTCTCCCGGAACTTCTCTGAACTCCACCCGAAACACGGAAACGCAATGCCTTCCGGCACGCGGAAGTTGCCACGCCATTCGTTGTAACGCACCCCGAGCACAGGCGAGTCGGCGGTCAAGAAGATGGCTTTGCAGCCGCGGGCTTCGGCTTCGCGGATCATGCGCAGTTCGAGCTCGCGGTCTTTGAAGGTGTACATTTGCATGACGTGGTCAATGGGCCCGTTGCTGAGGCCGGCGGTGCGGATGTCGGCGACGGAGTAGTTGGCGAAGGAGGAGATCCCTTGGTTGACGCCTTTCTTGGCGCATGCTCGAGATGTGGCGAGTTCGCCGTCTGGATGGGCGGCTTTTTGAACTCCAGCTGGGGACACGCACAATGGGAAGGCGATGCGGCGGCCGAAGAGCTCAATGGACGTATCGGCTTTGGAGACGTCGATGAGGACTCGACTGCGGATGCGATATTTGCTGTAGGCGGTGTTATTCTCGTGGATAGTGACTTGGTCAGTAGAGCCGGAATTGAAGAAGTCTTTTCGCGCAGACGCATAATGGTCAGATTCCATTGTCATAGAGTAACGCTCGCTTGGGGGTATCTCGAACCTCTGATTGCCTTTGGCAACTTCTTCGATCCTGCTTCCTCCAAGTCTTTGATGCATAGGATCTTGTCTTCAAGTCCTTCCACAGGCACAGGCACAGGTCGGCCGGCCATTTTTCTCTCTCTCAGTCAAACGAAAAGCAAACAAAAAAGAAGTACAATCAAATTTCAGTCCCCTCAACAGCAGCACCCTTGTGGTATTTAAGTCTTCGCTTCTCTCGCTTTCTCTCACTCAGCAGCTCGTCGAGGTGATAAGAGCAGCAATAGCTTCGCTCGAGTAGTAAGCTCTCCACGGGTCCGAAGGAAGTGCCGTCAGCGGAGCTTGTCCTGGATGCTCATTTCGCGGGCTCGCATCTGAAGCCTGGAAAAAATCGAATTCGTCAGCTCAGTTATATAGACAAGACGTATCAATGGTCAACTCACCACTCTGGGAAGCTCATCTCCATCCTAATGTACTTGCCCTGCGGCCGGATCATGTCCGTCACGTGCAGTTGGGTGTTGATGAGCTGCCTAGGGCGTGCCAGTGCAAGCGGAGCCTTCTGCGCCCTACCGTCGAAGAGCTCGGCCTGGGTCTTGGTGGATATCATGCTGGGGTCGCGGTTGCCGTACCAGAACTGCATGAACTTCTGGTATGGCGTGGTGGGGAGGGGTTGGGTGTCCGCCCTGAAGGTGCGGACGACGGTCGCGCCGCCGCCCTCCACGGGCTTGTGGGGATCGAGCCCCGGCGTGTGCCAGAGCTCGTCCTTCACCACGACGAGGTGGATGTAGTGGTATGGCGAGGAGGAGAGGGCGTAGTAGGAGAGAGACTTAGCTTGCGCCTTGTTGGCGCTGTCGTAGTCGACGGTACGGTTCTGCTCTGAGGCGTGTTAATCTGACTCTTGCGCGCGACCCGCCTTACCTCCAGGATAAGAATGTTACCATCTTGTCTACTTCTCTGATTTATCTCCAAAAGAAAACGTTGGTCCAGGCCAGCAAGCAAGTCTTCAATATAGTTGTGCTGGTGGACGACAACGGAGATGCCAGCGCGTTTTATTTTTAGGGGCGTGAATTTCGCGTGTCGGCGACGCGGCTGCAAGGGCCGTCAAAACACGGCCAGCCGCGGCGTCTCGGGTGAGGGATTCCTCCAATCAAGGGCTATACAACTCCGATGATGCATGACGCAGTGTCCCATTTTGTCCCAGTTCAACCTCGAAGCGCAGGGTAGCTGAATCTCAGGTCCGGAGCTTGTGAAGGGTAAGCACATGGGAGGATATATTGACAGGTGAGGAGAGCCGAGGAGGCTGTCTTTTTGTTTCTGTTTCGCGCTCTTTTCCCTCCAACTTTGCAAACGTCTATACCAACGATTCTATTTACCAACGACTAGACTCACAGCAAAGAACTGAGAAAGTAGACAAGATGGGCAAGTAAGTATATACCATAAATTTATAGGAACGGTACTCCAGTCACTAATAAGACGACTTCCTACAGACCAGTGCACCCAGCGACCGTCCACTTCCCAATCTCCTTCCTCTTCCTCGGCTTCGCCCTGGACATCCTCAACCATGTCCGCACTTCGCTCCCATCTACCCTCTCCAACAACCTCCTCTCCGCGGCCGAGATGTCCAAAGCAAGCTACTACCTCCTCAGCATCGGCTTGATCTCCTCCATCCCAGCCGTCGTGACCGGCGGTCGCGAAGCCGTGGTCATGATCGCCAAACAGGGCATGTGGGATTCTGACGGCAAAACTACAACTATGAAGCCTAAGGTGAAGGCTACGATTGCACATGCTCTGATGAACGATGTTGTGATCGCCGTGAGCACGTACGTTTGGTACAGCAGGCGGGCGGCCGCGAACAACAGCTTAGCTGGCAAGGTTGGCGCCGCAAGTGCATATACCCCAGCTACGTGGATGGTTATCGCGGAGGTTGTGGTGACCGTCTTGATGATGATGGCGGCGAACGTGGGCGGAGTGTTGACCTACAACTTTGGTGTGGGCTTCAGCAGGATGGATTCAGGCAAGAAGTCGCAGTAGACAAACTAGCATATCTCTGAGGGGTACCGGATAGCGAGCGTGTGGAAGGCGTTCTGTTTTGATCGAGGATAATGAGTGCATGTCGGAGGTCGGAAGAAGATGTCAGTTCGCCGTTTGATGGGCCTTGGGGTTGTGATGGAGATGATTAGAAATCGTTGAGAAAGATGCAACCTTGTTGGTACAAAGTCGAAATTCTTCGTTCACAACTTCCCTACTCTTTGGAGAGCTTCTTCTCGCGAGATTACATTCAAACGTCTAGGACCTTCCTTCTGGAAATCTACCAGCACAACTTGCTCAGTCAAACCAGCTCGTCCAGTGCCTTGCTTCTCGACTTCGACTCCAGGATGATGCAGGCTCAGCACCTGTCGACCATCCGGGCCTTTGAGCTTTCCGTCTCTACTGGGTCGAGTGACAGGCGAGATGCACATATCCGTCCACGGTGGGCTTCCGGTCTTGACAAACTCCAGCAGTCGTCTTCTTCGGGCTTCAAGCTGTTCCCTCGGCAACGGTGCTCGTGATATCGAAGCATAGTCCGTCGGAGACTTGAGGTCATCAAAGCGCTGTGCTATTTGATGCAGGAGGAAGAACTGCGGCGGGAAAAGAATAATCCTCCCTTCTTGAGCGAGTCGACACCAAACCGAAGCTGGCAGGAATCTGGCCGTCGTATGTTCTTTGCCACCATCAGTCGTAGGCGCTGGGATATCAACCTCTGCTTCTGAATCATCTGGCTCGCCACTGCCTTCCTTCAAAGGCGTTGACGACAACGTGGGCAGGAAGTACAGATACATCTGCGTTGTGAATCGCTTAGGATTGTTCGTTGGCGTGACCCATCTCGTGAACGGCGTCAGTCCTTGCACATCCGCCCGTCCACCTTTCTGTGCCAGCCACTTGGGAAAGGCGATCTCGCTCGAATGAACAGCAACCCGGCCTGCTTCCCTCTCCCCTTGCGGCACCTCAATGAGTCTACCAAAACCATTGTTCCGTGCCAGCAGGATTCCAGATTCTTCGAACGTCTCCCGGATTGCTGCCATTCGATACGCATCTCCATCGACATGTCTATCTGGATGATCCGGCTCCGGTACCCTGCCATCATGGAACTCTGAGACATTGCCGCCAGGGAAGACATGCGCTGACGGAAACGAAGACGATTGCTTGACTCTCTGCAGAAGAAGAATCTGATTTTGCGGCGAGATGAGAAGCACACTCGCGCTCGGTCTCGGGACTGCTATAGGTTTCTTCTCCTTCTTCGGGCCGGAGTAGTCCATCGTGTCTTCTTCTGTTTTCTTGACTGCTTCTTCGTTCCGGGTGTTTTCGTTCTGCACTGCCTCGGCAATCCTGGAGCGTTCCTGGGGATGAGCGCGAGAGATCGCGAACGTGCGAACCTGGACGGGCAATTTGAGGAACTGGTACAGGGCCCTTCTTGATAATGGTAATGCTGATGGAGAGGCAATCGACATAGCGACTGCGAGTCGACAGAGTTCCTGTCAAGACGAGCTGCTGTTCCTGATGACGGCCACGGCCTCGGTGATCCTTGTCCGAGTGGGGAAAAGATGCGCCGGAGCCGAGGAAAGGACATCGCGTTCGTCTTCAACACCATCTTATCAACTCAGCCTTGCAGACATTCCGCCTGTTTGGAAGGCCATTCCAACTTTTCAGGGCCTCCACGACGTTTGTCTAGCTTTGAATGCAGCTCAGTGGTTCTCCCATGGGCAAGAAAGATCCTGACCTTGCCAAGGACCGTCAGCTTCCTGTCGTTTCACAATAGCTTCAGCACTGAACGAGCGCTTTAGCCGTCGAGCAATCTGGCATATTCTCTTGTTATGTACAAGATCAGTGGTGAGGATCATAGCTATCGACGAGTAGGACTTCTTGAGGTTAAGGATGGTTGGGGCTTTGCGACCACAATGGAGCAATAGCTCCTTTCAAAATTTCATCAAACTCATCATCGCAAACTGCAGGCGGTTCATACCAGCCGCAACAAGTCAAAGACGGCACGCCATCTCGGCTGGAGAAAGAATATACACAGAAGTCAAAACATAATCCAAAAAAGTCATAATCCATCTCCACCATGCCCAACTCTCCGCGAGAACCTCCGCTTAAGCATCAGGCAGGCTTGGGTCCTGGTAGTGGTTGTAGTACGTCTCATCCCAGGTCCCGCCGAACTGGCCCTTCTGCTTGGCGAGGTACATGGCGGCCGCGACGATGTTGGACGTGGGCTCGTAGCGGTTCTTGAGATCGGGGTTCTCGTCGGCCATTTGGCCCCAGGCGACGTAGTCCATTTGGGTGAGGCCGCTTTAGAAAGGTCAGTAGGGAGTCAAAGGGGTGCTGGGAGGTGTTTCAAACTTACTTGTAGACCAACGGGTGACCCTTGGATTCCGTCCAGATGATCTTGATGAGGATATCTTCCGGGACACCCGTCTTGTTGCAAGCAGCGTTGAGGGCGTCGGCGTACACATTCTGGATGTCCTCCGGAGTCAGATCAGGAGAGCCGGTCGTTGGATACGAGGCCTTCATGCGCTCCATCGCAGCGCGAGCTTGAGGGTACTGCATGATGGTCTCCGGGTCGGCGAGGGCGGAAGAGGGATCGGCCTTGATGTTGGCTTGCTTGTAGATGGCTTCGATGTTGGGGATCATGGCGACGGGGTTCTCGGAGGTCTTGAGGCCGGAGACTTCGGTGGTGATCATGCCGCACCATTGAGAGAGCACGCCAGCTGGGCAGCCTGGGGGGTCGGGGATGCCGAAGTCACATGTGGTGGATCTGTGCTGGTGACGGTGGTGGATGTGGCCGTGAGGTTGGGCTGTGGCGACGGCTGCGAGCAAGGCAGTGGCCCAGCAGGTCATCTTGGAGAGAGTGGCCATGTTGTGCGACTGTTGAGGGGTGGTTGTTGTTTGTGTTTCTTCGTGATATGTCGTCAATGGGCTCGTGAAGAGTCTTCGTTGCCACCCGGGCGCTTCCAGTGTGTGCAAAGGAGTGCAAGAGGCAGATAAGCCAAAAGGAATGACTTGAGAAACAGTAAGGACTGTGTGAGGTGTTGTCGGCCAGCCAGATGGAGAGTGTCGTGAACAACAAGAAGCAGCTGAAAAGAAAGGGAGAAGTGATCAGCGCATGACATTCATTTAATATTCACAGGGTCTTCAGCTTTTGCAACGCCCCGTGATGATCAAAGGGCCACAGAACATGGCGTCTACCCACATTATGCATGTTGGTTTCATCCTTGTCTTCAGGGGTCATGCCAATCGGGCGCCAACAAGCCGGCGGCAAGATCGAAGCCGAAGAGTTCTCCCGAGGAAAACCGATGGAGCCGTGTCGTCAGGCGAAGCGCCCATGCGAAAATCGGCCGCAGTGGCGTGTGTGTGAAACGAACACGTTCACGACCACGTGCAATTTGGAAGGCACTGTCGTTGTGCTGTTGTGTGGACCGCCGCGTCGTAATGATCGAGAGGTTCAACAGTTCCGGTGCCACCTCCATGGCAGGCAACTTGGGGCTATATGAGCTTCAGTCCACTCCAGATATGCACCGGTACTCTTAACAAGTTCAAGTTCGAAGTTGCCGTTGTCATCGTTCCCAACGCGTCTGCGGTCGTCGCGGCCACCCTGTTGAGAAGCTGTGTTGCGAACTTGGTTTGGCCCAGGAAAATGGGCAACTTCTCCCGCGATCGCCATCGCAGTCTTTGAATGTTGCTCGCAATCCGACCTCACACCGGAGTACGTTGGTCCTTGGTGATGGCATGGATCCGTAGGTCTCGAACGAGAAGCTGCCTGCCTTTCCAAGTGCAAGAGGTCGACCATGGCCTTCGGAAGTCAATCCCGTGCTGAAAGCCTCAGTAGACGTAGACGAGTACCAATGCGGTCCGTACCGTCACATTAGCCTTGCTTTCAAAGGCCAGTATGTGTGTCGGCCGTTGCTTCAGCTTGCGGTCTCAAGCTGGTGCTTTTTCAGCTTGTGCCTCAGTGTCACCCTCTCCCACAGTGTGCCTCTTGACGAACTCGACGTATCCAACTCTTTTCCCTTTCACGACATTCAATGCATCTTGCAGCAAACCGAACGCAAGTCCAACCTTGGCTCCCATCTTTGCTGTCCTGGCAACCGTAGGCAAAGGTAGCCTGTTCCAGGCACTGAAGATGCCCGCTGAACCCAAACCTGCCAGCATACTACTCATGCAATCTCTGTTCCCTGCAACATGCCTCTCTTCAACGTCCACAGCCTCCATTGCGTCCCCCACCACTTTCGACATGCCCCCACCCCTGGCGAACTCTCCACTTGACACCCTCCTCCACATCCTGACACCTGCTGCCCTTCCCCGATCAATGCCCTCTTCCAGAACGAAGAAGCACCCAGCCCAGAGGCCGAACTTGCCAGCTTGCTTCATGCCTTCGACGATGCCACCCAGCATCATGTTGTAGTTCTTGCTCTTGTGGTAGAGGAACCAGCCGGTCTGAGTAGTAGGCAGGCGATGGGCATTCTCAGCTTGGAACCGCAGTCCACTGTCTTGTGAGCCCTTTGCGAGGCCGAGCATAAGGCCTGCGAAACTCCCAATGGTGCATGATAGAGCAAGGCGAGCTGCGAGAGGAAGGGAGAGGCGGTCATCGAGGGTGCGGATATCCGGGACCAGGGCACTGTCGGGAGCTGGCGGAGCAAAGCCACCTGGTTGGTTCTGGGTGGCCATGCTGCTGTTCTGGGCCGTCCAGCATGGAGACGAGGCTACGTGATGATTCTCAAGGGAAGTGAATGTTTCCTTCGCGTGGCATGTGGCTTTCCCGAGCCTCCCCGCAAGTGTGGCCCGTGCGAAGAAAGTGTCGACCTCATGCAGCTTCACCTTGGAAGTCCAGCCATCGAGAGTCGGCCAAGAGTATGCTGGCGTCACAGTATGGGGCTGCGAGAAGTGCCACGAAGAATGCATACGTCTGTCTGGGCTGTCGTTTGAAGTCACAGCAGAAGAGAAGATATGGAGATCGAGGGCGAGAGACTGCACAAGAGATTGGGAAGAACGGCAAAGACAACAATGGGGAGGACAAGAGTCTGGAGCGCGGTCACGCCGGAGGAAATGAAGCAGTCCGACGGGATGGACTCGAGCAGGCCGCAGGCCCGCCAGCAGCGCAGGTCCTGGAGCCAAATGGGACCACAATGCGAGACTCCCCAAGTGACTTCAAAAGCAGAATATTCCGGATGAAGTCGACTTTCGAGACTCGATATTCCTCGTCGTCAGGTCCTGTGCTCGGGGAAGAGCGAGTCTCTGTGATCAGGAAGAAAAAATCAAAGCGCGAAGTGCCGGTTCCGATCAGAAAGTTCACAAAGTCCAATACCCGTATCAGGAAGCACTTCTCCGAGAAGGAATACTTCAACGCTGCAGAAGAGACCTCTGGAAACCAGTCTTCAACTTTCATTGGCCCTCGCCAAGACCATGCTCAGGACACCGAGCCACCGATATCTACACAGAACATCGAATTCTCCGTCGTCGATAACATCGACAAACACGTCCGTGCCGTAGATCGCTTGGATGCCGCACGAGCAGAGCACATGCAATATAATGAACATCAGCGGGGAACTACGAAGACTGTGAACAGCCACTCACAACATGGCGTCAATCCCTCGCCAGAGCAGCAGGTCTTCGCCAAGAAGATACATCACAGGCCTTCAGTATCTAGTGGAGAGTCTGTCTCCGATGTGTCGCGCAGGTCCTTTTCATCGCTCTCCTCCACCATTGTTGGTTCGTCAGAATGGCGAAATATTAATTTGTCAAAGCTGTCGTCCGATAGCTTCCAGACAGATCATCTCCATGCCCGGTCTTTCCACACGGCACCCCGACAAAGACAAGAAGCAACAATGGCAGGTGCTCAACACCAAGCACCTGCAGGTGTCCCCCTCACCTTCATGAAACAGCCGCCGAACACCGCCTCGGACAAGCCAAACGGCATTCGCGCACAGCTGCGACAATGGCAGGAACTACATGGAGACAGTGATCCGATGCCTGATATTCCGCAGAACGACGACGTGGTTGCACGCGATGAACCCATCAACAACCTTACGCGACTACCCGACGAGAAAGCGGTACTTGCGCAATCTCAGCAAGAAGATGGCGATAGTGATGAGCTTGTTTCCTGGACAAATGTCGACAAGGAGGGTTACGACGGCTCTCAAGAAGACCATCGCTTCCTTCAGATTGGCGACCTTGTCGAGATTGAGTTCACGAAGAGCGAGCGCGAAAGTGTTCTAGCTGTCTATGTGCAGTCTGTGAGGGCTAGTGGCATTGTAGGTCAATTCTTCACAATGCAGGGACGATGGATGCACCTGCCCGAGAAGACGGTACCATACAGCATCCCCAACTGGGTCAGTCCAGAACTTGTCAAGCCCTTGCTGGCGCACCTGCCAGATCCCGAATCATTTCAGGAGCTCCAGGGCCTCATGGAAAGGGCTTACATGGAGGATCTGTCGGTTCCACGGGAGGTGTCTGCACCGTTAGTCAAGCGAATGGTGGACTTCTACAATGAAAGCCAGGACATCTATCGTCGACATGCCAGCGCATTGGATAATGCGCATGACATTTTGTCTCACGACACCGACCTTCGATACGGTAGTTTGACCTCTGCTGCCACCACTCTACTTCAGCTACCTGCCAACCAACTTCCCCTAACAGCTCTGTTCACGGTTCGCAAGGCTCTCAGCAACGGAGGGTTTGCGTTCAACATCGATCGGCGCTCGCATCGCCTGACCGGATACATGCAAATTCGGAGCAAGGAACAGGTGCGCATGGTCGACAACGTGCGCAACTGGGTGCGTCAATGGCAGGACGATTTGGCGGCCACGTCTGTGATGAATGAATGGCAACTGCAAAGACACAGACCTACGAAAGGGGTCACAGTCATGTACGGATTTTTGGACAAGGCCAAGGCCATCGTGGAGAAGAATCGACTGAACCGCCCAACTACTCGCCATCAAAATGTTGGGCCAAGCAAAGTCCGCCTGCCCATTACACCCGAACAGGACAGCGTCAAGATCCAACTGGAAGAAAGGTTCACTGAGGATGAAACGGAGATTGTTCGCTTCATGGAATGCTGGTCTTGCAGTCACATGTTCGGCGACTTGCCACGCATCGAAAGTCTGCCTCCACTCATTCTTCACGCTCTAGGCCTATACGACGACCTCAAGATTTCTACTGGATTCCTCTTTCTTCAGGAACTCGGCACGATCTTGCCTTACGAGAACCGAATCCGGTTCGATCAACACTTGCTCCTTCCGTCTTCACAACACAGCAAGCCACTTCAGAACCTGATGAGCAGTTTGATTTCAATGAGAAATAGTCACAATTTTGTTGATTCCATGGCCGGACTGCGGCATGACTGGGGGAATTTACCTGTCTTTTGTATCGACAAGGAAGACGCACATGAGATTGATGATGGCGTGTCCATCGAGCCTGCAGGTGTTGGGCCTGATGGAAGACCCTCTCATTGGGTTCACATTCACGTCGCCAATCCCACAGCTTTCTTTTCGAGGGACCATCCATTAGCAAAGATGGCACGTCACATGGGCGAGTCTATCTACATGCCTGAGCGCACATACATGATGCTACCGCGTTGGGCAACGTCAAAGTATTTTTCGCTCGATTCCAACCGCCCATGCATGACATTCAGCGCCAGACTTGATGAAGACGGCAACATGCTTGATCACAAGATTACACCCGGAATCATCCGCAATGTGATCAGTTTGACCCCTGATTCCGTGGACCAGATTCTCGGTGCGACATCGAGCGAGCAATGGCCTGAATTGACCTTCACCGTTGGCGGAAGTCCACCGCTTGGCCCGAATCGACAATCCACGAAGTCCAAGAAAAATCGAGGGTTCGATGTTGGTGATCTGAAGACTTTGAGGTCACTCGCGGAGAAGCGCGCTGCAATTCGAAGGAAGGCGGGAGGTCTCTTCTTCGACTCCAATAAGCCCGAGGTTTCGGTTTGGCAATCCTTCAGCCGCTCTGGCTTGTCTTGGGATCATCCTTACCGTAAAGGGATACGAACTGTGGAAGGTGATCCTGTGATCCAGTTCAAAACCCGTGGCCTGGTCAACTGGTTTGAGCCGTCCAACAGGCCAGGTCAAAGTCTTGTCCAGGAACTCATGCTGCTTGCTGGTGAGCTCGCTGCAGCATGGTGTGCTGCACGTCAAATTCCTATCATCTATAGAGGCACCATCAAAGATCACAGAAAGGCTGATCCACAGCGCTTCTGGGAGGAGAACATTGGACCGCACGTCAAAGATGGCAAGACCATGCCACTGCATCTCGGCATTCAGTACATTCAACTACAAGGCTACACGACCCTTCGCACGACGCCTCTAGCACACAAGATCCTTGGCCTGCCGTCGTATGCAAAAGTTACTTCGCCTCTGCGACGTTACGGCGACATGATTCATCACTGGCAGATCGAAGCCGCTCTCCGGCACGAAGCCGAGACAGGTCGCTCACTCCTGGTGGAGAAATGCTCCAAGCCTGACCGCTCCTTCCTACCTTTCAGCGGCCCTGTGCTCGACACAATCATCCTCGGCCTCCAGCCCCGCGAAAGCATCATCACCCGATCCAAAGCGATGGCCGAGCAGTTCTGGGTTATCATGCTCGTGTTCCGCAAAGCCGTCTTTGGCGAAGACGGCCATCTGCCTTTCCTACCAGACACGCACTTCAACCCCAGCCTCCCTCAGCCGATGAGCGTGGTCGGGCCTCCCAAAGCCAGCGTTGGCACAGCGGCCAACGATCTTCGACCTCTGCGGATCTTCATCCATTCCTCAGAGGACTCTTTGAAACAGTCTTTTGGCGTGTATTGCATGTTGATGGAGTTGAATATCAATGTTACAATGCTGAGGCCTGAACTGGAGGGTTTCACCGAGCCGGCGAGGAGAGGCGATGTGTGGGAGGTGCATATGCATGATGTCGATGTGTATCGCCGGGCGTTGTATGTCAAGCCTGTGAGGCTTATTGGTAGGGAGGGTGCTGGGTTGTTGTAAGAAAAGACTTATAGAGAAACGATGCGGAGATAGTGTGTGTTGTCGAGGAGGACGCACGAGAATGTAAGAGTAGTAGTTGAATGTAACATACTTCGCTTCTCCAAGCCCTTCCCTACGGGCATCGGCTTCGTTCCACGGGGATGTCCACGCCTATCCGATTATCTTCAGCTTGCGCTTCACATCCAGCCAGTCGTCCATCTTGTTGGCATCTTCGCCTCTCTCCGGGTAGTGCACCCCCAACCGCATCATCACCTCCTTCGTCGTCACCACATCACTGCAGTCCTCCCACACCGCGCCAATGATGGCCTCGATCGTGTCCGCGCCATCCTTCTTCGCCAGCCCAACCTGGCACCACCGCCCCGGCTCCCCGTCCTTCAGCATGATGAAGTCCTCCACGCCCGTCACCTCCGCCATGTGGTTCAAGAACGAATTCATGGCGATCCCATATTGGAACCGATCGTCCCAGGCTCCTGCAACAAGCACAGCACATCAGTGACGGTTCATACAACAGAGATGATGAGAAGAAGTGAGAGTAACGCACTGCCATTGTCCTTGTTCTTGTACCACTGCGACTTGCAGATGCCCTTCATCATGGCGTCGCCCACGCCCGCGAGATGCCGGTTGAACTCGGGGTACTCGGCGGCGTTGGCGCCGCGGGGGAGGAAGAAGACACGGCGGGCCTCGTTGAGGAGCTCCACGTTGTCGAAGGCGTACGTGAAGCCGTCGGAGAAGGTGAGGGTGCGGCCGTCGGGGAGGATGCTGACGGTGATCTGCTGCGCGTAGGGGGCGGAGGGCTTGCTGTTGGAGGCCATTTTGACGCGATTTGAGTGATTGATTTGATTTGGATGTATGGCAGAGGCGCGTCGGTATGCTGTTTGTGAATGTGTGATGGGAGCGCGGTCTCTGTGCTGTGGTGTTGGAATGATTTTCGCCGCTTCAGTGCGTGGAAGCCCCCTACAATTTTTGGCCTGAAACAACATCGCCCGTTTGCAGCGTTTGCTCTCTCCCCAGGACATCTCGACCTACCAAGGGACACACTCATGATCAGGTAGCTCGGTCGGAGCCAAAGCGATGGGGATATCTGTTGTATTCTCTATCATGTATAGCCCTCTCACATTCACATATCCGGCCGTTCACGTCATGACGAACTTGCTCATGCTGCGGATCTTCTCACCATACTTCCAGAACAAAAGAGGCACAGGCAAGAGCGCCAGCGCAATAAATCCTAACACCGACGTCGCCCAGGGCACCTATATGCGTTAGAACAGAGATCATCATTCACAGCTCGCAAGACTCACCCCTAGATTGTGGAACATCCCGTTCGCGAACAGCGGGAAGCCCGCCGCGAGACAGTATCGAATCGACGTATTCGCCGCCAACGCTGAGTTCGCATACATCGCATAGCAATCGATCACGTAGTTCATGCCTTGCAGCGTGATGAGCATGATTCCAAAGCCTATAGGTGCCCCAGCAAGAATCTGCGGCCAGGGAGAGATCGAGGGGAAACTCGTCCAGGCGAACCAGAAGAGTCTATATTATCACATGTTAGCCTAGACCAACTGTCCGTTCTCCATAGACTGACCCAATCATCAAGCCAAAGCCTCCGAGTGCCATCAGTGGCATGCGGGCTTCTTGATATCGGCCCTGAGCGGGGTCTGGAGCGAGTTTAGATTTCGTTGTGAGGGCGACGAGCAGGCAGCCGGCGAGGGCGCCAAGGAGGACGGCGATGAAGGGGAGGGAGGAGACGCCGGCGCTCCAGTGGCGGTGTTCGGAGTATGAGATCGGGAAGGCTTCGAAGTTGAGGTAGATGATGCCTGGAGACGGATGTTAGCCCCTGAGCTCCCATCACTCGTCGCAAATTGCTCACCAAAGACAAACCCCATGTAGATGGTGACGAGGAACAGAATAGGTTCTTGTACCAGCATCTGCGCTGGACGGAACAAGTATCGGGTGCCTATATCTTTCAACGATATCTCTCGTTCCTCGGAGAGGGAGTGAAGTGCCCAGTTGCGGGTCTTGTGGCGGAGACGCTTGGCTCGTTGGGCGAGGAGGACGGGGCTGTATGTCTCAGGGATGGTGATGAAAGCGAATATTCCGAACGTGGCCGCCATTATCATGGTGATCCATTGGGTCCTGGTGGAGTTAGGTCAGTACAATCGTTATGCCACACTTCTACCTCCAGTACTGTTCTTACCATCGCCATCCAAGTTTGCTCTGAACGATGAAAGAACCAATCTAGTGAATCATATCGTCAGTCACTCCAGCTTTGCCAGCCTCATACATCGAGTACTCACAATAGGTCCAAAAATAGGCCCGCCAAATAACGAGCCAGCGAAGACAGGCACCGCGAAGCCTCTCTGTTCCGCATTCCAAATATCCGCCAGTGCACCCCCTGTCACAGCCTGCGCCGCTGACCCAAACACCCCTTGAAAGAAGCGACAGATCATGACAGTTTGGATGTTCTGGGCGACGGCGACGGGTATCTGGAAGATGGCGAAGATGATGAATCCGAAGAATAGGGGCCTTTTCCGGCCGTAGAGTTCGCTGAAAGGTCTGCACACTATGTCAGCGAATGCTGCTCATTTTTGTCGTATTACAAACCCAAAGATGAACGGCCCAAAGATGAAGCCGGCGAGGTATAACGAAGTTCCCAGGACCATGACTTCGCCGCTAACATGGAACAGTTCGGCCGTCTGTCCATTCGCTGTGCTAAAGATGGACGATGCAAATGTCGTTGTGAAATTCGTCAGGGACAAACTGATGGTAATGATCCATTTGCGTGCTAAGGGTAGGTTGACGGGGTTCTCGGGGTCATCAGGGCCATCCCAGTCTACAATGTTGGAATTCGACAAGTGAGCCTTTTCGGGGTCTCTCGAGTGCTCTGGCGATATCTCCGGGTCTCTTATCTCTGAGCCCAAAGACAGAGTCGTATCGTTCATCGGCTCATCGAGCTCATCTTTAGATTTCACGGGGCCCAGGGTTGCTTCGGACATGGTGAAGGGTGGATGCTTGGCTGTGCTTGACACAACGTGGAACGGGAAGAAGTCAGGACGTCGAGAGGAACGCTTTTAAAGCAGACCCATGGAAACGTGTTCCACGTGCCGGGAGAACGGCGACGCATGCTGCCGATCCTGTACGGCCGACGCATGTCATTTGTACGGTATATCAGTACTAACAGCCTCACGATACGGACTTAGGACTCGACCAGTCGCAAGACTGCCTCGCCCGAGCAGTGCTCTGATAGGCAGCGGGAGACAGAACATCGGGCCTCAGCATCTCGAAACTCCCGGGCGCAAGCCAAATGCGCATGGTTTTTCAGCTTCGTGGTGTGTCCGCCGGAAGGTGGTTCCGGGAAGTAGTTCTGTTTGCTCAAGCGGGAATGGTTTCCGTTGACAAAGCAAGAGCTCTTGAAGGATCGCGCGCGCGATCCTTCACTGCCGGGGGGCTGAGCTGGAGCTTGATTGGCCGGCGGGCCGAGTTAGGCTTTGGCGTCAGAAGTTAAATCCGACCACTCCTTCTCTTGCTGTACGACTCGGTGGAAGACCGACTTCACCCTCACAGCGGCATTCTGGGAACAGGGCTGACAATACAGAATTAACAGAACACTCATGGATGACAAGCCAACATCAAATCAGATCGTCACATACCCGCTCCTCGGGACATCATCAAGTAGATCCCCACCGGCGCTCCAGTGGACTCCCACCTTCTGCGGCACTTCCACCTCATCCACTATCGCGACAGCCAGATCTGCAACGGAAATCCCAAGCAGATTGTGCCAAACCTCATCCCAATCCGTAGTCGTAGTATCGACGGAAGACGTCGACAACATTGGAATCTTATCCTTCCAGATCTCGTACTTGCCAGTCTTCACTCCAGGTCTGTATTTGGCGGGCGGCGATACAAACAACCATTTGAAAGACTCATTCCCTTCAAACATCATCAATGCAGCTCTCGCGGCCAGGGGCAAATCTGGGAATGGGTTCGGTCCGTGCAAGATCATGTCTTCCGTCTGTTCGACTTTGGACTGGTTGATCTTGGTGAGTTGACCAGCTTGGACAGCTAGACGGGCGTTCCTGTATTCTTCGAAGCTTTGCGCTACAGGTCCAGGTCCAATTCGCTCGACCATGTGGGCAGTGGCCGCCGCGGAGTCTCCTACAGTCCGACGGAGTGTAAGCCACCAGCGGCGGCTATCGAGCACGGTTTCATGTTTTCGACCGGGGACTTCGAGCGAGCCCGTGCCGCCAACTTGGATCAAGTAAGGGCCTTTGCCATCGCTGTTGAGGGATTTGACGGCTTTGACGATACAGCGGGTCGCTTCGAGAAAGGTCTCTGCACGTTTCGTTCAGCTCAAAGACGATGACTTCGTAAAGATACTTCGATGCCCTTACTATAAGTGTTGGCGTCGAGTGGTGGGTTATACGCATTCACCACAACTTCCACGTCTTTCAAGACATGTTCCAAATCCTCAATAGTGCCTCCAGCAAGATCGAAGGATTTTGGCTGATACCGCTCATGCCGTCCCAGCTTTTCAGGAGAGCGAGACACGCCCACAACATCATGTCCACGGTTCAGAAGCTCCAGACAGATATGCGATCCCAAGGAGCCTGTCGGCCCAATAACAGCGCAGCGCATGGTTCGTGGGCGGAATCGGTGGAAGAGAAAGCTCTAGCTTCAGGCTTGATTGAAGAAGGCCAAAAGGCTTTCAAGCGCAACGAAGTCTGACAAATGATGATTTCGTCGTAGTGCGAATGCAGTGCAGCCACACGGCCTGTCGGTACTGCCTGATACCGATGTTGTCTCGCTTCATTACAAATGCATGCAGGGCAGCAAGTCCAGGGGCTAGCTCCTGCAGCACGAGGCTAGATCCTTCGCAAGGCTTCGGTGGTTGAAAGCAGTGGGACTCCCACTTGAGTATAAGCATGCGAGGCCCTTTTATATTCTTATGGTCCTCTTTCCAAAGCAATCATCAGAACGCATTGCCCATCATGAAGCCCCAAATGTAATCAACGCTCTACGCAGCACAGCCTCGACAAAGCTAACAACTTCCTCCCAGGCAGAACATCATCATCATGGCCTCAGCCATAGTTGCCAGCACCCAAATCCCCTTCAAAGACCCCAACGTTCTCAACGCCGCTCGCACAATCTACATTTTCATCAACCTCATCGTCCTCGCAATCCTCGCCTACACAAGACTTCGAATCGCTCAGCAAAAAGGTATACAACCCCTTCGGTCCTGACTTATCTTTACATCACTGAAAATATCCAGACACAACCCTCCTCCCCCCACCACCTCCCTTCAAACCTGACAAGCCGAACAAGCCTCCTACAATCCAAACCCACGACCTCCACCACTTCACTTCCCTCCTAAAATCCCAGGTCACCAGCATGCTCATGGTCGCTCTCATGCACCTCTACTTCCGCCTACCGACACCGCTCGTCATTCAATCGATCCTGCCGATTAAAAATGCTCTCGAGAGCAATTTGGTGAAGATCTATGTTTTTGGACGGCCGGCGGTGGGGGAGTTGAAGAGGCCGTGGAAGGATGGTGCTGGGTTTGTGGAGGCGGTGGGGGCGGTGGGGGCGGTGTTCAGGGGTGGGAAGGAGAAGGGTATAGAGGAGGGTGGGAAGAAGGTGCAGTAGAGAGGCGAAGGTTGGGGCCAGACGTGCGAGGCTGAGGATCTGGCTTGCTCGATGACAGGGCGGTCAAGGCAAAGGGGCAGTGAGGAAGATAAAAGCTTAAGCTCAAATGCCAGCAGCTTGGGGTCGACACTTCGGAAATCCTATCCCAAAATCTTCAACGCTGACGGCAAGCCTCTGGAAGGTGGAAATAAAGTGTAGCCTTACAGCTTGGCATGCGGCTCGGGCTTTTAGGGGTCTGAATCCTCGCGCGCGGGATTTTCGCGTGAGGAAGGATGTAGCCGGCGAACCGCCAAATACATCTACTTCGTTTCGGTTAGCGGGCTTCACCGGGAGAAGACGTCATGTTGTTCATTTTTACTTCTTGCACGTGGGGCTTTCTGGTGGAGGAAGAACGGTTTGCACGAAAAAGTGTACTCATTTTCCACTATCCACATATGTTCCATTCCAAAACCCTCATCTCGTCATCGTGATAATTGTTATAAATCTCATAGCTGGCTATGCCTGCTCTGCTTCATTTGAATTCAAAAAAAAAAAAAAAACCTTCATGCAGATGTACGCTGTTCTTGCTCTCATCATCTGATGGTACCGTCATCCCACAAAAACGCCGTCATACGAGATCTATCTGTGTCCAATGTTGCTTGTTCGCCTGCCTGAGGAAGGTCTTTTCTGGGTCTAGAAAGCCCTGCCTCTGCGTTGGTAGGCTGGGATGGGAGGCAGCGAGGATGCTGGCTGAGATGGAGCGACGCTGGGCGGGACTGATGGTGCTGCTGAAGACGCTGGTTGAGATGGGGCCACGGAGGGTTGGACTGAGGGCTGTGCTGATGAGCTTGGGGTGCTGGATGGTGGAATAGATCCTGTCGGCTGCGAGCTGGGTTTCGAGGTTGGTACGGAGGGTTGGACTGATGGCTGCACTGA